CACGACGGCGACGGGCCCCTCCCCGCCCGCACCTTCTGGGTCATCTATAGCCTTTGCCCATCCGCCCGACGTCCCAAAGTCGTCGCCCTCTCCTCCAACGCCGTCTACTACCCCACCCGTAAAGGCTTCCAAGCTCGGTACATTTGGGAGGACCATGTCGTTGGCCAGGAGCAAGTCCAAGAAGGAGAAGGCGGAGAGGGAAAAGGAGAAGGAGAAGGAGAGGGTCATGAACGACCCAAAGAGGTGGAATCGAAGCGCAGTACAGAATATCATGGGGCCTCCTGCGCGCTGAACGCTAGAGGTGTCATTGTAGCCAAGATGACGAATGGCGGGAATGATGGTTTTATGTTTGCGTTTTGTTATCGTATCTGGGACCTGCTTGCTTTGACTTGCTACCGGTGCTGGTGCCGACGAGTTAACCATAACACGTCTATAAACAACGTACTTTAATGCTCTTATGTCTGGGAAAAAATGATGGTGTAGCGATCTTTATGTCTAGGTTTTACGTTTTCTCTTTTGGTCGTCATTGTTATCACAATACATGCAGATATCGTCATGTTGTCTCGGCTGTTCGCAACAAGTAGTAGCATAGCATCTCGAAAGCACAGGATGGTGATAGATATGTGGAACAAACATTGTCCGCTGAAAAAGCAAAAGAAACCTCGAAATATAAACGCGCAAAAACCCTGGTTCGATATGGCACAACAATTGACTAGAATTCGCTTCCTCAGATCCTCCTGCCCATATCCCTCTTTTGTTCCTTATTGCCGCCTCCAAGCCCATAGCTAGCTGCAGCATGGTGGAACCTGTTTTCCTGTTCATCCTCGTCGTCGTCGTGGTACAATGCGTAAGGATCTTGCGTGTAAAGGCCACTCTGCGCCTGGTTCCCGTTACCATACACGTTGTCATCAAGCACAGCTGCCTGTGAATCAGAGAATGGTGTACCTTCGGTGGGCGTACCAAGGGCCACGCCCCATTCGCCCGAGGCAGCGTTCGCCCTGGGCTCGACCGGCGTAAGCTCGTCCGGCTCAGCATAGAACGGGTTCTGGGAGTCCAACACACGTGAAGCGACAGCGGCTTCTTCACGCTCCTGCTGGGCTTTGATGGCGAGAGGACTGGGTTTGGAAGGTTTGTGGCGGTACATGGGGTCGACGGAAGCGGCGGCGGCGGCATTGTCTGCTACGGCCATACGCGCGACAGCACGCGAACCCTTGCGAGACTGGGAAGATGACTGCTTGTCCTCAGACTTGGAGCGCTTGGGTGAGGGGACGCTGGCTTCTTTCTTGGAGCTGGTGGGTGAGGTGGGTGAAGTGGCAACAGGGGCGCCTTGGGACGCCAGAGGGGCTGTGGTGTCTGAAGAGACAGACTTGGAGATCGGTGCTGTTTGCTGCACTGGGGCATAGCTGCCCTCGTACTGCTGCTGCTGCTGACTGAATGATTGTTGCCCAACAGGAGACAGAGGCATAGGCTGACCATACTGGTCATAGCTGTAGCCGTACTGTTGCTGCTGCTCGATCCCAGGCTGCGTCTGCCACCCCTCATTTCCATTCCCATACGCCTGTTGAGCCGCGTACGCCCCGTAAGCCGCTTGAGCGCCATTGGGAAAGTTTCGCTGGGCCGCACTGGGCGGAGGAGAGAGGGGGGCCGGCTTGTCTTTGGAGCTCTTCTCATTCGTAGGGGATCTGGGACCACCAGAGTTTTTACGAGAGGTCGAGGTGGATGGACGAGGGCTTGCCTTTTCAGCGGCCAAACGGCGCTTGTTCTTTCTTCTCTGGGCTGCTTCCCAGCGTTCCTGTAGCCAAGTCAGTATGGTGTCTCCAAACACAAACTTTATTACTGACGCGCTTCACCCTTTTGCTCCTCTTTGTCCACCACCACCAGAACAAAACCACTCCGATCGCCAACGCCATCCCACCGACCAGCGCCGGGATAGCGATGGCAACAGGGAATCCGCTACTAGAGTCGGTTGAAGCGGCAGATGTTGATGTATCGTTTGCAACGACAGAAACGGTGACGAAGGTGGACCTCTTGAGATTGGGAAAAGATGACGCGAGGGGGGTCGGAGTAGGTTTGGGGACTGTTGGAGACATTTTCGAGAGACGGATACCTATTTGGTGGGGTATGGTTAGAGGAGAGGGGGATACTGAGGAGTGAAGGGTCAGCGCAGGTCCTCGAGTTCTCGATCATCCCCGTTCAGTCGTCCGCAGACCGCAGACACGATTGGCACTCCGGAAGGATTTTCTCAGAGCGATATAAAGGATGCCCCTCCTTCGATGGCATTTCTCTGCTGTAACTCCCGCGCTTGAATGGAAGCAGGAGTGCCAGCAGTGGCCGACAAGGCTATATGTGATGGGATGCTGCAGTGCCAAGGTGGCGGACTAAAGGCCAAGACGCGACGCGTAGGATGAGAGGGCGCGACTTACGAGGAGGGCGTGAGGGATGGTGTCTGAGTGGGTGTAACGAGCGTGGGGGCTACTTGCCGAGCAGCAGTGGGGCGGGGAGAGGACGGAGAAGAAGAAAGAAGAAGAAGAAGAATGGATCTCGCTCAGCATCCCTCAGTGCACGGGCGCGTGGTTACTTTCCAGGAACAGAAACACACACAGGGCTTGTTCCTGTTCCGGCAGCGATCGCGTCTCGCAGCCCGAAGCGCAACGGGTGACTCGCACGAGTCGTCTCTATACATCCCAGTGTCGGACTGGCCAGGCGGGCATATATGTCAGGTGGATCACCAGCATTCACCCTGATGCGAAGTCTATATATGGATGCATCAAAGATGTCAAAGGATTTGAAAAAGGGAACAAGCATCTGTCTAAGACGCCCGGGGACATATTCCAAGAAGGAGATGACAAGTGTAAAGCTGCTCTGATGTACGAATACCAAATTCTGATCAACACGGGTCAGCCAAAGTCCGTACGGATAGAAAATGTCAAGGACTTACACATGACAATTCGGGGCTCGGTGATGGAGGTGGAGATCTGGAATGTACAAGTCAGTCTATGCCTGCACATCCAATGCGAGTATACTCACGCTCTTGTGGGGCAAGACAGAAGCGCCGTTCACATACAGCTCATCCTTTATCGTCACGTCGTCACCAAGAACAGTAATGTTCTCAACCCTGTTCCACCTGCCGACCGTGCTGTTCCATCCGATGATAGAGTTGGCAATCCAGGTGTGGTCTCGGACGGTAGCGTTAGACATGATGACACATCGCTGGAGACGGACACCGGGGCCAATTTTGGCGTCGGGACCGATAACGACGTTGGGGCCGATGACGGCTGTGGGGTCAATCTCCGCCGACTATTGCGCCATTAGTAGATTATCTTCAACGGGTTCAAGACTACTTACAGGGTCAACCAAGACGTTTCCACCGTACACCCACTTGTTCTGAGCAGGGTCGGTCAAAAGCTTGGAATGTTGGCTGGTCAAGTGAGAAAGATAGAGGCAGGTACCCGCAAGGAAGTCCTTTGGTTGTCCAACGTCCATCCAGAAACCTTGGAGGTCAAAGGAGTGGAGCTGGTGGTCAGCAGCGATGGCGGGGAAAACCTCCTTCTCGATGGAGGTGGGCCGGAGCTGGAGAAAGAATGAGAACTACTTTTGACGAGATAAGAGATAGTGCGCACCTCAATACGGTCCAAGACGCTGGGGTTGAACATGTAGATACCAGCGTTGATCCTGTTGCCAACAAACTCGACGGGCTTCTCGACGAATCGGTCAATGACAGTCGAGTTGGGCTTGGTGACAACGACACCGTAAGCTGAGGGCTCGGCAACCTTGGTCACCATGATCGAGCCTTCACACTTGTGGGCAAGGTGGAAGTCTCTGTGAGAGTATAAGTTGGGCCTATACCGTAAAAATTGTGATCTCACCGGAAGGCCTCGAAGGGATAGGTACAAGTGACATCAGAGTTGAGGACGAAGAAGGGAGAGTCATCCTTGCCCAAGATCTCCTTGGCAAGAGCAAGGGGACCAGCTACGCTTCCATCAGAAAACCGCTTTGGGGCTACGGACAAGATACGCACCAGTGCCGAGAGGCTCAGTCTCCACACTGAAGTGGATGTTGATACCAAACTCCTCCTCAGTCTTCTTGAGGACAGCTACCATGACCTCGGGTCGGTAGTTGACAGCAAGGACGACATCCGTGACGCCGGCCTTGACCAGGGCCTCGATCTGGTGCAAGCTAGAGCACTCGTCAGTATGTGCCACAGGCTTATTGTTTTCCGCGAGGCGCCTTGAGGTGTCCAACGACGGCCGAAGAGATAACCCTCAAAAAGGAGATCTCCGTCGCGTCCCGATCGCCACGACACGTGTCACAGTCGCGCGAAAAGAAGCAAAAAAGATACCCACATCATGGCCTGTGATGGATCCAGATCGTCAGCAACGCGCCTTGCACGGAAAGATGACACGCGGGAAAAGGTGACTCACCTTGTTACAGAACTCGACGAGAGGCTTGGGCCATGAGAGCTGTTGGAGACGATCAGCTATTCTGGTCATGTCGGCGCGTAGATGCGCCCCGTCTCGACATGGCATTCGAAGACGACATGCAGGTGGGGTGCAAATGGATGGGGGAGAGAGAACATACGGTCAAGGGCCTGAGACGAGTACCGAAACCGCCGACGAGAATCAGAGCGTGGAGGGGAAAGAAAGTTAGCCTCGCGGATCGCCAGGGGGTGGAGTATCAGAAGGAGGAGGGGGAGGGGCAGGGGGGCTGGGTGGGAGGGGAGGTTGACTCATCTTCATTGTGTTGTGTGATGTGTTTGGTGGTGGATGGCAGAGATGGGGAAGAGGAGGCGAGATGCAGCAGATGCAGCGGTGGCCTAGGCCAGGGGCGCTGCGGTAACTGGCGCGCTGACGGAACCAAATCACCTCCAGGGAAGCGAGAGACACCCAGGCACCATCATGCATTTTTTATTTCTTATTCGGTCCCACAGCTCACGTCCAAGATTTCACCACCGGCTCTTCCCATCCAAATTCTCAGTCACCCTCCCCACCACCGAACCCACCATGCGTATTGAAAAGTGCTACTTCTGCTCCACCAATGTCTACCCGGGGCACGGCACCATGTTTGTCCGAAACGACTCCAAGACGTTCAGGTTCTGCTCGTCCAAGTGTCACAAGAACTTCAAGATGAAGCGAAACCCCAGAAAGGTCAGGTGGACCAAGGCCTTCAGGAGGTCCAACGGCAAGGAGATGGTTGTCGTGAGTCCATGCGTGATATATGCTAGTGGAGGCGCTGACAGTCGTCTAGGACTCTACATTCGAGTTTGAGAAGAGGAGGAATGTGCCCGTGCGATACGACCGAGAGCTTGTGGCTACCACCCTCAAGGCTATGGAGCGAGTCACCGAGATCAGGCAGAAGCGAGAGAGGGCTTTCTGGAAGAACCGGTGCGTTCACTGGCAATCTATCAGGATTTGTGCTTATACACCTGCAGAATGTCTGGCAATGCGGCCAAGAACCTTCGGGACAATGCGCTCGAAATCGAGCGACACATCGAGCTCGTCCAGCCCCGTACCACCTCCAAGGCCAAGAAGCAAAAGGCCGGCGAGGCTCTCACGGAGAAGGAGGCGGCGAGAGAAAAGATCAAGGTCAGGGCTGCCAACAGGAAGGCTATGGCTTTGCAGCAGATGGGAGAGAAGGGCGGAAGGGCCAAGAAGGAGAGTCGGTTGATACCCGCCGAAGGCAGCGGTATGGGCATGTCCCTCGATTAGATTGCTTCGGCGCACAATTTTGGGGATTGTTGTATGATACGACATGTACGATACCATTGATTCACGATTGAGCAAGAGCTGTGGTATATGCGGTGTTTCAACCCTCGGAATGTGATTCTCGACAGTGCCACTGTCAGCCATGGTCGGGATGGAAGTACATCATGACATCTGATATCTACTCTACTTCACCAATGCAAACATCAGCTAAAGCTTGACTCTTGCGATCAGCTCCAGCCTGAGATCTGGACAGTCCCGCGCCCAACTAGTCAAACCTCGACAATTTGGCCTCCCGCTGTTCCATCATACCCTTGTAGGCTTCCACCTTCTCCTCCCTAGTAGCATTGTATGCAATCTTGGCTTGGTTGAAAGCTGCAAACGTTGCATTAGCCTCGGGACATTGGTAGGGTGCAGCAGCAGCTCACGGTTCTCCGGAGACTTTTGGAACTGCTTGTAGAGGATGTCGCGCATCTGATTCTGGCGCAACCCCTTGTGCTCCTCCTTGAGGATGGGCATTTCACGATCAAGGTAGGCCTCGAATGCAGCCTTGAATCTCCTCTGTATGGCTGTCAGCTATCGTTCAGAGTGTAGAGTGCAAGACTCACTTCGGGATGCGCGTCAATCATGATTTCGGCCTGACTTTATCAGTTCTGTTCTGTTCGTTGGCAACAAGACTCGTACCTTGGCACCGACAGCAGCCTTATCCGTCTTTTGGTTGACAATCTCCATGGCATCCAACATCTCATCCAAGCCCTTCGCACTCAGCTCCTTCGTCTCCTCCTCTTCCACGCCCTTCGGCTTCCTCAACCCTAATGGGTCGTTGATAGCGTAGCCGGCCACGCCGAGACCGGTCGGTGTAAGCTTGTCATTGTTCTTCTTCTTGGCGCCAGCTTTAGGGGCGGACTTGCCCTTGTTGGGAAGAGAGGCTTCTTCGGCGGCGAGCAGGGCTTCCTTCTCGGCCTTCTTTCGAGCTGCATGATTGTATCAGTCATGAGCTCGGCTACCTTTGGGCGGCAGACACACCTGCTTCAGCAGCCTTGGCAGCAGCAGCATCGGCTTTCGAGCTACCCTTGGCTGGATCACATATCAGCAACTCCTGAACAGCTTTGCCTACCGAGACATACCGCCAGCCTTCCATTCATCAGCTTCCTTGGCCTCTTTGGCCTTGGAAGCAGCCGCTTGCTTCTTTTCCTGTGATCATATCCATCCATTAGTTCGTTCGCACGACGCAGAATAAGACCTTGGGAGGCACATCTACATACCTCGTTCTCAGCTTTCTTGGCTCGGCCACCCTCCTTCTTTGCGTTACCGCCCTTGGGAGCCATTTTGTTCGACCTTGTTAAATAGGTGGGGTTGAGTGTTGATCTAAAGTAGATGCAAGTCGCGACTTGAGCTTGGCTGGAGTGAAAGGAAGAGCAAAACGACAAAGAAGTCGGAGGAACATGACGCTGGTACGAGATAGTGGAGGTCAAATAATCTATTAGTCTAATCTTCGGCCGCAGACCGTCCGATTACAAACGCATTACAAACACACGATCATTCAACGTTGCCAGTCTCAGACACATGTACAATAGTGAAGAGCTTATGTCAAATGCATCGAGAATAAAAGCAAAAGACATCCCCACCCTATACTCTTCGGTCCCTGTGATTATGTTGAGTGTAATTTTGAGGATCTTGAGCAGGCATTTCACCCTTCGACAACGGTGGTATGTACTAGCACAGAGAAATCAAATGGAGAGCGAAAAATGAATCTGTAAAAGACCGAAATGAAAGCCCCCTTCTAAAGACACTAAAGGATAATGTGACGAGACTAGCGGCGGGTCCACTTGCGTTCGAGGAATCGAGCACCGGGGTAGACGATACCAGTGAACACAGCGGCGAGGATCCATCCAATATCGCCACCGTAGGGGTCGGCAGTGCCACCAACCTTGGCGCCAACTGCAGCTCGTCAGCGCGTACATTTCGAGGATAATTGATGACTTACTAGGGCCAATGTACCAGACCTGGGCCATACCCAGAACGGCACCAGCAACACCACAGCATCCCGCAAAGATTGCGGCAAGACCGATTGGCAGCTTGTCTGACCTGTTCCAGCTTTCGGCAGCGTGGTAGTTGTCATAGTTGCGTTTACGGAAGATGATGTGTTCCTCAATGACGACGGTGGCGTAGATGGCGAGCCAGTAACCGAGGACGTTGAGGAAGTCTTCGAGGGAATCGGCAAAGTGGTTGGCGCCAACGATGGCGATGGGGATGTAGATGCCGGTGATGACGAACGGCCAGACAAGTCGGGGGATGGCGGCGAGCCAGTTGGCGACGACAGAGACACTCAAACCCATAGAGTAGACGTTGACGGTGCTAAAGATTGGTCAGAGGGGGTTCGTGATATGTACTTGATGAGCTTACTTGTTCGCAACGACGGAGAGGACGAGAAGGGTCATGAAGAATTTACCACCATTGCCCATGGGAGGAACTGCAAATATTGTCAGTTTACGAATCAAAGAGTGATAGAGAGACTTACTGAAGACGGCGCCGACAAGACCACCAAGCTCGTGCTCGGCATAAGCCTCGGCCCAGGGGGTGTAGACAGTAGCAGCAGCACCGATGGCGGCACCGAGCCACTCGACCAGGAGAAGAGGGACAATCAGACCAAGATAGGTCCAGCCAAAGACGGCTCGAGACTTGGCCTCAGACGGCATGTAGACGTTAAAGTCACTGGACAGACTAGACCAACCGATGGTGAAGCCAAAGATGGTACCACCGAAAGAGAGAATACCAGCAGCCTCGGCTTGTCCAACACCCATGGGGACATTGACAAGGTGCTTGGCGGCGATACCGACCATGACGAGGAAGGTGACGAATGTAGGCGCCCAAGAGTACCTTTCGTAGGTGTGGACAAACTTGTAGCCGAAAAGACCGATGACGAGAGTGACGATGGCGATGATGACGGTACCGACGGCATCAGAGATCTTGTATTCCGAGACGGCGACAAGGGTTTGAGCACCAGTGATGGTGTTGACGATGGACCAGCCAACACAAGCGATACAGTTCAGCAAGGCCACCAACTTGGCACCGTAGAAACCCCAAGAGAATCGGGCAGAAGTCATCTGTCGGAGACCGAGTTTGGGACCGAAAGTAGCCATAAAGGCTGGGATACAAGCGGTTCCAGCGTTGAAAAAGAGGATGGCCAGCATCGAATCGCCGAGACCAAGTTCAAAGAGGAGGGGACCGAGGATTCCGATACCGAAGGTGGGCAAGACCATGTTGGCAGACATCCAGACGAAGGTGTTGCCATACTGCGAATGATGAGACAATGCTATTCGGAATGGCTGCAAGACTCACCAGTCTCTTGTCTGTTCGATCCGACTCGGACACACGCTCGATACCTCTCTGCGCGGAATGAGCGTATATACAGCGGAAAAGTATGCAGCACTTACCGACTCGATACCCATCTTCTGCTCCAAGGCCCTGTTCCATCTGTCAAACTTTGCCCATCGTCCGGTGGGTTCTCCGACTTCGTGTCGGCCAGAGTACACTCCGGGGTCTACGGCGGGAAGGCCCTCGAAGGCTTCTGAGCCGGAGGACCTGGATCTCTTGCCATCTTCGACGGGTTCGATGCCCTTTTCAATGTCTGACATGGTGACTGTGTGTAGTTTTTTGTCAACGACTTGCGCTGTGTGGAGATGGGATGAGGTGAGATGAGATGGATCGTTTTGCTTACCTTTGATAAGGAGTGGAGGGCGGTGGCCGGTGGCGGTGGAGCGGTAGGGGTGGGGAAAGATAAGCTGATAGGAAACAGAGACCGGTGTGGGCGGAGATGCGATAAGACGGGTCAGAGATAGAGACTAGTCCTGATGCCAGGGATGCGGTGCCCAGGAGGGAGTGCGAGCAGCTGAGCAGTGGTCAACTGAGAAACTGGGCAGGTCTCGGTCGCGTCCGCTCTCGAAAAAAGTTGGCAGCCAACCAAAATTTGAGCAGTGCCACAGCAACACGCGGTGCCCGATAAGCGAACCCCCCGAAAATACCGCATCCGGTATCCCTTATCAATTCCTTATCTCAGGGCACGTCCCTTTTCCCGCGTGGCAGTTTCGACTTTCGAGTTTCGACAGCTTCTCTGGCGGGCACCGCCGCCCCGGTCTGCCGATTGCCGCCGACCACCACGAGTTTCAAAATAATAGACATCCCCTGTGCAGAGGGTAGATGTGCCGCCAACACCATGGACACTTCACACGATATCGCACAGTCTTCAGCACACTCGCATCCACCATTATCCCCCGTGCTCACCCGCACCACCACGCGCCCTCGACCGCTTCCTCCCTCCAACCCGCCCGAGCCACCGCTTACTCTCCTGCACCCTTCCCAGTCATACCCTGCGGCTCCGAGAGATGAGTACGCCGGCCATCACGATGAAACAACACAGGGAAAACGGTCATGGGCGAGCTGGCTGGGCAGGGGCATGCGGAGAGATGTCACAAATAGACTACCATGGTATTGGAGTGACTGGGCAGACGCTTGGAATTATCGCGTCATCCCCTCGACTTGGGTACGTTTGTTTGCTCCGCATATAACTCTTCTGAGAGACTGCCATAGTTCATCTTTTTCGCCAACGTCTTGCCTGGCCTGGCCTTTTCTCTGGATCTCATAGTGAGTCGACGCGTGATGATCGGTGCTGTGGCTTATGCGCTTCAGGAAACGACCGGCCAGTATGGCGTCCAAGAGGTGCTGCTATCCTCTGTACGTCTCCCACTTACTGAATTATACAACTTGCTCACTCCTCATAGTTTATGGCAGCCTTCGTAGCCTCCTTCCTTGGCGGGCAGCCTCTCTTGATCTCTGGCGTCACAGGACCCATCACAGTATTCAACAAGACCATATACGACATTTTCGAAAAGAACAAATCCGACGGTCCTAACTATCTCCATTTCGTCGGCTGGGTCTACTTGTGGGCAGCAATTTTGCACTGGATAGCAGCTGTCACCAATGGTCAGTCTTCATTCAAACTCTGAATTGGACTGACAAGAGGACAGCTGTGCAAGGGCTCAAGTATGTCACCCAGTTCTCATGCGATACATTTGGATTCTATGTTTCTGCTGTCTACGTCCAGTACGGTATCCAAGTCGTCACCCGCCAATTCGAGCAAACTTCCACCCCCAGCGCTTTCCTGGGTATCATGCAAGTCGCCTCGATGCGTGCTCGTGTCTAGCTGACCTCCTCACAGTCTTGCCATATTGACTCTGGTTACACCGCACTATTTCAACGCCGTTGCGCGATCGGGATATGTGAACAAGCACTTTCGACGGTTCTGTTCCGACTATGGCATGCCGATTACGATTATTGCCATGACCGGCCTCGCATACTGGGGTCGCTTTGATCAGTCAGTGCTTTCCTCGCTCTGGCCTCATGACATTGCTAATATTGACAGTAGGTATGTGCTGGAATCCGACATGACCCTCCCCACCACTGCCTCCTCCTTCCAGCCAGCTGGTGACAGACCATGGCTTGTGCGTTTCTGGCAATTAGAAGGCAAATGGGTCGGCATAGCATTCCCGTTTGGGCTGGTGCTCTTCATCTTGTTCTACTTTGATGCCAACGTTTCCGTGAGTGACCTCTTCAGACCATGATCACAAGATGGGATTCCTGATGGGCGAACAGTCTTTGATAGCCCAAGGCTCAGAGTATCCGCTCAAGAAACCAGCTGCCTTCCACTGGGACTTTTTCCTACTCGGTATCACGACCTTTATCGCCGGTCTTTTGGGTATCCCTGCGCCAAATGGTGAGCATCTAGCAGATGTTAGTCGTGTCCCTCTGACAATCTGATCAGGTCTTATCCCGCAAGCTCCGCTACATACAGCTTCCCTCGTCGTGATGGGGTACGAAGACGGCTCTCGCACCTCGTCCCAGACTACGCTGTCTCCGGAGGAAAACCGAGCGGCACTACAAATGTCTCAGATGGAGAGTGGCAACAAAAATGACACACCTGAGGACGGAACAGGAATGAGAAGACGGAGGCGAAGGAGTAGTAGTGTACAGAGTCACACAGAGAATGACGCAAAGAGAGAGGTGCCGGTGGCTGTCGTTGAACAAAGAGTGTCCAATCTTGCGCAGGGTTGCTTATGTGAGTGTCAGGGCTGGTTGGACGATACTCATTCATCCCAGGTCTGATTCTCATGACCAAGCCATTCGAGCACGTCCTTGGATTGATACCGAAAGGTGTCTTGGCTGGGCTTTTCGTGAGTCTCCTTAGATATCTCGAGACAGCAGACTGATTACGGGCAGTGGTACATGGGTTCGGACGCGTTACTTTCATCGGGCGTATCTGCAAAGCTGTTATACCTTGTCCGCGACAGACGCGCTACCTCGCCCTCGGAACCATTACGCGCTGTGCGTAAGAGCAGGATTCTCCTCTTCACGGCCGTCGAGCTCATAGGCTTCGGGGCTACGTTCGCCATCACTCAAGTGAGGCCAGCCCTATCGCTCGCGCCAAAAGCTGACTTTTGCAGACCATCGCTGCGATAGGTTTCCCGATCATCATCATGCTTTTGGTCCCTGTCAGGGTGTTCATCGTCCCACATCTAGGGTTTACGGAAGAGGAGCTGCAAATTCTTGACGGGCCCGTGGCTAGTCCTTTTGTGGGTTCAACTGTCATATGGCATCTCGCGTTGTTGGCTGACCCTTCCAATAGACCATGGAGTCTGTAGGGGGCTCGACATAATCACATCGATCACCTTACATGTTGTATAGTACTTAATCACATCATATATAAGGATCTTCTGAACCGCCATACGTAACCACCTTCCGATCGCGTTCTGGCCTCATAACTTTGTGCTTGGTCTTGATCATGGATACAGATGTCCTGCGGCCTATCGGTCTGTACATTAGACCACATGCATGCATGCCTTTGGTCTCCACTCGAGCCTCCTCACGATCGCGCGCGCGCGTCGTGCAACAAAGAGACTGGCCCTTACGTAATAAACGACATGCCGATATAACAGCGCGGCGCGATCTGGGCCTGTATGGTCGCGTTGAGTTCCCGTTTTCGCAGAGCTCTGAGTGCTTCAGGCAACCTTCTTTTTCCGAATATCCACCCCGCCCGGACGGAATGTCCTGTAAGTCGCCGTCCACCCGCCACCTCTCACGCTTACCCCGTTGGCAGCCTGGCTCTCCTTCCCCAACAGCGGTGAATCACGTCGCAGGCGACCATCCCCCTCCGCGTCCACCTCCGACATGCCCCCCACATCCACCCCTAAAATCAACATCACCCCGCAGACCCAACGGCTGGCCATCCGTGGTGTTCTCGCCTTCTTGGGCCTTTTGATAATTCGCGCCCTCTTTTTCTCCTCCTCCACCAGCAACGAAGAGATTCAATCTCATGGTGTTTTGGAGCGGGTGCTAATGTCCGACAAGTACCTGGACGTGGCGAAATACCCATTCTTGCAGTCAAGACAAGGGAGGGATGATAGAACGTCCCTCTTTGACGAGGAGGTCAAGGAAGGTGTACTGGATTACTGGACAAGATTCGAAAAGCCCTTCATCACCGACAAGGCCACCGCGCATCTCGATACCCAGGTCATGAGGACAGTTATCGACGACTTGCTCAAATTCCACGGATGGGTCGCGTCCGCCTGTCCCACATTGATCAGGCCTTTTGGTCAGAATAACAGAGAAGATCACTACGAGGATCTTGCTGCCAAGGACAACCTCTACTTTATCGCCATTGTCATCCACTCTGCCGACCATTTCTTGGTGGACCAGCTTGCCATTATCGTTCAGCTCGCGAGACGGCTGGGCACGCGAAATATCTTTGTGTCTATGCTTGACCAAGCTTCTACCGATTCTACGCCTACCCTTGCCGATCTGTGTGAAGCGGTCATGACGATCCTCGGTATCGCGTTCCGTATTCGACGCGTACCTCCCATGACTGTCGACCCTTCCGCCGCGTACTATCCCCTCGAAGAGGCAGAGGCGAGAAACCTCGCCCTTGACCCTTTGCATGAGCTTTGGAACAAGAGGAGCATCAGGTTCCACCGAGTCATCTGGTTGAAGGGTTTCACTTGCCCCAACGATGTCTTGGAGAGCTTGAGAGTTAGCGAGCTCAACAGCGCTGCTATGGTCTGTGGCATGGACTGGGCAGAGCACAATGGATTCTTCATTTTCTCCGACAGGTGAGTCCTACAATATATGGGGCATTGCTAATAAGATAGATGGAGGACCAGAGACATCGAAGGCGACCCCTTCCGAGCAGCCAAGTCCAACTCCAAGCCCGAAGCTGGACCTCCAAGGGACAAGGCTGGTACCGAAAGGTTCTCTCACCACCTTCCTTTCCAGACGTTCTGCTGCGAATCAGGTACCCACGTTGTCGACCCCGAGCAATCCTACTACCGCAATATCCACTACCGCGCTTCCTACATGGCCCAGAACCTGTCTACTACCCAAGAGCAGCCCAAGTGGGACCCCGAGACTCCTTGTATGGACTCGACTCAGATGTGGTTCTGCCGAGACTTGTGGACTGATGCCGCCAAGGGTGGCCTGAAGGATGGTAGCAGGAGAAAGGGTCACGAGAAGCTGGGCAATCACAAGAGGGACGACGTTCCCGATGTCGCCGCGAGGGCTCCCGAGCCAGTCCCTGAGCCTGCTGCCGAGCCTGAGCCTGCTGCTGCGGCCGGTGGTGAGGACGAGGACTCTGGTACCGACCTCGACGCGATGAACGAAGACGCCGCCAACCCTGCTCCCGAGCCCCTAGCGCCCGAAGAGCTCCCCGCCTCTGCCTTCCTGATTCCCAACTCTGCCTACACCCCTGCCCGTATCCTTGTCAACCCTCGGTGTGTTACGACTTATGGTGGTGTCTCTCATACACAGCTTGCTCTTGATCTGTTTGGCGGGCCTCATGCGGACGAGTCTTCGCATGAGGGGGGCAACTATGTGCTGGAGGACTGGGCGGGACCTCCTGACAGCTTTGTGTGTCAGGAGATGAGGACGACTGGAGGTAGGACAGCACCCAAGAGTCAGCGAAGAGTTGGATTCTTGCTCCAGAACGAGGTGAGTGTATCGGATGTCGATTGTCGCACATGCTCATGAACGCGCAGGTCGGGATGTCGAGGACATGATAGACCAGGGCCTTTTCCTTTGAATATGCATGGGCTGTGATAGAATGCTCTCCGATCCATATGATCGACACAAAGCTGGCCGAGTCTTCTCTGCGACGCACCGCATGAGCGTTGGGCAAACTGATGCGGTCGCAAACCCAGTCTACCATCTCAAGAGATCTACATATACAATGTTTACCAACGGTCCAAGACGTGAAATTCTATCATCTTCATACATTGACACTGATCCTCCCCACGGTACCAGAAAACGACAACCCCAATATCAAAGACCCTCTTCTGTTCTCTTTGCTGTCTGCTGCTTCTCGATCTCTGCTCGGATAGCCACCTCGGGGTCAACCACCTCCTGCGGGTACGTTTTCAATAGGAAGACCATCACTTGGGCAAGCACGCCCATGAGGAACACGAAAATGGTCGTAGCGCTGAACCCCGGTATGTATCGAGGCTTATCAGTCGAAGGCCAGAGGAATACCCCATAGATGGAAGCTGAGTTTCCAAGCGCATTTACCAGAGCGATAGCGACGGCGCGCTTTTCAGCCGGTTGGGAAATGACGTTGGGCACCCATGTTATGATCTGAAGGGCACGCGTCAGCGTGATGCTTTCATCGCAAGAGCGCAAGACTCACAAGTGGACACAGGGCATATACACAGCCGAAGGCAAAGACCAGGAAGACGTATTGCACCATATGATGTGTCGTACAGGTGACAATGATGAAGCAAACAGTGCCGATTGCGGAGGCGATGGAGATGGCAAGTGGTTTGTTCTTGTAGTAGTCGGCGCCCCAGCAGAAAACGAGGATGAACAGGCTACGCTACGTAAGTCATGGTGGCCTGAGAGCTTGTGCATTGACTTACAATGCACAGGCGTAGAGAGGGATGGTTCGGAACTGGCCGAGATAGCCACTCCAACCGACTGGAGAGATCGTCAGCATCGTCTAGGGCTCGCGAATGATATACTTACGGGCAGCGACGAGGGTAGGGACAAAATACTGGATAGTTTGGGCCCCTGTTGCCAGCATGTAAAGGACAACAAACATCCAGGTTCTCCAATCCCCGAAAGCCATCTTCATAGCGTCCCAGTGACCGACTGGGCCTTCAGCCCCGGCAGTATTGCCTAGACCTTCATAGGCGAGTCGTTGAGAAGCGAGGAGCCGTTCTTCGGGAGTGAGAAACTTGGTGGTAGAAGGCCAGTCGGGCATAAAGTACCAGGTAAAGAGCCCCAGGAATGAGGAGGCAGTCCCTTCGATGATGAAAAGCCATTGCCAACCTGCGAGACCTTTAGCACCATCGAGGTGTTGCGTCTGAACAATACTGTCAGTACGCCAGTCTCTGGAGACGTTGACTACTTACAATGACACCAGCAAGTAAACCACTGAAAGCCCCGGACACAGCCGTAGCAGTATAGTAGATGGAGTATCGGCTCGCAAGCTCGTATCTCTTGTACCATGAACTGAGATAGAAGGCAACGCCGGGGGCGAACCCAGCTTCGATGACACCCAAGGCGAACCGGATACCAGCAAGAGCTTTCCAGTTGGTGGCGGCAGCCATGGTTGCAGCAACGCCTCCCCATAGGATACAAAGACCGCTGAGGTATATTGATGGTCGGGCTCGGGAGATGAACAGGTTTGAGGGGATCTCAAATAGGACGTAGGAGATGAAGAAGACTAGCAGGACGATCGAATATTGCTGAGATGTCAGGTTGAAGTCTTCTTCGAGACCACCCGTTTTGGCATTACTGAGTATGGTCAGCGAATATCGTCAATGTAAGAGTGAAGACCTACCCGATGTTGGCGCGGTCAAGATATGACAGGGTGTACAAGGCCCAGATGGTTGGAAGTATTCTCTTGTCGATCTTCCTTACCAGCCTCTTCTCTGCCTCCGAGCCGGGGACATACTCGGCGGCGAGCTCGACGGGGTTTTTCGTTTCCAGACTCTGCTCGTGCCACTCTTCGTCCCTCTTGGTGGTGTCGATGCTGGGGTGGCGGTGGACAGACATGGTGTCGATTAATGTCGGACCGTTGTATGGGTGGTAGACTATGGATCGATCGAGAGGAGAATGCTTGTAGATGTGGACTTTATATGATTCCAGCAAGGCAAGCTCCGTGACCTGTGGGCCAAAGACTACGGCAAATTGACGTGGTGTTTCCGGCCCAGATGATCAACAAATCTCTCCATCTCTATGGACCAACTAGCAGCTGCCATCATGGAGCAGACTAGGTGCGGACCGGAAAGGTGGAGGCAAGACGAGGCCCCATTGCGGGGAGATGGAGAAGACGAAGGTAGATAATTGCCTGAAGGAGCGATAACAACAACAGTCGGCCCGGCGCCGGGAATTTTGCCGAGGACCCGGCAGCGTCTTTGGTTCTACAGTTCGGGTGGATGCAGAGAGCGTCCATAGCCGCTGCCTGTCTCCGACATCTCCAGCTTATTTCTATCCACAGCTAGCCAACTCTTCCTGCCACCCCTAGCCACAATGACCGCGACTCTCCAGAACAACCTCACCCTCGACATCCTCGCCAAGGCAGAGGCAGGCGGCTATGGCATTGTCGCCCAAACTGCCTACGATGCCAACATGGCCCTCGCTCTTGTACGTGCTGCAGAGCGTAGCAAGTCGCCTGCCATTCTCCAGCTCTTCCCCATAACACTTGCTGCTGGTGGCGGGCCCTTCCTGCAATACTGCCTGACCATGTGAGCCCCTTTATCGAGCGCCATTCTTCCGTTCCTATGCTGACGCAGAGAAGCGCACACAACGCATCTGTCCCTATCTCGGTGCACCTCGATCATGCGACCGACCCCGAGCACTTGGAGCTTTCCATTGGTCTCGCCGAACAAGGTATCAAGTTTGATAGCATCATGGTAGACGCGAGCCATGCCGAGACGGACGAAGAGAACATCTCCATTGCTGTTCCCTACATCAAGCGTTGTGTTGCCGCCGTAAGTGGATATGCGGATGTGTTGAAGAATGTTATTGACTAAAGCTGTGGCATAGGGTGTTGCTACGGAAGTCGAGCTGGGACGACTAGAAGGTGGTGAAGCGGGCCTAAGACAGATTGACGGAGCGATGTTGACCGACCCTGCCAAAGCTGAAGAATTCATGAAGGGGTGAGCCTGTTTCCCGCCTATGACGTTGGGTCGGAGCTCATGATCTATTCCACCAGGACTGGCGCTCACGTCCTTGCTCCTTCATACGGTGTTGGTGTATCGCTTTGACAAGACGACCCCAAAGACTGACAAAATTCAGAACCTGCACGGAAGCTACAAGTTCATCGGTGGCCCCCAGTACGATCTCACCATGCAAGTGGCCTCCCTTCTCTTGCCCTCCCGAGCTGACTCTTTCTCGATAGCGTCCGTGACCTCCAGACCCGTTTCAAAGGCAGAATACCCTATCTTTGTGCCCACGGTACCGACGAGATCCCAGACTCTCTCTTCCAAGATCTCGTCAAAGCTGGTGTCAGTAAAGTAAGTGTTTGTCGACATCGATACCATTCCCAGAGCTGACAAGGGTGTAGTTCAACATCAATTCTTGGGCAAGAGACCCGTACTGTGAGACACTCGGCAAAGAGCTGTCCTCCAGCACACCCTTCCCGGAAGCGTCCGAAAAGGCTATCGAAGCATATGCCAAAGTCTGCGACCACTTCTTTGAAGTTCTGGGTTCAAAGGGCAAAGCGGCTTGATCGAATGTATAGGGAGATGATGCAAACAGATAAACTTGATAGATATGCCTACATCCGATGAGAGATATACCTTTACAAATGAGATCAAGCTCTATTCATTGACGAGCTCCTCCAATGCCAGCTCTGCATCGTCCTCATCCTTCGTCTCGATAATGCCTGCCGATTCCGTCTCTGTCGGTTCCGCCGCTTTAGCCTTGTTGTTCTTTCTCCTCTTGAACCTCTGATGCGATTCTGGCTGGAAGGCGGACGGGTGCACTCGGATAGCACTCCAAATGTAACCTCCCGTCGCACTCGTGACCATCATGGGATGTGTCCTTCCTGGCAACACCTGGTACGTCCTCTCCCAGCTTTCGCTCAGCGTATCATTCAAATAGCTCGGGTCTTTCTTTGACCAAGAGAGGAGGTCGGCGAGGACTTGTTGGTAGGGCGAATAGACAACGAGTGGGGAGGAGCCGAGGAGGTACGGGGTGAGGCGGGGGACGACGGACAAGGGGCTGAGGTTGGAGGCAACGATCAAGCTGGGGGGCGTCAGTGGGGATCAACGCGGAGATTAGTTGGACTTACCCGTCCCATCCACCGAGATGCAGCTCGTTTCGAGTATTGTTCAGCTCGGCGATCTGGGCCGCTCGTCTTCGTTGCTTGACACCGGCCTTTTGTACATTGGTGGGTTCTGGTTCATCAGCTGATGGGGCCGCAGCTGTAAAGACGAGTCAGCTTGCGCCCCGGGCGATTATGCCAAAACCTACACCTCTCATAACTCTCTTCGGCTTGTAGCCAATTGAGCCATTTTACCGCCTCCAGCTCCCTCCTCGAAAAGTTCATGGTCTGCAACACACCCCAAGAAGGCGGGCTGTCATTGTCTGTCATCAACAATATCCTCCCTTCACAGCCCATTCTTTCCAGGATGGCGGCGGTGACGAGACCACCAGTGTCATCGACGACAATGTATCGCCCTCCGGGACGAATATTGGCCATGGTGAGCATTTGGGCAAGGGTGTCGTCCCGAAGGTAAAGTATGGTGTTGGCTGAACGAGAGGTGTAGTGGTAGAGAAGGTTGGGGATTGTAGGTGCCAGAGGGCAGATAGTCTGATAGAATCTGCTTCTCGTCAGACACGCATAGACACAATATGTGTATGAGACTCACTTCTTCTCCTTTCTTCGTCTCCATTTCTCTTTGCTAAAGTCTGTCTTGAGTTTGAAAGACTCGTGACGGGCCTGTTGAGCCTCAATGATCTGATCTCCAGTCAAACCCTGGGCTCGCAGCTCGAGAATCTCTTCTTGAGTCAACATTCCCTTGCTGTCCTCGGGAAGATCTTCAATGAGCTCGTTGGTTTCAGCGACATCGTCTGTGACCATGTCAGTGATAGAACTTGTTGGGTGTACTGCGTACGCACCAACAATGACATCTGCCAACCTCGCAGGCTTCATCGGTCGCAATATATTGCTCCACCCAGGGTTGCTCCTGGGTACAACTACCTCTTTGCCCTTCCATACCTTCTTCTTCTCCTTCTTGCCCTTCTTCTTCTCACTCCCCTCGGCTGCTGCCGGTTCTTCCGCTACCGGCTCGTCGACAGCAGGTGTACCAGCCTTTGATCCAGATCCGGGAATAATTTCGTAGGTGATGTCGTAGTGCAGGCCGATGAGCTCGGTGGCAGGGAATGAGCCGTACTTGCCGAGCTGAACAAGACTGTCTGAAGTCAGCTCTACATCAATGAATTTTGGTATGACCGTACGTTTGGTTGTCAACAACGATAGACTTTACAAGGTCACTCGGTAGGCGGAGCATGACATTGTCTCCTTCCTTGATACGAGTGACTCGGCGAAACATGACTTCGCTGAGAGGTTCTTGAGGCTCGTCTGAGGCCGGGGCGGTGTGGGTGTTGGTGCGCTTGGAGCCCTCTGCCGGCGCTGGTGCAGGGGCTGTGTGCTCGTGCATGACGACGTCTGTGGCTGCTGCAGTGTCCGCCATGTTGCTGTACTCTATACAATCCCAGGCATACATGGTTCAAAATTCCTGCTGCCCACAACAGCGGAAGTATAATATTACATAAGCATGACGCGCCGTTCCAGCAACGATTCAACGAACTTGCAGCCATGGATCGCATTTCTGTACTTGTCCACCATGTCCCAGCCCCCGTACGGCATGTCCTCTCGTTCCCCCCCGCCCCTTCAGCACCCAAAACCTACCCACATCGCCTATCCGCCCCCGGAACCACCCCGCACCCCCGCCCAGAGTACAGACTCCTCTCCCTACTCGCAGGCCCAGCGCATCTCCCAGGATGGCTATGTCCGTTACTCTTCCCCTGCTGTAGCCGACCCCATAGAGGGAAGCACCTCTGGATTCAACGCGTACGCGCCCCCATCCCATGGCCAACAGCCGCAGATGCAGGCTAGACAGGCGTACGCGCCGGAAGGCACTCCGGGGCTGCATGGCGCGCAGGGCGGGTATGGCGCACCAAATTATGGGCAATGGCCCGGGATGAACGACGCCACTACTCAGATGGGTGTTCAGTTTGGGAAAAGTGCCGTCGCAGCCGGCCAGGAATACATGGAGAAGAATGTAAGAACTGCATCCTCATGTCACACGAGAAAATCGCTGATCATACCTCAAGTTTACGAGATTCCTGCCCCTCCAGCTCATCAAAGTGTCTTTCTCGGTCACCAACCTCTATGTTCTCAACAAACTTCGACTCGTTCTTTTCCCGTGGCGGCACAAGCCTTGGTCGCGTCAAACTCGGCGGACAGTAGACGGAGCTGTGGAAGGCTGGGCAGCTCCCCGAGACGACATTAACGCTCCTGATCTTTATATTCCCAGTAAGCACGACACCATTGATGAACAGTCACATGCTAACGATACTCTAGCGATGGCCCTCGTGACCTACACCCTCCTTGCCGCTCTTGCCTCTGGTCTGCAATCTCGTTTCCACCCCGAAGTCCTCGGCGTCTCTTTCTCCAAAGCTCTCGCCGTCGTCATTACCGAATTCTGCGCCATCAAGCTTGGTTGTTACCTGCTCGACGTGCGAAACAGTGGCGCGTCGGGGGTGGAGCTGATCGGTTATGGAGGGTACAAGTTCGTAGGGATCATCATCACCGTCTTGAGCAGTCTGTTGGGGATGGGCAGGATGGTTACAATAGGAGTGTTTGTCTACGTCTTCGGGGCCAACGCTTTCTTCTTGGTATGTCTGATGTGTATGATACACGGCTCCAGCTAATGTCCGGATAGTTGCGTTCTCTAAAATACGTGCTCCTCCCAGACGCATCCGTCTCCTCATCTGTCGCTACCCTGAGCCACGCCCAACGTTCAAGGCGCATCCAATTCTTGTTCTTTGTGGCCGTCGCTCAAGTCCTGTGGATGGGCTGGCTCTCAAGAGTATAGATCACATGTATCGTACAGCAAGAATCAAAGCCCATATACAACTGCATCTTCATGATATTCCTTATCTGTGAACAAACCCTTGACTTGAGATCATCATGTCTGGCCCTTGATTGACCAGCTACTTTTTGTTTGTCCTTGTTGCCGAGATCATTGCTTCAATAACGAGATTAGCTGAAGATTCGGGCCCGTTTGCTTGCCCGACGGACCGGTTCCGGCCCATGATCATTTGCTTGCAGACTCGGTCCGTTTCAGGCTCACCTTCTTTGCATAGTTTCCGCAGACGAGTCATCGGAAAGAGCACTTCTCTCGACAGGCATATAGAGGGGGCGATCATATCCCGACGTATCCAGCTCCTCGCTGTCACAACACTTCGGTCCTCTGTGCGGCCGCACCTGGTCATGACCAAGATCAGTCGAGAACGAAACCCTCTACTTCTCTCAACAGACCTGTACTACATCTCATTCGACATCCAGATTGGCATCGATGGAAGTTTCGAAGTGCTGACCTCTGGGGGAATCTAGTAGTGGTTTACAGGGCCATATAGCCACTGCTGACCGTTCAGGCTATAGCAAATCAGCCACAGGAGACTGCATGTGACCTGAAATCACCATTTGGCTCCGGCAATTGACAGCAGACCACATCACCGGCCCAAAGAAGAAGGAATGTAACGACAATGAGTGGTCAGAAAGGACAAGTCTATCGAAGTCGAGAGGAAGAGCAGATCAGAGTGGAGTTCAGTTCACTTCTAGCTACACCAACCCACGTCGCGCCTTCTATTCCGAGTACTTCGAATCCCCAACATGATAGAGGAGGCATGTCTCACGAGAGAACACCGAGAATCGCTGTCCTTTTGCATCTCACGGGAAACGAGGACAGCGTGAGGTGCGCTTCAATTCTGACCGACGCACGTAGGGCTATCACTCAACGTGTTCTTAGCAGATCTGAGTAGATATTGAGTGACCCAGAACTATCCCCAAAAGGTAGGGCTGATCGGCTGACCCGAGATTGTGGCAGGTGTCTAAGGCAAGGGCATAGATAACAATACGCTGGATGATCAAAGGAGGTCAGCGCCAATCGTCTTCATTCTCTCAACCATATAATGCCATGCACCAAGGTGCTTCAAGCCTGTCTCCCTTCTTGATATTCGATGCTACCTCTTGCGAAAAGGAGCAGGCCAGTCCTGCGTATGCCGCTTTCACTGGTCTTTAGCGGACCTTTGAGCAACAACGAAGCATGTTCGGCCGCCACACATCAACGAAATCCGCGGCATACCCCGCCGAGCCGGACGATCTCGAAAAGAGCCCCACATCCACTTACCGCAGGCACGCCCTTTATGGATGGAAGATACCGGCGGCAGATGGCAGCCTCTTTTTTCCGTCGTCCTCAGACTTCCGAGGAGACATCGTTTGCGGATCTGACTGGAACAACATTGCAAGGGTACAGCAAGCTCGCTGAAGCGATCGGCCGACGGGCAAAGACTACTGCCCTCCTGTTCCCCACAACTAGAAGCCAGCGCACCGACCAACTCGACGGCCACATGTGAACGCATACGATGCATTTCGAGCAACTTCTGGATCATAATCACATCTATAAACGATCACACCAATCACACAGTATTCTACCTTTTTCGCTTTCATTTGTTCGTTTTGAGGAGCTTCTACCATAATGCCACAACCCTTCCGTCCTGGGATAAAATTCGGGCGGGCGCAGAAATCAGAGTGGCGACATTTACTCGCGGTCGATGGTGTGGAGGTCGAGGTCGGCGGGGTCGGAGGGAACGCTATACAGTAGTCAGCTTTGTAAAAGTCAATAGCGATGTGGGCGTACGAGAGAATTCGGAGAGTGTTGGTGTGGCCAAGACCGCCCTTCCAGCCCTGGACGGCCATGACGGTAGCCTCGGGCTTGATGATACCAAGGTTGAGGGCATTCCTGAGACCGTACCTGCCAGCTGGTTAGCCTTTGATAGACGACACTTGAAGGACTCACCTGATCCTGTTGTCGACGTCAATCTGCCACTTCTCCGCGGGCACACCTCGGGGCTCGGGATAGTAGACGGGATAAACACCACGCGAGAGGTGCATCTGTCGGGCGTTCTGCTCGCTGCGGGTGACACAGATGATGGGGCAGGCAGGCCTGTACTTGGACAAGAGCCTGGCAGAGACACCAGAGGTGGAGAGGACAATGATGGCACCGGCGTCCTGCTCGATAGCGGCGGCGACGGTGGAGAGGGCGAGGGTCTCGGCAGTCTCGGTGGGTCGGGGAGCAAGAGCACGGAGCTGGTCAAAGAGAGGGGGGTAGGCAATAGAAGACTCGGCGAGGAAAGCAGTCTCGGCCATCATCTTAACGGCCTCGATGGGGTACTTGCCCTTGGCGGTCTCACCAGAAAGCATGACACAGTCAGCACCGTCAATGACAGCGTTGGCGACGTCGGAAACCTCGGCACGGGTAGGTCGGGGGTTGTAAGTCATAGACTCGAGCATCTGGGTGGCACAGATGACGGGCTTGCCGGCAACGTTACACTTGGCAATCATCATCTTCTGGGCCATAAAGACCTGAGAAGCGGGGATCTCGATACCGAGGTCACCACGGGCGACCATGACACCGTCAGTCTCTCGAAGGATCTCGTCAAAGTTCATGACACCCTGCTCGTTCTCAATCTTGACGATAATCTTGATGGCGGCACCCTCGGGGCCAAGGACCTTTCGGATCTCCTTGACATCGTTGGCGGAACGGATGAAGGAGGCGAAGATCATGTCGACACCGTTCTTGACACCAAAGGCAAGGTCGGCCTTGTCCTTCTCAGAGAGAGCGGGAAGGTCGACGGCAGTCTTGGGAAGGTTGACACCCTTTCGAGAAGAGAGGGTACCAGAGTTGAGAGACTTGACTCGGAGCTTGTCGCCCTCGACAGCAATAACCTGGAGGGAGAGAATACCGTCATCGACATAGATGAGCTTGCCGGGGGCGGTGACCTTGACAATGTTGGCCTACCAAAGAGAGTCAGCCAATGTGAACGCGTCGGGCGAACGAGGCGGCAACGAAGCGAGGCTCGGAAAGGTCGGAAACTTACGTAGTCCATGTAGATGTGCTCGGCGGTACCGGCCTCAGCGTAAGCCTTGTCGGTGGTGACCCAGAATTCGTGGCCAGCAGAGATGGGAATCTAGGAGACACGTTCGTTAGCGCTTCTTTTGGGGATTATGCGGTGCGTCGCGAGCGCCAAGAGACGCGACTCACGTCGGTGTCATCCTTCATCAAACCAGTCCTGATCTCGGGACCCTTGGTGTCGAGGGCGATGGCGAGGGGTCGGCCAGAGGGGTTCTTGGCAGCGGCAGCTCGGGCGTTGTCAATGACAGACTGGTGGTACTCGTATGAACCGTGGGAAAAGTTCATTCGGACTGTTATCGTGTCAGCGCGGGTCGTAGAGGACAGAGAGCATCACACACCGACATTCATACCAGCTTCAGCGAGCTGGACGAGGGTCTCGACATTGTTGGTCTTGGGGCCGATGGTGGCGATGATGGAAGTCTGTCAAGGCAAGAAAAGAGGAGAAAAAAGTCAGCTCCGTGACGACCGGGAATGGGTAAAAGACAACGAGAGACGCACCTTTCGCAAAAACTTTTGCTCGGGAGCCATCTCGTTAAAGTTGGTGCTCAAGCCTGACAACCAGGCGAGCTGGGAAGAGGGGGTACCGGCCATGCTGGAGAAACCTTGGGGCTTTGCGGAAGAGACACTGGAGGTGTTGGTCTGGAAGAGGGGCACGAAGGCTTCGGGAGGGGGAGGGGGGACGGCGTTGGAGGCAGCGGGGGGGAAGTGGCCGAGAGTCATTATTGATTTTTTAATGTGGATGGGAGAAGGAAAGAAAGATAATAGATTTAGTCTATGCGGCAGTGGTTCGAGTGGGGCGAGGGGTGGAGGTTGGTTACGTACTCGGTCGGGTTGCTGTGTGCAAAAAGGAGGCGGGGGGTATGTATGGAGTGCGGGTTGTATCGCAAGGGGGGGTCTTGCAAGTCTTGTTGTGCATGTATCCCCAACGCCCTGCCTCGGTCCATCTTGACCACATGCTCCGCCCGGACCCTATCGTCTCCTGAGCGCTTACTTATCACCCCCAGAAATGCCACCTCAGCCCCCTTTTTCCCCCGACGACTATTTCCTGCACCAGGCAAAGCTCTTCAGCCATCTCGAGAAACGCCACAACAAGTTTGCTGCAAAGACAGCCACAGAGGCCCAGCGAGCACGCGACAACAGAAAGCACCCTCCGCCCAAGAAAGTATCTCCGCCTGCAGCAGACATGATCGGTTCAAGCTCCATTCGAGGCTCAGCCAGGGCCATATCTCAAGCTGCTGTATGTCGCTTCTCTACGCTCCGACCTGTCCCGAGTCATGCTGACTGTATGCAGCGCCCGAGTCTTACCCCTGCCCCTTCAGCATCCTTCTCCACCACCGCCCCCGCTTCCATCCGTGTAGCCAAGAACAAGCTCCGAAAGGTTGGCAACCCCGACGCTCTCCCGGCTGAAGAAGCGACCAAGATCCTACGAGTGCGCCTAGTCTTTCCTCATTTTGCAGATCCCCGCTAACGTTACATCCAGGCGCTCGAAGTAGCCCACCCAAAATCGACGTATACCCTCACCCTTACCACCAAATCCCACAAATCCGCCCTCCCCATCCGTGGTTCATTCAACCTCCCTCTCGACCCTCGCCGAACGTCCGAGACCATCCTCGTCTTTGCTGAACCCTCCTCCTCTTCTGCGGCAATGGCCAAGGAAGCAGGAGCAGCGTATGTCGGCGGAGACGAGCTCTTTGAAGCACTGTTATCGGGAAAGATCACCCCCACGAGATGTCTCGCCACGCCGGGTATGATGCCCGCCGTCACACGCTCTCTTGCCCGATTCCTCGGTCCAAAGGGTCTGATGCCAGCGGCCAAGCGTGGTGGTGTGGCTGAAGGGGAAGAGCTGGTAGAGCGTATCAGAGACGCGGCGGGCAAGATGGAGTACCGCGCAGACAAGGCGGGCACTGTCAGGATCAATGTCGCGAGATTGGACTTTGGAGTGCCGGCGGTGGAGCAGAATGTCAAGGCATTCATCAAGACTGTGAGGGACAACCAGGCGGCGGCAAACCAAACGGATGACCCGCTTGCAGCGGCAGCCAAGAAGAATAAGAAGAAGGGTGAGTTGATCCGTATGGTTCTAAGATGTCTGGGCTGACAATGTCATAGGGTCACAGATTACTGCCGCGATCCTCGAGTCAACAAATGGGCCTAGCATAGAGCTCAACGATGTTCTGTAGTGGGAGATGCATATAGTGTAGCGATGAGTTGTCGTAACGGCGTATCCTTTGTCTTCCTCAGGGTGCTGCACAACTGACAAATGTCTACGTCAATACAATTCTGACGACTAACCATGCATCGGGCAATTTGAGCGAGTTTTTCCATTCTACTTTACTGTGACTTGGCAAGGAGCACAGCGACACTACCAAGGGCCCTTCTGATATCTTGATAGTCCACATCATGAGCTATTAGGTGGATTAGCTTCAACACTTTCGACATGGTTCGATTGACAACGTACTGTCCTCTACTTCACCCCATCGCTCGATTTGGCTTCGGACCTCGACGTGACTCGCGTCGGCTGCCTCGTGTGCTGTCAAGTGACCACGAAGAAGGGCGAGGGAGATGACAAATGATTTTGTGGCATAGACTGCTCTTTCGAATGCTTCATTCGACGTCAACTTTGGATGGCAAAGAGACAAAAGTAAAAAGAACTCACCAGCCAGCTCCCAAGCATCCATCTCTTCCACAGCCTTTCTCAGCTTTCCGATCGTCTCCTCACTCTGGCTCACTCCCCCAAAGCCTTCCGCCAATGCCAACGTCACTCCAAACTCCTCCTTCAACCACGCATGCAGCGGGTCCCAGTGTTCCTTTTGCAGGCGGACAAGAGGAGGAGGATCATCGTCGGGGAAGAGGATAGTATCTGTTTGGAGGTACTTGAGGAGGGCGTCGATCACCAAGGGACGAGTGAAGGGGTCTGAAAGACCGTCTATCGCCCTTGAAGCGAGCGACGTCTGATCCTTACTCAACTTTCGACTCCCTCCCACTGAAGCCAAGAAACGTACCACGGGCAGAGCATGCTGCTTCAGGACCTCATCCTGGTTCTCCCACTCACCACTGATCATGGCCGCCAACAATCTTCGCTCTTTCGGGATCTCGAGCTTTGTACCGGAGGGCGTCTTGAGTGCCCGGTGGTCGAGGGTGATTTGATATGATCCGGAAGGCAGGGAGGTGATGTTTGATGATTTCCAAAAGCGTCGAAGCGTTTGTTCGGCGCCTACTCGAGAATTAGACTGGTACATCTTGGAGTAAGAGGACTTGCGGTTGGTTTGGGAGATGGCAGGGCCGTCTTGGACTTGAGCGAGACGCGCAGTCAAGCTGGTAGAGAATGCTCTGGGGGCAAGCAAAGCCCTGGGAGCCACATTGAAGGCTCTGTGGCCCATTCGAAGGGGGCGAAGGGCAGCCATTTTTAGTTTTGGGATTAGATGATAGAGCAGACGAGACTTTCGAGATGGTGGAAAGTGGAGGAAGGGGCATTAGCGGAAGCAATTCCCCGATTAGCGAAAGCAGTCACAACATTGATCAAGTGCGCTATATAACACTCTTTCTGCTCCCAAAAGGTCACCATGGACCACCAGCCACCACCGCCGCCATCTGCCACCTTCACACTACCTTCTCAGCCTCCACAACAGCCCCAGCACACCATACACCTCCCCGCTTTCAGTGCAGCGTCGCAAGCCGGGCCCTCATCTCAGCCTTACGTCCCGCCTGTAAACGGGCAACCACCAGCTGATGGGCCACCTGGTCCCAACCCTCGAGGGCGACCGCGTGGTAGCGGAAGGGGCAGAGGGAGAGGCGGGGGCTCCGGGACAGTCCCTCGGGGCGGACGAGGCTCGAGAGGCGGTGGAATGTCTACAATGCGGTCTTCTACACGTCTCTCTGAACGCAACGCTTCTGGTATCCAGAAACTCAAGCTCTCCTTCAAGAATGGAGGTGCTACTACCGAAGCATCGGGAGGCAGAATGTCAAGTTTCTTGGGAGAATACGACAGAGAGTTGGATGAAGGGGCGGACGAGCCTCTATGTTTTGAGGAGCAATTCATACTAAGAGTGCCCGGAGAAGTGGCGGAAGGGAAAAGCGGACAAGGGGGGCTCAAGGATATGGTTAAGGGAAAGGGAAAGAGCTTGGAGGGTATCGAGTTCAAGTTTCTGGGTAAGTGTATCTTGTGGAACAAGTGCAAAGCTGACATGTCGGTAGACTCTCGCCGAGCGGCTTTCAAGATTAACGGTACAACCTACGCTTCCAAACTCGTCGATCTTCCAAACATCATCGAATCTCAAAAGACGAATGATAACAAGCATCTCTTTAAAATCGCCGACATCTCCCAGATGCTTGTCGTCGACCAGCCCGTCAAAGATGAGGCGTCAATAACGGCGTCACCGCTCAAGATAGACGAGTACATCTGGCCGCATGGGCTTACGCCTCCGATGAGGCACGTGAGAAAGAGACGATTCAGAAAGAGGATGAGCCGATTGACGATCGAAGTGGTTGAGGAGCAGACGGAGGAGTTGCTCAAGAAGGATGAGGAGGCTGAGACGACTTCGTGTGGTACGTCCCCACATCCAATCCATGACGCATAACTGATTCTCGGCTAGAACTACTTGATGCCCACCCAGATCCCGAAATAGACGACCAGTATTACATAGACTACAATCCCAACGGCCCCTGGCAAGGCTCCGAGTACGGCGAACAAGGATCCGAGTATGGCGGTTCGCAAATGTACGACGACCCTGGCTCTGTCGCGCCGTCGCAGATGGAGGACTGGGGCGAGGGCGGTACAGACTGGGGCACCGAAGTTGGAGAAGGCGAGGGCGAATCAGGATATGGAGGTGATGAAGGGGATGGAACGTTGGATCAGGAGCTCGCGGCTGCGCTTATGGAAGGTATGGGCGGGGTGAGTGCTGTCGCGTACTTGTCATATAACGCTGACTGGAGCAGTCCGAGCGCTCTGGCACGGAAGAAGAAGACGGCATTTCGGGCACCGACGATTCTGATGACGATGGCGATGGTGACAGATCAGACGAAGATGAGGAAACTGTTGAAAGAAGGGGCAAGATCAAGCAGCTCACGGTCGATATCAAGAATTTGGAAAACATTATCGAGAAAAAGACCAACAGTTTCACTGGTGGAAATCCCATCATGGTCGTGAGTCGCCCCATGCTCAGCTCAACCATGTCTGACAAGCAATTAGAAACGTTTCGAAGAAACTATCGCCGGCCTTCAAGCCGATATCCAGACCAAGATTGCTGCACGACAGGCTATTGTCGACGAGCTCGGTCAGGCGGAAGAAGGCGCCGCCATTGAGGCCACCCGCCAGCCCCTCTCTATCGACGAAAAAGCGTCCTCCCCCGACGACCGCGAGGGTAAAGAGTCCACTGCAGCGGCAGAAACTCCCATGCCAGTGGATGCGGATGTGGACATGGATGAAGGCGCTTACAGCGAGGCCCCTACGCCAGCCGGAGAGAACCAAGGGGTCAGAGACTCATCCCCAGTGTACTCTGATGATGGAGACGACCTGTTTGGGGACGATGATGACGATGACGACGATGGGGAGGATGGGCCGCCTTTGCCGTTACCGGAAGGAGACGAACAAGACGAGGAGCATGAAGACGATGAAGACGAAGGCGAAGAGGATGAGATGGCGAGGATGCTGCGTGCAGAGCTGGACGGCCTTGATCAAATGGGTGGTGATGATCCCGACGCTCTGCCGATAGAGCAGGATCAAGCAGATGTGGATGCCGCGGCGGCGCTGGATACGTACGGCATGGCGGACGAGTTTGGTGGCTTTGAAAACCAAGAGGCAAATGCCGCCGACCTCATGGCGAGTCTCGACTTTGACAATGTGGAGCAGATGCCAGCGTCCGAACCTGAATACATTGAGGGAGGAGCAGGGCAGAGGAGATATGCTGTGGGCGCAGATGACGATGATAGTTCGGAAGACAGCTACGGTGACGATTGAGGAAAGAGATCCTTGTTGTATGGTTAGCAAGTACGCTTGCAAAGTCGAGATGGACTGGATGCATTGATATATTACATTGATGACTAGAAATGCAATGAACGAAACACATATGAACCAAGCTGTCAAGTTTACCAACCCCCCACCCCAAGGCCACTTCCTTCTCCCTCCTGCGCTTCCTCTTCCACCTTCTCCTTTCCGAACAGCTCTTTGAGATCCACACCTCCCTTGCCGCTCTGCCCAGCCTGTCCTCTGGCTTGCATCTTCTTCCTCTTGTTTCCAGTCAACTTGACCTCCGCTCCGTCCTTCTTTACCTCCACAACACCCACCACAGCAGACTTGTCCTTGCGGTAATCTTTGACTGTGGTGGACGTTTCTTGAGCGGGGTTTCGAAGGTCAGCAGTGGGGTCTGGGGCAGAGGAAGTGGGTACAGGAGAAGGAGCCTTGTCGTGCTTCTTTCTCTTGTGCGCAGATTCCGGAGCTCGCTCAGAGTCGTCAACGACGCCATGCTTTCTCTTCTTCTTTGACGGCTTCTCAGCATGCTCGCTTTTCTTCTCCTTTCTCTCTTTCTTCTCTTTTTTGGGCTTGGTGCCCTCTTCTTCCGCCCTTTCTTCCGGCGCAGCCTGCTGGGTCTCTTCCTCCGCACCCCACTTTCGCATCTTGCCTCCAGCCTCATTGGCCCCCGTCGGCCTTTCTCTCCCAACTCTCCTCTCTCGCCCCTTCTTTTTCCATCTACTCTCTTGGACCTCCCCTTTCCTCTTCCTCTCCTTCACTCGGTGAGCGTCTACAATCTGCAGGCTGGGCAGATCGGGAGATGCCTGGAGAAGTTCCGAATATGTGGGGTGGGAGGTAGAGAGAGGGTTGGAATGGAGGGAGAGAGACCGGAGGTGGGGCCAGAGAGGCTTGCGTTTGCTTGCCGTAAGACCAAAGAGAGGCGCGACGGACTGGTAATCCAGAGAGCAATTACCCAGGTCAAGGACAAGGAGCCCATCACCGAATTGCTTTTCATCGCCCCCTTTTCCAACGAGCGACATGTCTCCCTTGCCCCAAGATGAGATATGGTCAGGAAGAGAGGTAAGGGAAGGAAGATTGTTCATTTTGACGTCTCGAAGAAGGGGAAGAGAGGATAGGTTGGGGAGAGAGGCCGCGCTGATACGGGGACAATGAGAGAAGGTGATTTTGTTGAGGTGGTGAAGGGAGGAGAGAGAGTGGGGGAGGGACGAAAGATTGGGAGAGTGCGACACAACTGTGCAAGCGGTCAGCTGTGGGCCGTAATTAGGGAATGCACAGACATACTGATCGAATTCAGTTGAGACCAGGATCCGACAACGTCAGAGTCGATTTCAGTCCATTCGTTGTTCATTGCGACGAGAGCCTTGAGGTTTGACAGATCCTTCAAAGCGGAAGGGAGCTGTTTGAGACCGGTGCCGCTAATGTTCAAGACTGTCCGCTTCATCAGCTCGGCTTGACATTGCAAGATATTGCGAGAAACTTACCAGTAAGCTCCGACAAGGTTCCTACCGCCTCCCAGCCCTTCTCCACTGGGCATCCCGCCAAATTCAGCCAAGTGACGCCCATGCCCTCCAACCAAGACACATCTTGGGCACCACTACCGGACAAATCCACTCTCCTGACATTCTTCAGAGATTCCTGGGGCGGCGGTATAGGGAAAGCAGACTCCGAGTATATCAAAGCAGCTGCACTGCGAACAGCTTTGGGCTTGTAGAGGCTCGGGTCCTTGGGCTGCTCGCCTTGGCCGTAATGTTGCTTCCTAGGAGGCCGCTCGTCCTTCTTGTCTTGACCATCACCCTTTCGAGTCTCGGCAGACTTTTCTGATTTTGTGGTAGAGGGTCCAGGCGCAGATTTTGAAGACTGCTCGGCACGCTTCCTGCTTCTAGCTGCTCCTCGATCCATGGTGGGCGGTATCTATCACTGAGGTCGCAAGTGAGTACCGAATTGTTGGTTGCGAAGATTTCAATCAAATCAGTACGTCGCGAGACTGCTTACGTAAGTATCGTCGAACTTCCTCCGAAAGATCAGAGCAAAAGTCGGTCTGTATCATCTCTGGCATCTCTACCTCTCACAAACGGCTCCTCTCCCTCTTTTCGCCATGTACGCCTCCACATCAAAAGTCCTGGCCAAGTCAGGCGGTCTTTCTCTCAGAGCCTTCTCAGTCAGTTCTTTTTTATGTTTCGCGAGACTGGCTGATTTTTGTGCAGACTACATCTACTGCCATGACCAAGAGACAGACTTTCGTCGAGCTGCTTCAAGAAGTTCCAGGACTTGGAAAGGCCTGTGAGTATCGCCTGGCCACTTTGAAAGACGACTGACCTTTGCAGTCGACCGAATCCTTGTCGCTCCTGGGTACGCCAGAAACGACCTCGTCCCCGGTCGAAAGGCTAGGTTCATCCCGTTCAAAGAGAGCAGCCAAAGACAGGTTCTGCGGATGAGTGTACGATTCCTTTGTTTCCTTTGCATGGAATGCTGCTGACGAGAAGTTCAGGACTCTGAAAGAGCTTCCCACAGTCTGCGTATCGGTGCCCCCGGCTCGTCTGCCAGCTGGCAACAGCGCTCTGCCTCCGACCTTCTCCCTACCACCCAAGAACTTCTCAACGCCATCCACAGCATCCAATCACCCATCACCTTTTCTCTCCGTACCGTCTCACCTACCTCGACCTCTCTACATGGGTCTCTCAACTTGTCCAATGTTCACGATCGTATCGCGGAGGACTATGGGTTGACGTCGAAAGAGGTGGAGATCGATTGGGTGGAGCAAGAGAATGGGGCCAGGATGAAGGAACTCGGAAAGTGGGAGGCTCTTGTAAAGCTGAGGCATGGCGGGAGGGAAGAAGTGCCGATAGAAGTCGAGGTGGTCAGACTCGAGACTGCAGAGCAATAAAACGCATCTCGTGACATATGCATCAAGTCGCGATCCGTGATAAGATTATAGAAGAGTATAACGAATGGCATTATCATGTCTGCAAAAAGCTTTGTGTACCGAAAAGTGTCCGCGCAGAGGCCACAAGCTGCAGCATGTCAGCCTATCCCTTGTCGTTCCCGAGCGATGATCACTTACCTCTTCCAGTATATTACAGACCTCGCCCAATGCCTCATTCTCCGCCATACCATATAAAACCGCCAGCTCTGCCTGGTAACCCTCGGCCATGGTACCGCGGGTGCTCTCCGTTTCTCTCTGATGATGATGATTATGCCGAGCAGAGCGCAGATGGCGAGAGTGTTCTTCAGTGACATCCATGAGCTCAGAAAGAGGCACGCGTGGGGAGGGAAGAAATTGAGGGAGGGGGCTACGCGAGCCATATGCGTGACTTGAAGACCATAGGTTGATAAGTACAGTTGAAATCTTTGTCTTGTCAGTACGACTCTCGTTGATGCAAATACACTGACAAGTTCTCGCCGTATGGGCAGCACATCAAGGACCGTCTCCTTCCTGGGCACGCTGAACCTAAGTATTCTAATCTCATTGAGTGTCTCCAGTAGGCGCTCAGTCGCGTCAATGATCTCAGAGTAGAGTTTGATTGGCCGCGGCAAGAGCGAGACTTCTTGCTGCTGAATCTTCATGAGTGTCCGGCTGAGCTGAATGTTGCGCTAAAGAGTATTAATATGATATGGACACTGGAAATTGAAAGGGCTCACTTTGATCTTCCCCTCAAGCTCCTCGTAGCGTTTGTCATCGACGCGATACACCAGCGTTGATCGAACAAGATCCCGGCTCATTCGCAAGTCTGTAACTCGAGTCAGCTACTTCGGCTTGCTTCAAGTCCAATAGACTTGCAGTATTCAATGAGACCCTCCAGCGTTCGCGACACAACTTTGAAATACTGGACCCTTGCGTGGACCGGCCAAAACCAAGTGCCCACCAGGACAGCAGCCATCACACCAATGACGATATCCACGAATCTATTCCATGTCAAGAACCAGTCTGATTGGCCATCGGACAGCCCCAGATATGGTATGAACAGGATGGGAGGGAGTGTGATGCCGGTGGACGTCCCCAGGCCAGGGATGGAGGCGAAGAGAACATTGTATGATATCGGGATGGAGCAGACTGTCGCGAGCACCACTAGGCCGTACGGATTTTTCCCTGCGATCAATACGCACTGCGTACCCATCAGAACGGGGTATCGGCAAAAGTCTGTCTGTAGACTCACAACAAACCCCACCACAGCTCCGATAAAAGTCCCCAACGCTCGCAAGGATCCCACCTTGAGGATAGCTCCCGTGGTGTCTTCGAGCACAAACATGTAGCTCACGACCATCCAGCCGCCTCGTGAGGATTGATACCAATTGCGAGCCGAATACCCCGGTGGCATCCAAGCTGGGACTGAAAGGAGGCAGATGCCTCCTGCAAGCTTGATCGCAAAGAGGACGTGGCGGGAATGTTTGACGTCGTGCATGAAACGGGACATCAAGATACGTGCTGTCTCTACTGGTCAGTACGATGATCGCTACTTCAGATTGGTGAGACGTACTCTTCACCACTTTGTGCTGGTCCCAGAAAAGTCTCCATGCGCGTCCCAGGCGATGCTTCGGGCTGGTGGTTGACAACGCCGAGTACTGTTGATGTAAGGTGGCAGACACAAAGTCCATATCCTGAAATTCCTTCTTCTCGTCGTGCGGCAGTGATTCATCTGGCACCAGATTTGGTTCCTCACCTATCTCGAAATAAGCAAAGTCCGGTCTCGCAGATATGACTCACGTTGATGATCCCTGTCCTCATCGTTATCACTTCTATTAAGCCAGAGGAGCCTCAAAAAGTGCATCCAGCTGCTGAGAGGCTTTTCATATGCCGGTGCTTCATTGAGGGTGGTCGCAAGACCTTGTATATCCTTTGCCAAATCCAACAGCGTAGTCATGACAAAAGCCAAACGATAGCGATCCCGATTATGCAGCACGCTCCTCACTTCGACAGTCTCGGAGAAGGTGGCTGCTACTGGGCTTCTGTTCCGCGGAGAAGTCGCATAATTCGAGGGGTTTGCGCTTCGACGCACGTCGGACTCGCTGTCGCTTGTGTCGTCTTTGTCTTCCCCGCCCAGATCGCCCAGGAGGGAGCCCAGTACCTGCTGGACGCAACCGACTTGCTCCTCCAAACGGGCTTTCGCGCCGGCCAGTCGTTCGTACGGATTCATCTCCGCCTTGTCTTCCTTTGCGGCCTCTACTGCCCAGCCGAACTTTGCCGGCAACTCTTGCTCAATCGCTTGAAGCGCCTCAACCATAGCACCAACAAGCGATTCGCTCCGTTCCTTGAGCCCAGGATGTTGCGAGAGCGCCAAACTAGAGCTAGACGCTTCAGGGGGTAGCAAGCTGGTAAGATGCCGAGGTTTCCGTCGATGGAACACCTCGGAACGGCTTTGTGAGCGGATGGAAGAGGAAGCACTGGGCACCGGAGTCCGGGCCTTCGCCCCTCTGGGGGTACCGGGTTGGCTGTGAGGAAAGGTTTTGTTCAAGGCAGCCTGGATACGCTCGCCAGGGCTTTGATTGGTACCTAGGAGAGGGTTGCGAACGATTCGCTGGAGAGACTTGACCACGGTCGGCAGTAGGGGTAGCTGTCCGTCGACAGATGGCGTGGTACGAAGATAAGAGGAGGACGAAGTTTGCAAGTTTGATATTGTCGTTTTCAGCTTCTTTGCTAGTTGATCTTGACTAGGCGGTAGGCGCGCTCGATCAGGCTGAGACTCTAGGCTCTTTGCCGTAGGATACTCCGCTTCAGAAGGTTCTGATATAGCAGTAGAAGGATTTTCATCCCCGGTGATGTGCTGGAGCGATAATGGCAGGAGGGTACAGATTGTTTTGAGCGATTCTTCCACCTGAGCGCCAAACTGATGTGATAGAGTGTGATGGGGAGCAAAGATCAAGGTTGAGATGAGGGGTAGAATGCCGGCAAATATGACAACGTAGAACTGTTCGAGAAACAAAGCGGCTGTCATCTGAGAGGATATGAGATCACCGCCGTCCCTTGACTGATTACGACTCACATGCGTGATGGTCTGCTGGCTGGTCAACATGAATATAGGAAAGAACACCATAATCTTGCTGAATGTGTTGAACCTTCGGACAGAGCTTCGGAGCAGACCGGCTTTTGTTTGATGAGTCCAGATAGTTCCAGTATTCCGTCAGTGGCACTCACAGGCGATGCACAGTAAAGCCAGACCCACGCCGAGTATGGCTCGAGTCTGATCAGAGTCGACACCATACCGCCGCCCACACCAAGCAGCAACTGCCAGGACTCCAGAAGACCAAGCGATGCCTATAGTTCCTCCGGCGACACCAAGCACTGCGCACAGGTCAGGGCAAAATTCTGTGAGCGTCCTTGCAACTTGCCTGTGAGTTCGATCTGAGGACCTATTCTACCTCTCGGGAAGAAGAAGATCAGCATTGATGTATAGACAAGAAATGCCCATCTGTGAAATGTATCGTCAGCTTCTGATCATCTGCAATGTGAGAGACTCACTGGCCGGATATGCCCCCCCAAGGCTTGACGGCGGAAAGGACAAATGCGAGGAACGATGCCAGGGTGGGAGCCGCAAGAAGGCGTAGTCTTGTCGTCCAGCGCATGTTGAGGGATATCTGAAGCTATATAGACATGTCTCAGAAGAGGCGTATATGGACAAAGCGTGATTAGCTCGCGTATGATGAGGACGTATCTCGTGTTCTCCTCTAATTTCGGCTTTTGATCATAACAGATCGGCGACCAAATGATGCTTCATGAGGTGTTTACGTAATGAGATATATCTAGGCACACTCCGCGACGAGATTTTTGGATGCCATCTGCGCGAGTGTTGACAGCTATACCTCCCAAGCAATATATCATGGTGCGTACGTTCAGCTCTTGGCTGTAATAGCTGATCGCCCTGCAGAAAATCAAGACCATCTCCCGGTCTCTCGACGACCATCTCCCCTCTTCTTCCTCCGCCCCTCATCCCCTTTCTCGAAATCTCGCACCTCACCTACACCCATTCGCCAAACCCAGAGAATATGCGCGAGCAGTCACCGCCGTCAAGATGGACCGAATGTTCGCCAAACCCTTCGTGGACGCTCTCGGAGGACACCAAGACGGTGTCTACTGTCTTGGTAAGGACCCTCGGAGAGCGACAGTGGTGGCCGGTGGCGGAGGTGATGGTGAAGTCATTGTACATTCATTAGCGCTCAGGCGTCCGCTTCTCAAGATTCCTGCTGCGCACAGGGGAATGGTAGGCGGGATTTGCTGGACGGCAGAGGCGAAAGATGGAAAGCGAGGGTTGATCACATGTGGAAAGCTTGACGGGACTGTCAAAATCTGGAGGAGCGGCGCGTTTGCGCCTGGTCTCAGGGATAAAGACGCATTCGAGGGGAACGAATTTGGTCTGGGAGATGGCGATGCTGGGTTCTTGGACCAAGCAGGCGCTATCGGAGAGTCCGGTTTTGAGTTTGACGAGGAGGCTGGAGGCGGCTTGTCAATCGACTCCTCAAAGAGAGACGCCCTGGGCCAGAACCTCGAGCCGGTTATGACCTATACGTCCAAGAACGGATTCAATGGCATCGATCACCATCGCTCAGATGCTGTCTTTGCCACAGCATCGAATACTGTTCAGATCTGGGACGAGAACCGCTCAGCGGCCCTCAGCAACTTGCAATTTGGCAACTCTATGGAAACTGTGACCCAAGTCAGATTCAATCAAAGTGAAACGAGTGTGCTGGCTAGTATCGGCAATGATAGGACAATGTGTCTTTACGATATCAGGACGGGTAAAGCTGAGAGGCGTGTCGTTACTCAGGTGGGTTTCCATACAAGTCATTGCCGATGTAGGACTGACATTCGTAGTTCCGAAACAACTCCATCTCATGGTGCCCGACGCTCCCTACCGTCATTCTGATGGGCTCAGAAGACCACAATTGTTACACCTTTGACATCCGAAATCTTGAAACTCCCAACCAGATCTATAAGGGCCACGTTGGTGGTGTCATGGGATGCGACTGGAGTCCAACGGGAGAAGGATTCGTCTCTGGCTCGTACGACCGAACCATTCGCTTGTGGGACCGAGAGTCCGGAAAGTCGAGGGATGTGTATCACACGAAGCGGATGCAGCGGTAAGCCGGACCGGTGGACACTATGATGGATACTGACCATTTGATAGCGTTTTTGACGTCGCGTATACCCCCACCGCCGACTTTGTCCTTTCCGCCTCCGATGATGGTAACGTTCGTATCTGGAAGTCTGACGCTTCCAAGAAACTCGGCCCCGTTTCCACCAAGGAGCGCCAAGCTATCGAGTACAGGCAAAAATTGGTGGAGAGATACTCGCGCGAGAAGGGTGTCAGAGAAGTTAAGGAGAGAAGACATGTGCCGCAAAGTATCCACAAGGCGACAAAGACGAAGAGGGAGATGATCGAGGCGAGGAACGTCAAGGAGGACAGGAGGCGAAAGCATACCAGGGCGGGGAGAGAGAAGCCCAAAGCAGAGAGGAAGAGTAGGTCCAGTGCTCGTATCTTCTCGCACGCCGCTAAAGACCGCTGCAGAAACCGTCATTGTGGAACAGAAATAGATTTGGTTTGGGTTGTGTTTATTGTTGTACAAGTTTGGATGCATATCATCAACATGCACTTCTGAAGACAAGGTCAGGCTACGGCTGCGACACATTCTGGATGGTTCTGCTCATTGACGGCGCTGCTCTACTGCCGTGTCATTTCTTTGCACTTTGGAAGGGAGTCGAGAAACGGGACATATCGTGATCCATCCCGGCATGCAACGGTACTTGCTCTACTGCTGCAAGTTTTGCCTCTACTACTACACAAAACGAAACCCGATGCCCAATGTTCCTTGATATGAACAAATATTTCTATAAGCATGAATCGAAACGGACGAAAAAGGTATGAAGAAAGTAAGAAAATGGGTGCAAGTCGGGTAGAAGAAAGGGACAAGGTCATATCTATTAGAGTGACAAAGGGCTATGTAAGATTGGGTTGATATGGGTTTTCATGGTCTTTCTGGACCCTTTGAATGCTATGGCGAGGGGGGAACTCTCGTATACTACCCCTCCCCTGCTGAATGTAGCAGTCTCGACGATCTCTCTAATTGGGATGCTCAATCTGCCCACTGCAGCCACTCCCCGTACGCATTGGGTCCTTCGCCCCGCACATAACTCTCAAAGGTCCTCTTCAACACTGTCGCCCAGCTCAAATCCACCTCATCGTCCATGTCTTCTCTCCCCATCACTTGCCCTTCTTCACCAAGACCTTCTCCGTATCCCTCGCCGTTCCCTCTGGGGTCGACATCGTCCCCAACCAAGTGCGCTGGTGTGTCCGAGTCGGCATCGCGGGCGGAAGAACGAAGGGCGCGTTCGCCCTTGATGAAACGGTGACCCAGGTCAGGGAAGTTCCGTGAGGGGTCAAAGGGAAGCCACCAGAAGTTGTGGAAGTGGTAGGAGAAGGCGCCGCGGAAGAAGCCCTCAAAGCCGACGGGCTGGGGCGCGTTTGTCTCGAATTTATCATTGGAGAACAATTGAGAGAATCTTTATAATGTTAGTACAGGCCATGACGGTCAAGGATATGACTTACTCGGGGAAGTAGGGGAAAGGCGGTCGGTCTCTCTGGTACTTTTCCATATTCAACCAAGCAGGGTCAAACAAGGCATCGGGAACCATAAACAACAGCTTGTCCAGCCCAGCATCCTTCAGATACCTCGTGACCGTCATCGGGTGGAAGTCCAACCCATTCTCTAGAGCCGTCTTGAACAAAAAGGTACTGAGGGCTGAACCCTTGTGCAGTTTGAGCACAGCAGTGTTGTACTTTTGGTGCCAACTCCATCGATAGGCAAATTGACCACGGTAGTTCCAGAGCTCTTCCCAATCACGCAGGAAGAGAGTGTCGGCGTCGAGATAGATACCACCGAATCGATGAGTGAGGACGAAACGGGCCATGTCGGAGAGAATGACAGAGAGTCGGTCGTAGTCAGATTCAGAGGAAGAGCCGACCTTTTCAAACAAGCCGTCCTTCTTCTTTTTCTTGGGAGCCTCTGCCTCGGCTTCGGCCTCGACGTCGGCGACGACTTCGCCTACCATAGCATCTTCATCCTCCTCGTCTTTCGCGTTCGCCTCTGGTGTGTTCTGAGGAGGCGGCGCATTGTAGGTATTTCCACCAGAATTAAAGATGGGCATCTGGCGCCAGTGCGGCTTCAATTCGGCGATACCGTCCAATTGCTCTGTGGTGTTCCACATTTTAAACTTGACAACGTCCCTAAACCTCTCGTGCATGAAAGGTGCCGACCACGGGTTGGTCGCCAGCTGCTCGAGCATCTCTCGCTTGGCAGAGGGATTGGGGACGGCAGCGGCAGGGCCGGGGTTGATCCACACCCAGAACTGAGGTCGGCAGGTCCCTCGGACAACGTCGGAAGTGCCAGTGACAGCATCAATGGGCTTGTCGAGGCCGAGATTTTGAGTGTACAAGAAGGACATGACAGCCATGTAAGGCTTGTCCGTGAAGGGGCCCGCCCAGAACATGTGGAATATTCTGGGGTGAAGCGGGTCGCAAGCATCACGAGAGTCAAAGCTCGCGGGCACAGAGTATGGTTGGGGCAACGTCAAGGCTGAACGGGAACGACTGCCGGCACGGGTCTCGGGGGCGCGGGGTGACCATGGATGGGACTGAGCAGGGGTGGACTCTTCGTAGTAGTGTTGCTTGTACTGGGCGAGATAATTTCCTCTTCGCACGCGCTTGCTGGCGTCCATGCCGCCTCCGACTCTCAAAAACTCTAGGCAGTCTCGGACATACTATTGGAAATTTAGCCTGATCTGCCGGCCTGACACGTCCCTATACTTACCTTGTTTGTACCAAAATCACATTTTTCCCTGACCAGATCCAAATCCAGAATTGATCCAGGCATGGGCCTGGCAGTGAATCCTGTCTGGCTTTCGCGGGGATCCCAGACAGAGAGGTAATGCCGTTCGGGGCCGATGCCGACCAGTGAAGATTGAGGGGTTTTGTCGGCTCGGTTCTGGTAAGCAACTGCCGGCGAAGGAGTGATGGGGGAGGGGAGAAGGGCGGGAGGGACGACGGGGTTCTTGAGGGCAAGAGCGATGGGCAGATGGTCGGGCGCTTCGAGGTGTCAATGCCGTTCTTGCAATCTGAAACACGACTCACGCTGTTCCCGACTAGGATAGTGCCCACTCAATACCTCCCACTCCCAGATCATCGCAGCCTCTTCCGGCGTAATCACCATCGTGTCTGGATCCACGAACGGCGGCGACCACGTCCGGTCCCCGTCTCTTGTCTTTCTGAAACCCATGAAGAAGACACTGAGGCCCAAAAGGGCTATTAACAACAGGAACAGCCGGATTGGGGAATTGAGTCTGGGTAGGCGGGCATATATGCGTGGGGGGATGGGGATGGGGAGCCTGAGGATGCGTTGCTTGGAGAGGGGATGGTATGGTCTCGGAGAGCCGACGGCATTTGGGAGGGAGTCGCTGCTGGCTGTGAAGGGGATGCGGAGGGGGATGTAGATGGTGGTGAACCAGGGGTTGTTGGCTGGGTGGCGCTTGTCTGCGTCCCATGCGGTGGTGGGGAGGGGGGAGCGGCGTGGCTTGGAGGGGGTGTGGCGCTTGACCTGGCCGAAGAGGGACATGGTGCGGTGGGGAAAAGAATTCGCAGCGACAGCGATGTATGACACCCTGCTGCGGAATCAAATCTAGCCCAGCCAAGACACAGGCCCAGCGGGGCTCCCCGCCCGCCACGTGCCCCTCATCTCGCCCTCCCACTCTGCATCGTTGTGCTTACCCATTCCGCCCATCGCCTGTCTGTACACAATGTCCGATATAGAGAAGGAAGACGCACCCCTCGTCGCTCAGGCTCCCAGCCTCGACCAGACCCGCCTCTCCGCTGCCACCATCGCCATAGACGGCCGCAACTTTGTCGATGCGCATGGACGTGTGCTTCACCTCAGAGGAGCCAATGTATCCGGTTCCGCCAAAGTGTGGGTTTGGAAGAGCAAATCGCAAAAGTTGATACGCATGACGGCCGCTGACTGTTGATGTTCAGGCCGATTGCTCCCGCTCCTAATATTCATGACCACGCCCAGGCAAGCTATGTCGGAAGGCCGTTCCCTTTGGAGGACGCAGATGAGCATTGGCAAAGACTCAAATCATGGGGTCTCACGTTTGGTAAGCTGCATGGCTGCTGCAGGCTGCAGGATTCCGCTGACAGCGATCAGTACGGATAACGGTCACGTGGGACGCCATAGAGCACAAGGGCCGTGGTATCTACGATGAAGAGTACTTGGCTTACCTCCGAGCCCTCCTGAAGAGCATGGAGCCTTATGGGCTGGTCGCATACATTGTAAGCTACTGCCTCCATCATGGCAAAGCTGACGATGATCGCAGGCTATACATCAGGATGTCTGGTCTCGATACTCTGGCGGTGTAAGCCCCTTCTACCCAATTCAATATCATAACTGACAGAACCAGTCTGGTGCTCCTGGGTGGACTCTTGAATCTGCCGGCTTTGACCTTTCCAATGATGGCGAAGCCCTCGCTCTCTCTGGCGCTGCCTTTATTGATGGTATCCGAGGCGGCAGGTTGAGCGGTGAACGAGGACTTTGGCCCACAGGCTATCAAAAACTCGCCTGTGCCACCATGAAGTAGGATTCGACACTACACAGCAGCTTCAAGCTGACGACGAATAGCACCTTATTCTGGGGTGGTGAAACATTTGCGCCTTCGTTCAAAGTTCCCACGCAGATTGACGGGAAGTGGGTCTCACGCAACATCCAGGCTCATCTCCAAGATGCATTCCTCGATGCTACCGCCCGGCTCGTCTCTGCCGTCGGAGACTTGGACTCTGTGATGGGCTTTGAAGTAAGTCTTCGCTTGAACTTGTCCGCCATGCTGACGTTCCGTTCAGCTCCTGAACGAACCTCACCCTGGGTTCATTGGTCTCTCAACGATCCACGAATGGGACTACAACACCGACCTTCACCTCGGCCAATTCCCCTCCCCTCTTCAGTCCTTCTCTATGGGTGCTGGCCATCCCACCCCCAAGGTACCCATCTACGTGAGGACGTTCCCCTTCCCCACCAAGATCAGCAAGTACATCACTGCCAACCCCGAGGGCGCTTCTGCCTGGAGCAAGAAGGAGTGTGTGTGGGAGAAGGAAGGGGTCTGGAGGTGGAGCGAAGTCAAGAAGGAGGCTACGCCTTTGCAAGAAGACTACTTTTCCAAAGACCGTGCTGGAAAGAAGATTGACTTTTACCAAGACTTCTACTTTCCCTTTATCAACAGGTGGGAAGCAGTCGTATCCAAAAACACCCAGCGCACCAGGGGTCTCAAGGCGAGGATGGTCGAGCCTCTCCCTAACGAATTCTGTCCAGAATGGGCAGAAGAGTCGAGGCCTCAAAACATGGTCTATGCGCCGCATTGGTACGACCTCAACATGCTTTTCAAAAAGCAGGCCGGGTTCATGTCTGTCAACGTCCAGGGCCTCGCCAGGGTCAGTTCCTTTCGCGGCACTGCAAGAGCGATGCTGTTTGCTGACGTTTGACAGGGCATGTTCCTCCCTAGGGCCTTGTACTTTGGGTTGGCAGCCATCAAGGACAACTATGCGCTGCAGATCAAGAGCATCGTCCTTGCTGCCAGACTCAAGCTCGGTCCCGTGCCCATCATCTTTGGCGAGTGCGGTGTGCCCATGGATCTCAAGTAAGAATACCACGTCGAGTATGAATATTTTACTGACGTTGGATTAGTGAGGAAGAAGCGTTCAGGACGGGTGATTGGAAATGGCAGGAGAGGTCGATGGACGCTCTGATCTCTGCACTCGAGGGCGCTCTCTTGGGATTCAACCTCTGGACTTATAACCCCTCCAACAGAGACGACATTGGAGACGACGTGAGTTGCCATGTCATACATGAGCAAACACTGATTGAGAGCGATAGTGGAACGCAGAGAACTTTTCCTGGTTTTCCCAGGACAACCGCTCCAAGCTGTTGAAGAAGGACGAAGATGGAACAGATTTGGATGCCGGTGCACGATTGCTCAATGTCATAGTTGTAAGTCATCATTGGTGTATCAATAAACCCCGCTGAATCACAGCAAAGCGGCCATACCCCATCGCGACCGCCGGATCTCCCACATCCCTTTCTTACGACCCCTTCCACAAGGCCTTCTTTTACCGCTGGCGCTCCCCTATCCGCACCTCTTCCTCCGCCCCAGATCCGTCTGAATACACAGAACTATTCCTCCCTCGCCGCGTCTTTACCGAGTCCAATCTCAAGTGGGCAGTCACAGCTGGCGGGAGGGTTGTCTTTGATTGGGAGAACGAGCGAGCATATGTGTGGTTTGAAGATTCTGCTGAAGTAGCCTTCAACGCCAAGGAACAGATGAAGACGAGAAGGATCGATATATGGGTACCCGAGGCGGCTCCGAAAGATGTCGGGGAGGTTTGGACTATCAAAAAATTTGCGATTTTGGTCATCATCTTGGCCTTTGGTGCTTTGATGGCGTATATTGCTCAGCAACACGAGTGGAGTAAGGACGATGTCATCTTTGGGCGAGTACAGAAAGACAAGTGACTCTAGGGTTGTAAACAAAAAAAAGTTAACTGGATGTTGTGGTTTCGAAATGTAATGCAAGTGCATTTGTAACGTTGATACTTAGGATTGTTCTTGCAAGATATGTAAACAGCTCTCGATCACACCCACGGCCTTGTCGCACTCTTCCTTGGTGACCACGAGCGCGGGCACCAGCCTGACGGCATCCTTGCCCGCTGTCAGCAGCAGTACACCCCTTTCCCTAGCGAGCTTCACAAGCTCTCCAGGCTTGGTCTCGTCCTTGAAAGCGATACCCCTGATCAATCCCCGTCCTCGGATCTCCGCGAGCAATGAAGGGAACATGGCAGGGAGCTTCTGAATCAGCCCCTCGAGGTGCTGGCTGATCTCGGAAAGGTTGCTTGTGAATGCGGGGCTGGACAAACGGTCGACAACGTGAACGCCGATCGCACAAGCCAATGGCTGGCCGCCAAAGGTGGTGCCGTGCATTCCAGGGGAAATGGTGTTGGCAACGGCAGAACGCACCATGATGGCGCCGATGGGGAATCCGTTGGCGAGAGGCTTGGCCATGGTGACAATGTCTGGCTGGGCATCGGCAGGGAATTCAGAGTGTGCCCACATGGTGCCAGAGCGGAAGAGGCCACACTATAGGATGTTGAGCAACCAGTCAACATGTACAGATCAGCTGGCATACCTGAATCTCATCGTAGATCAAGACGGCTCCGACTTCCCTACACCTCCTGCCGAGCTTTTCAAACCAAGCCTTGTTTCCCTCCCCGACACCGCCTTCACCCTGGATGGGCTCAACAATGACACCACATGTTTTGTCGTTGATTAACTCCTTCAGTTTGGCGTCGTCCATGTTGTTGTACTCGCCGACTTTGATGCCAGGGATCAGAGGCGCAAACGGCGCTTGGTATTTGGGGTTGGGGGTGCATGAGAGCGCGCCCATAGAGCGTCCGTGGAAAGCGTTGGAGAAGCAGACAATGTCCGTCTTGTCCTCAGCTATCGTTTTGCCGTATGCTCGGGCAAACTTCAGAGCGCCCTCGTTGGCTTCGGTTCCAGAATTGGAAAAGAACACCCTGGCACCCTTGTCCTCTCCTTGAGCATCTTTTGACAGTCCGATACCGCCGTTCTCCCTGGTCCTCTCAACGAGAACTTTGGCGAGCTCGCCAGCCGACTCGTTCCAGTAGACGTTACTGGCGTGGCTGAGCTTCTGAGCCTGGTCCGCCATGACTCTGTCGACGCCAGCATCGCTGTGTCCGAGCGCCGTCACGGCGATACCGGCAGTAAAGTCGAGGTACTCCTGCCCAGAGGCGGTATACAAGCTACAAGACTTGCCGTGGGAGAAAAGGATGGGGGGGCGGGCATAAGTATTGAGGAGGTAGGAAGAGTGGTCGTCTATCATGGCGTGGGTAGCAGGGGGGGCTGCAGAGTCGGGGTGGGTGACATTAAGGTAGGCAAGGTTAGGCTACATCTCATCAGCATGGACTTGTACAGACCGAGCTCTGATACCTGCCTTGAGCTCTGTGGCGTAGCTTCTGGCCATGAAAGGCCGGGAGAAAGCTGTGGGGCGCGCGAGGCGGAAAAGACGGGCAGACATGGATCCGATGGGTGTTATAGATGCAGAAAGTGCTTCTCGACAAGAGACTCCATAATTGTTGCGTCCGACTCACTGACCGCGCACACTTCTTATCTCGTACCTTAACGGGATCAAAATCATAAGCGATCCATGCAAGTTGAATGATGAGGAGAGCAACAGTGGGTGACATTTCAGGACTGAAAGTTTGAGAGTACGATGCAGACCGTAAGTAGGATGTTCCTCAAAACATTCGTCAAAACATTCGCATCATCAATGACCACATTGAATCACCAGTTGGTCTCGACTGTACGCGGGCCCGATGATTATAATGGCTTTATACATCCCACTTGTATGACTACCACAAGCGTCGAGTGACTCCTGTGTGTTTTTGAATGGCTGTAACGATTTCCCAGAGGGTAAAAAAAAGGATGTGAAAGACCAGCATTGGTGGGCACCGAATCCGTGCGCATCCTCATCAGCGCCAGTAGATCAGGCGCCGTCGTCGTGTATATCCTCCTCGAACTGGTAAAGCTGTCCTGTGACTGTCAAGCCTTGTGTATCTACGCCCGTATATGGAGTCGGGGGATACTGGTCGCATGCTGAGTTATCGGCACCACTGTATTGGGATGGAGGATTGATGACCAGAGATTGGATCGCGCTGATCTGTGACTCCAATGACGCGATGTGTCTTTTCATGGCAAGTCGCTCTTGGGTCAACTCGGCGTTCTCTGACTCCAAGAAAGTTATTCGATCAATCGTCTTCATTCGCCTCTTCTGGACGGCTGTCCTATCTGAATGAAAGTCAGATTAGATCACTATTCAATTGAAAGGAGATGCCACGATCACAACGGGTGGCCTGAGTAAGCCACTCACTGGCGATAAGATCGCGGACCGTTTGTTCCTCTTCATTCCTGTCATCTTTCTCCTCCAGCTGCTCCCATGTATACTTGCTCAGAACCCGGGAGACCATGGGGGCGTGTTTTTTGCTGGATTTTGTGATGAGTGCTGAAGAGTCCATCTTACTGACTCGGTCTGTAGGACCTCTTCTTCTGTCTATCGACGACACAGCCGATGCAACACGTTGAAGCTTTGTAGACCCATTCTTCGAGCTTGCTCTGGAAGAAACGGTATTGGTGCGCACTGGACGAGGCGGAGGAAGGTCTGCTTCATGAGGAGGGCTGGTGATCAGAGAAGGGCTGGTGCGAGAAGGGCTGATGAGTGAAAAACTCTCATCAGTCGCAGAAAGAATTGGGGGACACGATACTGAGGCATCGCCTGCAATCTGGCTCGGCGCCCCATTCTGCATGCATCTCTGTCAGAACCCTGACGATAAGGGAAAGTTTGTACGCACCGAGAAAGGCATTTCACCACCGTCGTCGAGGCTATTCAAGATAGATTGGACATTTTCCATGTCCTGCGGGTCACTTTCCATGAAAGCCGCACATGCCGCCTGCAAACTCAAGGAGGTATCGTCTCCATCAGGCGCAAAGGGCGTCCATGGAGGGATCCATTCATCCTGCATGTAGGGAAAACCGGGGGTTTCGACAATAGCTGAAGAGTAAGAAGCATCTTCCTCTTGATTCATTTTGATATGGTTGCAATTGTGGTGCGAGGAGATGAGGCGGGAAAGAGGGGATGTAGATGCGTGTCTTTCATGTCTTAAGACAGGGCAGAGATAGTCTTACATGATGTACTATACAAGGCGCAGATACAAGTATATCAACAAAGGTGTGATCCAATTTCCGCCACAGGAGAAGAGCCCTTTGATTTTTCCAAAACGACAGCAGTAGGATTTTTGTGGGTGTAAGACGGCAACTGCTGAAATGGCCGTCCTTTGAGCGGAGTCCACCCGTGTCCCATTTCACTCCTGTGTCCCTGCATTCCCGCCAATCAGTTTAACGCTCAGCAAAGTTATTTAAGTGTTCTTTCCCGGACTGGCCAACAGACGTTGAATTTGGCCCCACACTAACCCGGTTGCACAGGTAATGTCACCGCACCCCCCCTCCCATCATCGTGAAGATTGTGGCACAGGCCGACTTGTCTTTCGGTTTCAGGTTCGTAGATCGCATGCCTGGTATCTTGGTAGTCTTCACGCATCTGCTACGCCTTGATAAAGATTGTCACTACTCCTTATGGTAGATGTGCTTTTGATCAGCGAGTTCAGTCAAAGGTTGATCGACTCTAGAGATTGAGGTCGTCACTCAGGATGATACTCGCTGAGCTGGCTGCTGACGCTGTCATGCAGTGTGTCAGCTCGTACGATGAGTGGCCGCGGATGGCATGGTCTCTCGAAGCGTTCCTTGTCGGCATAGGACATGTATGCTGCATGTAATTAGGCGAATCACTGAGCACGGTCCAGATAGTCCAAAGGCCGTGTCTTGCAAGTGAGCCTTTCTCGCTTCTCCTCGGGGAGAATGAGTCCTTCGAGAGCGTCTACCACAGAGCTCTCCTATGCAGCAGTCAGTCATGGGCATCCACATAATCAGAGTACTAACCTCTCCTCCAGCCTTCCACTGGTAAGCAACCCAGTTATCCTCGTCCTCCTTCTGGGCCATCGCCCACATCTTGTTTCTGAAATCTTTGATGGACCCAGTACCATCATTCTCTTCATCGTCGAGAACCTTGCGCGGCTTGGCGACAGGTTGGGGAGGAGCTCGTTTCTTCTTCGGAGCGTCTTCGTCGTCAGACTCGGCGTTGCCGTTGGTGGTACGACGAGTCCGCGAGCGCTGTTCAACATCGTCGAGGTAGCCCAAAGATGTTCGGAATTGAAGAACACGAGAAACCGGGCAAAGGTGAACGGCACCTGATGACTTCCATGAGCAAGAGAGGTCTGAGAAATTGACGATCCACTTACCATCTCTGATCACACCCGTATAGTACCCAGTGGCATTCGGCACCACTTCGCTGCTGAGTCTCATCTTGTCGCCCCACTTCTCCTCCTTCTTCTTAGATGCCTTTTCCTTTCCCTTCTTGTCTTTTTCTTTTCCCCCAAACCCATAACCGCCAACCGTACTGTCGTCACCGTTCGTAACGTCTACGACAAAGCCCAGCTCGGAGGCTCGATCTTCACGCCAGTAAGCCGCACCAGCGTCGACCGGGATTTCAACCTCTACCCTCGCCACATTCTCCTTTACTCGAGCCGATATAGTCTTCCCTCTATCCCGAGCCCAAGTAGGTACACTGATATCACGATGCTGCAGAGGATACTGATATATATCCACGCCGCCTTGTTGCAGTAATGCGGGAGACATATACACAGGCAGGGTAGCTATGGGCTCATCGTCTGCGTCCTCTTCGTCAGAGTCGGCGTCGACAGCGGGAAAGGACCTCGTCTTGAGATCAGGGAGAGGTGGAGAGGGCTGCCGAGGGATGTATGTAGTTGATGGCCCGGCGGCATCTTGTAGCGATGGGTGGGCTTCCGAGGCGGAGAGGTGGGGACCAGCTTCTTCGCTGGGTGCGATGGGAAAGTTGCTAAGGTCGGCAAAGTTGATAGAATCGGTAGCGACCTCTATTTGGTCAATGGGATGGTCCTGGTTGGACATGGCCGATGGGAGTGGGGTGGAGGATGCCGTTTGTCGTTTCACAACATTTGTTGTTGCCTTGAATGGAACTTGAAAATCCACGCGGAGGTAGCCGCTGTAGCGTGAGGTGGAGGCAAAAGTCTTCTACAACTTGCCGGCGGTCAACTTATCACTCACTATCAGGCCTTCCACTCGATATACTCGCACAGCCGGGAATAAGCCAATTGAGAGCAAAAAAATATTTCAGAATGTCCGCAACTCAAGAGAACAGAGCGGCCACTCCTGAGGATTATCCTCGCTTCATGAAGGTGTATGTATAACGAGAAAGCAGAAAGGGCAGGAAAGGCGGAGGTGGGAGGAAAAAGTCAAAGATACCTAAAGGCCTCAAATGCTGACATTAGCTACAGTGCGCATGAGCAAGCTCTCAAATCTCTTTCAGAAGGTGGCATTCCCATCGGCGCTGCCCTCGTCCACCTGCCTACGTCGCGTATCTTGTCAACTGGGCACAACAACAGAGTACAGAAGTCTTCAAATGTGAGACACGGAGAAATGGACTGCTTGGAGAATCTGGGAAGAGTCAAGGAGGGGCTGCTACGAGAGTGCGCCATGTTCACTACTCTGTCCCCGTGTATCATGTGAGTGGATAAGAGGTCTACAGAATGCTACTGATTAGAAACCAGGTGTTCGGCTACCTGCATTCTCTACAAAATTCCCGTCGTTGTTCTTGCGGAGAACTCGAACTTCCAGGGCGGTGAGGATTTGCTTCAAAGCCATGGGATCCAGTGTGTCAACCTCGACGACCAGGAAATCAAAAAGATGATGGGAGATTGGATCGAGAGCGAGGCTGGCCGAAAGGTGTGGAACGAGGATATTGGGGAGTTGAACGAGTGATGTATGTGTACAACATTGATGCATGGACATTACCGTAGAGTACAAGTATAACATCCCTTGACACTTTTTCTGTGCTTTACTGCTCACGCGCCTTCTTGGCGGCTGCGAGTTCCACTTTTCGCTTTTTGAAGACCGAATGCGAATCTTTCCCTCCACCAACCCCAGCCCTTTTGTTGGCTCTGCTCTCTCTAGACAATTCCTTACTGTAAAAACAAATTGGGATCAGCACTTGCGGACGCCAGAGTGTCATCCTTTGACTCACTTTACACTCTTGTTCTGCTCCCTGTAACTGATATTCTGGCCACCGGACAAGTGCTCCAAAGGTGCCATGAACCTCTGCACTGTAGGTCCAGTGCCACCCCCTGCAGGTTGACTCCCAGCAATCTTTTTCTGATGCTTGCCGCCATTCAATCTCATATAATGGTCGGCAGTCTCATTGGCAGCATCGCCTTGGTTGAGAACAGACTCGAGCAAGGACAATTGCTCGTCTACGGATGGGAAGACAAGGTTGGGCATTTCCTTGAGACCATGTAGCTCGGTAATGACCTTGAAGGCGTAACCTTGGTCGATGAGGAAACCCTGTCGTTTGGAGGAGTAGTACATCTCCTGCGTGTCTTTCGAGACCAACGAATAGAAGAAGGCGTTGAAGCCTTCATCATTTCGACGTTTGGCTCGTAAGATTCGCCCGAGACGCTGGGCTTCTTGACGACGGGACCCGAAGTGAGAAGAGATCTGGATGAGACAAGTAGCTTCGGGAAGGTCGATAGACGTGTCGCCAACTTTGGACAGGAAGATGGTGTTGAGCTGCGGGTCGTGCTGGAAACGTGACAGGATACGCAGTCGTTCTCCTTCCGGTGTTCCACCATGGATGAACGACTTGCCCAATTTCTTGGCATATGCCTGGGACGATCGTGAGTACAATGTAACAAGCGAGGTCGCAAGACTCACCTCAAGAGCAAACACGTTGTCCGAAAAGACGATGACCTTGTCTCCTCTACTCTCGTGATAGTTGATCAGGAATTGGGCAGCTTGGACCTTGTTTGGGTTCATAGCATGCAGTAAAATCCTTTTGCGTGAGGGGTTTCGCAGGTATTCGCGATAGAACTGCGGGGTCATGGGACACCAGACTTCAGCGCACTGGACGGTGGCAATGTGACCATTCTTTGCCAGGTCCATCCAATTGGCTTCGTACAGCTTGGGTCCAATCAGGTAGCCCAAATCGCCGATTCGATCGTCCTCTCTCACGAGGGTAGCTATCACTAATCAGTATCCCTAAACGACACGCGATCACTCAACTCACCAGTCAAACCAAGTTTGGCGTGCACCTTGAAATTGTTGATACACTTTCGGAACATGTCTGCGGGCGTGACATGCACCTCATCCAACAGCAAGAAACCCCATTCTCTAGACCTCAAGAACTGCATCACCTTTTCAGCATCATGCGCACGCTTGCCTGTCTTGGCAATCATGGAATAGGTTGAAATGACGATTCCGGCAGAGGTGCTAAACACTTCTTTTTCGCCTTGAGTAAAGCAGCAGATTTGGCGCTCAGAGATGTTTGAAAAGTGGAGGAATTGTTGTTTCCATTGTGCAACGGAGACACTAAAGAAGGGTCAGATTCACAAGAATAGCACTGGAAACGACTCACGCAGAAGTGCACAAGACCAAGGCACTTTTCTTGATGGTGCAGGCAGCAGTTATGCCCACAAGTGTTTTGCCGGCACCACAAGGAAGCACAATGATACCGGATCTTGCACGGCCGTTACCAAACATTTTGGCCAGAGACATCTCTTGATACGGTCTGATGACGGTCATGGGTTTCAACTGGATATCGAGGTTGGGATTGACAGTGTCATTTCGGAAATCGTACTCTTCCAGAGCGGGAAGGTCGATATCCTTGCAGCGACGACGAACATCTTCCATCCGTTCACCAGAGACTTCGAAAGAGTGAACCTTGTCGTCTTCATCATCCATCTCGTCCGCTGATCCTTGTCAGTCTTTCACGTCGCCATCAATCCTTTCAACTCACCTTCTCCGATACCGATGACAGCACCCAGAACTGCATCATCGTTCCTGACGCCTTCTGGCTCTGCCTCACCTCTCTCCAGCCTCCTGGCCTCTTCCGTTCCCGGGATAGCGAAATCCCTTCTCGGTCTGGCCGCCTCTTCAGCACCAAAGACTGTGGTCCCCATTTCTTTCTCTCGATGCACCATGCACTCCTTGATCACCTCGTCATTCATCAACTTTTGCAGAAATTCGGGTACACTTGTTTCCAAAAAGTATCGATTATCCTTGAGGACGAGTCTGACTTTGCCGAATGAGGCAGTCCATTGTTCAATGCGCGCCCTCAGCCGTGGCGAAAGGGGCGTCTTGGCCAGTCGTGATAGTACTTCAATGATGACACCAGTTTCAAGACCGATCGACATGGCGGAATGGAGAGACGGTTTTGTGATGCGGTATTCATGGATGAGAGAAGGTCTATGAGAATCCAAGATGAGCGGCGTGATCAGCAAGCCAGATCATGTCTCTCACCTGGAGACTGGCTCTGATATGGCCACCAAGAAATCTTGAGCCTGCTTTGCAAAGGGGGCGAAAGCTTCGACGATAATGTTTCCAACATCATCTACCCAGAGTGGCCGTAGTGAATGGTCCGACTTGAGCTCCTGATTGGAAAAATCGACGCCTCTGCTCCCTATCAGGCCGTCGAACGCCTCGTCCTCATCCCCCGACACTTCCTCATCTCCAGCCGCCTGCGCATTTGCGCCCGCTTGTTTCCTCTGCAGCGCCGTCAAATTGATCTTTAAGCTTTTCTTTGCCGGAGCTAACGACCCAGCGCCCGAGCGAGCATTGGCCTTCTTGGTGGGTTTGCGAGCAACGGGAGCGCGACGAGGAGCGCCGTAGTCTGAGCCGTCCGAGCCATCAGACTCGAAGAAGTCGAGGGACGAGGCGGGGGATGATACTTCGCTCATGACTGGTGGCAAGAGAAGCAAAGAGTGGGGCAGAGAGAAGAGAAGGATGACAAAGACACCTTTCAGCGTCGACTTGCGTATTTAGGTGCCGATGGCCGGTGGCGGCGAGGGGGGCGGCGTGCTCCGCTTGTGGCGGCCCAGTAGTAGTAGTAGTAGACGATAATCAAAGGTTGACAGAGGAAGTACGACCTGTGCATATCTCTCCTGCCTGCTCGCCGTCTATGGACACCGTGGGTCTGTGGCTGCACTTGTATGCATGGGCAGATAGGCTGGCGGAGTGCAGACATCACCGTCCATGAAACCTGCGCGCCTGTGATATCCAGTAGGCGCGCCGGAAGCTGCCGTCTGTTGCCACTTGCAAAAGTCGGGAATCGATGAATCAAGCACATCTTCAAGCTCTTCTGCCCCGACAGCCCACACCCCACGCCATGGCCGATCCCTCCAGAAGCGACGAGCAGCCATCGCCGCCCCCCTCAGAGCCCATCGATGGCTTGCCGAATCCATCAGAACCGCAACAATCATTTCCATCGCCCTCCTCCAGCCTCTTCTCCCACTTGCGGCCTGCTTCCTCCACGCCCAGCGCGCCCACCTCCGATTCCTTCTTCCCCTCTATGCCCCAGTCATCAGCATCTCTACTCGCATCCTCTCTCAGCCCCATCAGGGTATACTACGAGTCCCAGCTACCCTATCAACAGGCCGCTGCCCCAATGACGAAAGAGGAGCAAGCCTATCTGCAAGCTCAGGCTCGGCTGCAGGAGATGCCTGAAAAATGCTTCAGCTGGTGCTCTCAGAATGCCATGGCGCAACCAACGTGTCGAATGGTGTGTCTACGGAAGCGGGCGTTGGGGCAGAGCAAAGAGGAACATACGGAGCGGCTACGGGCGAGTAGACGAGCTCTTGCTAGCCCCGAAGCCCTGGCCCGGCACATGCAGACGCAGGAGGAGGAGCCTACTGCCTCTTCCCGTGTGCTACAATGGCTACAATCCCCAATATCCACCCTCCATCAGAAGGTCATGCCATACTCCATCATCTATGTGCGCGGCTCACCCGATGGTGCCATCGGACGGTACATGGAAGAGTTGGAGAGGGACGATGGGAATTACGATTTCAAACATATTTCGAGGGGAGCTGTGGCGCGAAAGGCAAGTGGTAGAAGAAGCGATGACGAGGAGGGGATGGAATACATGGAATGGGGCGATCAGGAGTGAGTTTGATTCATCCGACTCTTGCGAAAGCTTACGCCGTACAAAGATCCCTGCTACATCTCCCCCTGACCTCCGTCCTGTCACCAATCCTTTCCCTTCCAGCCAATTTATCCCGTCTTTTCTCTCCCTCTCTACGTTTCATCTCTGCCTACACCACTTCCTTCACGGACGGTGGGCAATTACGCATGATCAACAAGTTTTACGAAACTGTCCAGAACAATGGGGCTAGTGAGATGCTCAGCAAGATCGAAAAAGTTGTCCAGAAAAGGGCAGAGGAGACGAGAGAGAAGAGGGAAGAGATGTTAAAGCAGAGGCAGCAAGAGAGGGTAGAGCGGATGAAGGATATGAAGGACGTGGGGAAGGAAGTAGAGGGCAAGGGAGGTGATGGTCAATAGTAGATGAGATACCGCACGCGTTGCTATAGATTCTAGAGGAATGTTGCTTATTGTAATGATCTTGATGCATCCGACACATAGACTCATACATCCAATTAGACCCTCTGAGGTTGTTCTGTCTGCTATCAGTTTACATATCTCTGTAGCCACGCCAGCTTACCTTGATTATAAATGTAAACGCCTAGCTCTACTTCTTCTTTTACGGGACAGGTCGCTGGCCCATTTGCATCTGCTGACCAGAAGACTCGCCAATCTCTCTCCCGCCAGCTGAACCGTCCCACGAGTGCTGCATCTGCGAAAACAACCTCGCTCGTGTAGCGTCGTCCATTTGCCCGACATCGGGAGGCATAGCGACGTTCGGCAACACATGACCGGGAGTCGGCTGCTGCGGGAAGGAATTATACCCTATCGGCAGACCTTGGAGAGGCTGTGAGCCAGCAACGAAGGTGGGCCAATCTCCAGCGCTGTGGAGTGGAGCAGCATCGAGGGGAGAAGATTGGTTGGGTATGGGATGTAAGGATGTTGGTATCTGGTTCGCAACAAGAGCGGGAGGGTGCTGAGAGGGGTCGGCAGGTGAGCGACTTTGGCTCGTCCGTAATGACACGGGTATAGGACCTGTGACAACGGACTGACCATCGCTAGCTAACCGCTTGACTTTGATGCGGAAATTAGGCCGAGGTTGAGCTACAAATGGTCCAGCTTCTGGCGCTGCCGCAGATAAAGCTTCAGGAGCATGGGTATGCGTGGAAGGGGTAGGTTGAGCGATGGGCTGAGAAGCTTGCGCGCGAGGTAATTGTGGAATAGGGACGATCGGAATACGGGCCGGTATAGGACCGGAGGGGGGTATAGATGACTGCTCGGTGGAAGGGGTATCGGGCTCTGCCCGAGCCACAGGATTGGACGAAGGCATGGTGGACGGAATTTCAGCTAAATTCGAGGTCCGAGGGAGTGGCTTCTGAGATGCATTGTGAGACTGAGGCTGCGCCTGCCGTCTCGCTTGGGAAGAGGGCTCACCATGGGCATCCTTCCCGTTGCCATGGGAAGGCTGTTTATCATGATTAGACTCCACGGCAGAGTACTCCGCCTGCCCCCGCGCGCTCTCCTCCAGAGCCTCCATTTTGACCGCCTTCTCCGTGGGTGCATCTTCCGGCGCGTACTCGAAATCAATCCCATCCCAAATGGCGCCCACTGCCCTGGCGATCTCTTCAGGAACTACGACTTTGCCGTATGACCCATCGATCCACTGTTCGCGGGCGCCGGGCTTGATCTTATAACGACCCGCATCTTGCGGATGAATGGTGAACGGCGCTGGAACCTCGCCGGGGGCTGGACGGAATTTCGGGGCGATGAGGGTCAGGCCGTATGATGTCGCGAGGCCTGCAGGGCCAAAGTTGAGGAGAAAATCAGAATAGTGTTTCTCGAGCTTGGCCTGCATGCTGGTCAAAGGGTCAGCTGTGGACCCTGGCGCAGACGTTGAACGTACCGAGGGGCTGCACTAGGCCTCTTTCTCTTCTTTCCATGTATGTCTTCGCCATCGCCATCGCCCATTCCCTTCACTAGCTAGTGTATCAGCTCTCGTCCTCATACATGCCGGTCTGAAGCTCACGCCAGTCCCATCGGCTACGCCTGCTTTGCGCTGCCAAGGGCATTCCGTGCTTGTCCTGCAAATGCCGTCTTGCTACACTTCGACCATTTTTTCCGTCGTACGTCTTTCCACACGCCCTACATGTGATCAACTTCCACTCCGTATATCCCTTCTGGCCCTTGATTTTATCCGGGTGGAGGATCAATAGATCATTGACATCGATAGACCAGCCGGGACCGAGGGGGCATGGCAGAAGCCCATTGGGGAGGCATCCCTTCAGTTGAAGGGGCGCCTGAGTTGGGTCCTTAAAATCTGGCCAGAAAAGGGGAGCCGCATCGTAGTAGTTGACGAGCAGGTTGGCGTAGGGATCTTTGCCATCTTTGCCCTCTTTGTTGGCGCCGTTCATTGCTGCTGGGGTTGCGGATTGGGGAATATTGTTGATAGCGGGAAGGATGAAGGAGGTAGAGGATCTCCTCGGTTTACGGGCGGATCCCTCTGCCGGCATGATGAGGGAGGGGGATTCGTGGAGATTATGACAAGAGGAAGAAGAACGCAGTGAGAGTCATCCGCGAGGTTGAGTGAACGCCGCTTTTGAATCCCATTCTCAATCCTGATTTCCTGAAATGAGGCGTTTTGGGCGCACGTTGGTGCGCCGGTGCCTTGGCTGTGGGGTCATTCCGGGCCACAAAACCCGATCACCCTCAGCCTGGTACGTCTTCCTCATGTATGCATACAGGAAGGGTGCGAGATGAGCCATACATACCTATGTACAGCATGCCCGCTGAAAGGATTCCCGAGATCTGAATGGTGGGAGATGAGAACACCAGCGGGGCCCTCCGTCTCCGACGCTCTCTTACCGGGTCAGATCGTCATACGACTCCCGATCCTACTTAAGTCTATCTTTCTCTATCTCCTACTCGTATCAACTATACAAAAACTCACCCCGCACAATGGCTGCCCCCCTATACGTCACCCAGTCAGGACGCCTGTGGCATGCTGGTCTCATCTTGATCGTCACCGTCGGTCTGCCAGGCAAGTGTCCCCCATCCTCATACCAGAATCCGCGATAACCATCATCTGCAGCCCGTGGTAAGACTCACATCTCGAGGGCCCTCGAGCGTTACCTCAGGTGGCTCGGTGTCAAGACTCGTGTCTATTCCATTGGCGACTACCGACGAAAGGTGCTCGGCGGTGCGGAGAATGTCCCGCATGACTACTTTCAGACCAAATGTAGATCCAGCTCTTTCCTATCGGCCAAGCCGCTGACCATATCACAGCGCCAAGATCAGAGGGCACGAATGCTTTACGGCGGCGTATCAGAACAGAGCTCGAGGACCAAATCATGGATTTCTACACCGTCCAAGGCGGCCAAGTCGTCATCTACGACGCCAACAATGGCAGTATCGCCGAGAGAAAGGCCACCTATCAAAAGTTTGAGAGCAAGGGTGTACATGTCATCTTCCTCGGTATGTCTCTTGCGGCCTGGCGACTCGTTGCTGACCATGTCTCAGAGAGTCTTTGCGACCGAGACGATATCATTACTTCCAATATTCGGAGCGTCAAGCTTTCCTCTCCCGACGTACGTTCCTTTGCTTCGCGTCCTTTCGAGGGTTTGACTCATATAATCTATAGTATGCAGGTTGGGACGCCGAAAAGGCTGTTGCCGATTACTGGGAGCGAATCAGGGATCAAGCCGCCTACTATGACACCGTCACGGAAAGCGAGGGGCCGTATATCAAGGTCATGAATGTCGGAGAGAGGATTGACGTTAATCGTATTGAAGGTGAGTCGCTTCGATGATTCGAGGTGCCAGTGCTTATCGGCTGCAGGCTATTTACAAACGAGATGTTGTTTCTTCTTGATGAACATTCATACCAGACCTCGAAACATCTACTTTGCGCGAGTACGTCTCCGGGCCATCCGTCATTCTATCCAATGCTGACTATGCTACAGTCGGGACAATCCTTCATCGAGCACTCCTACAAGGCTGATTCCGACCTGTCGCCTGCAGGATGGGAGTATGCTGAGCGTCTCAAAGCGGCTGTCATTGCTCGACGAAAGGCGCTCCGGGAAGAGAGAAAGTCCAAGGGCGAAACAGTGGGTGAAGAGAACCCTTTGCTGGTGAGCCATTCCTCCATCCACTTGTTTCCTTGGCTCAACAGTGGATAGATTTGGACGTCAGCCCGTCGACGTGCCTACCACACTGCCTGGCCATTCGTCCAGCAAGGGTACAAGGTCGTCCAGAAACCCATCATGTCGGAGATCAATCCCGGTGTCTGGGACGGTCTTTCTACGCAGGAGGCCATGGACTCTTACCCCGATGAATGGCAGAGGTTTTTGGCTGATCCGTATGCTCATCGAGCGCCCAGAGCGGAGAGCTACCACGATCTGAGTGTCAGACTGGAGAGTGTCATCTTTGAGTTGGAGAGATGCCAGGATGACTTGCTCATCATCGGGCACGCTTCCGTCATTCGATGTCTGGTGAGCTCGTCGAGATCTCGGCTGTGGATGTGACTGACAATGATTAGCTGGCCTACCTTGTCGGGCTCCCCCCCAACGAAGTCCCCGCCGTTGAAATTGCGCGCGGTGACCTAGTCGAAATCACCCCGGCCTCATACGGTGTCATCTCCCAAGCCTGGCACTTTTGGTCGGGCGAAGGCCGAGGCAACATCTATGGCGAAAACCTGTACGAAAACTTTGCCGAATCCACTTCCGGTAAAGGCTCCGTCTTGCCTGACAGTGGCGTCAACTTTGCCGCAGACGCTTTGAACATGGAGAAGGAGGCGGTGGAAGAAGAGGAGAAGGAAAAGGAAAAGGAGCAGGGCAAGGTCGCGGAGGTAGCGGCTGCATTGGGCCAGGTAGCAGCGCAGGCTGGCAACAATGGGGGTGGAGTTGGTCAGGGTGCTAGAGGTCCTGGAAGGGCGTTGAGGAGGTGGGGGTCGGAGAAGGGACGAGGCAGGGGGCTTCCCGGGGTCAGTGAGATGAGCGAGATTGAGGGTGAAGAGCAGAAGAGGGACGATGCGGCTGTGTCTGACAATGAAGGTCAGGAAGGTGGTGCCAAGCGTGGACGAGCCAGTGAGTTCACTGAAAACCTTTGCGAAATAGTGACTGACCGTTTTGCTAGTGAGTTTGTTGGAGATCTAGATGTGAACAGGAAACGGCCGGAGAACAATCAGAAGAAATCCCCAATCAGATGTGTACATTATTATTATCTCGATGCAAAATGATCCGAATGAATATGTTTTTGAACTACTTTACAAGCAAGCGATCTATCCAGATGTCTACGCTCGGTTGATCGTCCATGCCCCCATCTAGCTGCTCTGAGAGCTGTACTAGCAGATCTTCCGGCACATCATCCTTCGCCAGCAAACTCCAGTTCGGCGACTGACCTCCTCGAACCCAGTCAAAATCTTGCACCACCGTATGCTTGCTGACATAGTCCTACAATCGTTCAGCAGATATGCCGAATGTGACTCTTTTTACTCACAGGAGTCTGAGGCAGGAGCAGATTTGGATAGGGTCCGAACGTCAAGTTTTGGCTGTGTTCTATCACGGGCAGACTCGCAACGTTCAGCAAGACTTTTGTCTTTGTAGAGGAATGCATTCGAAACTATTATCATAGGTTAGATGCTGTAGTATGCTTGCTCGTGAGAACATACCTGTTGAGCACCAACAACAACTAGGCAATTGTCCAAGTCGGACAACATAGCACTGCCCGGCAGTAAGGGGGCCAACAAGACGCATCTGGTCAACTTTTTGGCATGCAAAGTCGTCAATACCGGTAGTGCCGACTGACTTGGGTCCGTAGACGATGGCGATTTGCAAGGACGCAGGTCGATCAGGCAGTGGGACATGGATGATAGAGAAAGGGTGTAGGTCCCAGTGCCGGGGGCTAGCTCTGGTCGAACCAGTGCGTTGAAGCGGCCCTCGATTGTATGTGTATTGATCGGAGACCGTTCAACACTGGGACTTGCCTCTTCCCTATCTCTCGACGGACCAGCGACAACAGTAGGGCTTGGAGGGGTAGCTTTTGCTGGAAGGGGTTTCTTGCTTTTGGCGAACACAAACCGGCTCTTCGGTTTGTCTTTCGTCCTGAGGGTAGATAGTTTGGTATCCAGTCCATTCAGCTCCTACTGTCCAACATCAGTCATGTCGCTATCGCCAGTCACGAAACATGACACAGACCTCGGTGTACCGCCCCCTGTCATATTTCGGTAGTCCTTCGCCGTAGGAGTCTACTAATTTGCGAAGATCTTGGATCAATCTTGCGATATGGGAGAGTGAAGCTCCTGGTGTTTCGCAAGCTTGCAGGATATCTGGATACGGAAGATATCAGTCATCGAACGACTGGTGTGAAGAGGTCTGACCTTGCTTTTGCGCATGGAAGTGGGTATGCAAGTCTGCCGAAGCCGTTGTTGATACAACGCCTTGCTCGTTCGTGGCCATCTTGCGCGTGATCCAGCTACGGGGTTGTGTAGGACTTGGTGGGCTCTTGAGAGATGGCCTGGTCGTTTCTCCAGTTTCGAGAACAAACAATTTTGCTCCTATGCATGATGTTGATGAGACGCGCACGCGCGGTGGAGGCACGCTTTCTCTGATCTGTCCATCTCCTGGAGCCTCTGGGCCTCTTGACCTGTCATCTCACAAGAATCAAGCTGAGAGGATCCCAACCCCTTCCCCCCTCGCTCTCACCCTCTGATGCTCCAGATCCGGGCAGAAAACCCTCGCCCGGCTATCCCGTGCTCGTCATAGGCTCGCTAGATAGGCTTGCGGTGGCTGCAATTTGCCACGTGTTCCCCGCGTGCGGTCCCTTTAATTAACAACGTCAGGAGCATTTTTTGCTTACGTACTGCCTCCACCGATCGCGGTGGTGGCTTTGTTGGATCTTTTTTTTTGCTTCTCCCTCCTCTTCTCTCCTCCTTCCTCTCTCGAATGCATAAGCAATAAGCTGCTCGCCACAGCCACGTGCTCTGTCTCTGTCCACTACTAGCGAACACAGACACCGCACCAGTTTTTCCCTCCCTTCCACCCAAAAATTTTAGACGTCATGTCCTCCCCCACTGCCCCTGCCTTCGAGGGTGCCATCCCCTCGGGTGATATCCCCCCCGCCCAGCAGGCCCAGGGCCTCGCTCCCGCTGGCCACAGCGTCGCTGCCGACGCCGAAAATGTCCTGAACAGGAGGACCCCTTCCGTCGCCCCCGTGCCCCGTCCCGCCGGCAGTCTCTATCCCCCTGCTACCCTCAAGGGTATCGACTACGAGGGCATGCCTGACGAGCCCAAGTGGGAAGACGCCATGGGTGAGCCCGACGCCGTTTTGGAACTTGCCGATGGCCTCGCGCTTGCCGGTCACTCTTTTGGTGCAAAGAAGTCTGTCGCTGGTGAATGTGTCTTCCAGACCGGTACGTTTTTTGTGGGGCCTTCTTGCGCAGGCGATTGACCGTCGTTCAGGTATGGTCGGCTACCCCGAGTCGCTCACCGACCCCTCTTACTCTTCCCAAATTTTGATTCTCACCTACCCCTTGGTGGGTAACTACGGTGTCCCCGAGAGACCCGATGTCGAGTCGAGCAAGGTCCCCACTTCCGAAGATGCCCACAACGCTCTTCCCCCGACCCATCTCCTCGACTCTTTGCCCCTCGAGTTTGAGTCATCTCACATCCACATCTCTGCCCTTGTGGTGGCCAACTACCACCCCAGCTTCTCTCACCACCTTGCTTCCTCTTCTTTGGGCAAGTGGCTCGAAGAGCAAGGCATTCCCGCTATCTGGGGTGTCGACACAAGGATGCTCACCAAGCGTCTCCGTGAGGGTGGTGTCCTTCTCGGTCGTGTCCTCAACAAGCAGGTCGGTACCGCTTCCGAGACCGAACGAGGCAGGGACACTGGTGTCCTTGGTGGTGTCCAGAAGTTGATCAACGGTCTTTCTGCGCCCACTTCTATGACCCGATCTCTCTCTTCCGACAACTTCAACATGAACTGGAAAGAGGACTATGAGACTGTCCCGTTCTACGACCCCAACCACGAGAACCTCGTGGCCAAGGTGTCCACCAAGACCCCTACTGTTTACACCGCCAGCTCCAAGTCTGAGAAGAAGCTCCACCCCAAGACTGGCAGGCAGATCCGAGTTTTGGCCATTGATGTCGGTATGAAGTGGAACCAGATCAGGTGCTTCAGAGAGCGAGGTGTCGAGGTCAAGGTCGTCCCCTGGGTGAGTTATATCACATTTTTGAATGGCCAGCCACTGACAATATGGATAGAACTACGACTTCAATGCTGAGTCTGAGCCTTACGATGGTCTCTTTGTCTCCAACGGTCCCGGTGACCCTTCCATGGTCAAAGAGACTATCGCCAACCTCTCTAAGGCCCTTGAGACCTCCAAGGTCCCTATCTTTGGTATCTGTCTCGGTCACCAGCTTCTTGCCCTCGCTTCTGGTGCCAACACCCGAAAGATGAAGTACGGTAACCGTGGTATGAACTTGCCCTGTACCTGCGCCACTTCTGGCCGATGCTACATCACCTCCCAGAACCACGGTTACGAGGTCGACGTCACCACTCTCAAGAACGGCTGGGAGCCTCTCTTCACCAACGCCAACGATGGCTCCAACGAGGGTATCTGGTGCGGCAAGAACGGCAAGCCCTTCTTCTCCGTCCAATTTCACCCCGAGTCCGCCCCCGGACCCCGAGACACCGAGTTCCTCTTCGATGTCTTTATCCAGAGCATCGTCGACACTGCCCGCGAGGGTCGTCTCATCTCTATCGATGTGCCCGGCGGTGAGCTTGCCGATAATGTCGCTGCCAAGCCCCGTGAGCAGGTCAAGAAGGTCCTCGTCCTCGGTTCCGGTGGTCTTTCCATTGGCCAGGCCGGTGAGTTTGACTACTCTGGTTCTCAGGCCATCAAGGCGCTCAAGGAAGAGGGTATCTACACCATCCTTGTCAACCCCAACATCGCCACTATCCAAACCTCCAAGGGCTTGGCTGACAAGGTGTACTTCCTCCCTGTCACCCCCGAGTTTGTGATGAAGATCATCAAGCACGAGAAGCCCGATGGTATCTACTGTACTTTCGGTGGTCAGACCGCCTTGAACGTCGGTATCAAGCTCAAGGACGACTTCCCCAAGCTTGGTGTCAAGGTCCTCGGTACCCCCATTGACACCATCATCACCACTGAAGACCGAGAGATGTTTGCTCGAGCTATGGAAGAGATTGGCGAGAAGTGTGCCGAGAGCGCCACCGCTGTCAACTATACCGAGGCCCTCGAGGCCGCCCAGCGAATTGGTTTCCCCGTTATCGTCCGGGCTGCCTTTGCTCTTGGTGGTCTCGGTTCCGGTTTTGCTCACAACGAGGAGCAATTGTCCGACCTTTGTGACAAGGCTTTCGCCACCAGTCCCCAGGTTTTGGTTGAGAAGAGTATGAAGGGTTGGAAGGAGATCGAGTACGAGGTTGTCAGGGATTGCAGGAATAACTGTATCACTGTGTGTAACATGGAGGTGAGTCGTCCCTATTGGTAAAGGTGGACAGTGCTGACGGCAAGTAGAACTTTGACCCTCTTGGTATCCACACTGGTGACTCTATCGTCATTGCGCCTTCGCAGACTCTCTCCGACGCGGACTACAACATGCTCCGTACCACCGCTGTCAACGTCATCCGACACCTTGGTGTCGTTGGAGAGTGTAACATTCAGTACGCCCTCAACCCCTACTCCAAGGAGTACTGCATTATCGAAGTCAACGCCCGTCTCTCTCGATCTTCCGCCTTGGCTTCCAAGGCTACTGGCTACCCCCTTGCCTTCATCGCCGCCAAGCTTGGTTTGAACATTCCTCTCAACGAGATCAAGAACTCTGTCACCAAGTTGACTTCTGCGTGCTTCGAGCCTTCTCTCGACTACTGTGTCGTTAAGATCCCTCGATGGGACTTGAAAAAGTTCAACCGAGTCAGCACTGCCCTCAGCTCCAGTATGAAGTCTGTCGGTGAAGTCATGGCTATCGGCCGTACTTTCGAGGAGACTATCCAGAAGGCCATCAGGTGTATCGATGACCAGCTGCCCGGTTTCGGCGACCACGCCCAGGTTGAGGACCTCGACTACGAGATTGCCAACCCCACCGACAAGCGACTTTTCGCTATCGCGGCTGCCATGAAGAAGGGCTACACTGTGGAGAAGTTGAACCAGATGAGTAGCATCGACCCCTGGTTCTTGACTAGGTTGCAGAGATTGGTGAAGACTGAGCAGGTCATTTCGTAAGTATTACATTGCTTTCACGCTTTCCGCCAAACTGACGTCGTCCAGTGGCTACGACGCGTCTACTGTCCCCTCCGCCCTCATCCGAAACGCTAAGCAGATCGGTTTCGCCGACCGACAGATCGCCAAGATGCTCAACTCCAACGAGCTCGCTGTCCGTCGTCTTCGTATCGAGGCTGGCATCACTCCCTTCGTGAAGCAGATCGACACTGTCGCTGCCGAGTTCCCTGCTTTCACCAACTACCTCTACACCACCTACAATGCCACTGAACACGACATTGAGTTTGAGGACAACGGTGTGATGGTTCTCGGTTCGGGTGTCTACCGAATCGGTTCCTCCGTCGAGTTCGATTGGTGTGCTGTCAGGGCCATCAGGACTCTTAGGGAGAACGGGATGAAGACTGTCATGATCAACTACAACCCCGAAACCGTGTCTACCGACTACGACGAGGCGGACAAGTTGTACTTTGAGAACATCTCTCTCGAGACTGTCCTCGACATCTACGACGCTGAGCGCTCTAGCGGTGTTGTGTTGTCCATGGGTGGTCAGACTCCCAACAACATTGCTCTCTCTCTCCACCGTCAGAACGTCAAGATCTACGGTACTTCCCCTGAAATGATTGACACTGCCGAGAACCGATACAAGTTCTCCCGAATGCTCGACAAGATCGGTGTCGACCAGCCTTTGTGGAGGGAGTTGACCTCTTTCTCCGAGGCCAAGTCGTTCTGTGACAAGGTCGGCTACCCTGTGCTTGTCAGGCCTTCTTACGTCTTGTCTGGTGCTGCCATGAACGTCGTCTTCACCGAGGACGACCTCAGCAGCTACCTCACCCAGGCCACCGACGTCTCTCGAGACCACCCCGTTGTCATCTCCAAGTACATCGAGGAGGCCAAGGAGATTGAGATGGACGCCATTGCCCGAGACGGTAAGATGGTGATGCACTACATCTCCGAGCACGTTGAGAATGCTGGTGTCCACTCTGGTGACGCCACGCTTGTCCTTCCTCCTCAGGACCTCGACCCCGAGACCATCCGAAAGATTGAGGTTGCTACTGCCAAGATTGGTCAGGCCCTCAACGTCACTGGTCCTTACAACATCCAGTTCATCGCCAAGAACAACGAGATCAAGGTCATCGAGTGTAACTTGCGAGCTGCTCGATCCTTCCCCTTCGTCTCCAAGGTCACCGGTATCGATGCTATCGAGATCGCCACCAAGGTCATGCTTGGCTTGCCCTGCACTCCCTACCCCGACATCAAGATGCCCCCCAACTATGTCGGTGTCAAGGTGCCCCAGTTCTCTTTCAGTCGATTGTCTGGTGCCGACCCTGTTCTCGGTGTCGAGATGGCTTCCACTGGTGAGGTCGCTTGCTTCGGCAAGGACAGATACGACGCCTACTTGAAGGCTCTCATCTCTACTGGTATCACTCCCCCCAAGAAGAACATCTTGTTGTCCATCGGTTCCTTCAAGGAAAAGCTCGAAATGCTTCCTTCCGTGCAAAAGTTGCACCGCATGGGTTACAACCTCTTTGCCACTGCTGGTACCGCCGATTTCATCCAGGAGCACGGTGTGCCCGTCAAGTACCTCGAAGCTCTCGGCTCTGAGAATGACGACAACCCCCAGAAGAAGGAGTACTCGTTGAGCCAGCATCTTGCCAACAACATGATCGACTTGTACATCAACTTACCCTCTAAGAACAGGTTCCGACGACCTGCCAGCTACATCTCTGAGGGTTACAAATCCCGACGAATGGCCGTCGACTTTGCCGTCCCCTTGATCACCAACGTCAAGAACGCCAAGCTCTTCATTGAGGCTATCATCCGAAAGCCTACCTTTGACATCTCGAGCGTCGACTACCAAACCTCTCACCAAACCTTCACCTTCCCTGGTTTGGTGAATGTCCAAGCGTTCGTTCCCGGTGCTGCCGCCCCCAACTCTCCCGACTTTGGGGATGCTACCGAGGCTGCTATCCGTGGTGGATTCACCATCATGCAGATGGTTCCTCAAGGTGTCTCCTCTGCTGTCGAGGACGAGATCTCGCTTCAGCATGCTCAAGCCAACGCCTCTGGCGCTGCCCACTGCGACTACTTCTTCTCTGTTGCGGCCACTGCCGACAACGCTTCTCGCTTGCAAGACGCCGTCGCTGCGGGTGCCAAGGCTCTCTTCATCCCCTTCAACAACTTCTTTGGCTCGATCAACAAGGTCAGCAGCATTGCCCAGCACTTTGCTGCCTGGCCCGTTGACAAGCCCATTGTTACCGATGCCAGGTCCACCGACCTTGCTTCCATCTTGTTGTTGGCGAGCTTGAACAGCAGGAGCATTCACATCGCTAGTGTGTCCACCAAGGACGACTTGCTTTTGATTGCTTTGGCGAAAGAGAAGGGCCTTGCTGTCACCTGTGACGTCTCTATCTATGCTCTCTTCTACTCCCAGGACGATTTCCCCGAAGCTGCCAAGGTCCTTCCCAGCAAGGAAGACCAGAATGCTCTCTGGGAGAACCTGGCTAGCATTGACGTCTTCTCTGTTGGTGTCCTCCCTTACGAGCTCGGTACCGCCCTCGGCAAGCCCGTCTCTGCTCGATCTGGTGTTGCCGAGTCTATTCCTTTGCTACTCACCGCTGTCACTGAGGGCAGATTGACTCTTGAGGATATCTCTCGAAGACTCACCGAGAACCCTCGCGCCATCTTTGGCTTGTCTGAGCAATCCCAGACTTATGTCGAGATTGAGGTCAACCGATCTTCTTCCTTTGTCGCCGACGATTTCGAGAACACTTGGTCTCCTCTTGATGGCCAGTCCATCGCCGGTAACGTGCACAGAGTCGTCGCGAACGACCATTCCATCTTCCTCGATGGCCAGACCTTCTCTATGCCTTACGGCAGGGACGTATCTGCTTCCGGACCTCGTCAACCTCGAGGCTCTTTCACCTCTAAGAAGCGACCTTCTTTGGCCGGCCTCATGTCTCCTACCACCGAGAGGAGGGAGAATGTTTCGGTGAACGGCGAGAAGCTCATGTCTCTGGCCTCTGTTGCTCCTATCCGAGAGAGCTCGCCTCAGCGAAGCTTGATGTCCCTCCAGTCTCACCCTACCTTCTCCCGTCGTCACATTCTTTCAGTCAACCAGTTCGACCGTGAGGACTTGCACGCCTTGTTCAACCTCGCTTCCGAGATGCGCATTGCGGTTGAGCGATCTGGTTCTGTTGACACTCTGCGAGGACGAGTGCTCTGCACTCTCTTCTACGAACCCTCCACCAGGACTAGCAGCTCTTTCGAGACTGCTATGAAGCGATGTGGTGGTGAAGTTGTGCAGGTGACCGCTTCTACTTCATCTGTCGTCAAGGGCGAGAGTCTGGCGGACACTATCAGGACTGTTGGGTGCTACGCCGATGCTGTTGCGTTGAGGCACCCTGCCGTTGGCAGTGCCAAGTCTGCATCTAAGTCTAGTCCTGTCCCCATTTTGAACGCCGGTGATGGTATCGGTGAGCATCCTACTCAGAGTCTGTTAGATGTCTTCTGCATTCGAGAGGAGTTGGGATCCGTGAACGGTATCACTGTCACTCTGAGTAAGTTTCCGCCTATCTTCTCTCTAGAAAGTCTGCTGATGAATGTATAGTCGGTGACCTGAAGAACGGGAGGACCGTGCACTCTCTCGTCAAGCTCCTTTCCTTGTACGATGTCACCCTCAACTTTGTCTCTCCTCCTTCCCTCGCTATGCCCGACAGCGTCAAGGCCGAGGCTTCCCGAGCTGGTGTTCGATTCACCGAATCGTACACCCTCACCGACGATATCCTCGCCAGATCCGATGTCCTTTATGTCACTCGTATCCAGAAGGAGCGATTCGACAATGTCTCCGAGTATGAGGCTGTCAAGGACATCTACATCATCAACAACAAGGTCTTGGAGAAGGCGAAGGAGTCTGCCATCGTCATGCACCCCTTGCCCAGAGTCAACGAGATTGACCCTGAGGTCGACTTTGACTCGAAGAGAGCAGCCTACTTTAGGCAAATGCGATACGGTCTTTTCGTAAGTTGGTTCATTATTCTTGATAGCAACCGCTGACATCGCACAGGTCCGTATGGCGCTCCTTACTTTGGTCTTGGGTGCTTAAGGTGATGGAGGCAGGAAGCGTAGGATGTCTTGGTATACTGTAGCTAGGAGGTGTAAGGAATTGTGGCATACATAGTGTTGGGTTAGCATTTTGGAACAACCGTCTCGATATAAACAAAAAATCTCTATTGGTAGATTCATCTCTTCATATATGTACAAATCAGGAATCAATCAAAAAGTAGAATTGCATATGCATTGCTCTGGCTCGACTGTCGTCTGTGTTTATCGGTCTTCGTGCGAGTGTCTGGCATAGAGAGCTGATTCCCTCACAATACATATATAAGTACTGGTACAATACACCGCCCGCTTCATATCAAGCTTCCAAGCAAGAATCAAATATCCAAGTCATCCTCATCCAGAATGCTCTCCACCTCAGAATCCTCGTCTTCGTCTTCGTCTTCGTCCTCGTCCTCGTCCTCGTCATCCTCTTCATCTTCCTGCTCCTCGCTCTCTTCCTCGACAGGCGCCATCCTCCCTTTGCTCTTCTTGACAGAAGCCGCAGGAGCTTTCTTCGCGCGCGAAGATCTGGGCTTTGAGGGCTCCTTGGCTTTTACTTTGCTGGCGGAAGCCTTCGAGGATTTCCCCTTGCCCTTCGTCTGTGGCGTCGCCCTTGGAGTCGCATCGTCGTCATCATCCGACCCGCCAGTGACAGTACTTTGATTATCTCCCTCTTCGGAAGACTCATCGCGTATGGCAGTCGATACGCTTCGACTACGACGAGAAGTCGATGCGCCTCGCTTGCCCTTACGGGTGCCAGCTTCGTTCTGGGCTACGTCTATCTCATCACTGAAATCTCGGTCAGAAACAACGTTCGTGGTGGAGACGTTCACTTACACTTCATCTATGAACTCGTACAGGTCTCCAATCTCCTCGTTCCCTTCTGCTTTGCTTCTGAAAGTGTCCCCATCAAAGTCACCGAGGACGTCGCTCCACTTCTTCAAGAGCCCGGTCTCAAACTTGTTGACAGCATTGCGTGAAGGGGCATCCGATAGTGGGCGCTTGTCTCGGATAGCAGTTATGAGTGCTAGTAATGACTTGAGTCTCCAGGTTTCACTCGTCTCCTCAGGAAGATTGAGTTTAGATAAGAACGAAGCTAGAGCTTTGCGTGATTCGGCTTCGAGGCAGATCAGCAATCAGTCGGGCGCGGTCCGTCTAGAGTTGCTTACGGAGAGTCTCTGTCAAGAGACATTTAAGAATTTCGGCAGCCAATTCCAAGTGGATGGCAGTATCGACAGAAGATCCGTCCTTCTCGCTGCATCCCCATGTCAGTCGACGCAGTTTGGAATAATCACCTGACTCACACAGCCTTGTAAGGATCAAGCCAATCGACCATCATTAACCCAATCTGAGAGAGCGGAGGCATCTCTTCGTCTTCTGCTTCTTCCCAAAGTCTTGAGAGCATACCAAAGGTGTGATAGAAGATCTGGTGATAGAATGAGCGTCGATAGTAATGAACGGCAGTTCAAACTCACGTCGAGCATGCGCCTTTGGTTCTCTGCTGCCGTGTAGCAGTAGACAGGAAGGAAGTAAGTCAGACATTGTCGCAGAGGCTGATTTTCAGCAGTCTCGGGAGAGAAATAGAGGAGTACTAGAGACTGCAAGACCTGAGAACTGGGTCAGCTAGTCACTGAGCGGTCAAAGTTATACGCACAACCACGTCCGATATCATACCGGCGAGCATCAATTTAGCTACTCCTTCGCATGCTACCGCCTGAACTTCTGGAATGTCCAGACTTAGGGTATGTCTGACAAGCTCGACGACATTGTCGCGTTGCTAGATCCCGTCAGTTTCCCATAGGTCTTTGTTTAGGGCCTCGCTCACAACCATGGTTTTGGAGATCAAAGCATCGATGTCGTGGACCATCAAAAGGTCAAAGATAACTTGGCAGACTTTGACTTTGAGCTCGTCGTCTGCAGTCTGAAGTTGCTGGATGAAAAGGCCAAAAGAGTTGGCCGCCATTTTCTGATCATACAGTCAGCCATCGTCCTTCCACCATTCAGGATACGTACAGCATCAATCATGCAACACAGTCCGAGACAGATTAGACCCTGGTCTCTTAGGGCTGGTTCTTCTTTGTTCCTCACGGCAGGAATGATGAGATCGGGTAATAAGCCGTGGAATACTGAGTTGTCCTGGAGTGTCGAGTTCACTCGCTCCAAGAGACTGATGCAGATGAGGAGGCAACGAAGGTCAACCAAGGCAGCTCTCATCCTGTCTTCAGGATCGTCCATGTTAAACCTCGGAGCAACAGACCGACTTCGCCCACTACCGACAGACAATCGGCGTACGCTGATGCTGTTGTCGCCAGCCGATCCCTGGCCGAAAGACGGCCCATCTTCTTCATCACCTTCGCCTTCCCTGAGCTCGGTCACGACATCAACGATTACTCTAATGAGGTCTCGCTCGCCGTTGGCAATCTTGCTGAGGACGTCAAGGCAAAGAGGGATCAATAATTCCGGAAGATTGCTTTGAGAAATCATTTCGCCTGTGAGAGACATCAGGTTCATCGTTTCATTGTCTGCCACTCGAAAACTCACGTGCGAGCTGGAACATCTTTCTTCTGCCGATTTCATCTGCATAATCAAGGTTGACGGCCAACTTGAGCAATTCCCCAACCACAAAAGTTCTGTCGCCAGTGTCTGACTCTTCACTATCGTCATTGGTGGAGCTGACGAGCTTGTTGTACTCGTCCTGGATCTGGAAAGCAAGGGCGGTCACAACGGGGAGAGCATCCTCGAGGCGGATATTGTCCTGTTGCGTAGTAAGTACCGGCAAAGAGAGAGACCGATGTACCTACCTTTGTTGTGATACAGCGGTCCACAAAAACCCTAGCCAAGAACGCTTTCTCGGGACTCAACGAAGTCCAGAAGTCATCTAATGACCTGTCAGCCAGTCTTTGCAATGTCGAGGCTCTACTCACCACCGAAGTCCACAGCCTGAAACACCTCAGGTCTGGTAACGAACACGGAGACCAATGCGTCTTCGGCCACTTGACTGGAAACCACGTCGAACCGATTCAAAAACTATAGCCGAGTCAGCTGGGTCGACCAATAATCCTGAATGCTGCGTACTTCAATGATGTCTCCTTCAACCGTATCCAGCCAACCAGCCAGCATCCCAGCAGCAGCTTTCCTCACAGACCCCTCTCTGTCACCGAGGCCATTTCGAACGACATCCTCTCTCTGGGCAATGCTCAAGACACGAGGGTCGGGGAGCCCATCAGCACCGAGGACGCCAGCAAAGACCGTTCGTCGGAGGATGGGGTCGACGTCGCGGGTACGTGCGAGGATATGAGGCAGGGTCGCCGGGGTCTGAGGGAAGTTGTAAAGGGCGGCACGTCGCACCTCCCTGTGAGGTGTCAGCCCGTAAAATTCTGCCGAGAGCGATCAGACTTACGCTGCGGGGTCGTATCGGAGAAGGTCTAGCAGCACGTTTGCAAGAGGCTCTTGCCCCTCTTCAAGGTCATCCTCATCCTCTCCACTTTGCAATTTGGATAACCCAAGAGTAGCTTGAACCCTAATCGCCGCTTCCTTGTCCTTTGCCCGGTCCAACAGGGATTTTCGTAGAAGCACGTAAAGGTCATCACTGGGAAAAGATGTCAGCTGGAATGGACAATCTTCAGAGTCAATACTCACTCCATCTCTCCGAGCCCACTGATCATTGAGACGGTCAATAGAGTGACTCTAAATCGCACGTTTTTGTCTTTGGCTTCCATACCAGAAAGAAGGTGACGAAGCAATTTGACAACAAAGCGAGATGCTGTGGTGTCGGTGTCTTCATCGTCATCTTCATCTTCGGGTTTGTTTTCAGCATCTACAAAGCTTGATCAGCAGGGGTAATTTCTGTAGTAGAAGCAACTAACCCGTTTCTGTAGAGTATATCACGTAGCTGGCAACGAATTTGATGACTCTGTCGGCCACAGCGACGCCCTTCTTGACCGGCAGTACCCTGCTGACCATGTCCATAAAGGCTGTGTTGAAAGCCTTCTCTCCTACGAGCTTGATGCCTTTGGCGGTCTCTTCTGTGAAGGTTGCGCATTGTTCTTGGATCTTGTGAAGATGGACGATGTTCTTGCGGTGGTTGGCCGTCGTTTGCTGCACTTGCTCAAAGATGGGTGGGAGAAGAGAGGGAAGAGTGTCGGTAAGGTACTCTGGCTCTACACTCGGCTTTGACTTCTTTGGCTTTGCGTTTACCATGGCGGGTGAGCAGAGGGATAGAGGGACAAGAGATAGTTGAGGGAATGTGATGCTGGTCATGTCACCAAAACTGTTGCTTTTGTTTGTGCTGGTCCGACGCGCTCATTACGTAACGCATGAGGGACGCGTTTTTGTGTCAACAAGACATGACAGCGTTCCCATCGCATCTCAACTGTGTCTACCACCAGAGCATAGCATATCAACTTTACCCCCGACTTACGATGTCGCAGCAAAGTCGCAAACCTCAAATACAAGCGGCTTTCCCCATCCTCAGAGCCGAGGACATTCTCGAATGTCTCGCCGCTTTAGAGATTCCCGCCACACTCGAAGACATCATCAAACCGACTGCCGCGAGCTCCTATGGTATCTACGGATATCTTCTTGAAGTGCTCATGGGTGCTACCGGAGACGCTATTGAAGGCCCAAAACAGGCGTTGTTGGGCATGATTGAGTACAAGGTACGTCTTTCAGGTCTACAGCGCTGCTCTTGTGCTGACAAGCGATGGTCAGGATCTGTACAATGATACGCTGCAATTTGTCATGTTTTTCAAACACTGGTATGAACGTATCTCTACTGTTGGAGAAGATCACTCATAGACTCTGACAGTCGTCGCTTGGCGTTGCTGTGTGGCATCAACGATTTCGCTATGGCAGATTTGACCAGACCTGAGCCTGTCCGTTTCAGAAAGGCTCTCAGTGGCATAATGAACTTTGCCAAGTTCAGGTGGGCAATTTTTTGGCATGAAAGAAATATGAGAAAGAGAGCTCACAGACACTCCTAGGGACGAACGGATGCAGACTCATGCTATCTATCAAGAAGCGTATGTGAAGCAGCAAAGAAAGTGAGTCACGCGCGAGGGATATTCACACATGTTCTGATATAATCTTCAGGGCTCTCGAGATGCGTCAGAAGTCTATGGATCTGGAGCGGCAGCTTCAAGAAATAACGTGGGTTGCTTCGCATGGTGACGCCGCGTATACTGACAAGTCCTGCCAGTAAACGGAATGAAGCCGACAGACCTCAATCAGAAAAGGCGCAGCAGAGGAATGAGGGCTTGAGAAGTGAGCTCATGGAGCTGAACACGGCTCGTGTCAAGATCACGCACGAGTACGACGAGCTCAAGAAGGAGAAGCAGCAACTCCTTGAATTAGTTGTAAGTCGACAATGCTTTTACCAACATATGCCTGACTTGGATTATAGGCCAGCAACACCAAAGTCATGACGCAAATGGACCTCCAAAAGGCAGCCACCGAGTCAAGACTGGTCCAATCTCCGGATCGCCTCCGGCGTCACATCTCTGAAATGACATACTCTATTCAGAGCGAAAAGGCCCGATTAGCTTCATTTCAGCAAAAGGCTCGGGAGCTCACAAATCGGCTGGATGTCATCAGCTCTCTCGAGGTTGATCTCAAGAGTCTGATTGACCTCGAACACGGCATTCAAGAGCAACGAGGAAAAGCAGAAGAGACAAAGCGAGCCAAGGCGACTTTGGAAGGAAGGCTGGAAGGGAAGCGCATTGAGAGCCAAAGTCTATCAGCCAAGCTCGAGCAACTGCAGAAACAGCTGCTGAACGCCAGCCACAAGCTTGACAGACAGGAAGAGATGAGGAAGGAAATGCGCGAGAAGGGCGCGAAGAGGATTGAGGAGCTCAAAGCTGAGTGAGTCGGCCTCCCAGCAAGTATCGTATCTTGGCTGACAGTCTTCCAGATATATGAAGCGCACGAAAGAAAGACATGAGTGGCAGTCTAAGCGTGACACGCTGTTGGCGCAGCAGAAAAAGCTGGAATCGGAAATGAATGCGTACATCACCAAGCACGAGAACGACATCAACGAGCTCTTGCAGGAATACTGGAGTATGCGTCGACAAGCTGGTGAGCCTATCAGCATTGGAAACATGCGACACGGCGCTAACTTTGCCTCTCTCCAGAGGATTACATGAACATGATGACGGTCAAGCTCGGCCTGAGACTTGAGGCTTAGAGAAGGGCGATCGTGACGGCATTACCTTGGCGCGAATACTACCATCTCAATCGCGGTGTTGTCAGATGAATTTGTTGTACAGTATATAGACAGACTCTTTGGGACTTATGGGTATCTTCAATATCCTATGGTACATGCTTCTGTTCATCGTTACTTCTGGATCGTACTGTTCGCTCATATCACAACAACAACAACTGGACAACATCGCCAACGTCGGTACACCGCTTCCCCCATTCACCAAAACTCCTTCCCTACGTCAATACACTGCTCAGTAGAGGTTCGTGCCACTGTCAGTCTTCTTCTTGGACGCGGCCTTCTTGCCCTCTTTGTGGAGCTTGACGATCTGCTTCTTCCAGCTGACTGATGATCGTGCTCAGTCAGTGCCGTCTCAGAAGGATCGTGATAGAGATAACTCACAGCAAGACTTGCAGTTGGGGTTACCGTGAGCCTTGCAGGTGTAAGACCCGTCCTTTTGGTTCTTGTAGTGGGCAGGAAGTTCGAGAGGACCACGGGGAGCGGCATCAAGCCTTTGTGAGTGTCAGCGTCAAGATTAAAGTTCACTGCAGAAGTAAGTTCTTACCCCATCATAAAGTCGTTGTCTGATATGATTGACGATGAGCAATGCCCGGTATAGCTATACTCAACTGGAGCTTACCTTCGCGAGCATCAAACTCGCAAGACTTGCAGACTTCGAGACCGTGCTCGCAGAACATCGCATCATTGATCTCGACTGTCGTGAAAGAAAGATGTCAGTCTCAGGGTAGTGCAGTCTGGCACAGAGTGAAACAATGCCTACTCGAGCTATCGGAGGCGACAGTGCTGTCATTGACGGTCAGTACTGGTTGTTGATCGAGATCTCGCCACACCCACCCCTCACCCCCACCCTCTCGGATGAAATCTGGCTCACTCGGTGGGAGAAATACCAAGCTCAACCATGGTGAATCTCGTTTGTTTGAGTAGCTAGTCCGTGTGTAGAGATGGCTGTATCAGAAGACGGTCAAAGTAGACAGGTCGTGGAGTATAAGAGGCGCCCGGTCGTCTGGTTCACATCCCGCCTTATATAGCATCCACTACATGCGATCCGGTGACCTCGCATGCTAATCTGACAGTCATCTGACGGTTCCCATCTACTGTGGCCGAATAAGAAAAGGAAAGACGAAGAGTCGTATGACCTGGGTGCCACAAACGGCATACCACGAGTCCACGCCGGCCGGCCGAGTCGGCAACTTACAAGAGCCGTGGAGACCCCAAGGCACGAGTCGTCTCTTCTCTTGCCTCTTGCTGGCATACCATGTTTGGTCAGCTTTGGAAGGATCTGTAAGTGCTGGCAGCAGTACATAGCATCCTTGCGAGCTCTGAAGTGGAAACCACGCATTGGGTCCATGGGAAATGAGAGTGCTCGTGATACGCCTTCAGCGCCATCCAAATGTCGTATAGCGATGTCTCTACTTTGCATCTGCCTCATTAATTGCATTAGTCGTATAGTATCCGCAGACAGTTCCCACATCGATTAGGTGGACCTCAATCCCCGCTATTGCAAAGCAAATTGCCTAGTATGGGTCAAATGGCTCGTTGACCCCTACTCTACGTCTACTTTTGAGACACCTTAGCCGCCCCGCTCGCCTTCCAGGCGCTGATGATAGCCTCCATGACATCGCTCACACCGTCGTTGTTGCGAACTGAAGTGAATAGGGTGGGTCCAGTACCACGCATGGCAGCAGCATCCCGGCGCATCACCTCGAGAGAAGCACCGACATGGGGTGCCAGATCGATCTTCACATATGTGTCAACGATGTCCGAGAAACTATTTGACCTGAATCAAACTCACCTTGTTGACGATCAAGAGATCGGATTGCGTTATGCCGGGTCCACCCTTCCTGGGGATCTTATCACCACCACTGACATCGATAACGTAGATGATATAGTCTGCAAGCTCCCTCGAGTAGTTTGCTAACGGACGATTGCTAGGTCAGCCTCGTCCGAATCAATAAATATATGACTATTGCGCACCAGCAAGATTGTCGCCTCCGCTTTCGACAAACAGTAGCTCAGTCTCGAACTGCGCCTGCAACTCCTCAAGAGCGCCCATGTTGGCCGAGATGTCTTCTCTGATAGCCGCATGAGGGCATCCACCGGTCTCAATGGCACGAATGCGCTCAGCGGGGAGAGCTTGGTTTCGGATGAGGAACTCTTGATCTTCCCGAGTGAAAATGTCGTTCGTCACAGCAGCTGTCGGGGAAAAGATCAAGCATACCGTTAGCGACTCGAACAACGGCATATATGGCGGGCTTCCGAGTTCAGCTCGTATACTCACCGATGTTGTACTTTTCTCTAAACCCTCGACACAGAGCCAGTAGCAAAGCAGTCTTTCCTGAGCCAACAGGTCTAGGTGACAAACCACGTCAGCGACATGTCAATAGCTTATCAATCCTGCGAAAAAGCTTACCCGCCAATACCAATGGTGAAAGCCCGCTCTTCCCAGTTCCTTCCGCTGTAGTCGGGCATATCCCTCTCGGCGAACTTTCCTGGAGAGCGCGACGAAATGTCAGTCACGGCGTCCAATCAATCTTCTTATTGACCTCGCCAAGACTATCTCATCCGAGCAAGGATTGAACGTACCAGCATGTTCCAAATGCTCGTGCGTATGCCCATGCTCTTCGGGTGTCCACAGTCCGCCGGCCCCATCGTCATGGTAATGACCATGCTCGTGGTGTGTGGAGCCATCGTGGGTGTGCGAAGCTACGGAAGACGTCCCGGAGAAGGACGAAGGGGTGTGGTGGTGATTGCCGTGGGCGCTAGCCTCTTGAGTTTGGGCGGCGTTGAGCGCGGTGGCGAGACGGTCTGAGAACTGGCAGACAGAGGGGGGGGCGGCCATGGTAGATAGAAGAGCCAACTGGTGGATAAAAAATGAATGCGACGTATACAATCCAAAAGCTCGGGCGGAGTCCCCAGGCGGGGGGGGACTCAGGGAAAAACAATGCGGCATTATTGGTCCCGGACCGAGCCTCTTATCTCGCTCGCAATCCTGCCATGTGTCATATGCTCTGCTTATCCATCTAATTTGCATGATGAATGAGTGCTACTGCTGGCTAGAATAGAAACGGCCCCATGCTAGCCCACTGGCGGTTTGAGCACTTCCCAAGTGATTCGCCCTTTTGGTCTTCTGTAGCTACTTGGCGCTCTCGTCCGGTACTTCGGAGCTGTCGGCTTCGTCCGCCTCCTTCCCCAAATCGTTTTCTGGGAGAGGGGGTTGGCCATCCATCCTTTTAAACGCATACCGACAAACCATCAGCCCATTCGTGAGGCCCTTTGACATCCACGCCTTCTCCACAATGTACAAGCCGTCGTATCGATAGCCTGTGACCGGAGCGTACTTGGACTGCAGTTTATAGCCGCGGACCACTCGAACGGGCTTTTTGCTCTCGGCAGAACGCTGAGAATGAGGGCGAGGGATGGTCAGCAAGTTGCACAATGAACAATGAATATTGCGCTCACTTTGAGTGCAGCATTCAGAGGGTTGTCAAAGCTCTGATGGGAGGTCTGGGGAGCGGTTCGCAGGTTTTTAGGGTTTTGTTTGGTTCCTTTCAAGTCTCGCCCACCGCAGCCGGTGTAGGTGAAAGCGTAGCCCAAGTCGATGCTGTCACAACAAGTCAGCCCACGGCCTCACACTTTGCCGTCCAACTGACTCGTCAGGGTACCCTCCAGAAAGAGCTACAGACCATGCACCATCTTTTGCATTTCCGGAAATACCCGCGACTGTTGGACTAACGAGTTATATCAGCACTGACTCTATATAGTGCGTGAGTACAGGGAACACCTACGCGTGTATGGCGTCTGTGGATGCCTCCATTCTGTCATGATTCAGCTCGCTGACTGACGTGTTTGGGAATTCAAATGAAGGTTGCGAAGCTCACCGACTGGACCACCACCTCCCCACTTCTACATTGGGGATCTGTCCAAAGGTTTTCCTGGGGCTCATGCGTCAGCTCTTGGAGCGACCAGGGATCTTGCCACTCACGGGTCATGCAGTCTCACTCCCAACTTCTGAGCTTTCCTCTGTCGGTCATCGTCGTCGTCACCATCGTCCACAAAGCTCCTCTTCGACGGCGAGCCCTCCAAGCTTCGCGAGTAGCTCCCAGAGACTTTCTCCTTGAGGTAGTTGGGCCTGTTTTCACCGCCGGTTCTCAGACTTCTCCGTCTGTTACCACTGTCCTCTTGGGGTGCAGGAGTAGTGTTTTCCGAAGAGCTGCCGTTGGCAGCCTGCCTCGCCACAGCGCTTCTGGGCGTCACGTTCTTCTTGGTTTTACTGGGAGTCGGCTTGGGCTTTGTGGCCTTGGGAGTCTTTGGGGCAGCAGGGGCTACGCTGGAAAGACCAAGAGACTTGAGTAGGTCTTCATTGTCTCTACGCCGGCGTCAGTATGGACAGGGTTGACCCTCTGAAACTCACTTGATGTTCTGTAAACGCTGCTGCTCGTATGACAGAGTCATATCGGGGAATCCTGATGATTGAGATTCTGGCTAGAGAGATTGAGAACCCATACGACGGGGAACGCCGGTTCTGTTTTGATTTTGAGACGCGTCGTTTCAGGCACGCTTGTACAGGTCACACGCCCAAGGGGCCATTTCATGACAGTAGAAGTAGCATAGACTGTCATTGCGCTATTTCAGCCTGCAATTTAATGTACCGCTCAATGAGCCGTGATGATGGGTCAACTTGTCATCGCGTGAGCAGGCAGGTCGTTTCCATAAACCATCTTGATTCATCTCTTTGCTACTTCTTCCTCTTCCCTATGCTATATCTTTCTCCATCACTGACTCTTGATCTTGTAAGCTCAGATCCTCATACCCCCTCTTCCGCTTATTCCCGTGCCCACCTGTGTTACGAGGCGCCGTTTGCAGACTAGCTAGCGTCGCCTCCTGCTTCTTCTCAAGAGCCTCCTGCTTCTTCTCAAGAGCCTGCATTCTCTCTATGAGAGTCGCCTCGACAGCCATGCTAGTCTTGTGGATGGACAGGCTCCGCTGGTAGAGCCCTGCCACTGCGTCGAGATCGCTCAGGATTTGGGGGAAACGCTAGCTAGCGGCCTTCACAAAGGTGTGGTCGTCATCATAATCGGCCGCCCGTAGAGCCGACATCTGGGTTTCCATCGCCACCGACGATGGAAATGACGATGGAAACTTGGCAAGCTCTGCTTGTACCAATGCCACATGGGCTTCTGCCTCAGGTAGAGATCTGATCAAGGCAGGGTCGGGGAGCGAATCGGGGAAGGTCGGCTGCCTGGGCGTGGGCATGTGGAGAGTAGTACAGCTCGCCTCGGAGGGAGCTGTCGCAGACTCATTGGAGGTCCGAAGGGGAGGGGACAAAGTTCGAACGGGAGAAGGGGCAAAGCGGGCGCAGGACTGGGCAGCAATCGGAGTGGAAGTGTGAGGGGCCATGGTAGGAGAGGAGCTGGGGGAGGCGTTGTTGTTTGGATAATAGAGGGCGGGATGGAAAGGATATATGACTGGGTATATTATATGCATAGCGTGGAAGACGAGAGAACACGATGGAAGGTCGATAACTGAGCCAGAAAGAGCCATGCTCTGGCGGCGGCGGCCGCGGCGGGTCCGGGCGTTAAGCGGCATTTACGTAAACGGTCCAAAGCGCGTCGCGTCCGCCCGCCCGCCGTCGCGGTATAAATGACATTTCTATTTCTTGTTTGATCTTTTCACCAACTCCGTTCCAGGCTTGTCCACTCGTCCTCGACAGTATTGTGCTCGTGTCTCACCCGGCCCGTTCACCGTCTCGCTCTCAAGATATATGCTCACTCCCTCGCTTCGGGTCCTTATTGCAGTCTGGTCCTGCTCGACCCAAAACTGTCCTTCCTCGCCAACGCGGTGTCACTATGCTCAGAGAAACCCACGCTGTATTCCTGACGGAATATGGCAATCGGAGATAGGGTAGAAAGTTACGTCCTTTCGGACTTGCTAACCCTAAGGTATGTTCTTAAGCTCGACCTCAAAGAGCTCAGAGCTGACTCGACTACAGTCCTGCATTGATCCCATACATCCGCCGCGTACTCCCACACGACTGGTCTGTCCCCTCATTGCGCTAGTGTACGAACGACCTTGCGTCATACTCCACAGCGATGCCCGCATTCCATCTTCGGGTAAGAGCTGGGACGACCAAGTCATTGGTCGAGGACCTTGTCTTCTGTGAAAGCAGAATGCTGGGCCGGCGATTCTATGATGTGTGGTGCCTAGTGCTTTTAGAGCGCAATTTGGCACGGCTCTGTTACCTCCGGCCCTCGCGCTGTGGATGCGGAACGAGCGAGGTCTTCTGGCCACACAAAACGCGCTGTCATTCTATCCTGTCACGAGGGTGGAGAGCGATGGTAGCCCTGTTGGTGCGGAAAATAAAAGGCTGGTGGATGGAAAGAGCGGGATTGGATTGCGGTGAGTGTCTACGAGTGGCGTGTGATTGGTGGAGCATTGGAGACAAGTGCGCGTCAGGTGGGATCCCCGGGTGTGATCGTCAGGCGGGATTGTGACGAAGAAGGCGCTCAGCGTTGAGCTGCATAGCTTTGGCTATGGCGGGGTTGCTGCTCTGGTTTCAATCCTATCTGGACTACTCATGTCGCCATCTCTACACGTTTACAGCAGCTACATCTCTTTACTCGCCTTTCCTTGGGATCGAGAGTGTCAGCCCAATCTTGACCGACGACTCAAATACCCCCCAAGCGCCCAGCATCTTGCTCTCACTCCTTTCGCTTTTGGCAGCCACGCTCAAAGATCAACAATGCTGTATCCCCCCTCTTCACTTGTCCCTTGGATCCCGATGGTTGCTTGCGTCTTTTGCCATAGGAGAGAACTACCCGTTCTAGAGTCTTGTACTCGCGACTTCACACTGGGATTAGCTGGTAGCCATCTGTGGATTTTGGTAGAACAGTGTCGGTCCAGGGTTACGGTGGCGTTGTGAGAGTAGCGAGAGGTCTTGGAGTGGGGTCAGATGGCGAAGCCTGGCTTTGGGTGGGTCCTTCGGCTAGGATCTGACATGAGATGAGGCTCTGTATCTGTGTCTGCTGCTCTGCAGCGAGTGAGTGCATGTGAGAGAAGAGACAAGGAAGGACAACGGGGGAGGGTCGATTCCGCCCAGAGAGCCCGTGAGCACCCACACCAACCATGCCATCTTTTTGGCTAGATTTTTCGTAGCCCTAGTATACATGCATTAGTACAAGAAGTATGATACAACTACGAGCTCTTGCCGCTCAGTGAGCGGAAGAACTCGTTATAGGCGTTTTCAATATCGAACGACATCTGACAAACGAGTGAGCCATGATGTCTGCTGAGCAAAAGATATACGACATACCTGCCGTGACTGCTCCTCGCTGATCTCATCGCTTGCCTTCATGGCATTCAGCGTTATCAGCCTACGGGCATGGTCAGCATGGTTCATGCTGAAGCTCGCGATGGACCCACCAATGCAATATCTTGCCCCGTCCCTCCCACTCTTGACTCCCCTTGAACCGCGAATAGCCGCTCATAAGCTCAGTCAAGAAGGGGTGGAGTTGGTCTTTTGCGCGTAGATTCAACTTGAGGGCGTCCATGAAGGTGATGAAAGACTAGATTCCGGTGATCAGCCAGTGTCATGAGCAGGGGAGGGGGCGCACCTGTGTCGTTTCAGCCACCCATTTACCTCTCTCCGCTCCTCCTTCTTCTGCCTCTGCAGAATGCTCTACAGTTGCTGGTACTCCCACAGTAAGTCGATGCAAGGCAGCTGGGTGTTCCATCTGTGATGTACAGTCAGCGGTGATTAGAAGCAGACACCGCTCGGCATACCTTGAATCTTGTCATGAACATTTCAACTCCCCCTAGTTCTTCACCCAGTAGCTTCATCAGACTCTTGTACTGTGCTAGCAGCTTGATACATGCTGGTGCATATCTGAGACCGTGTCAGTAGGTACACGATGACTGACGATCAGCGACTTACTCTTTGCCAGTGACAGAGTCCCGCACATACGCCCTTTCCAGATACTCGAGACTGACAATGATACTGTACAAGGTTGCCATGTTTTCTGTTCTCTCCCTCTCCGTATTGGTGGTCCATAGTCGGACCTCTTCATCGAGGTTCATCATTGCGGTTGCGTCGGGGCGTTCTAGGGCGTAGTGCTGTAGCCTGCAGTGTGGGACCGTATACTTCTGTCCTGGTGCCGGGGGGATACGCTGGTAAGATGAGGATAGCTGTTCAAGACGAGTGACGAGCCGGACGAGCACAGTGACGCGCTGAAGCGCGCGTTTTGGAGTCTCCGGAAATATCTAGCCGTACGCGCACTACCCCAGCTTGCATGGCATATCACAGATACCTTCACTACTCTTCCTTTCAACAATCGTTCAATAACATACCTTGAACGCCTCACTCCCTCCCCTTCACACAACAAGTGACAGCAAACCGGGCAACCTTATATCCCCTTATCATTCCTTATCACGCGAGCTATCAGGCGGGCCTCGGCAAAACAAGCGTCATCAGCTCGCTCCTTCCGGTTCACGCTCATACGCATACCCAGCCTGTGAGCTCAGGCCACAGTCACAGGCATATCCAAGGAAGATGAGTGACAACCATGGAGAGTCGTCCAAACATGTCCTTGGCAGCCAAACCTCCATGGTCAACGACCAGATTAATAAAGGAAACAACAATGGCAAAGGAAAGGGCAGTGGTGAGCCTTTCTCACCGCTGTAGTGACCAATGTGACTAACACGAGCACAGGCGAGACCTCCCCGGCTGTAGACTTTGGTGCTGGTGTTGTTGCAGGTTGGTCTCGAGTCCAAAGCCGGCTCATGAAGAAATGCTGATTCGGCTGGATAGGCGTTGCTGGGCTCGTCGTAGGACAGCCTTTTGACCTAGTCAAGTCTCGGTTCCAGTCCCCCAGCTTCAGCGGAAAGTACACGTCTACTTTTGGTGCTCTGAGTAGGTCCCGGTCTTGCCAAATGATTCAGTCGTTGATATACTGGGCAGGTGCTATATTGAAGGAAGAAAAGTTTAGAGGGCTGTTCAAAGGAGTCATGTCGCCTATGGTATGCCTGATATATCCCTCTGAATTCCAATGCTAACTTTGATATCCATAGGCTGGTATAGCTTTTGCAAGTTTATATCATTGTTGGCGGTTTCATCCAGAGTCTAGACTGATATCTTCCAGATCAACGGCGTGGTGTTCACATCATACTCCTTCTTTATGAAGCTCCAACTGCCTCCGGGATCACAGCAAGAGCCCAATTTGGGTCAAATATATCTGGCGGGTACAGGTAGTGGTGTAGTCGCGTCGTGAGTATAGACAGCTTTGTACAATGCTGACTCGCACAGGTTGCTCACATGCCCCACCGAATTGATCAAGGTAAGTCCCATCGACTCGAGAGATCGTTGGTTCATGTATTGTTCACAGATCCGTCAACAATCTGCACCCCCGAGCCTCAAGTTGACGACAATAGGCGTGCTTAAGAGCATCGTCAGACAAGATGGGATACGAGGCATATTTCGTGGGCTGTCGGCGACGGCATTGAGAGATACAGCATACGGCCCATACTTTTTCACGTGAGCCTCCCTACGAAATATGACGATGTCGCTGACCCAGGCTTTAGGTACGAAGCGACACTACGCTTATTCAGATGGATGAAACGCCCTCCTCTGCCGCCGGCTCACCATGGCCCGACGCATGAAGGTTACACTTTGATTGACGAAGCGGAGATGGAACTGAAGAGTGGTTTGGGATGGCCAGAACTGATGGCTGCAGGAGGTGTTGCCGGTGTCCTTGCTTGGCTTGTGAGCGTGCATGCTAATATGACCAGATTCAAGCTCACGCAGACTCGCAACAGGTCACCTTTCCGGTGGACGTATTCAAGACACGCATGCAAGGTTTCACATGGCCAAATGCCCTCGACCCAAGTCAGCCCAGACCTAGCCCACCGAGCTTCAGGCATGTCGCTAGGGACGCGTTGAGAAAGGAAGGATGGAGGGTCATGTTTGCCGGCCTTGGACCTACATTGATCAGGTCCGTCCTCTTCTCTGAACTCGTTGTTACATTGCTGATGTATGGTCGCCTTTCTGCCATCACAGAGCCGTACCAGTAAGTCCACCATCTTTCCTGCTGCTTAACAGACTGACGAATGCTTCTAGACAAACATGGTGATCTTTTTGACGTTTGAGGGATGCGTGTCTGCGCTTTCGTAGCTCGCGCCGTGGGACGAGAGTTGAGAGAGTACTTTGGGAAGGACATTGGTGGTTGAAATTCATGATCGATACCCTGCATCGCATTTACCACATCGGTCATCTATACTTGTTACATGATGACACCCATGTAGCAGATAATGTCATATTTTCGTGAGCCCTCGTAGACGCTGATGCATAGATGGCGAGCTTTCGTTTCTTCCCCGTGCTGATTACTCCAGGGTTCCAGGGCCAGCTTTGGGAGATGTCTGGAAGTGCTTCTGGACTGCACAACGCCAGAGAGCCATGCCTACGACGCAACAGGAGTGGCGGCTGAGTCAATCGTCCGTTGTGGGTCCGTGCGCAAGGCCCCCACTGATCGCTGATGGATTTGCATCTCTCGTGTCTCTTCTGCTCCCCGTTCATCCTTCTCTTCTCTACATAGAATCAAGTCAAATCATGCCTGAGCGAGAATGTGAGTGTCCCGGGCCATGGTAGCAGCTCATAGTGGCAGACGCTCTCGCCCGTGTCAGCATCTGCCACCCCAGGCTCTTTCCAGCCGGTACCGCGACCAAAGACATCGAGTGAGAGTCATAATGAGATACTCTCCGGATCATCCACTTGACATTCTGACCCGCATCTGCGATAGCGCTCACTGCACCCTATCAGCTACCCCATAGCCAGACGGCTCCTTACTGCATTTTGATAGGGCAGAGGTGAGAAACGTCGAGAAAAGGGGCTCGATATGGAATGCGAGAACGGGATTTGCGACAATGAGGGTGGAGCGAGCCATGCGTGCCAGCGTTGTGCGCCTCAAAGTTGAACGAGGCTCACCCTTTTATTAGCGTTCGCGCGAGGTTTGCCTTGGCTTTCCGCGTTCCGCGTTCTGCGTTCTGGATTCTGCTAGGGCTTGGGTTGGAGCTTGGCCAGGCCAAGTGTCTCTGATCTCTGGTTCTGACTCTGGCTCAACGTGGGAACTGAATAGAGGGAACTGGTAACTGGTAACTGGTAACTGATAAGAAGACTTAAGAAGAAGTTCCTCGGAACCCAGTCATGAGATCTGAAACATATCTACGGGCGGTGCGCGGTTGAAGGCAAAGAGTCGCGACCATTTTCAAGTATATTTGCGGCACTTGTCAAACCCAGAAGCGATTAGACAAAGAGCCAAAATGTGATCGAACTAGACTCAACCCAAAAACAAGATGCCGCGTTGCGGCGAGTTCCCAGGTTTCATTTGCGGCTTTGTGCGCCGCGCCGCGTATGGTTCGGTATGATAAGGGGCTAAAGGGGACCGAGATGATGACGCGTCGATTCAGTACGCGTATATACAAGTATACCCGGGCCAGGGAAGACTGAAGCCGCCCCTCGTAATGGTCGTGTGCTACCTTGGGATATCTGAGCTCTGAATGTCTTGTCTCTTAGATCTAGAGGGATGGAGTAGCATGGTAGCGTTAAACCTCGCGACGAGAAGGAGATGGCGGGACGTCTCGCGAGCAACTTGATGAGGGTGTCTGGGCGTAAACCCAAAGTAGCGGCCCCAAGAGCAGGCGACAGGGTACGAGTACTGTATCCTGCCTAAGGTATTGGAGTCTGGCTAGGCGCAAGCCCTTTCCGCGGGGGGTGGGAAGGGCTTGTGTCGAGCCAGGTTTTGGAGTAGTGATCCAATACTTGTATACTACACAAAGTACAGGGTACGTATGCAATGACGCGCGTGGCACGCAATTCTACGCGTTACAACAAAACTCGCGCACAACTTTGATACATCGTGGCTCTCCGTTCACAGGCTTCGAGAGCGTAGTGTAGGGTGGAGGAGCAAGCTCAGAAAGCATGAAATGCATTGGAGAGAGTTCGCATGCTCTACAAAAAGCACAATTCCGTATACACTCTAAAGCCCAACGGGCTGCTGTGCACGCTCAGAGTGTGTCTTGTTCCGCCTCTTTGAGACCATGACCACAGGTAGTGGGCAGATGGTGCGGCTTTTTGTCGGTGAGAGCTGTGCTCGGGGCTCGCTCAAGTTTCAACCTTTGCAGTCAAATGATCATCGGCTATAGAAAGTCCTCATCGCTCATCAACTCCTCGTTGACTCAACCCGTATACCGCGTACGATATAGTCTAGATTGAGATGACCACTTTGCTAATCCCATTGCACTAAAGAATTAATCTTACCAGCGACCCGCGGTCGTAAAAGGAGCCGTAAGAGACAAGCAAGTGATTGTGAATAGTCAAAGATCGCAAGAGGTAGAGGGAGATGCGGGATGCGGGTCCAATATATATTCACTTTTGCTGCAACAATCATGTCAGTGAGATCAGTGAATTGTATTCCAGGGTGAGTCGCGTCATTGGGAGAAGAGATCCATGATGTTAGTGGTAGAGATGGTAATACGGGATTCGGGCTCAAGTACCAGAAGGCGACTGCCGATTCCCGTGTGTCGTAAAGGTTACAGAGTGCCGTAGAAGTTATTGTGGATGGTGGATATGTGTCTGCAGCCGGTGTGCACATGGGCTGGGCGGGCATATGTCCGGAGCGCCGGGGAGAGGGGGCGAGGCGTGGCATAGCGAGATCAGAGCAACAGGAATGCAAGGAGAGATAGAAAAACACGGGGGTTTATTGGGTTCGGCGGGAGAGGCCGTGACAGCCACGGTGACTGGCGGTGATCGCTGCTTGGTGTCCGAAAGCATTCTGCGCCTCCGAGCCGAAAGGAGCGAGGTGTTGTGCATGGATGGTGATGGTGGTGGATGCGAGGATGGCCCCGCCTACGTCGATGCTATCTTGAGACGTAACCTGCGCCAAAAGTTGTAGACCGCACCAGCACGAGGATAGCGCAGATGCATGCAAACGAGCCTCCACCGTGCAAACAAGATTGGCTCAGGACCGGCCTGGCCTTTGGGCCAAAGGGGGCATGGGCACGGACTGCGGAAAGTAACCTCACGTCATCCTGGACGCGTGCCTGGCACCCTGGGAATCTAGATCCGTTCGATCCGCACCCGATCAAAAGGGGGTCTGCATCTGCAACTTGGCTTACGGCTTACGGTATATGTACTCAATTCTGCAGCATCTGGCGCCTCGTATTGTGATCCGCCTCCTATATACTCTCTCTCTCCTGCCTCTGTACTCCTGCCCCCCGCCCATCTTGCACCATGCTCCTCCGCCTCCTGCCCACCCCCACGCCCGACAACCCCTCCCCTCTCACCATCCTCTTCACCCTCCCCCTGCCGACCCACCCCTACACGTAAGTATTCCCCTCGCAGCCCGGCAAACACTGACAGTTCCCAGCTCCCGCTCCCTGCCCCTCCCCCCCGCCCTCCTCTCACATCGCAACCTCTGCGTACAGGAAAACGTCGAGTGCCCCAACATCCTCCTCGGCGAGTGCGCTAGCTGGGTCGCAGGCATCATTGACGATGTCACCTTTTCCCTCCCACTCCTCACTATCGCAGTCAACTTTGTCGACGGCACCTCCATGACTATGCCCATCACCGACGACTGTGTCAAGCGCCTCGACAGTGTGGTCGACCAAGTTCAAATGTCGTTTGCTACCACTGCGCCCAGTCCAGTAGCCGGCACAAGAACAAGTTTGAGCTCTGCCGGCTCCTCGTCAGCATCAGTCTACAACGAGGCAGGAAATAACGTACCGCGTCGTTCTTTCTTGTACAACATTCTTTCACCCCTTCTACCAAGCTCGCCTCAGGTGCAGTCTCAGCCTTCACCATGCGCGCAAACAGTATCGTCTGCCTCTGCCCGCGTTCACAGGCGTCTGGCGCGCTCCATCCTCGTCGACACGTACCGCTGCTACGTCCTGCCAGTCTTGAAGGAGAACCTGCCATCGGCCTACTTGCCTTGGTCCATCCAGTCCGAGTGCAACAGAATGTCTGCCCAGTTTGAAAAGCTTCAGTCGGAAATCAACGCTTTGCTTGCCAAGTCAAAGTCGGTCGAACCTAGGGAACTTGCATCCTCAAGGAGCCGCTCCACGTCGACCTCTTCTGACCATGCGTCGTCGTCCTGCTCCGACTCAGAGTGCTCGTCTACCAACGCCACCTCGGTCGACTCTCTGCCCCCACGTGCCACCCCGCAATCATACCTCGTCTCCCTCCCACCCGTCCACTCCTTGCCTTCTGGCTTGCGCACCCAGTACACCTTCCTTCTCTCCCGGCTCACCAAGATCGCATCACGCACGAGCCAGCTGCGCAAGCTCGGGATGCGGTACGACAGAGAAGACGGTAGGCGCGCGTGGCTCGAAAACCTCGAGCGTGGCAGGTTGGCGGACAAGGTCGTGCGCCGTTCGTGGGGCAACCTCGAGCTGCCGCTCAGTATGCGCAGCAGCTACGCCTCGGTACCCCAACAAGGGACGAGGCTTTGGCGATCGGTGACGGCAAAGGATGTCGAGCGCGAGAGGCAGGAGCGCGAGGCGAGGTCAAGGTTGATGGCGGACACGCCGTATGCCTTTGGCGAGGAGGATGAGGATAGCGATGCCGCGTCGTTTACCAGCGAGGACGACTTGCCCGTCACGCCCACCACCAAGCCCACCTTTCCCCTCATCCGTCCCGTTATGCCTGCCCATACCGAGCAAGGCTGCGAGCCTGGTAGGCTCTACGTCTCTGTCGAAGACTGTGAGCCAGAGTCGCCCGTCAAATCAAGAGTGGCTTCCCCACCACCTCTTATCCACTCTACTCCCAACAGCCGTGTCGTATCCTCCTTCAACGAGTACCGCGCGTCATGGGAAGATAATCCCGTCGTTGGCAAAGTCACTTCCGCGATGGAGAGTCTCATGCTCGCGGGGCCGTTGATCAAGGCCAAATTGGCTGTCGCGGAAGAGGCGGATGGGAATGGCGAAGTGCAGATGGAGAGGTTTTATGGGCAATGCGGGCTGCATGTCTGATGCCTTCTTATATATATACGTGCTTCATTTTGGAGGCCGATAAAAATAGTGCTTCCTTTGCTTCGCGGGAGCGGTTAGTCTTCATTTTGAGTTTGGTTCTTTGTTGGGAAACATACTTCATCATCGTCATCTCTATTGGTCTCTACATCTGACCACATTTGGACATTCTATCTATGCTTTTGGACATTTTATCTATGCTTTGACAGCTGTATCAAGTTGCTATAATAATTGTTTATAATCATCACATAGGCTCGTTTTCAAAATTCACGACGACTGCCAGCCGTATAGAGTAGTCTTCCCTACATCTCATAACCTTCTCCTTGTCATTTACCGCTCGGCATTTTCTTGACACGCTCTTCCCACGTTGTTATTGCATTCAAAAGTGAAAAGGTGTTTGTAGAGCCTTGTAAAAAAATGAATCCGTTACGCATCACTTGATTGATGGTCATTATAATTGCCTGGCTCCTGGACTTGAGAGCTCAACTTCTGGAAGCAGTTGCGCACTTGTTTTTACCGCGGGCTCGACACAAGCAGTCTTCACCGCTAGATATCCCGGTCCAATACAGACCATTGCATAGACTTGGAGGGTGAACATGAGTCGTATCTCAGATCTGCCCTCTGCCGTCGGATCTGGTCTCTATACCCACAAGCGTGCTTTGCGGAGACAGATCTCGATGGTATGGTTTGAGTTTCCCCGTTGCATTGTTCTAATCAGCAAGTGCATGCATGATTCGTATCAATCTGTCCGCAGTGTCAATGGCCGACGGATTTCCCATCCCCAAGATCATCCAACATGTCCGTCTTCCGTGATTATCTGCTGTTCCCGCCGCCACCACCGAACAAAGAGCCCATGAGGTTTTGCAGCAAGTCGGCATTGCCAGCCTGTCGGGGAGGCTGCACAAGGAAGACTTCGACGGCAATCTGCGAGAGAGCCTATGCCACGCGTCAGCCGAATCCATCCGCCTCCTTTGGCGACTCACCTCTTGCACCTCCCTTTGCGCTACAACGCTACTGGATTTGCTATACCTCATACAAAGGTTTCTCCACTCTCTCGCAATACCCCCATCCGTCCCACGCGCCTCAATCGCGGACGTGCCCTTCTTCGGCGCATGTTGCACTGTCACAACGACCAACTGCGCGAAGTTCAAACTCGGGCTCGCAGTCACCACGATTTCCCGCAAAGAGGCGTCAGTCTGGGAGGGAATAGCGGGGTGGATATGCGGGTGGAATGGAGATGAGGGGGAAGAGAGGAGGGAAAGTAAGGTGGTGATGAATGTGATGGCGGGGAGAATTGACGGGGGTGAGTGGAGGAGCGGGGGAAGGACGCCACGGAGGGCATATGGTCCCGGGTCCAGAGCGCCCTTTTGGCACCTGTCACTGGTTAGCTTTGGTTTGATAGAGTATCTGAAGAGCGTACCATTCGTACATCATGTTGGCCAGCGTGACGGCCGCATCCCTCTTGCCAGAAGCCAAGAGGTGCTTTTCAGCCGGGACAAACTGTTTCTCTAATGACATGTCAGCTCTCTATAAATTCTCTGTTGTGAAATAATCCACCTCGATAGTACAGCTCGCCAACGTATTGATGCAGATTGGGATCACCAGTGGGACACTCGCCAGTCTTTTGCGTCCACCTGATCGCAGCGTCCACGAGCTTCTTCCGCCATGGTCCGGTAGTGGGCGTCAAGGCCAAAAGTTGAGTCACGTTTGCTAGATACACCATGCAGGTCAGTACACGATACCTTTGATACAACGGAGACAGCCCTTACCTCTTGTCTTGTCAGTGACATCAACGCCAGCAGCACTCATAGTGTCCACCATCTTAACACCCAGGTCCGTGCCGGAGCCCCCTTCACCGAGCTTCAAGAGCTCCTTTCCGACAGCGAAGAAGATCTCGACGGCGACAGCATGCTGAGGGGGGTTGGCGTGGAGGATACGGGCGGTCGTGGTGAGTGTTTTTTGGTGGGCAGAGTAGGTGTCGGGGAGGAGGTCGAGGATGGGGGGGAGCAGGGTTTCGATGGTCTGTGGGCGGCGGGGAGGCATCTTGTATATTTAATGGAAATGGAATGGAGAATCAAGAGGGATTCATGTTGCTATTATGTGCACGTCTTTGTCGTTGCGGTTACATGAGGACGGCGAGCGCCGCTACGTGGACCGCTGCCATGAGTCCGTCATCAAGTCATGGCCAAGTGATGTACCCGCAAGATGTTTACGATAGACCCAGCGTGGGCATGATGGTGGTAGATTATGTGTTAAGTGTACTCGGTAATCTTGATGCAGCGAGGGCAGAGTATCCTTCCCAAAAATGCGCGGACGGGCCAGAGGACTCAAATGTCTTGTGTTATGATTATTGCAACCAGCGACCTCTTTTCTGGAACGGTGTACAAGCAGTAGCACTAGTCAGATGGCCAGCCCAAACGGCACATCCCCAGACTCCAACCCGTCCCAACATCCCACGATAACCATTTCCTAGATATGCCATGCATCAATGATACACACTACCGCCCCAAACTACCAGACCCAAACTCGTCAAGCTTCTTAGAACTTGGCGAAACCCTTCGCGGCCTTGTTCTTGGACACACGGAGGACGTTGAATCGGACAGTCTTGGAGAGAGGTCGGCATTGGCCTGATTGTAGACATTAGTGAGATCCCACAATGTACCAAGCTGTACTTACCAACGGTAACCTGGTCACCAACCTCGACACGGAAAGCGGGAGAGCAGTGGGCAGCGAGGTTCTTGTGTCGTTTCTCGTATCGGCGGTACTTAGGGATGCTGTAGAATATGAGCGTCGATTCTCAAAAATCCTCCCTCCTGTCAAAATTGACATACAAGTGGAGGTACTCTCGTCGGATGATGATGGTGTTGGTCATCTTGGTAGAGTGCACAATACCGTTGAGGATTCGGCCTCGGATAGAGACTTCACCGGTGAAGGGGCACTTCTTGTCGATGTAAGTACCGTTGATGGCCTCTGCGAAATCCATGAGTATGGGTCCGAACAGCAACAGCATGGCGGCAGGAAGCGGGCAGCACCATCCCTCCGTCCCCTCATCTCCCATATTTTCCTTTGCTGCTGTTTCCTTGCCGCCGGTATGGCGACTTACCGCTGGGGGTCTTGAAGCCGAGACCGACGTCCTTGTACCATCGCTTGGTCTTGGTGGCAATCTTCTTGCCGCCTGTACATCCCAATGATCATCCCAGCAGAGTATCCCAGCGTGATTGATTGAGGTGAAGGTTTTGTCGAAGAGGGGATTGTGTCGATGGAAAAAGAGGTCAAGAACAGCCCGTCAGCGACAGCAGGGGTAGCAGGGGGAGGGGGACGCACCCTTAGACTTGGCGTTCTGGAACAACTGTTGCTTCTGGAAAGCCTTCTCGGTCTGCTCAGCCATCTTGGTAGTTTTGAGGGTTGAGGAATAGGACAGGACAGAATAGCGAACTCACTGTACGCGGAGAGGAATTTCGCTGCAAAGTGCCACATCCAAATCCCGATCTTTGCTTCCGTTGATGTAATTATTAATCGCATTTTTAACGTCGCAGGCGGTTATTGCGCTCGGAACCAAATATGGCCCAGCGCTCGGTGGCTTCAAGCAGGCTTCAAATGGACGTGTATGACAAGCTTGTCTGGGCTAGAGAAGGCCCTCTGAACCAATCTTGGCCATACTTTGGATCTGCAGCCAAGATGCCCAAGGGAATCATGTCCTTCGGTTCTGGCCCAAGGATCTGTGGTGAACACATGAAGGAACTTGACTGGGCCAGCTTGTTCTCACCGCGCTAGGCTCAAAATGGACCGATGTGCTTACTGTGAGAAGACTTCGAAATAGTAAGTGACATACATGCGGACCCCTGTCATGTCGGTGTTGACCATTTGAGTAGCCCCTACGACCGAGAATACAGGAAGCATCTGGCGATGTTAGTGCGGGTTGACGGAATCTCTTCGTAACCGACATTGACCCCAAGGGAACTGACATTGATTTTCTCACATTGTGGTCGATGGGGCTGAGGGGCTCGGCCATATGCTGCACCAGCCATGGGCACCTGTGGAGGGTGCACGGCACGGGCAAAGCGGGTGACCTGAAGCGGACTGGGTCTCCTTGGAAGGTCTTCCTTGACTGTTGTGACCAAAGACGCATCGCTCTCGAAGACACTCTTTACAACGACAGTGCTGTGACTGAGGAAAAACTGGCCGCCAAACCGGCGGGCCAGCCCATGAGCCCTCGGGGCGCCCAGAGAAAAAGGACGAGAAAGCGGACGCTGCCCAGAAAGAAGAAGGCCGAGAGTGACGCTGGGGAGAGCGCCAAGCAGATCCGCACATAAGATGTAGCAACGCGAAAAAAAGTTGCAGCTGTACAGCTACTTACCCTACACTAACAACGTTGGGGCTTGCCCGATTCTCATGCCGCGGTGGGGTAGAAGGAAACTGTATCTGCATGTGCATATACTCACACGCTGGTTTAATCGCTTCATTCGTGCCACTATTAACGCTTCGCCCTTTGTTGATCGTTTGATCAGCTCTGAAGCTTTTGTTGTACGCCGGGGGCTATGGCAACATGGGGTTATGTGTCTGTATCTGTGATGAATCTTGTACATAGCACCACTCGAAGCCTTGATTCCAGATGTAGTTTGGTTCTCAAGAATGCGGCCAGCCCCGCAAAACGCGGCTCATTTAAACCAGGGTCGCAATCTCGCAAAAGTGATCCGTCAATGACGCTGTTTTCGAGTTTTGGTGTCAAAGTCAACGACAATGTCGAAACGGTTGAGCAAAAGAAAGCAGAGAGAGGTCCAAGAGATCCAGTCGCTCAGCGCTGCCGCGCCGCCACAAGATGCGGTAGAGGAGGAGAGCGAAGAGGACACTCCCGGTCCATCTGCCCCGGTCAATGCATTCGCAGCGGTGAGTCGCTTGTAGCAGACACCACATCGTGATCTGACCATCATTTGCAGCTTGGAGGGGAGAACGACGACGACGAGGAAGAAGAAGACGAAGAGCCCGACGCCCCTGCCGCTGCAACGAAAAAGGTCGGCATACCGAGGCCCCAAGCGTCCGGCAACCACTGACGACTGCATGCAGGGCAAGAAGAAGAATAATAAGAAAAAGAAAAAGAAGGCCAAGGCGGCAGATCCATTCGCGGACTTGGACGAGGTGGACAGAGCATTGGCAGAGCTCAAGCTGAGGTTTGTCATGTTTTGTATTTCGTTTCGGGAGCTGATCAAGCTACAGATACGGCGAAGACGAAGTGGCAGAAGGCTCCTCGATGGGGGTGGAGGGACCTGGTGACTTTCGAGGACATCTTGCGTTCAGGTATGACACAGACCCTCATATAGATGGAGCTGATTGTGCCCAGAAATCTGCTGTCGGTAGACCCTAAGAATCTGGATGCCGATGCCGAGCTTCGTCGATTCTTTGGTTCTAAAGTGGTGAGAATGAACCTTATCAATTGATCGCTGGCCTGACACATGTAGATTGCTTCCTCGGCTCAACCTAACAAGCATCGGGGAGGGCCATCCGCCAAGCTACGCTATACCATCTCCAAGCCCAAACCTCAATATCCTCCTGCCAACTCTCTCGCTGGTCTCGTCATGCGAGAGATGACCACGGAGGAAGTAGAAGAGACTTGTGATAGAAGGGACAGAGATCTTGTAGACAAGGGCGAAAAGTGGTTTACATTCGAGCATATTGGGGTTTGGCGGGAAGTCGAAAGGCAGTTTATGGGGGCGGTCCGATCGCATGGCGAGTTCAATCAAGCATTGTATGAGTGTGGCTGATGGCTCGTAGATCCAAATCAGCTCATGGCTCTGCTACAGGTGTACCCTTGGCATGTGGATACATTGCTCCAGATGAGCGAAGTGTATAGACTTCAGTCTGGTTCGTTAAACTCTTCTAGATATCGACCCTTGCTCACCTCTTCAAGATATCGGAGCTGCCTCTGATTATGCCGAGCGAGCGTTGTACGCCTTTGACAGATGTCTTCTGCCTTCTTTCAACGTCCTGTCTGGTGCATCCAGATTGGACTTCGACAGGGTTGAGAATCGAGCAATGTTTACCGCTCTGCATCGTATCATATCGTGAGTCTTTGAGACATCGTGGTCACGTGGCTGACTGTCGTGTAGTTATCTCGGAAGGAGAGGATGTTGGGTTACAGCTTTCAACTTTGCCAAGCTCCTCTTTGCGTTGGATCCTGAGGTATGCTAATCGATGAAAGCTAGACGCTGGCTAATCATCTTTGCAGGGCGATCCTCATGGCGCCGCATTCTGGCTCGACTTTCTCGCCATTAAATCTGGAAACGCAGCTTGGCTCATTTCCATGATTGACCAAGGCGACCACCACCCCGCGGCGGCCTCATGGTACGCCTACCCCGGTATGGCCTTCGCCAAGGCCCTCGCCTTGCGTGTGGAAGAAGACAAGGCCAAGAGCAAGGATCATACCAACAGTGACGAGGCACTGAGGGAAGCAATCACCGACTTCCCGCAGATGGTGGTGCCTCTGGCTGACAAGATTGGCGCGAGCCTGCCTGCTGGGGTCAGGAGCGAGCCTTTGCTCAAGGTCGAGGCTGCTTGGGATGAATCACCGACCAATGTGATTCATCTCCTCTCGCACATCTATGTCGCTCGATCAGAGGCTTTGTGGAAAGAGGCCGACAAGATGGCGTGGTTTGAATCTCAAGTGCTTCTAGCTCTCGCAGAGCTTCACTCGCCTGCCTCCAAGATGGCCCGAGACGACATCCTTGCTCTTGTCCAAGCGCCTAGGGATCCTGTAGACGACACCATCAACGTCTCTCTCTTCATCTGCCGACACGTCATGTGCTCTGAAAACACTTCCTGGCTAGGCTTCCTTCCACCGCTCATCACCGCCCGTTCGTTCAACTCTTTCGACCCGCTCCCTCCCACCACTGCGATCTCAATGTACGACGACGCCTACTTTGCGGGCATCCGACCCCAGCGCCGCGGCGCGGCCGGGTCTGGCGCAAGCGGACAGGAGGAAGGAGCGTGGGGGATGATGAATGGCTTCATCCAGCAGGTCTTTGATATCATGGAACGCGAGCCGGAGAATTGGAGGCAGAGAGCACAGGGTGTGTGGGATCAGCTTACGAGAGAAAACAATCTGGGACGGATCCCAGAGGAAGACAGGCAAAATATGTTCCAGGGTGTGAGTGTTGTCTAATTCATGATGGGCGATGACTGACTCGAGTATAGTTGATGCAGCTCGCAGAGAATATGGCGGATGGACTGAGAGCGCAAGGTGGTGAGGCTGGTGGCAGAATGCCGGGCATGTTTCCCGGGGCTGAAGGTGATGAATGAAAGATGGGACATTCCCACTTGATCAATCATGTACGACATGTGTCTTGCCGTTCAAGAATTACCGGACCGTTCACCCAGAACCGATTGCCCGTCTGCAATCAGATATGGACTACATGTAACCGCTCTCCAACAAATATATATACAACGCCGCCTCTGCCATATTAGGCCACTTGGTCTACAAAGTTTTCCAGTCTCGCCATACCTCAAAGCCAGTCACTGTCCGTCCAAGCCGTAGCATACCATCAAGGAGATTCAGGATATCCCCTGACACCTCCTTCCTCAGACCATCTCCTCTCATCCCATGGAGTGGCGCTATATGAACCTCTCGGTCCAACCTGCGCTCCCGTCCAAGCGGGTGGCATCTTGCCGCTCCCAGCTCCACTATTGGCAGCATGCCAGTCATACCCCTGCACCTGAACACCATTGGAGGCGGCAGGGAAAGGGAACCCATACCCATGTGGGGTGTGAGACCATTGCGTGTCCTCCGGAGTGACCAAATCCTGGATGCTTCTGGAAGAGGCGACACTCGAGCGATGGGATGTCATGGGGGATAGTTGTGGCTGTGAAGACACGGAGCCGCGTGCTTGGGACCGGCTCTGGTGCGATTGACTGGATGATCGTCGAGACTTGCTGACGGAAGGCCTCGCTGTCCTGCAATGGCGCGTGAGATCAGGACATGTAGAACGACAGATAGTTCTCACCCAGGACACGGTCCGCGCTTCTTCTGTACTGTGGAATACACACATTCCAGGCCACTCTCCCTACACCTCATACACGGTGCTTTCCCATTTGCTACACCCCCGTTCGCCGCTCCCGCATCACATCTCACTTTCCTGCTCCTGCAAGAGTTGCAAGCCTTGGTTGTTCTCGAGATGGGAGCTCGCGATGCCGTGTTGATGATTCGAAAGTCATCGTAAGGGCTCGGACGCGTACCATCGAGATACACAGGCACTGACGGGGGAGACATCAGGCTCGTTGTGGGCGGCAGGGTGTGGTGAGGGGTAGAATGCCGGTGCACTGAAGGGTGGTAGGGAGGGGCATACACATAACGGTCATGCCGTTCATAAGGATGCGACGAATGTCGCCGGTAGATGGTAGGCCTTTCGTCGGATGACCCATCGGCAGACATGGACTGGTAGTATGACCCAGGTGTGGGAGGCAAGGATGGGCGCTCGTCAAAGTACGCTGCAGAGCTAGATTGTTCAATCCTTGGAAACGTCGCAGGAGGCGGGCGTGACGGATACGATGGACTTGCTCGCTGCCATTCCGGCTCTGCCCGAATCACAGAGCCGGCCGAGGAGTTGTTGGACGAGGGCGCTGGCGATGGAGGTTGCGAGTTCAACAGCGCCATGATGCTGTTGCTCCGTCTGTTTGGGTGCGGCAGAATCAAGTGCGATGGCGTAGACGGAGAGGTTGAAGGACGTTGCTGCGAGTGAGAAGAGGGAGGTGAGTCTGACGCCGACCAACCCTGCCCGTCGCTCGTGGGCGATACAGGCGGAAGCATGATTCCAGAGCTGGGGCGGGTACTGAATCGAGGACGTGTAGGAGAGGGGTACGCGCGGATGGGCGGAAGGCTAGCGATGGGCGCCTTGTCGTCCTTGATCAACAGGTGTCGGAGTCTGGGGGAGAGCGTGGTGTCTGACATGGCAGAGGGTGGTGCTACAAAGCCATGAGCGAGGACTCTAGGTGCTGACGCCGAGAAACGACTTGCCTGGGGAGAAAACGATAGTCGGCACGGCGTCTCAAGTGGGGAGTGGATGGAGACCAAAGATGGCAAAGTGCAGGAAGAGCACTGTGAGAATGAGAAGAACAGCAAGTCGATCAAAACAACTGGGCAGAAAGTTTGTATCTGACGGTGAGCTTCGTCATGGACAGGCCGCGAGCCGAGAGACGTCGAATCGCGTTCTAAGGCTCGGAACGTAGGTTGTGGGGGCGGCAAAGCTAGACTAGCGTATCGGGTGGGCAGTCGGAGGTACGTGGGCAAAAGTAAGCATGGAAACGCTGTTCTGGCCGCTCGTTCGGTGCGCTCTGCGCGTTATTTCCTGTTCCAAACGTTCGAAAGATTACCCTTGTTCGCGATGCCGGAAAGGGCAATCAGGGTACGGGTGCTCGGTCAACACAGCGTGCCGGTTCCTGACATCCGGCGCGGAGCATTCTTTGCCGCGGCTCCCCTGAAATTCTATCGTCAGCCATTCAACCGCCCGCCGTCCATCAACCAGCCCCGGTTTCTTTGTAAACGTGCAGTGGGTGTTCAGGCTGCACGCACTGGGTGGTGGGGATCAAAGTGAGATCATCCAGTGTTGCCAGACTATTCGGAGACCAGGAGAGTCAGAAGCGCTGGGGCGAACGAATCCGTCTTTAGATTTGACTTGTCAATAGTTCCGTGCCTCGGAAGAACTCTATGAGCTGCAAACTCTATCAGACGGCGTGGACACTTTGCGTGGAACTGAAGGCCTTGGGCCTTGGGGGTCTTGGGGCGTTCCTTTGGCCTTCGGGTCTTCAAGGCCAGAGCGAGAAGTCGAGGTGGGGCTACGTACAGCCTTGAAGCAAAGCAGAGATCGTAAGAGTGTCAACACCAACATGATGGCAGCTAGGCATTGGGCCTACGCCCACCTGTTGTACCAGTCAGACTCCTTCATGCTTGCTGCTTGCTGCTGCATGCTGCACACCATCAATTCGGTCCAGGAGTGTCTACACTCCGGTCCGCTCCCGCATTTTCATCGAAAGAACTTCGGCAAAACCGGATGGTGGTCACGTTTGGGTCTATTACGGTAGTGCGATGTTTCTCAATGGATGCACTCTAAATTCAGTTTAGAATTGAGAGCAGTAACAAGAAGGTACAGAAGAGTAAACCACCGCGCCGAAGGAACAGGTGACAAACGCATGGTACACTTGTCCGCTCGGGACGCACGCCAACGCTTCAACTGTGCACCACGTGCCAAGCAGGAGGCAGGAGGCCGGAGGCGCCGGCCCAAACGATGGAAGAGCGAGAATCCGGAGCAACATGCCAGACGCAACAAGGAATTGCGGAGAGTTTAGAGTTGTGGTTATCATGGCATAGGGGTGAGGAGTGCGCAGGTCGAAAGTTGTTGGGGAAAGAAGGCCGAGAAGGCCAAGTCTGAAAGTGTTTGACAAAGTCAAGTCAGGTGATCTCTGCATGCCATTACTGAACTTGTCTGTCTATCCAGCAAGAAGAAGACGAGAGGATGATACACCGGAAGACCGAACACCCCACCCGCTCTCTGAGAACGGAAGCAATTATTGGTAGAGGACACATTTGACCCCGTTCAGAGTGGAGGCAATTCAAGATTTCCGAGCTCTTGCGCTCGCTCAAAGCAGATGAAACAGCCCTACATTGAGGCGTCTCAAGATCATCAAGTTTGACCATGTCTGCCCCCCGACCAACTCAGAAGAACAACCGAAGAAAGAGAAGAAGAAGACAGGCGTCGATCTCGGACAGCTCGTCAGACGACAGCTCGAGTTCCGAGGACGAGGCCGCTCCCCCTGTCAAAGCAGCCCAAGCCGCTCCAATTAAAGCGGACAGAGAGTCGTCCTCCTCTGAGGAATCTTCTTCCTCGTCTTCTTCGTCCTCATCATCTTCCTCTTCCGACTCTGAATCAGACTCGGACTCTGACTCCGCTCCCACCCCGAAACCCTCTGCAGCCATCAGCCAGCTTCCTCCAGCCAAGCAGCGCACTCGACACCCTACAAATTCCCCATCGCCTCCCCCGGCTACTGGTCTCCCGACCTTCATGCAGTATTCGAGAAGAGGAAAGGGCGCGGCCAATCCCGAGGAAGAGGAGAGGAGAGAAAAGTTCAAGACGGTGTATATGAACAAGCTGGTCGAAGGCTTCGGGGGCGAATTGGAAAAGATGCGCGAGGTGAGCCTGGCTGCCTCTTGATGTCTAAATAGATCTGACGTCTGCACCAGTCGGATCCTACGTTGGGCCCCAAGAGGTTGCAGTTGCTGATTGATTCTTTGGCTTCGAGCAAGTAGAATGTCCTTTCAAATGAAGCGAGTGCTGACCGTCTTGCAGACATCGATATTTATAATGATCCAAGCATGGAAGAAAACAATAATGAAGGTGTTGATGAAGTTGGGTTGTTGACCGGGAAGGATGTGGAGGTCGAAGAGGAGGATGACGAGTAATGTCGGATGAAGAATTGTATCATCTCACTGTATGTAACGCATGGCATTGATTCGCCGTAGCGTGATGAGTCTTCTGATCGCTGAGAAGTTGAGTGGATTGGAGCTGCTGCCAAGTTGAGACGGTCTACTTGGAATATACTGAGCAGTGCACATCCTGCTGTGGCCTCGATTGTCCTGACACGACTGATGTCGCATTCATGGCGAGATATAGTGCGAGAATGCCCCCCCCCCCCCTCCGAGCCGATGCAGGGCATACTTGCGAGCGTGAAGATGATGAGGCATGACTGTACAATTGCATCGATCGGTCAACTTGCTGCAAAACGCAGTGCAGGAAGGTAATTCTAGAACTTGCAGAGCTTCTCTGGTCTCTGGCCTATCTGGACTAAACTCTGGACGTTGGACCCAATAGCACAGGACCTACATACATACGAGCCCCGCCTGAATCAAGAACGAGGGCACTGGGCACGGGTGAGATCGCGCAGCGGGAGCAGCTTAATCAGGCCCAAGTGTCAAGTACGAGTACAGCTCGACCTGTACCTTGTCCATCGCTCCACATATCTTTCGACGCCTGTATTCCTGCCCTCGAGGTCCGAAATTCCAGGGACAGAAACAGAGCACAGAGAATGAAAAGAGAGGCCATAAATCACGGGCGGAGAGGTACAAGTCACCAGCAGAAACTACTGCAGGAACGTCGACGTTCCTCCATGGCCTTGGTTCTCAACCTCCCGCGATGCTCACTTTTTCTAAAGTATCTCACCAGACTCTCGAGCTCCAGGCTTTACGGGCTCCACCATACTTTCACCCACCCCAGAAGTCTGAGCCGCCTCCCGCAGCTGCTCTAGCAATAGCCGTGGCCTCATCGCCATCTGCCTGGTGCTTGAACGCAAGGATCGCAAGCCGACGTATACGAAAGTGATATCATCGGGCCCTATGTATGAAATTCCGAGCTCCGAACGCAAGAGATGCCAGTCGAAATACCCCGTGAGGGTATGCATATTCTTAGCGTATAGCATGATCTCACCCGATGCCCAGATGTCAGGACGGCGTGAACCGAGAGGTTCGAGAACATGCAGACTTCGGAGCTCGACTTGATGGAAGGACGCTCTGTTGTTCGAATGACGGAGGGTGAAGGGAGGCTCTCTTCCTGGATGCCCATATGCAAGCCATATCCGAGAGATGTCCTGCTGTTGTTGTTCCTCACCCTGCTGACGTATTCTGCACTCCAGGGAGGCAGGGAGTCTGTCAGCCTCTTTGGGATTTTGCGCCTTTTCGCCGCCGCCGCACCGCTTTTTTCACTCAACACCCTCCCTCGCCAACAACACCCAGCGGCATCCCCTCTCCATCCTTATTTCCTACATCCATCCCCACCGTCACCACCAAATCGTCGCCCCGTCGCCAGGTGTCTAGCCTCTTGCGCCCATATACCTCGTTATCGACACAACATCCGCAGTCAAACCCTGTCAACAACAAGCTGCAACGCACCCCGAAGCGCTCCTTTCAAGCATTTGAAACCCACTTACTGCCCAGTCACTACCCATCATGTGTGAGTACCTGCTGCTATCTCTCGCCCTTGCATATACACTTTTTGCCGCATTGTTGCCTCGTGGCTGTGCTGCTATACTCTTAACCGGCATACGTATATAGACCCATTTCCTTTTGTTTCCTTTCGTGACCAAGCTTCCCCAGTCAACCTACGCTCTTTGCTCCCTGCGCTCTACAATAACGCCCCTGGGAGTGTGCAAACATTCCCATACGCCGCCTATCGCACGCTTGGACGTGAGAATATAAACCGACGGGCCCACGGGGAGCAGCTTTTCTAGGCAGTGCTGCCCGCACGGATCGTCCACCCTTCAACTTGATCTGTCATCTTTTGTCTTTTTCATTCTCCATATATACACGCCACTCTCTTTTTACTCTACTCTACTCTCGCCCAGCATGGCCGACCTCATTTCCGATATATCCTCGGCAGCAGCTGAAACAACCACTAATCCTGCATCTTCCACAGCCGACGTCTCCACATCCGACGCAGCCACCACCTCCCAGGCCGCCACTACCTCTCAAATAGCCTCTTCCTCTGCCGCCCAATCATCGACTGCCCAATCCTCCGCCCAGACCACCTCCGAAGCCGCCACCAGCAGCGCCAGTCCCACGACCTCTGACGGGGGTGACTCGGGGACGAGTCAAACAGGGTCCGCTTCCCCGTCTACGTCGCCTAGTGCGTCTGCGTCTGACACGGGCGATGGAGCGACGACCTCTCAGGCTCAAACAAGCGACGGTGCGACGACGAGCCAGGGCGCGAGCGCCAGCGCGAGTGCGAGTGGCACTTCGGCCAGCCCCAGCGCCTCGGGTGACTCCACGACTGTCGTCTCAAGTGGGGGCGGGGTGGTCACGTCTACTATCGCTGCCTCGACATCTTCATCGTCTGGGGTTGCGACCACGACTGGGTCTGATGGCAAAAGCACAGTGTGAGTGAATATCACGAGACTTGGCCGGAGTGCTGATGGCCGGCCACAGATACATCACCATGACCAACAGCGATGGCGTCGTGACTGTCTCGCCTACTGCGACTGTCGACAGTGGATCATCGGGAAGCTCATCAAGTGGTTCATCTAACCGTGAGTCGTCCACACATGGATGAACACCGGGCTGACAAAAGTAGACACTGGTGCTATTGTTGGCGGTGTCGTCGGTGGTGTCGCTGGTCTTGCACTTCTTGCTATTCTACTGTGGTTCCTTCTCAGAAGGAAGAGGTCTCGCCGCGATGACTTTGACGACATGATGGTGGGTCATTGTTCACATTAGCTGGTACCTTGTCTGACAATGTATAGTTTGACCCCGGACGGCCCGAAAATCAGGCTCCAATTGACCTTGGTCCCGACGGTGGCGCTCCCACTGTCGAACCCTACTATGCTCCGGGCGTTGCTTCCACCGCTGCCTCTCCTGAAATGGCGCAATACCCTCGTTCCGCTGCTACGACCTCTGACGGTGGCTACGGCGCCGTGTCTTCGGGTGGACCCTCTACTGCTGGCTTTGCAGGCCGTGGCGCTGGCGGGTACGATTACAACATGGAACCGATGCCCATGCCCTCTGCTCATCCCACTGGTGTCGAGTCATCCGCCGCCGGTCTTGGCACAATGGGCGCCAAGCAGAGAGAGGCGCAGCAAGAAGCAAACAGGTATCATGTGCAGAACCAAGGGTACCAAGGTGTACCCGGCTCCTCTGGGCCTATGAGTCCTACAACGACGGACAGGGCCGGGGTGACGGTGCATCAGGATGGTGGTGCGGTGGACGACGCGTACAGCAGTGAAATTCCGCCGACGTAAGTACGAAATTTGATTCAAGAGTGTGCGCTGACCTTTGGACAGGTATGATTCTATCCCTGCTTCCCGCAGAGAATAGATTTCCCCTCGCTAGTTATGACTTTTGTATACATTCGGCCCGTTCCGTTCTCTACCATCATCAAGTTATACCAGAGCACGCTCATTAGTAGTAATAAACCATCTGCATACCTGCTAGTTTCCAATTTGCGTGTTTTGGTCTGCGGGATGTATGTAAATGTACCACACAAAGACTGATGGCGATTGGAAGTTTATTACGTTGGATCTGTCAACAAGGTCCCTGGGAAGGAATCTCTCTCTACGCAGAAGGGAACATCTTTTCATAATATCGATAGACTTTATGCTACATGCCAATCTGATACCATCCGTCGTGTCCGCCACACATCAGTAGTCACCCGTCAATCCCTTCGAAGATGAGCCATGTCCGCTCTATCTCCTACGGTATCATGCATAGAAGGCTCAGAGCCATCCAAGCAGTGCAAAGGACGGCTCTAAAGGGGGAGAGCGGTGCATGTCAATCCACGGGCGAGTCTGTACGGGCAGAGCAAAGGAAGAAATGATTGAAAGTGGCAGTTGGGTTCAAAACAAATCCTGCGCGGCCGCGCCTCCAGCCTTTAGCGATCACTACGTCGTCTCTCAACCCTTCTTCCCCGTTTCTCGCCACATCGCCTCCCCGGCCTCCGAATCTCACCCGCAAAGCAATGTCTGCCCACCCAACTCGCTCAGGCAGACACTCTTTACCCCCCTCAGCCCCCTCCGCCGCCCGGGCATCGACTGCATCGGCAAGTGGAGGAAGTCATCTGCGAGACGGTGGAGTGGGCAATGCAAAGTCGCCCCTCTCGATTTCGATCTCGCTTGGTAATCTGCGCGGGGCGAGTGAAGGGTCGAGGAGCAGCCCGGCGCCTGCTGGGGCTGGAAGCAGTACGGGGGCAAACGGGAGTGGGAGCGCCAGGTCTGCTGCTGCTGGGGGCGTCACGACTCCAGGAACGGGTCCGAAGAAAGACAAGCCAAAGAAAAAGAGGGGAATGAAGGGGTGGGCGTGGGTTGTAGAGGATGAGAATGGGAATGTGGTGGATATACCGGATGAGGAGGATGGTCGGGCGGGCAAGGGGAAAAAGGTCGTCGCTGTCAATGATGGGGACGCCTCTTCGAGTGGCCCTCCCGTTGGAACTCAGACGCCTGTGGTGATCGCTGCGACGACCACTGCCGATACGGTGCTCCAGACGCCCCGGGAAGAGGAAAAGGTGGTGCGCGAAGAGGTGCAGACGCCCAAGAGCCAAGGCAAGTGCTATAGAAGGGCGTGTGGCATGTCTGTTGACTGATGTTCTTTGCCGCGTTCACAGCCTCTATGGTGCCCCTGGAGGAGGGTGTGCTGGGGAAGCGAGTGCACGAGTCGAGCCCACCCGGCGCAGAGGTGCCCGCCGAGGATGCCAGCGGTGAGTCGCAGTGTATGGCGCCGCGGGGTCATTCAACGTCTCCTTTTCTTTCTTTCCGCTTTTCCATCCTGCTTTTCATTTCATACATGATTTATATTTTGTCGCCGTACCCCCCCATGACCACCACCCGCTCTTCCGTCCTCGTCCCCACCCACTCCCCCTCGGCCCACCCCAGGGCTCACATCCCACAGAAGAGGAAAGCTGACTCGTCCCCGCCAGCAGACATTCCACCCGTCGAAGAACCCGTCAGCATCCCCACCGCCACCGATGCGCATCGCAGCAAAGTACGACGCAAAGAGTCACCACCTCCTGTCGCCCCACCTCCTGTCGTCGTCACTTCCGCACCCATCGCCATCGCCGCTCTCACCCCTGCCGCTCCCCCAACACCGACTGTATCAATCACACCCATCGCCACGCCCTCCACGGCTGCCACCCCTATCACTGCTCCTTCGGCGCCCATGATCACTTCCACCGCACCCACACCAGTGGATGCCACCACCCCGAACGTCACCGCACCCCCCGGTCATGTCGCCAAAGCAGCCGCCGTCCGCCGCACCCAGCCAGCCCGCCAGCCTCTGCCCGCGGCCCGCGTCCGAGCGCAACTGACTCGAGATCGCGAAGCCGTCAGCCGTGCTGGGTCTGCCCATGTAGTAGACGATGACGCGCCGCTTGCTGTACCTCCCGCGAGGGCGGGGTTGGCCGACGGAGCGCACGCTAGCCCGAGGGAGCTCGCGTTGAGGGAAGAAATGGCGTTGTTCCAGGAGGCAATGTTGATGATTGACGAGGCGGAGAAGAACAGGGAGATGAGCTATGAGCCTGAAAGAGGGTCGAGGACGAGACGAGGGGGCAGGGATGGAGACGTGGACGGAACCGAGTCGGACGATGATGACTGGGATAGTGACGTCGGAACTTCTCGCGGTCATTCTCGAAGAAGGCGCAAAAGGCGCCCACACTCTTCTGGAAAGGCGTCTCCGGCTAGGGCCTCTTCTCGATCCTTTGAAGAGCAGTGGGACAACATCCAGACCTATTATCGTCACAAATCAGCAGAGGCGCGAGCGGTCGAAGCTCGAGAACCTCCAGATCTCAGCAGATCTCGCGAGCCAGTGGTTGTGGTCGCCACCAATCCTCGAGAAACCTTTCCAAAGGATAGAGTTGAGAAGGGATACGTGAATGGCTTGTCGGGTATGACGGAGGATATGGAGGCTGATGCCGAGGGGTTTGTCACGAACGTGAGGGTAGGTCGTTCAATCTTGTTTCTTCGAGACTTTTCTGACACTTGATAGTCAAATCTGACCGCCATCACCACCTATTACTTTCCCCAGAAAACAGTAAAGAGGGATGCGTTTTTGGAGAGGATCGGGAGAGGCCTGCAGCGCCTGGGAGAAGAGTTGACGGACAATGGGGACGCGGCGGTGCCACCTTGAATCTGTAGAAATGTGTCTTGACTATCTTGTGTGCTGAATGGAACGGGAAGGGAGATTATCTATGCCAGCATTCAAAAGGGATGAAGTCTTTGCCTTCTGTAACTTGTGTCTTGGGACTGGTGGCATAACGAGGATGATGACGTGAAACGCTGTTGCGATTATTCATGGGTTTAAGCAACGTATTCAATGGTGTGCATGTCAGATCGGACATTTGTGTATACCATTGCTCTTCTTTAGAATGCGTCACCTCCTGGGAACATTTGGATGCTTGTCAATGCTGTGGTGTGCGCCATGGTGTGTGCCACACGGCGGGAGAAAATGGATAAAGTGACTGATATATATTCTCAGAGATTTCTGTACGGTGACGATTTCCTCTCGGTATACTTACTCGTACTGCTCACCCCTCCCCCGTGCCCGTGCCGCGGCCCCAACGCACCAGTGCAACACCATCCCCACCCAAAACAGCAGACACGCATGTCGGACCTCCAGCGGGCCCTCACCGGCGCCCACCGCCCCAGCTCAAACCCCCGCATCCACAGACTCAGCAGCCCATACAACAGGCGCTCCTCCCTCGGCCTCGCTGCCTCCTCCACCATGGGCGATCTCGCCAGCCTGGCCAATGGATCAGACTCGCCAACAAAATCAGCCAACAAACCGGCTCCGAGCTCGAGAGTGCAGTCGCTCTCCACTTCTTCTGGTGGCATGACGAGGTCGGGAAGTGAATCCTCCCTCTTCTCTGTCGCCAAGTCTTTGTTTTCCAGGTCCTTTTGGTCGGCCACACCTGCGAAAGCGACCAACAGTCAGGGCTCGAAACGCGACTCTTTGTCTTCCTTTGGCCATGATCTCGAGGACCCAGAGTCTCCATCAGACAGAAGAGATGGCAAACGGAGAAGAAGATTCTCGCCAGAGAAAAAGACCAACGGGCTTGTAGACCGGGAAGGCGACTATAAGCCAGATTACGACGTTCAAGGTCGCGCCGTGTCAGGCTACATGCTCCCCTCCCTCGCTCCCCATGTCACCTTGAAACCCAAGCAGTCCAGCGCCGACAAGCCCCTGCCTTCGCATCCCACCAATTTCTCACGACCCCTCACCTCTTCCCAATCCATGCCATACCTCGACCCTCCTTCGCGGGCTCTCAGGTCGTCTGGCACTCTGAAATCCATTGCTTCGCCCCGCAAGACTGGAGTGTTGACGCGGTCCAAGAGGGTGGATTTGGCTTCATTGGGAAATGACGAGTTGGAAGAGGAAGGAGTATTGGTAGAGATGCCCGAGAAGGGCAAGGAGAAGGAGCAGTGGAGTCCGTGGGCTTCAAGATATGCCGGAGCTACCGGCGCTGCCGCCAGCGCAGCTGCTATACCTAGAGGTTCTACGCCTAGAAAATCTTCTGCACTGACCGACGTAAGTGGCCGAGCTTGTTCCTGTGACTGTCCTGACGTTTGAAGCAGTACGCCATGCCTTCAGCTTCGCCCTTTCGCCTACCTCCTGCCTCTCCCCGCCCCCGACAGTCCACAAGTGGCCTGACACGTTCTGCCACCACTGCCAACCTCGGTCGGCAATCCAGTGTCGTTTCTGATCTCAGTATGGCTTCGGCAAGTCGCCCCGTTGGGAGGAGCGTCAGTATCAGAAATTTGCGAGAACCAGAATCTTCTTCCGTGTTTGGCGAGAGTGTGATTGGGGAGGACGACTCTATGAGTATCGATGGGGATAGTGTTAGGCGTAGAGAAGGAAGTGTCCTGGTGCGTCTCAATCTTTCATCTCGATCAGTACTGATGCCGCGCAGGATTGGTTCATGAAGGATCGCTGGGACAAACCTGGCGCCCCTGCTTCTGCCGCTTCCTCTCGAAGACTAACGTCCGCCGCTCCCTCTTCATCGTCTACCATCAGGAAGGGCCAAATGGTGTGGAATCAGGAGGACAAGGTCTTTGTCAGAGAAAGCGAGCTCAAAGCTGGTGAGTGAGATCCATTCTCATCCATCCAGCTGCTTATGATATCATAGCTCAACATCCCAACCCCATACATAAAAACGAAGCCGAGCGGATTCTCTATACCCTCGAGGCTATGCGCAAAACGCCTCTGACCGACGCCCGAAAAGGCAATCTCCCACCCCTACTCGGTCAATCTTCTCGAACGCTTCGTAAAACTATCAATGTGCCTTTGGCGACTGCCGCTGCTGGGGAGAGCGCCAAGCAGAGGAGAGATAAGGAGCGATTGGGCGACTCTGTGTCGGTGATGATTAGTCCTTACGGGAGGAGGAATGTTGCGGACAGGGAAGCCAAGGAAGTGAGAAGACAGAGCAGAGCCGAGGATCGAGGTGAGTCTGATGTGTCGCATTTGATGATGGAGACTGACTTTTGCCCCAAGAACAACGCCTCTCGGTGACACCATCGGACGCTAGGAGCGATACCGTCAGCAATATCGATATGGACTCTGCCGCCTCCAGAGATTCACGTTCGCCTGCGCCTCCGACCCCTCGCCGATCTTCTCGTCTCAAGCGAGGGACCACTGCGGAAGAAGAGTCCACACCCAAGGCATCAAGGCGCAACACCCGACGGGGCAACTCGAAGCAACCCGAGTCTATCGCCGAAGAGGCTCCGACGAAACGGTCAAGTCGACGCACTAGGAAGACAACGGTGGATCGCGGTACCTCGCCAGAGCCACCTGCACCGGTACCTGAAGTGCCCGTCATCACTGCTACTGCTCCTTCCCCCGGCGGGCCCAGCTCTTCTTCCAACTATCAGCCTCGAGCTGCTGAAGAAATGCCCCGCGGCTCTTCTTCCTTGCGAGCCAAGTCGGATAGCAAGCGAGCGCATCAGAGTGCCGCTACCTATTCTCGTGGTCAAACGCCTTCTTCTGGGCGGTACTCTGCCAAAGACGAAGACTTGCCTGATATGGAAGAGCTGGAACAGGCGTCCAAGATCAGCCTGCCTTCTTTCTCTGGCATCACCTTTGACGGCTTGAGTGCTGGCGCGCCTGCTCCCAAGGCAGCTGCACCTGCCGCTCCCCAGCCTCCTCTGAGCTTGCCCCGAGCTGGCGGTCCTCTCGCCCGACTGGGTGTGGCTTCGACCCGTCCCCGGGCTTCTTCTCCTCTTGCCGGGGGATCTATCGTGGCTGCTCCCGACTCGCCTCCCTCTTTCCCTCCACCCAAAAAGGATGATCTTCAGCCTCCGGCAGGCGGCATCTTTCCTCTTTTCAGCAACAACGACAAGCCTGCCGAAAAGCCATCATCTTCCCTCTCTGCGGGCGCTTCTTCTATCAGTCAACCCCCTGCTTCTACCTTTTTCTCAAAGCCTCCCACCCCCAAAGAGACCCCTGCGACCGAGAAGCCTGCATTCTCATTCGGCAAGTCTGCCGGCGAGACCGATGGTGCCGTGCCCGACTTTTTCGGCACAAAGTCTGGCTCGAGCACCCCGGCTCCCGCTGCCCCTGTGCCTACGTTCAGCTTTGGTGTGAAGAAGACTACAGAGGAGAAGGCGCCGCCTGCTCAACTGCCTTCGTTCGGTGCGCCTGCTCCATCTTCCGGTTCTCCCGCTCCCTTTACATTCGGTGCTCCTGCCGCCGCTGAGAAGAAGGAGGAACCGAAAACGACGAATGGTACAGTGCCAGCGTTTAGCTTTGGCGGGTTCGGTGGAGATAAGAAGGAGGAAAAGAAGGATGCTGCCCCTAGCGGTGGCTTCAATTTTGGGGCCCCCAAGGAGAGTTCTCCTGCGCCGGCTGCGTCGTCCTCGTTCTTTGTAAGTGTCCGTCTTGTTGGTCTGTGACCTTTGCTAATAATATCTAGTTTGGTGCACCAAAGCCCACAGAATCTGCCGCCAAGCCTGCTTTCTCTTTCGGTGCTCCTGCTGCCGAAAAGCCAAAGGCTGATGAAACACCAAAGGTCGCTTTCAACTTTGGTGCTCCTGCAGCTTCGGCTGAGAAGCCTGCCGAAAAGCCTGCAGAGACCGCGGCGGCGCCGTTTGCCTTTGGTACCCCTACTGCGCCCAGTAGCCCAGCCCCAAAGCCAGCATTCTCCTTTGGCGCTGCGAGCGGGACGACCACCCCTGCGGCTACGCCTCCACCCACCTTTGGTGCTGTGAAGGATTCTACTACCAATGGGTCCACGACTCCCGCTGCTGCGCCTGCCTTTGGCGGGTTCAACTTTAGTAAACCTGCCGAGAAACCTGCAGACAAGCCGGCGTCTACATTTAGCTTTGGTGCTGGTGGTGGCGACAAGCCAAATGGTGCAAGCTCGCCTTTCGGTGCTCCTGTGACCAATGGTGACGCAGCAAAAAATCCCTTTGGAGGATCATCTACACCTGCAGCAAGCAGCACCCCGTCATTCTCCTTTGGGGCTTCCAGCAGTACAGGGACCAGCAAGCCCGCTGGCGCCTTTGGCAGCGCTGCCCCTGCTGCAAAGCCATTCTCCTTCGGCGCTCCTTCGAGTAGTGCTCCAGCTGCTGCCCCGGCGAACCCCTTCGGCACCAACAATGCTGCCAACTCGAGCTCCCCGGCCTTCTCTTTCGGAGCGAGTAACACGGCTGCGCCAGCTCCTAATGCTTTCGGTTCTTCTGCGCCTACTCCCAATCCGTTTGGTCAGCAGTCAGAGCAAAAAGCGAGCAGTCCTGCTCCATTCGCGTTCGGCGCCCCCGCCCCTACACCGTCCCCCTCGACGTCGACGTTTGGTTTCGGCCAACCATCCAACAACGGCTCGGCGGCTCCATCATCCACCTTTAGCTTTGGCCAGCCATCGCAGCCCTCTGCCCCGTCTTCGTCCGCCCCGGCATTCTCTTTCGGTGCGCCGGCAGTTGCTCCTGCGGCTGCGCCGTTTGCCTTTGGTGCGCCCGCTGGTGATGCCGCGTCGAGATTCAAGAGCCCCACACCGGGCCCAGACGCCGCCGCGGGCAATGGCTTTAGCTTGGGTATAGCCGCGAGCGAGGCTCCTAGTAGTCCTGGTGGTAGAAGAGTTAGAGGTCTTCCGAAGAGACGGTAATAATGGTGAAAGATGGACGATCGGTTGTATGTGTCTTTAGCGTGTAGAGTTAATGAGGGGGGGGGTGCTGGTCGTGTTTGGATCTTTCACATAACATAGTGGCTCCAGGGCTATCATTATAACATAAGTACTAGTAGGTAAACATTTTCTTTCATCGACATTTCTGCCTTTTTCAACATTATCACGATAGCCAACAGTTTCGTATTGCATTCTCATGTTTCGAATGATTTTTGATGCAATAGTCAAGGATTGTCTGCTGCCAGAGTCAAGGACCACTGTACGGGGCGTGTACGTACGAGTACCTGGCCGACCATGGATCCGATCATGGAGGCACGCTGCTGTGCATGCATGGCCCAACATGTCCCCTGGGCGCGAGATAGAGTTGCTCAGGAATACGACTGGCTTGGCTCACCGCCTTGCCCTTTCCCGAGCGGCGTGCCTGAGCCTGCCTCCACCGCCACCCGCCGCTGTACTTGGGCAGTGGCGACGACTGTCTCTTGCTTTATTCCATCCATCGCCATGCGTATCCCCCATATCAACACAGACGTCGCTCAACAGCAGCCACAGCAGCCACAGAACTCGTTCGCACAGCCGCCGGGCTGGGGCTCCCATATCACCTATCCCGCTGGTGCCGTCGTAGGCTACAACGGAACAATCTGGCGATGCGAGAGCACCCACACAAGCGGTCAAGAGCCCTCTGGTGCTGTGAGTCATTCTTGTTAAAATGTACTCTCAGATATTTGCAAGGCGTATACAGTACTTGTAATGTGAAGCTGCCGGTGGCCATCCTGTCGGCGGCCCCACCGTCACGTATACCTCGTCGAGACAGTATGCTGCTGACACTATTTGACATATAGCCTACTCAAAACTTGCATCTGTGGACGCCCATTGGAGCCAATGGATCATGTTCCAACTATAATGCTCCCCCACCATCCTATGGGACACCTTCGCAACAGGCTAGTGGCGTCCCTTCCTACCAGGCTGCTGTAGGTTCTACTCACGCACCCCAGTATCCCGCCATTGGTGAGAAGCCTGCCTCTGGGTCTTCTTATCCCAATGAGAAGACGTCTGGACAGGCACCGGGACTCTCCAAGCTGGCCGATGATGCGGCGCGCCGTCTTGCCATCTATGAAGAAGGTCGACGTGTGGGAAACAAGGACGAGTTGAAAAAGGAAGTGGGAGGATCGAGCCTGTTCCGTGTCGGCGGTGTCGGTATATGGTCATACAGCACGGATCAGAAGGAGGAACGGGTCAAGGAAAAAGTCTGGAAAGAGTGGTCCGAGAAGCACTCGAGAGATGATTGGCTGCAAGTTGCGCGTGAAAGGACCAGATTCTATATCGACAATGGTGCTCTGAACGGCGATCGTGAGTGATGATCATGTCTGCTCGAGATCATGTGCTCATACACCGTTCTGTAGCGGGTCCGCAAAATGTCCGACCGTTGTTCACTTGGAAGCTGGTCGAACCTGGGCAGCGACTACCTCCCGATGCTCTCCCAATCGGCAACGAGAGAGACGGTTCCGTTCTTTACTCGGCGCGGACATGGCATCAAGGTGGCCTTCACCTAGGAAAGTGAGTACGATGATCCGCTTAGGATCTGATTTAACGACATTGTCAGAGCTGGTCACCACATCAATAACGGTGCATCCATCTCGTACGGCGGCGGTGAGATCACCCACAACACGTACGAGGTTTTCTGTGGCCCCATCGATGAGCCCTATCTCGTCAAGTGGATGTACTATCCTCACGGTCAAAGAGTAGTCGTGGATGGCTGGCAGCCCGTCGAAGGCGGACGGGAGAGGGATGGAAGAGCGATCTTTTTGTGTCGAGGCTCTTTCGAGGGGTTAGTCTTTCATCTCTTGACACTGCTCGCGCTGACCTACTACTCAGGGGCCAACATCCCGGAAAGTGCAGCACCATGGACGATCACTCGTGCGTTGGCTACGGAGGCGGAGAAGTCTGGGTCCGCCCATTCCAAATCCTTGCCTACGCCAACCCTAATCGCTTGTAATCTTCTACCACGGTAGCACCATTGACGATCAGCATACACGAAAGGATCACTGTACATATTGACTTGTAGCATTGCAGATATACACGACTCACAAAGGCCAGTGCACTCTCGTATCATACATAACATCTCTCTCATTAGTGCTATTGCTCATGTATAGAACCATGTCGGAACCCGCGATATTGCAGCCAAGGTTGAGTGGAGTTGACTCGGCCTATAACGTAGCCCCTACGCCAATTTCAAGGCATAATCTTGGCACAGCACTTTAAGGGCAGGCTTGGCTTCAGCAAAGCGCCGCAGGAGTGGACTCCCTGTCACGTCCTTCACACCGCAAACTGTGATTCCATCCTTTCGCCTACTTGGTGCAGTCAAAGGTATCCTTTAGTCAATCCTATCAGCTTTGCATCTCGTGCGCGTCGAATGCGAGATCACTTCTTCCTTTGTTTGAAGGCGGCCATTCGCTGCGATAGCGGTGAAGGTAATGGGTCTAACGACGATTGGCTCTGACGTTTTTCCCACTCACTGCTCTGCCACTCTGGCAAACCTCTCCCCCGTCTAGCTCACCATTTCCCCTTCCCCCCCGACCAGCCTCTTCACAGCTTCGCTTCACCCCATTCGCTTCACCCCATCAATATCTCGCTCACAAAGCCCCCTGGGTCCTCCTCCAACCTACCGCCCCCGTTCATCCCGCGTACTGAGCCCACCATGTCCTCTTGCGAACAGATCCCCTCTATCACCATCTGGGGAACTACCCAGATCACCAGCACTTCCTCTTACTTTTCAACTTTCACCTCTCTTGTCCCTGGCGACGAGATCACGCGTACTGCCACTTCCATTGTCCCTGGCACTTGCGACGATGGCGACGACTGTGCGTCCTCCACCAGTGTAGGAGTCAGCACGATCACAATGATGAAGACCAGTGTTGGGAGTAGTGCAGTGGAGACACAGGTCGTAGACACAAGTATCGTTCCCCAAAACACACTCTACTACCCTTGTTCAAATACTTCTCAAGCGACTTCTCTGCCTGCTACTGCGAGTTCTGGCTCGTCTCAGCCTGCCGCTACCCAACAGGGCACGCAGATGCAGGCAAGCACTACCGGTGCTTACCCCGTCACGAGCCCGCTCCCGTCGAGCATCATTGTCGATGATGGGTCATCGACTGGTCAATTTTCTTTGGGTTTATCGCAAAGCAGCTCGAGCGCAACCCGATCACTATCCCAAGCTGTTTCGACGGCTTCTCACACGATCACCATGAGCGGCGCGTCTCCATTTTCGACGGGTACACTATCTGCGTCCTCCTCTCACTCTACATCATCGACAAGCGACGGTTTATCGGACGCTTCGCGCCATGATGCTGCTTCTAGCGGCTCTTCTTCCAACCATGGAGCTATCATTGGCGGCGTGGTTGGCGGGATGCTGGCGTTGCTTTCACTGCTTGCCTTACTGCTTTGTTGCCTACGCCGAAGAAGAAAACGTTCAGAGCTTCCAAGCGAACAAAAAGACGATGCTGGAGATTACTGGGAAAGGAAATTCAGAGCTCTGGAAGCCGGGGGAGGAAGTGGCAGCGTTGAGGGGGGCGCGGAGAAGGATGAGTGGGATCTCAAGTCTAGCAGGAAGCTACATGTACGTTCTACACATACTCTACAGCTGATAGCGTTTTGGCTGACGCAGTGCACAGCTAACACTGGACCTGGCATCCAAAGACATCGATATTACCTCTGCCCGGCGCCAGTCTCGATTGTCCACCATCTCGTCATTCTTTGTATCTTCGCTCGGCGGTGCTGTTCCGTCACGTATATCCTTGAACGGTGGCCTCAACTTTTCTCGACCGCTCAGAAGACGCCCAGCCTCGTCAGAGGCGGATGGTGCCTCTGTCAAGTCTCACCCCAAGAGTCCAAAGAGTGTCAAGTCTTCCAAAACTCAGCGCTGGTCGGCTGGCTCTCGGCGTTCAGAAAAGTCAGGCAACAGGCTTTCCGCTTTCGTCCTGCCGAGTATGCAAGAAGAGGGCGAAATTGTTGAAGAGGACAAACAGCCTCCCACTTCTACTGAATCTGAAGAGAAGAGAGTGATGGAGTGGATCCGGCAATCGCAGTTTGAGGACGAGCGAGACAGTTTGCCACGCTACATGGATAATGAGATGAGCCGTGGGGAGTATGGCAGACACGACACCGTCAGAGGGGGCCCTCCCCCACCCAGCAGACCACCTCCTGCCCGACTATCTCGTAAATCACCCCCGGCAGCCTTGCCCATAACGTCTCCTTCATCTTCCCAAAACGCCAAGTCTTCATCAGAAGAACATTCCAAATCTCCTTACCCCTCACATCCCGGCACGAGCACTGCTAGAACCCTCTACCCATTCTACTTGCCGATACCCTCCCAGAGCAAGGTAGCTCTCTCTCCAAACCAGTCTGCGCTGAGCTCCCCAGCTATTTCTCCATCAACTTCCTCGGAAGAGGAGGGGCCAGCCAGTAGGCATTATCACGGGACTGTTGGCAAGCATGTACCTCAGCTCCATCTCAATGCCGAAGCTATCGCCTCCAGGCTGTGGGTCGGTGATGATTTGTTGGCGAGGTATGAGGACTTCGAGAGCCACAATTCGGACAAGGATGGGAATGGGCAAGTGGCGGCGCTAGCAGCTACTGTTGATTCTCCTTATGGGGGAATAACGGAGGGAGGAGAAGCACTCACAGGCTCGGTGTCTCCGAGTGGTCCATCACGCTCTCCACCCATGTCACCCATCACACCCCAAACAGCCAATTCCATCGCTTCCTCGATGGATGATGTCTCTCTGGCAACAATTACAACGGCAGAGAGATCAGCGTTAACGCCACAGCTCCCTGTGTTGGCACTCAGATCGTCTGTGGTTAGCTCTTGGGGGATGGGATTCATGGGGGACGAAGAAAGGATGAGGACGATATACTGGCAGAGCGGTGAGGGCCATTAGGTCAAGCGTAGACATTTATACTTGTAGAGATGCAGCCGTTGTGAAGACAAGCCGTCGGGCCGTCGGGAGAGCTGCCATTTCGGGCTGACGTTGACATTTCGGTGTTCCGGTTCCCAACCCTAGACGCAAGATCAGGAATCTAGTTCCGAAACGCAAGTGAGATTCCGAGGCACGCACCAAATCTTTCAGGTTTCGGGCTTTCTGACCCTGGCGCTCATCTTCTCTTTCTTTGTTCTTTTGTTCTTTCTTCCGGCCCCCTGCGTTGTCGTTCGGACGTAAAACAGACTCTCGACTGTGGCCGGTCGCTCACGGAGAGCTCGGAGGAGTGAGCATGCGCAGTGAGAGGCCCAGGCTCGCCTTGCATGAGCGATCAAGCTGATCACTGCGAACTGTTGTGGTCGGGCGTTGTGGTCTCAGGGAGCTGTTCCTCTTCGGATACCGAAAAGATCAATTGAGATCATGCAATGCGCCAAACAAAGTCAGGACCGACTTGGTCGACTTAGTGCAACTGCGAGCTGGCGTCCTGCAATCCCGGCGGATTCGAATATTCATGCTGGATGAAGCAGGCCATGCAAGCAGATGCGAACGCCACTGACATAGTCTATCATCGACATGAGATCAGGCTCTGATCATTTTCCCTGCCTGAAGAAGAACAGCATGAAACCGATACTTTTAAGGAGTCCAGGTTGTTGAAGCTAGCCCCGTCGGAGCGTCGGGCGTCGTGTGTACAAAAGCGCGCAATGAAGGCCAGTGCTTTTCAATTCCTTGTCCCCATCGTCTTTCTCATATCATCTCCTGTATTGTACGACCTGGTTAAATTGTGTAGCACTGTATATTTCCTACCACGCGCCCACCCCTCTACTCGTCGACGCTTGTTACATCTCAACGATGGGCTTTTTCTCACTGCGTAAAAGGTCGACCATCCCGGCCCCTGGCTCTGCCCTCTCCTTGGACGACCACAGCTCCCCGTCGGCGTTTCCTCTGCCATCAGCTCTGGAGATAATCACTCTGAGAGTAGCTGTTGACCCAGCCCCCACAAACCAAGGTGCCAAAAGCATCTTCTATGTGACTGTGGGTCTCGAAGAGAGCGTTGCTGCCCTTCGCCGTGAAATTGCCAGGTCTGTGGGTCATAGCTCCATGAGCCTTTTCAAAGTGAGCACAGTCGTTACCCCTTGGGCGCTAGTGCGATCATCTGCTGATAAGAAGCGTGCGCTCAGGTCGCCATACCTACTCAAGCACACCGAGAAGCACAAGCCTATACGGCCGAGTACGGCAAAGCGGTCGACCTTTTAGCGAACTTCCCTGCTTTCAATCTAGACGATCCTCAACAGCTGGAGCTCAGCCTTCCACCCCAGCACAGGGGGCTTACCTCAACGTTTGCTGGCAGTCCACGAGACCTCAAGATCAGACATTGGTTTCCGAATCACAACGCCGGTGACGTTATCAATGTGGTAGCTAGACCTCTCAGAGGTGTCCCAGTCAGTGAGTGATGTACCGCGTGCCACGGACCCAAGCTGATGTAGAGCTATAGACACGAAACCCCTCACACTTCGAGTATTCCTCGCCTCTCCGCCCTCGAAAGGTCGCCCAGCCACGATGCCTGAGACTCGGCAACCCCCTCTGGTTGTGGATGTAAACCCTTACATCACCGTCAATGAGCTCAAGATGGAGCTCCTCAGAGCTAGCGGAAACGACTCTCAGCTGTGGAAGAATGTGACTCTATGGCAGATTGCCATGACTGAGAGTGAGATGACGGTCATCGACGAGCTCGGAAGATTGATGAACGGCAAGATGCCTTGGCCGTGAGTGCCCTTTGTCATTCACTTGCTCCTTTACTGATCAACGACGCAGATATCCACCAGGAGCTTTGGAGCCCATCGCACTCTCTGACAATAGTCTCCCTATATCCCTCTTCTTTCCCAAATCAGCGCCGAACGGCGACATGCTCAACCTTTCAATGTGGTTCAGTGGGCCCATCTCGACCCCCTCCCTCGAAGCCATCCCGCCCTTCCGCTACCCTATGCCCCTTTCCCTCCCTAGGGCCCCCTCTCGTTCGATCAGCCCAGGCGGTTATCATAGCCCTCACAGCAGCGGTCTATCTCCCTTACCGGTGCAGATGGACCGTACACAGTCTGCGTCCCCGACACTCGGTACTCCTGTCGCGGAGCTCTTTTCTATCGCTCCAAAGTCGAAGAATCAGACAGCCACTCGCGGCAGCCGAAGGCCCAGTACCGCACCTACAGTGCTGGCATCAGACCTTGGCGCCTCTTTTTCCAAGGACTCTGTTCTCCTTCCTGGGGGCGTGTCGGAACTTTGTTCCCCATCTCTTTCCACTTCTCCCTCACTTTCGCCTCGCAGCATCCCTTCTGGGATCAAAACCAGTCTGAAGCTGTCAGCAAAGGGCGCCCGAAAAGGTCTCGGTATCATGATACCCTCCGCATACCCTTTCTCCAAGCAACTGTCAGTGTCTGATCGAGACAGTTTCTCGAGCTCAGAGGAAGAAACGGGGATCACCTCTTTGCCGAGCTTGAACTTTTCCCAACTCTCTCTCGAGACACCTAGGGAGTTTGCTGTCAAGACACCTGTGGAGATATTCAGTATGAAGATGGGTATGGTGGATGTGCTGCCTGGACTGGCTAGCCCAGAGGGGAAGCAGGGACCGGTGTCATCAGCAGGAAGGTCAGCATAGTGTGAGAACAATTGGAAGGCCTTTTGCAAAGGCAATTGAACTATGATAGAAATTTCATACTTTTTCTTTATTTTGGGTTTTGGTAGATTGTGCTGCTTACTTGCTATGTCTAGTTTGTTCCGTGTCCGTTATCATGTATGCGCCAGTAGGACTTTATCCGAAAGTGGAGCCAAGCACTTCTTACATTGCATGTCCTTTCGAGATTGAAAACTGCTAATAACGTGGGAGTTTTCCTAGAGACATTCTACCAATACGACAAACCCTACTCAATCATCGCAGCATCCAGACCCTGTTATTTGTCAGTACACTCTCTGAGATACTAAGCTTGACACGACTCACCAAACCGTTCAAGAACATGTTGACATTCCTCAACTTCAGATCTGCCCTCGCCTGGCTGATCGCCGTACTCCTCGCTCCTTGAACAGTATGCAGAATCTTCTCTCTCAATGCGGCGACCAAAGCCGTCTGCTCCTCTTCATTCGCATTGACAGCCAAGGCCGCGGCAAAGCCCCATGCCTCTGCTTCCCTGCGCTCCATCTCCAGTCCTTCGTGGTCGGGTAGATGTTCCATAGTGGAGAGGAGGTAAGCGGAAGGGCCAAAGGCGTGCTTGGCGGCGATGGACGAGGGGAAAAGGTCGGGAAGTGAGGGGAGGAGAGCGTTGATGAATATTGAGAAGAGGCTGGGCCATTGCTGAATCTCTGCAGGGTCGGGATGGGGGACGGCGATAGGGTTCATGGGGTCAGAGACGGGAGCGCGGACGAGAGATTGGGCTTTTGACAGGAGGGCGGTAAAGAGTACGATACCGGGCTGCAGGAGATGTAAGCGAAATTCACTTGATGTTGTACTGGACGTACCCTTGTAGAAGCAATCTTGACCACATCCAACCTCTGCACAGCAGTGACCAGCAAACCGCCGATCAGGCCAAGTTTGCACTTGTTGATGGCCATGTCGATGGCGGGAACAATGTTGAACAGGAAGCCATCCGTATCAGCCTCTCTCTTGGCTCTATCAAGCTTGTCGGCCTTTGTCAACAGACTGGCGTCGGCGGCGGGAGGTGGCGGCGCACGAGCGACGACATCAAGCTGGTAGAAGTTGACGAGCAAGAGGGAAAGAAGAGTAAAGATCTTTTGGTCGGGAAGTTGAAGGATGATGCGGAGGAGTAATCGCTGACCCTTGGGTGGGTTGAGCAAAGAGATGAAGGGGTGCGGGTTGGACACTTCAATAGGCTCTTGGACCATCAACTTTGTCCAGATCAACTCTTCCTTCTCCTTGCACTTTGCACTCCAGAGTTCGACATCGTGCGCAGAAGTCACAGGTGGCGGGTCTCGGCGCAGTTGCTCAATCTCAAGCACGTCGGCGTAGAGGCCTTCGAGAGCGTACATGATCTGCTTGCGGGTAAGAGGGTCGCGTTTGATGTTTGTCTGCTCGTTGAGGTGGGAGACGGGGCGGTGGTCAGATTTGACGTGGGTGGGGACGGCGAGAACGGGACGGGGAGCGGCGGCACCACCTCGGGTCACTCGACCAAGCGCACCTTGAAGAGCAGCTGTGCACGTCGTCAGCAAACCTTCTGTGGGTGTCTGCGCTTGTCTTACCAGAGTTGCTAGCAGCCTTCTGATGCTGGGCCCTGCTCTCCACCAGCTTCTTCACCTGCACCGACAGCTTTTGCATCGTGTTCTGCCCCATCTTACCAAACCTGTTACCCTGGGGTCCGCCAACACCGAGCCCAAACCCAGCAGCGATCTGTACCACTGTAGGCCTGTCCATTTGCCCGCTTTCATGAGCCCGTCGGCTGCTCTCCATAGCGGTAAAAACTTGGGCGTAGAAATCAGAGACAAAAGGAGCGTTGGAAGCAAGCTGGGCAAGCTGCATTCGGGTGATAAAGTCCTTGTCAGAATTGCCCATGATGTTGTTGTGCTTGGACATGGCTTGGACCTTGCTTTCAAAGATCTGACGGAAATGCTCTTGGCGAGCGAGCTCCTCAGGGGAAGGGCCGGGAGCCTGGGTAGCAGACTGACCAAGTTGCCCAGCAGGGGCGGGGGAGGGTCCCTGGCCGAGCTCTGGGAACATGCTATCGAGGAGAGCTTGCTGAGAGCCGTAACCAGAAGAAGCAAGTCCCGGCACCTGGGTGGGAGTCACCTCTCGTACAGGAGCAGGCTGTTGCTGAATTTGTTGAGCCTGAGCCTGCTGCTGACGCTGCGCCTGATACTGAGCCGGCGCCTGCTGGGGTGTGCCTTGGTATTGAGGCTGAGCCTGATATTGAGCCTGTTGTTGGTGCTGGGGAGGAGCCTGGCCGGGAATCTCCTCCATCATCTGCTGCTCGAGTTCCTCCAAAGTGAGAATCTGCTGCTGCACAGGCGCCTGGGGCTGAGTAGGGGCCTGAGCCTGAACTTGGGCGCTCGGGGCAGACATGGAGGCGAATTCGGCTTCTATCTCTTCGAGGGTCTTGATCTGCCCAGCCGGAGCGGGTTGCGAAGCGCGATGGGCAGGAGAGGGTTTCACAGCTGGGATGATATTAGAGCGGAAGCCATTAGATCGCGACGCTACATACCAGCCGAAGGGGCGGTACCCCAAGATGTGGTCTGACCCGCGGGCTTTGTGAGCGCAGATTGAGAGGTCTGGGGCTTGGGCTTGGCTGGAGTTTCTTGGATATCATATAAGCGCCTGCCCTATTATTTCCAGCAATTGAACGTACTCCTAGCAGGAGATCGAGACGAGTAGAAATCGTCCTCCGAGAAAGCAAAGGGGTCCGCTGCGGCCTTGGGCCTATATCGTGATGCAGTAGACGCCACAGGGCCCCGAGTAGATTGCTGCTTTGGTGCTCCGTAAGAAGAAGAGGGCTCTTCATGGCCAAAGTTAAAGTAGGCGGTGTTCTCTGTGGACGCGGGCTCAGTACATGATCCCTATTGTCCTTTATGTGCTCACTGATGGTACCGATATCAGCCCCGAAAGTAGCATCGTTACTCTCATCCGCCTCCTCGGGCTCCTGTCCAGCACCCTGACCCCAGGTGTAGACTTCCATCTCATCTTCATCGGGCAAGCCGGTGCTGTTGAAGGCGTTTACATTGGAGGGCTGGAACTTGGACTGTTGGGGGGGAAACTGTTGCTGGCCTTGGTTGGGGCGATGCTCTGGGAGAGCGGTGTCGAAGCCGAAGAAGCCTGACATGGGGAGCGGGTTGATGGATGGAGGATGTTGTAGTGGCTGAGATTGCAAGAAGATGTCATTAGTGCCACACTCTCCCACTCCTGAAACGCCGATAGCCCTCATCGCTGTCACTCAACCTGTTTATGCAGTGGTTCTTCGAGGATTATTCTCCTGAAAGTATCGAAGAGTGCCCGTGAGATGTTCATGGCCCGTCAGTGGCAGGGTGTGCATGCAAAGCTCCAGTCGCAAGCCATCAACACGATCCGCGGCTCAGCAGACCCGTCTCATGGATTGCGTTCGCGCTGCTCTTCGTTCATTCCCAGGCGACGACTGTGCTATATACATACAAAATGCATTGACTTGTCCTTATGCATGCACTCTGAACTCATTTCCCAAGTGCCACCCGTATCATATCGCCGAGAGCATCAGCGAGTCTCGACCGGCGCTCCGAACTGTACGACTGTCCGTCTCTGACACTCGATACATCACAATGTTGGTCAAGACTTCCTATCGAGACGTCCCTACCACCGCCAACGGCAAGAAGGGTACTATCCGTATCTTCCTTGTCGAGCCCAGTCTCCCCGGCTACCCCAACGCCAAGTTCCCTGGCTGTAAATCACCTCTTCCTCTAATAGGAAGCCGCAAGCTGATTCCCGGACAGGCGTGGTGTTCTCAGAGATCTATCAAGTCACCGGCCCCGTAGAGAGGTTTGCCAGTAACATTGCTTCGGAAGGCTACGTTGTTGCTCTTCCTTCTTCGTTCCACGAGTTTGAGGGTCCCGAAGCCATCCCGTATGACACGGATGGTACCGACAGGGGTAACCGTTACAAGGTGCGTAGCTTGACAGTCCTACTAACCAACAAACAGAGCTGACGAGTGGTATGGTAGATCGAAAAGACTGTCGAGGCGTATGACGAGGATGCCACGCTGTCTATCGATCTGCTTACGAGCCTTCCCAACTGTACAGGCAGGATAGCTTCCACAGGAATGTGTCTTGGTGGACACTTGGCTCTACGTGTGAGTGGATCAATCCGATGAGTACGGACACATGACGCTGACATGAGATTCAGGCGGCCTTTGACCCTCGAGTCCAAGCTACATTCTGCTACTTTGCTACCGAGTATGTCTCCTTCATGCCCGTAGATCTCTAGACTGACTCGGTCCAGTGTGCACTCTGCTACCCTCGGTGCTGGCAAGTCTGACGACACCCTCATCAAGGTGAAGAACGGCGACCTCACTGGCAAGGGCGAAGTTGCCATGGTCTTTGGCAAGCAGGACACCCATGTCGACCGTGAGGGCCGATCACTCATCCGAGACACTCTAGACGCTGGCAACGTCACCTTCACTGTCAGTCGTTTCCAGACCTCACACACCCAGTGCATCTCGCTGACATTGTCTATAGTTCCTCGAGGTTCAAGCCCAACACGCATTTATTCGTGACGAGTCATCCAAAGGTCGTTGGGACGCTGCCCTTACCCGTTCATTGTTTGGTATGATGATGGAGCTGTTCAACAGGAGGGTTGCTAGAGATCTGGGGGAACCTAGTGGGGACGGAGGGAAGGTTGAGCATGTCTGCTGAGCGCGGCAATCAAAGAGTTATCAAGGTCATCCGAATGCATCAGATTCGTCGGCATATCTCGTCGGCATAGTACTCGTACAAATGGAACGCACAACCCATTCCGCGCAAAAAGTTGAACATTCAACACGCAAAAGGCAATCTTTAGTCGAGATCCTCTCCATTGTTCTCCCCACCTCGCACCGCGCTGTCACCCAGCTCTTTCGCTTCTTCCCTCAACTTGCCCAATCTCCTTTCCACAAAGTCCAAAACCCTGACCAGCTCCTGCGCCTCCTGAACCGGATCTCTCCTCTGCCCGAGCACCATCTTGACCGCCTCGGCCACTTCGTCATTCCCACGTTTAGCCGAGCGACGCTCTAGAAATGATCGCTGCTGGCCACCAGAGAAGGCGATATATGTCCAGACATTGGAGATCACGAGGACGATGATGACGAGGGTCGTTACAGATTGTTTTGACAGCCCCGAGGGGAAGATCAGGTCGCTCAGCCCATCCACACAGAACTTGAATCCAGAGACGACGCCCTTCCCTCCGGCCACGAGCGAATCGACTCCCGCTTGCACCATGCCCCAGTCCTGCTCCTGTCTATCCTTCCTCGCCTTTTTGGCATACTCTTGCGCCTCAGTCTGCTTATCGGCGGCAGCGGCGACTTCAGCCGCAGGAGTTCCAGAGACCGGTGTATCGACAGATGCCTGGGCACCGGGAGGAAGGAATTCAGAGATGTGGGATTGGATGTAGGAGAGCATGGACAGTTTGAGGTCGTCATGGTAAGTCTTTTGGCCGTCTATGGCAGACTTTTCAATGATTCCTGTGCGCTCTGGTCAGTAGAGTGACCAACATACAGGATGCCGCTTACCCTTGATCCAGCTCTTTCCAGTCCATTCAACCCCGGTGGTAACGACAACCTTGGTCGAGTTTCCCCCGGCCCACATGAAGCAAGTCCTTGTCATGACGCTAAACACGCCTCCGCTCGGCACATCTGGTGTCCTCGTGGTAGTCACCATCGCAATGTACTCTTCGGGCTCGAAATGAACGCGCGAATCAGTAATGTGGCAGGTGGTCTGCTTTGGGCCAATGGAGCCATTGAGAGGTTTGATATAGGATAGTGAGCGGGTGAGCTGGTCTGACCCTTCTCCGGTGCGCCAGTCCGAGTACTCGATATCTACACTTTGTCAGCTTGCCCTCTCTACGTAAGCAACAGAGCTCACCTCGTAATTGCTGGCTATCACTCAAAAAGGTCTTCAACCATCCACTGTTAAACATGAGGTTGTAAACCTTCTCTGGTGTACTCGGGAAAGTTGCTTCCAACGCTATCTCGGGGTAATGCTTCCCGTCCTTCCCACATGCGCATTGTGTGGGTTTATGCGTCTCTGATCCAGCACCCTTGACGCTCGCTCCAGCGATCTGTTGCCCAGCCGAGGGGCCCGAAGGCGCATCGCCTTCGGCGTCAGCGAGCTCGCCGGAGATGGACGCAGGGCGGGAATTATTCGTGCCGGGGAGGGAGAGAGAGGACATGACTGCGTTGGGATTGCAGAGGCGCCAGATGTTCATCATGACATCGTAGACGGTGTCTCGAGAGATGAAGGATGCGAATGTATACTGCACACACATGTCAGAAACGATCGTATACGGGCAAGCGGCTACGCACTCGGGCTGTGGCGGTGTTTATGCCGATGGCATTGGGAATGACGAGGGCGGTCATCTTCTTTTCTATACTTTTGATTTCCGTGAAAGGGATGACCAGCTGCAGCGTGTCAAAGAAGCAAGGACATAAAGGCGGCGGAAACTTACGTCAGTGGTCCAGCCAAAGATGTTGGCATGAAAGCAAATGTAATTTTCAGAAATGTATGCGCGACCTTGAACAAGAATATCCTTGGCGTAGGCACAGCCATAGTCTGGGATGGATCAGCAGGGTTTCAAATTGGAGGGCAAGGCGTACCGTCAATGAGATAGTCCCCCTCATCGACGCTAGGGAACACTTGATGAAAGTCGGCGTTCCGCCTGTTGCTCGCCACAGCATACCCCAACACCGACAGTGTGTCTTCCAAGTCGCTATCATCGTCATCATCATCGTCGAGCCCTTCCCCGTACTCGTCGTCCAACTCGTCCCCATCGCCCTCCTCTCCTCGAGTGAGGTACGGGCTCCTCTTGAGAGGACTTGTGGCCCTTCGCCCTTTGTGCTGCTTGATATGGAGTTCATCCCCAATTGTCCCAGGTCCAGCCATTTGCAGGCCACCCCTTGCGAGCGCCGCCAATGACGATTGTCCCGAGGCAGTCGAAGTGACCGACCTTCGACGGTCCCTCTTCTTGCGCGACTTTTTGCTCGACACCGAGCCCTTCTGATCGTCGGGCATGAGACTATTGGGCGAGGCAGGCCCGTGTCTGTTGGTTATGCGGGACACCATAGAGCCACTGCGCGACCGGACATTGCCTTCGGAGAATGCGAGGGAGCTGGCACGTTCACGCGACGACGGGTCAGCGGCGATAGACACTGCGGAAACGCGGTTGGCGGAGGTGCTGGGAAAGCTAGAATCGAGGGTGGGAGTCTCGAGGTCGTCTTCCTGTATTGGCGTCAGCATCTGCAAGGCTCATAGTGGGGATCTTGGGGGATCATGGAGATGCAGATGAGGACAAGGACACAAACTGACATCAGAAGCTCCGGGGTTCGATTTGCCAAAGCCGAGACCTACAGGTTCGTTGGATCCATTGTCGTGATTCATGGCGGGGCTGCGATCCTGCACAGGACTCCCGTCAAAGCTTCGGGGGCTGTTGGACCCGTCCTGCGTGAGGGTGAATTTGGGAGTGCCAAGAGGCTGCTGCTGCGCCGAGTTGGGTACTGAGAGGTCACCTGGTCTGTTGGGAGTACGCGATTCAGTGGCGCCGCTCGATGTTACAGTGTTGTTGTTGCTGGATGGGGTGGTGGGCGGGGCAAGGTCTTCGACAAAGAGGCTTCCCGAGGCGCCTGTTCTCCTGCTGGGGGAGGGGGAGGGGGCGGTGGATGTGCGGGGGGCGTCGTCGTCGGAGAGAGGGCCCGAGGTGGAGTTGGTAGATGCGGAGCGCCTGCTGCGAGCGTCTGACTGGGATGATTTGCGGAATTTGTTGAAGATGGTGGCCATGGCCGGTGCTGAGGTGAGATGGAATGCAACTATCATCATCATCGCGCGTCAACTCCTGCACCTGAATCCGCGTGACTGCCAGCTTGGCAACTCTATCTTCTCCATCTGCTCCACGCCGATGAATGACAGTGGCAGTGTGCGTAGACATACAGCGTTGATGCACCAAGTGCAGCATGCATGAGATAGACGAGGCACCATGCCACAGCACAGTGCACTCGGTAAAGCAAAGCCCCTAGACCCTGGCCACCCTGGCGTGCTCGTACAACTCAAGTATTGCGTCTTACAGAATAGATCAATATCTCCAGAAACAAAGTGTGTACATCCGGTATAATCGTATCTGGGGCATTGTGACTCGCCATGATCATAGTCCTTGCGGACTCCTGGTGAGCCAAAGTAGCACCCATATAGCTCTCAGATCTGCCGCTGCTGATAGACAGCCCACGACTGTCGACCCCTCGCGTCGGTACAGCGGCGAGGAGGGCCGGGGGGGGCATTCTTGAATAAAAAAAAGATAAAGAAGAGCCTGGAGATAAATTTGGCTTGTTGAGGTGTGAGCGAGTGCTAAATGGGGGGGTGAAGCCCAAAACCTCCACTTGCGCGCATCTCCAAAGCGCGTTCGTTTCTCGACTTTCCAGTGGTATGCCTTCCCACCCCATATCATGCCCCTCCTCCGCTCCTCGACCCACCCAGCCCCTGTACAATGCTTCTTCTGCCTCTCCACAACCATCCTGCCCCCACATACCGATCCAGCCCCTGGCACCGGCAGTGGGAAGGGTATAGCGCCGGCTGGGACAAAGTGGAATTGGCAGTGCGAACGGTGCAATTGCTGGAATATCCGTGATGCTGTATGCTCTCTTTATCATCAAGTATTCTGTAACTTACAATATGCACAGTCTGGTGAAATGGTTTCAGATATTCCGGCGATGCACAACTCGGATTACAACACGGGGTCCTTCTCACTAAGAGGCAGGTGCCGTATGTTTACATTAGTCTGCACAGATCTGATAAGTACTTGAAGCCCAACCATCCTCCAATCATCTTCCGACGTTACCATCCAAGGCCTCATCAACACCATTCTGTCGCAACTGCCTGGCGAACCAAACTCTGATCATGAATCTCTTGGCCAACTATCTCCCAGATGATGATGTGAGCCCAGCCTCAACAGCCAACGAAAGTCACTGACATGCAATACTACAGGATCCAACCTACCCCCAATTATCATCAAACCTCCCAGCATACGTGCAATCTCTCCACTCGCGCTATCCACCGGTCTGCCCTAATTGTCAACCGGGTGTAGACGACATCTTGCAGAAGGCGGATCAGAAGGCACAGATGGAGGCTTGGGGGTCAGCTTTGAACAGAGGCAAGAGGAAAGCCATTGAAGAAGTCAGTCCAGGCGCAGGTGTCGGACATGGTACTTGGGATGTTGGGAAAGGTGATGTGTTCATCTGGGCGCTGAGAGGAGTTCTTTGGACTTGGGGGATAGGACAAAGCTTGTGTACTGGTGTGCTACTTGGTCAGTGTGTCGTCAATCTGAGGAACCATACGCTGATGCCAAGCAGCCACGTCGTCACACGAGTTCTCTCGCGAATGCCTTGAGCGGTCCGTACCCTTCGCCCCTCGGCTGTCATTCGCCACTTTCATGATGTCTTTTCATCTCTTGTCGATATTCTGGATTGCATGGGATCCCTCGTGGTTTCGCCGTATGCGTAGGAGGGACAGGACAAAGGTCATCGGGCGAGATACCTGGGTGGTGAGTCGTGCGGAGATATGCCTAAGGCCATTGCTGAGAAGTGTCAGAGAAACATGTTGGTGATCATGTTGTTGCGAATAGCAACATGTGTGGCTCTTCGTTTATCGACTGCGTTTGCGTCTGTAGCACTTGCTCGAGTCACTTTTGTGTTGGAGATTGCTGTGAGTATACGGGCATCTGGCTGTCAATTTACTAAACTTTCCACAGCTATTCATCCATGCGTTGCTCAGTATTCGCATAACTGAACCAATACCTATCAAATTGGTCAGACCTGTCTCACTGAACCCGTCAACACATGCGCAAGTAGCCACCGTTGCGCCAAATCCGACAGGTCTCTCGACTTTATCTCTCTCCTCCAATCCCCCCGCTTGCCACAATCCTATATTTGGCCAGACCTCACTCTTCTCTACCCTCCCTTCGCCGACCAGAGATACCGACTCCGAACCCATGGATTGGGAGCCTTCACCGAGTTTTTCCCGTGGTAGTCATATTCGACCCGACGGGGTCGAAGACGAGGACGAGGGGGGTACAACGCCTCCCAGGAAGAGCGACTGGGACAATTTTGCGACCAATCGACAGCGCATGTTTCCCAGTAACGATGAGACTGGCTTGGAACACCTCCTTTCTGGTTGGGGTATTGGCGGACAGGGTGCCTCTGATGAGGGCTCAGCGCCAAAAGTGCAGAATGTGAGGCAGGAAGATGTGATCAAAAAGCAGGGATGGACTCTGCCCAAACTTGTCCAGGTCCTTACCTTCTTCTTCTTCACCCTCCGCCTCGGCTTTGTGCTGTTTATGCCCCTCCTCTTGACTCCCCCTTCGGAGCAGATTGTCTCGCATCTTGGACGGTTCAGCATCCTCCTTCTATCGCTCGAGCTCGCGCTCACGGGAATGAGGATGCACTTTCTCCTTGCTCCAGGCGCTCGCCAAGCATCGCTGCTCAGTGTCGGACTGGCAATATTTGATGCCGTCTTGCGAGTCATGGCGCTGAGTGGACAGGGGTTCCTAGATGACATGCCAGCTAGAACGAACCCTGTGCAGACTTTAGGAGGCGAGGTGGGTGTGAGGGGTAGGAGTCTGGAGTGGGCATTCTGGGGTTTTCTGGATCTGGTTGGGTTGTCGGTATGAGTATAATTTGCTCCTTATGATCATGTCACGAGACTACGAATGTTTTGCTTGAGGACATGCGCATGCTAGCTACTGACCCACAATGCCGGAACCTTCACACGACACTATCTGAAACGCACGCGATGCTCATCGGTTCCCTTACGATCGTTCCTCTGCCACGTTGCTTTTTAGAGCCCTTTGATGCGTGAGGACCTTGCACTTAGAATTTTCGTCCTCGTAACTGGAAGGAAGGCTCCTGATGAGGGTACTACCGCCTTTGTAGTATGCTCGAGTCTGGCCTCCCTTTGTGACAGTCTTACCATTCCTCCATTCAAGTCTTCGACACTGTTTGCTTACGGTACCATCCTTACATCGAGGGCATTGCTCCGACTGTATAAGACTTTGCCAGTATCGCCCAATCGTCTCATAGTCTATACTCCGACTGATTGCCAGACGATAGGTATATACAAGTGATCAAGAAACAGACAATGAACAAGACGCCGTCCAGCCCGACCCTCAGCGAAATGGAATTTGACCACCTCGACTCCTTCTGTGAAGAACAGGACGTCCCTACCATCACACTTTCCTCTGGCGTCACTCGCGCCACCCCTCCTTCTTCCTTGGCCCGACCAACACCCAAGTTTCACACCCAATGCCACCCCCTTCCTCCTCCACCCCCAGAGGTAAAGGCAAAAGTCCAGCAACCTTCTCCTCCTATCGTCCCTCCCCCCGACCAGCCTATCATCACCAAGCCCGGGAATGTCAAGCTCAAAATCAACCGATGTGCGCATACCATGCCCGCGGGCGCTATCAAACCAAAGAAGAAGACGCCCGGGATGACGAGATATCTCTTGCCCAGGAAAGACGAGTCGTTCATCGGGCCAGTCATGCCCAGTCAATCTGTACGTCCTTTGTCTGACACATGGGTGCTATACTGACAATGCGTAGGAGGTTATTGACCTTTTGACTCGCGAGTGTCCTTCTCTTGCGCATCTGCCTGCCTCGGCCATCTCCCTCAACCTTCGCTTTGATGGCAACACCCAGAAATCTGTAGAGGGCGTACTCTTCAGGGTGCTTGAGCAGGCCTGGCCGGGGGCAATCAGTGATGTGTTGCCGCTTGTGCAAGTTAAGATCCGTCAGACAGAGTTGGACAAGGTATGCGAAAAGGCAAAGCAGATGCAGACAAAACGACAGACAGAGTCAAAGCACCCCGAGCTGATTCCCGGCGCAGCTATCGACGGAGTGACCTGGGACGATCTCAAGAAGCAAGGTGCGGCATTGGGAATCCACGGAAGTGAGGGAGCTTCCGGAGGGCAAAAGAAACCGCGCGTCATGACGGCGATGGTGGGGGTGAGTACCGTTGGATGGAAAAATGAAGATGGCACAGGGAGCTACCACGAGCATCATGCGTTGCTTGATTAAGAGAAGGAAGTTGTTACTTGTAGACTGACTGAATGTATCCATGCCACCCGTTTGTTTTGGATTTGGGTTACATGCAAGGAGAAAGAGAAACGTCACCACCATGGACCCCCGACCTGCCCTCTACGGCCTTCTCCCCTCTACACTCGCCATGTCGACAATGGTGCGAATGGACGAGAAAAGCAGAATAGGAAAAAGCTACATCCTCTACCACTACTAAAACTCTTAAACCATCTGGTGAACGAGCTTGGACATGGCCTTCTCCCTGTTACCGGCGTCACCACCCTCGACGTAACCGATGAACTTTCTGGGCCTCCAGCCACCGTTGGGGTTGGAGAGCTTGAAGGGCCAGAGGTTGGAGGTGACCTGCTTGAAGTTGGGGCCACAAGTGGCAATCTCGTGGACAATGTCCTCAAGACCTGTAACATGTCAGGGTGAATCACATACCCGAGTGGAGCCAGCTTACAGATGATACCGAACTTGCCGAGCTGCTTCTCGATGATGGCGTTGTCGGTGATGGGGATTCGCTGACCGTCGACCTTGGCGTAACCTCGCTTGTAGACGAGCTCACGGATGGCCTTGAGGTTGACCTCACCGTAGGTGATGTAGGGGTTGACGAGGTTGAGCATCTGGGTGGTGGCCTTGGTCACACGGATGAAGACACCGTTGTTGATCTGGAGGAGACGGAGAAGCTGGAGGATCTTCTTGGGCTTGGGGGCGATCTTGGAGATACTGCACAGAGTGTGAGATGTGATGACGAGAAGGATGTGGCGCACTTACCCCTTAAGTCGGACAACGAAGTAGACCTTGGGCTGAGCGGGGACGTAGTAGTCACCGGTCTTCCTGGCTTCTCGCTTGAGTCGGACCTCCTCCTTCTCGGCGTTGAGGTACTCCTTGACGTACTCGTCGGCCCTCTTGAAGATGACCTTTCTCTTGGCCTTCTGAGCCTACGACACAAAAGTCAGCGCCACGCCCGCGGTACAAATTCCGGAAGAGACAAGGAATGTCGAAAAATTTGGTTCAGCCCCGAAAGATGGTTAATTACAAGCAGCATCGCCAAAGCTAGCTGTATGCCGACGAGTTGTCGGTGGTTTTGCATCATTGTAGATGAGCGTGGTCGCCAGGTAAAACTTTTGACCAACACACATCCAACTCAAATTCTTCTCCCCTTCTGCTTTTCTGCGCGATCCATTCCTTGTCTCTTCGTAGTGGTCCAGATGGAAGCATGCTCACCTTCCTGGCCTCAGCGGCGGCAGCCAACTTGGCCTCACGGGTGGCCTCGTTGGTCCTCCTCTTCTTGAGCAAAGTCTCGGGGACGGCGATTTGCTACAGGTCACAGTCAGTCTCCCATTCATTTCTCCATATTGCTCTCGGATCTGGTGGCAGCGTTGGAGGGATAGGAGATGCGTTTGGGTCGTAGAGGAATGTTGTGGCGTTTGTCGAGATGCTCCAAGCTGTCCACCAGTCCTTCTCTGATGCTCACCTCGGCAGTAGGCACGCTATGGGCTGTCAGCAGGGTCTCTCCTCTCGTCGTGGGCAGGACGTACGTAGTAGAGGCGGCCATTTTAGATACTTGACGGATGGAGTCGGCTAGTGTGCAAGTATTTTCCCTCCTCTTTGCGCGAGAACGACAGATCGAAATTACCGCGAAACTCCGACAGTGGCATCAGCGCGGCGACGCCCGCATGTTAAGTTGTAATTAATTTTGCGACAGTTCTCGGGAGCAAAAGTGCCACACTGTTTTTTGCATAGCGCCGCCGCGAAACTGTTCATGATCTCGACGACTGAATCCATCGGTTCTTCATTGCGCATTCCCGCCAAAAGTGCTTAAACAGGTTTACGCATCAACCATGGTATGTCAACCGCCTCGCCCCCGTTGCCCAGCTTACCCCCGTAGTCTTCCGAACTCGCCGCTACCTACGCCGCTCTTATCCTCGCCGACGAGGGTATCGAGATCACCGTTAGTTGAAATTATATGGAAATGGGATACTGGATTCTGACGCTCTGCTTAGGGTGACAAGCTCATCACCCTCACCTCCGCCGCTAAGGTTGAGGTCGAGCCCATCTGGGCCACCCTCCTCGCCAAGGCTCTTGACGGCAAGGACATCAAGGACCTCCTCACCAACGTCGGTGGTGGTGGTGCCCCCGCTGCCGGTGGTGCCCCTGCCGCTGGTGGTGCCGAGGCCGCCGGTGACGCCCCCGCCGCTGAGGAGAAGAAGGAGGAGGCTAAGGAGGAGTCTGACGACGACATGGTGCGTACTTTTGTCTGTTGGGTGTATTGGGTTGTGCTGACGTTGGCTGCAGGGCTTCGGTCTCTTCGACTAAGCGTCTCGTCTCGTTTTTCTTTAGAAACCCTACGCCGAGCTCGGTGGTATTTGCGTAGATTATGCATTACTGCCCCCTCATTTTTGGAGAGATACTCGGCAAACGGGGATGGAGCGTAGATTGGAGGATGAGCTCCCAGCAAGAAAACAAGTGGGGCTCTGTTGCCTTTGTCGGCAAGACTGCCTGCAGTACATCGAAGCGGGTTTGAGGGAGATCATCTGGACCACTTGGCAATGACATTCAAATCGGGGGACAACTTCAGATCTGCTCCAAGTTGATGCGACATCTGCTCATTGCTCGTTGAAACCCACGACAATGGAATTCAGGCAATAGTATGATGCATATGATCAATGCTTTTCGTGCTAAAATCCCTTCATCGACTCTGCACATTATTGAGCAACGTGCCAGTCGAGCTTGTCGGCGTACTCCTTCTTCTTGAGGGTCAAGAGAACCTCGGCCACATCCTTGGCACCGTTACCACTCAGGCAGCTACATCCGGCGTCAGCGATCATCACAGCACTTTGTCAACACACTCACATGACAACATCCTGATCCTTGGGCAAGCTCTTCGCCAACTGGAACCCTCCCCAGAGACCATGCGAACTCTCAAGGGCAGGAATGATACCCTCCAACTCCGTACACATCTTGAACGCCGTCAAACACTGAATGTCGTCCGCAACGACATACTCGGCCCTGCCGATGTGTTTGAGGTGAGAGTGCTCCGGGCCGACAGAGTTGTAGTCGAGACCGGCAGAGATGGAGTGGGTTGGGACGAGCTGGCCGTCGGCAGATTGGATGATGTAAGAGGCGGCACCGTGGACGACACCCATGACACCCTTTGTAAGAGTAGCAGAGTGACGCTCAGTGTCGATACCTGAGTCCATTAGCATCATGTACGCCGTAAAAGATAGAACACTCACCTTCACCACCGGCCTCGACACCGACCAATCTCACACTCTCGTCCTCGATAAAGTCAAAGAAGGTACCGATAGCGTTGGAACCACCACCAACACACGCCACTACAGCATCCGGCAGCTTGCCCGTCTTCTCATACAATTGGCTCTTGATCTCTCGTCCAATCACCCTCTGGAAGTCTCGCACAATGGTGGGGAAAGGATGGGGACCGATAGCAGATCCGATAAGGTAGTGCGTAGAGTCCAGTCTTGTCACCCAGTCCCTCATAGCCTCGTTGACGGCATCTTTCAAAGTCTGGGTACCAGAAGTGACGGGGATGACGTTACCACCCAACATCTTAATTCTAAAGACGTTGAGCTCCTGTCGACGGACGTCTTCAGCGCCCATGTAGATGTCGCATTGCATGCCAAACTTGGCACAGACGGTAGCAGTGGCGACACCATGCTGGCCAGCACCAGTCTCGGCAATGATACGCTTCTTGCCCAATCGCTTGGCAAGAAGGATCTGACCGACGGCATTGTTGATCTTGTGAGAACCAGTGTGGTTGAGGTCCTCTCGCCTGAGATGCGTTAGCTTGACCCACACACATACAGGCGCACTTACTTGAGCCAGATCTTGGCACCACCCATCTCCTCAGTCAACCTCTCTGCAAGATACAGCTCGCTAGGCCTGTTCATGTACCCGTACATGCTCTCAAACTCCTTCCAGAACTCTGGGTCATCCTTCGCCTTGACGTACGCGTCCTCGAGCTCGGCCAAACAGTCTACGAGCGACTCGGCGACGTAGGCACCTCCGAAGAGACCGAATCGAGAGGGGAGCTTGCCGGGGGCGGTAACTTTAGTCTCGGCCTCGGCGAGGGGAGTGGAGGATGGGATAGGGAGAGGGGGAGCGGGGGCGGAAGAGAGGGCAGACTTGCGGTTCAACGCAGGCGGGTTTTGGTCCTTGAGCGTGATCTCCCTGCAGAACGCCTCCACTTCCTTTGCCGCCTGTCCATCGGTGGCGTGGTCAAAGACAAGCTTGATGATCTTGGATCCAACAACAACAGCATCGGCACCGGCAGAAGTGACAAAGTCAAAGTGGGTACGGTTGTCGACACCGAAACCGACGGCGAGGGGGATGGGGGTGAAGGTTTGAATGCGCTGGACGAGCTCGGGGAGGGAGGCAGAGATGGCCTCACCGGAAGAGGAGCCGGTGACGCCCATCTTGGAGACGACGTAGATGAACGAGTCAGCAATGGAAGTCAAGAACTTGACTCGGTCGACGCTGGTCGAGGGAGCGATCAAGGGAATGTAAGAGACACCGGAAGAGGTACAGATGTTTCGGAACTTGATGGCCTCCTCTGGCGGCAGATCGACAATGATGTAACCGTTGGCGCCAGCCGAAAGGGCATCCTGGACGGCCTTCTCTTCACCATAAGCAATGAGGGGGTTGTAGTAACCTGCCGATCGTTAGCTAGCAACGGCGATGGAGACGCAAATGACACACCCATAAGCAAGACGGGAGCCTTGAGACCCTGAGCACGAGCCTGGCGCACATACTCGAGACAGTCGGCGTAGCTGACGTGGTTGTTGATAGCAACCTGAAATCATTATGAGTACATTTCTCGATCGTGTGGCAATGTGACGCACAGTGTTGGCCTTTTGAATGACAGGACCGTCAGCGACAGGGTCACTGAAGGGCATACCGAGCTCAATAATGTCGGCACCTCCGGCCTCAAGGGCAAGCATGAGGGGGACTGTGGAGTCCCGCTGGGGGAAACCAGCTGTCAAGAATGTGACGAAAGCACTGCAAGAGGTAAGTACCGAAGCCCTAGGATCAGTGAAAAACGTACGCCTGGTCCTGCACCGAGGTCAGCTGGAAATACTTGGGGGCGGGACATGCTTACCTGCTCCTTCTTGTCCGCAAAGACTCTCTTGATCTGTTCAGACATTTTTGTGTTGTAGATGTGATCTCGAGTGGAGGATTGACATATCTTTCCTTGTCGACTCGCTTGCTCCCTCGGCGACCACCGCCCGATCACCCGTAGTCACGGTCTTAACTTGGTCTTAACTGGAGTGTCGGTTTCTATCATTTCCTCAGCCATTTTGTATTCATGCGATGAACACCGACAGCTACAGGGTCAAGATAACATCAGGTGTTCTCGTAACCTGGTAAGTCACGCAGTCTTCGAATGTGCCTTGCTCACTGCATATAGCGACTCTGCCGCTAAACAAATCCTCCTCCATCTCGACTCTCTCCGCGATGGCAACAACAAATTTGTGGCTCTTGACTGTAAGCCATTCTCTATTATCACGGGCACACACTGACTGTACTACAGGGGGAGACGACAACAAGCTGTTGATCAAGAAGGACTACGTGGAACATGTCAAAGAGGCTCTCCAGGACGAGGTATGTGGCATATTCTTGCATATTCAAAGATCCTAGACTGATACACGCCAAGCTGGAGAAAAACACCTATGTGCAAGATCCCAACGTATGATCACATCCATCACATCATTCCCCCTGTATACCACTGTCTCCCCTTCGACCCCAAGACAACACATTCACCTCATTCTGCGGCAGGAGGAAACACCTGTGGCATCTTGAAGCGGAGCATAGTCGGTCCCTGTGTTGAAGATGCGGCTTCTGCAACAGGCTGTTCTATTTCAAGTCGCTCTGCTTCAGTTTTGACCAAAGGTACCTCCTGGTCACTGGAATCAAGACCTTTGTGGGACGGAGAAGGAGAGCTGGATGAGGAGCGTGCTGGGATACGCAGGATAATCTTTGGGGCAGGCTGGGACTGTGTTTCAGGCTGAAATGTTTGATTTCGGGCAACGAGAGGCGCGGGGTTTGTATCGGCAGTAGCTCCCAATGAAACATTTGCCAAACCTTCCACGGCCCCGTCCAACCCGTCTTCCGATTTCTCGAGAGGCCGTTCTGCCGCAGGATGGGCTGAATCTCTTTGCGATGGTACAACCTCGGTCCCAGGCGCAACCTTTGTGGCGTCACTCGGGGACGTATTTGTGCTCTCGACGAGAGGCTTGGCTGGAGAAGGCTCTACCGTAGCGTCGCCTCTCAGCTTCGATCCCGGTGTCGTCTGTACCTTCCCTCTCGCGCCTCGTTTAGGAGCCACAGGCGTCCCCTCAGTGCTCGCCACAGGCCTCCGTTCCCTTAGTGCCATTCTCGTGCGTCCTTGCGGTGTACCTTCAGTGGACGGAGCAGGGGTCACTTCGATGGATTGGCCTTCAAAGGTGGAGAGGAGGGAGTGGGTGCGGACAAGATGAGAATGTTGAGCGAGTTCGGAGGGGAGGGGGGCTAGTTTGGAGGTGGCGCCTCGCTTCTTCTTGCCAGCCTTTTCCAGCTGTCGTCACATCAGCTTGATCCGTATACTTGGCAGGCGACTTACGTTGATCAACTCTTTTTCTGTCCACCAAGCATCGCAGTCTTCAGGGAGCTTGCCATCCTGACCCTCTCCAGCCGATCTCATGCCTACTATATGTCCCATAGCAGCGCTTGTCAAAGCCCTGTCGCTATAGCCGCCCTCGAGGACAGAGACAACTCTGCCGTTGGTATACTTATTGGCAAACGCTGCAATGGCGCGGGTATATCTCGAGTAGAAGGAAACCTTTATGAAATCAGCTTTGAGCACAGAAGAGGCTAATTCACTCACAGGAACTCTTCTATGGTGTCTTTGCATCCCCTCGTGCTCCCATTCACAAGCATCAAATCCCGCACTGATAAAGATCACCGTGCTGCCCGGCCTCGCCTCTTCCTCTTCCATGAATACCCTCGCCTTGTCCAATAGAGCCAGATAGAGCGGGTAGATCCGCTCATAGAAATCGGCTTCGGAAGCGTATGGTTTCAGGTGGATGTTTTCGATATGTTGGCCGTGGGCGGCGAGAGAGATGGAAGCGTCGCGGATGAGATCTAGGTCGCCGTCCTCGCAAGGGTAGCTATACTATAGTCCTCTAAGCTCTTGTTCATATGATATGATGGTAACTTACGATATCATGCACTGAGCCGTAGAATCCTTTCCAGCCCCTCCTGACCCGTCCATCCTTACCTCGCATCATGGGAGGCTTGCCAGCCCTGATTTGGATATCTTCAACTTCCGCTGCGGCATTGAGAGGCATAACGAGAGCCTGAGTGCCGTTCCCGTGGTGCAAGTCAAAGTCGATGATGATAGCACGATCAACGTCATGTTGGAGATACGCTTGACAGGCAATCAGTATCTAGCGATGTGGATTGATGGTAGCTCACCGTGCATAGCGCCAGTGACGACATTGTTGATGTAACAGAACCTTGCCAGGAGTCAATCGTATATCTGCAAGATGCTGGCGTGACCTACCCAGATGGAGCATCTTCCCCACAATGATGACCTGGTGGTCTGATCACACAGAAAGCTTTTTGCAGATTCAGTGCTTCTGACGAAGGTGGCGAGACGGGGGGCGTTGTTGGTCCTTGCCGGGGGGCTTGTTTTGAAGACATAAAAACGGTATCAATCGCTTGGCATACTGTTTGAATCTTGATGGAGTAAGTATCGTCTCGTATGTCGACAGAGTCTCACTCACAGCCCCCTCGACAGCCACAATACTCCCAGGCCCAAGATACAGATCCCCTGGGTTCAACCCCATTCCCTCTGGTATCTCGCACCCCGTCTCTTTTATTCTTTCCACGGCTCCTTCACACCACTTGACAAGATCCTTCAGATAGTCTGACTGGGGCCAGCCCACCCCCGCGCCGCCTGCCGATCCCTCGCCGATATATGGGAAAGGCGCTTCACCTACAGGAGAGTGGGCAACCTGAACGGCGGGGTGGTGGAGAAGAATGTTTCCCGGTTTGAATGGTAAAGGCGGGGCAGAGACTAGGTGGAGATGGGGAGTGGGCTGAGATGGAGATTGGGTGATCGAGAGAGAGGATAGGAGTTTGGACAGGTCGTCGTTTGCGGAAGAAGCCTCCTGGCCTGCTTGAGGGGACACTTGTTCGAGTCTGGCTACTGCCGCTGCCACGCCGAGAAGGACAGCTCTGAGACGTTCAGGGCGCTCAAAGATATGTGAGGCATTTGGGTGGCGGATGTACTTGTGCTGGAGACAAGCAGGCTGAATAAAGAGACCCAGGGGGGTCGCCATGACGGGCTGCTTCGACCCTGCCTCACGAGATCTTGAGTATTGAGATGGCCGCTTTGTAAGACTCCAAGATGGATTGATGGCGCCGAAAGAGCTGCGATTCGGCGGTCCTGGAGCAAGAACGATGAATGTACAAAAGTCAAAAATGGTCGATGAACGCGTCAGGCAACGCGACGGCGTATTCCTACCTTGTTTGCACCGAGCCACCTACAAGGGGGTGCAATTTACAGGGGCTCTCAGGGATATGCATCCCAAACGCCTGCTTTGCCTGACATGCCATTGCAAGGGCTAACGATTAACGTATGGATGCAGCTGCCACGACCCTACCAACGTCCTGCCCCCATTATGCCACCTTTCTTTGCCTGGATCTCTGTTACTTCATGTTACATACAACGCACTCTGTCCTCATAGCTCCAACGGCCGATAGCCAACTGTTCATCCCAAATTCAATGCACTCTTGCTGTTGATTGATGGGAGAGGATGAATGTAGTATTACGTAACCTGTCTTGAGCATGAATGCGTGCAGCAGAAAGTCGAAACGCGTCTACATGCATTCATCTCTCTCTATCTCTTCACAAACCCCTTTCCTGCCATACAGTTGCCCGCCATGGGTGCCAAAAGAAAGAGCTCCGCCCGCCAACCTCCTGCCACTCCAGCAAATCCCGCCGACAGCCAGCCTCCCCTCCCCTCCGAGTCAGTCATCTCCGATGACCCCTCTGCATCCACCACGGCCGACAACCGATTGCGCAAGAGAAAGCTTGATGTCGACGCCAGCCTCATTATTCCTGCCGATGGAGGAAGATCAAAGAGGAGAAGAAGCCCGTCGCCGCATGTAGCAAAGCAAGAGGGGAACGCGGACGCCGACCCGAAGGACCCGGCGAGGGCAAAAGAACTGGGGATGAGGCTTTGGCAAAAGATTATGGAGGCCCAGACGAAAGAGTGAGTAGCTCCCGAGGGCTGACTCGAGCATTGGCTGACGGATGCACAGTGGGGAGCCTATGGCTGAGCCTTTTGTCAAGCTGCCTCCCAAGGTAAGACGCGTCGCGACGCGCTTTGTTGACATTAGCCCATGCTTATCTGACTTTTGACACACAGCGACAATTCCCGGACTACTACGAGACCATAAAGCATCCCATGAGTCTTGAAATCGTCAAACAAAGGCTTGACAAGCAAGAATATGATACTCTCAAAGATGTCGTTGCGGACATTGGACAAATCTTCAACAATGCGAAAAGATGTAAGTAGGCTCTGGCATTGCTAAAGCCTTGTACTGACAAATGCAGATAATGTCAGAGAATCGGCGCTTTTCCAATGGGCCAAGAAACTCCATGCAAGTATCATGCTATCTTGTCCAATCATATGCTAATAATGCCTGCAGAAAATGACCCGGGTTTTCCATGCCGATCAAACCAATCCCGGCAAAGCCAAGGAGGACTCGGACTCTGAGGGAGACGAGCAAGATGATTTACCGTCGGAACCTGCCCACAGGGAGCGTACCGAGACGTTGCCTCCTGATGCGGACGGAAGCAGTGCGCGGGAAGACGAAGATGACGCCAAACTCCTCAACAAGAAGAAGAAGGGACCCTATGTCGCTAGGGAGGGGCCGACAGTGTACAAATTGATCAAGCCTGTGCTCAAAGCAATCAAAGAAGCCAAGGCTTACGAGTGGGTGATCGCGGCCGCTGGTCTTTTCATGCTAACGATTTGTTCAGCGGAAGTGGTCGTCTCGTCTCGGACGTATTCATGCAACTGCCAGATCGCAAGGATCTGCCCGACTACTACAAGACCATCAAGACTCCTATATCATTGGAAGAGATTGAGGCGAAGCACTCCGGAAGGCGGTACGAGACCTGGGAAGAGTTTTTTGACGACTTGGAACTCATGTGCAACAATGCCATGGAGTACAATACGGATGAGAGCGCGGTATTCCAGGACGCAAAGAGGATCAAGGTGCGCGATGTCTACGCTTTGTCGACGTAGACTGACCCTTCATAGGACATGTTCCCCCAGCAACGTGCCGAGACCAAGCTTCGGCTTACTTTACCTCCTGGTACGAAGCTCTCCGCCCGTCAGAAAGCCAGCGCCATGACCCCTGTGCGAGTCGCCAATCCCCATCTGGGGTATGTCCCCTCGACTGCTACGGTCAATTCACCGGTCACTGCCACCATGCCCATGTCGGGTCATATGACTGCTCGAGGCTCCCATGGGTTCCCAGGGCAAATACCCACCCCGTCGCCTGGGGCACACCACTCCATCCCTCAAACAGCTTATCCTGCACCTTCGCCGTCATATTCTCAGTCACCATACCATGGCTCACATTCACTTCCCCGTCCGGGAATGTCTCATACAGGTTCATCATCGTACCTCCCGGCACTTCCGTTGGGCGTGGTCACAGAGGAAGTTGTCGCTTCTCTCGACCGGTACCCGGTACACGAGCAACAGCAGTGGCTGAATAGCCTCCCGCCTCATGGTGTGGCCACGTACCGTTCACTCAACGTGGTTGTCGAGCAGAAGAAGAGACAGGCCGCTGCCCAGGCTCAAGCTCGAGCGCAAGCAGAGGCTCAGGCCCAAGTACAAGCTCAGAATGCGGCGCGTGTTCAAGCTCAGGCGCATGCCCAGGCTCAGGCCATGTACCAATCTTTCCCACAAACCCAAACTCCTTCCCACGTGCCATCTCCGAGCCCCGCAGCCCGCAGTGGTGCTTCAACGCCTGCCTTGCCCACACCACAAGCAGAAAGAAGACCGCCTCCCCCGCAACCATTGATATCTCACCTCGACTTCTCTTACACCTCACCTACTGCTCTTGGCTCTCAACAGCAGATCATCAAATTGAAAAATTCCAGAGGTGTGGTAGCGCATTCCATCTTGCTGGATTGCAATACCAGCGAGCTGGAGATTGCAGCGTACCCAGACTTGGCACTGGCGGCAGAGCGAGGGGACCAGCAGGACCAGCAAGATATGACGCTGCACCTGAATGGGGTGGTATCTAGTACAGGAAGGGTAGTTGAGAAGGAAGGAATGAAGTGGACAGTGGCTGTGCCGCTGAGCAAGAATGAGAACCGGATCGAGGTGGCGGTAGGGAAAGGTGGCAGTCAAGGGGAAACTGTTATCATCTACCTGAATCGACAATAATAGGGCATTATGTGGTTTGGCTGTGATGTATCATCATGCTGTGGACTCTGGCCGTAAAGAAATCATCCAGAATGATCAAGTAAGCAATCAATGTCGCTGGAGGACACAGAAGGTCAAGCAGAGATGGAATCATGCCAAGTCCACTTTTTGTACATTCCAAAGATAAACAAGTAGACGCGATATACAACAGATGAAGTGATGGAGGTTGTCAGGCTAGGGACTTTGTCCACGTTGGGTGCCAGCCGACGACTCGTAGTCTTTGTGTTACAGTATGTAGATTGTTTCGAGCTACCTTCAGAAAACAAAACACGCCTTCTCGGTGTTCCACCCTCGCTCATGTGGCGTTGACTTGGCCTTTCAGCTCCCCATGGATGTCTCCCAGCCTCTTCTCCCACTCCCCAACTTCCTTCTCCAGGATACTTTCCAGCATCTCTATTTCTTTATCCAGCTCCAGCTTCTCCTTATCTGTACCCGATGACATGACCGTGAGCTGCCAACCCTTCTCTACCAGGGGTGTTTTGGGTAGTTCAGCATAAGGCGATGGGAGGCTAGAAGTAAGGGAAGTCAGATGAAGGGTGGAAGGAGCCAGAGGGAGATGCAGGGATGATTGATGCCGGGAAGGAGCTCGGGATGCTGGACGGCTGGGTTGAGGGGCACCGGGATCTCCCAGACGAAGGTGTCTGTTATGGTACTTCAACAGCCCCGGACGATGCCTGCAAAGTGGACGTTATCGGTGCACTATCGAATGAGCATGTGACTCACGATATGGTCACGAGGGTGATACCGAGATCCTTGGCATGTTCGTACATTAATCCCTCAACGTCGCTCGAGACGGCCGAGGTGCATTCATCCAGGATGGCGAACGAGGGACGGTGATAGAAGAGTCGCGCCATACCCATCTATCAAGGTATGTCAGCCTATGGTAAACAGCCGTTTTGGAGATGTACTTACTCTCTGCTTTTCGCCGCCTCTACATAAAAGTCTTTGTCAGTAAATTGCGACCAAAGTGAGACACTAATAACGCTTACGAGAGCACGTCTTTCCACTCTTTCCTCGTCTCCCAGCCTCCTTCTCTGCCAGGTAGATACTCCAAATGCACAGCCTTCAGGATGCCCATCAATTCCGTCTCTGTCCTCCCATGGGCTTTCATCTCGGCATATGTGTGGGGGCTGACCAGCGCCCGTCAGCTCCATATCGAATCATCAAAAAGGCATTTCACTTACTAAGTGACCTGGTCTCGCAGACTACCAATACTCAGGTACGGTCTCTGAGGCAGGAAGAATATTCCCCCTTCGCCCTGCACAGGTCGCTCGAGCAGGCCTTTCCAGACTGGCCAAAGTTGGGCGATGATACGCGCAACAGAAGTCTTACCGGAGCCGCTGTGAAACTAACGTCAGCCTCTTATCTCTCAGATTTCGTAGAGACGACCTACTTGGGACCTGTGATCAAGGTATGCTCTCCCTTCTCTACTCTTATGTCTAGACTTCTAATGAGCTCCTCGCCACCTCGTTCGGCACCTGCGCCTTCGGCGGGGGCGACGATAGGGACACCATGGAGCAGTATGTGGTCTAGCCCGATCCTGGTGACGCCTTCCACTCTAGCCATGTCATAGAAAGGCTATATATTATGTCAGCGTGATGTCTTCGAAGGTATCGGTGATTCTCACTTGATCAGCAGGCAAGTCATCTGGACGAGCTTGAGCAGCATATATCCCGTTGTCCAAACCGTGAAGCTCTGCCAGCAGAGAGTAGACTCTGCTAGTGTATCCTGACAGCTCTGCGAGGTCCTTGCCAGAGTACATCAATCTCCCACCTGCATCTGCAAGGGATAGCAAGAGACGGCGATTGGACATGTAGCCTGTCTCATGCGATTAGAATACGGCTGTGAATGGGGGCATTCACTTACTCTCGGTACGCTCGGCGATGGCATGGTGGGCGTGGGGCTTTGATCCACCAGTAGACAAGGCATTGGTCGCACCTGGGAAGAAGATGGGGATAGACATGAGACCATAACCAGCAGCAGACCAGAGGTACTTGATGACAAAGTCCTCCGTCATACTGCACTATCATGAGCTTTTGCCTCAAGCAAGTGAGATTACGCACCCATAAGGTATTCTCGCCTTGAAGACTGAATGAACATGCTTTTTCAGCGCCCCAAACATGCCCACCAGAATGCCCTTCTCCCTTTTGCCTCCGTTGTAGAATGCGACCTCTTCCCCGTCTCGCCCTATCCTCGCTAGCCCTGCCCGGTACTGGCCCTCTAATCTGGCGGTGGTAGCTGCCATCCGGCCGAATGCCGGGGTAGCAGATCGTAGGATATAAGCTGTCAAGCCGTAATTGGCAAAGAGACCGATAGTGCCCAGTGGTCCCAGAGAGGCAGATAGCTGAGAGGTAAATATGATCATGTCGAGTGTGGGCTTGCCAATGTTGCCACTGAAACTCGTCAGCTGTGAAAGATTGTGATATGGTCACGCACTAGAGAGCTGCCAAAGAGTCGCAAAACTTGGCTACGTCAGTGGTGATGAACTGATCAGCGGTTCCAGTAGACGCTTCGCTTGCCCCCGTCTCTCCAGACTTTCCGCCCCCTTCTGCTGTAGCTTGACCGCCCACCCCAGTCCCGAGCTTGTAATAATTGAGGTTCTCATTTCTAGAATGGGGTCAGCGAGGTCACGCCGTCTGATCAAGACGTACAGATAGAGATCATGGATGTATCGGGTGAGATTCGTTCGGAAGGCCAACGCCAGCTTGCGTTCCAGGTATCGGATCATGGCGTTCGTATAGGTGCTCGGTACAGCGAGAGCAAACCACCACCCGAGTCCTCGAAGGAGACCAGCTCCGTTGGCCGATACGAGATCTCTGACGATCCGCCCGTCCAGCCTTGCCACCATCACGCTCAAGACGGTCCTGGACACGAGGAAGAAGGTGTGCAGTAGCAGCAGAAATGCCTCTTTCCCACCCCTACTACGCATCGTCAGTGGGATCTTACCAAACAAGAAGAGCGCTTACTTGGCAAACGCCACTTTGAGCACCGCCCCTAGCATTCTCCAAAAGTTCTTGTTGACGCCTAGGCTCTCTCCAGCTTTCAGCCGGGGAAACAGCGGTAGATGCTCTTTGTATAGCTCTTTAGATGTGGGTGTGATTTGGACCTTGGATATACGACCCATGTGGGGGACAAGGAGGGTGCGGGAGTCGGACGAGGGGTCGGGGATGTAGAGGTCGACCAGTCTCTTCTCGAGGGCTGGGGTATTGCTATATCTGTATCAGCAGGACACTCATACTTCTTACAGTGGCACTTACAGGGGCGTCTCTGCCTCGCGCCTCTTTCTCTCCTGCCGCCGTCGCTTCCTCTCATCTCGCCACCCGTTGAGGATGTCTGCCGGGGCGTGGAGGGCGGAGGAGCGGGAGAGGACGAGGGCGAGCACGACGACGAGCAGGGCGTACTGCCTTGTCCTGGGGATCTGTGGGAGGCTCATTGTGCTCTGTTTGGCAGAGAGTGCTTGGGAATGGGATCCATAGTAGACACTGCCAGTCGGCTATCGCCGATAACCGGGCGGCTTCAGTCGCATTGTTTGGTTCCGCCCAGCTTTCTTGTCTCGATATCATGGCACCGGCTCAGTGGAAGGTTGATAGACAAAGATCAATAGCAGTTACGGTTTGTATAGAGAGCTTCAATGCGGTTTCGTTAGTGAGGTGGACGAGGATAAGATTTGAGCGTCAGCGTGGTGTTTTTAGGAAGGCTCAATGTACTGTGCGACTCGGTAAGTCGCAATAGAGTAGGAAATCCTTGACGAGCTCACCTCGAGAGGAGATCTAGAGTCAACGGACTACAATCAAATCATGGTCGTGCAAGTAGGGTCTAGTTTTCGTTGACGACAAGATATTCGACTGGTGGGCGTCGTGATACAGGTCACTGCTGTCCATTGTCGCCCTTGGCCTGACGATTGATGCAGGAAGAGCGATGGGAGTGTCGTTTACAGAGACAAAGAAACGTGGGACACGTAATGCGGTTACTGTGGTCAAGGTTCATCATGATGGTAGTCTACGAGACAGCGCACGTCGACAGATGGCTGATGGTCGTCAAAGATGGTGCTGCGATAATGATGCAAGACATATATAGGAGCGCCAATCAGCGCAGTATGACTATGAGAGGTTTATAAAAGTGTGAGTAAATAGCTACAATATGATTATTCAACGTCGACACAACTCGAGTGGCGAAAGCGTGCCTCATGGAGGCTGCAGCCACGACCATCCATCCGCCTTGCTCTCCCCCTCAGCCCCATTGACCTTGTGCTCTCCGCCTAGTATCATCGCTAGATCCTCTTCACTCATCTCGCCATAGCCCTGCATACCTGTGAGATCAAAGACGCCGCCGTGATAGGGCAGTCCAGTTGTCCCGGCGTTTGGGTCTGCCGAGGTTGTGCCGGAAGCGGCTGGAGTGGCGCAGGTGTTTGTGTTTGAGGGAGGGGTGGGCTGGAAGAAGGAAGGGGTCAAGGAAGTGTCTGGTAGGAGGGTCTGAGACTCCCATGGTTTTGGTCGGTGCGCCATCGTGGCCTGTGATGGTGGTCCATCCTGCCGCTTATCAGCCGCCCGTCTATCATTTCTGAGATAACTCACATGAATGCCATCTGGCACATCCTCCCTCGGGACTTCATCTGCCCTCCCTTCCTGTATAAGCCGTACAAGCATCTCAAAGCTCATGCCCTCATTGCCCACATCACACGTTGCCGACATCATCCGCCTGGCTTCTGCTAGCGAGTCGAGCTGGCGGAGCCCTTCTCGGGGGCTAATTTGGCGAGGAGGAGACGAGTGGGGTTGGCGCGAGTAGTGGGCATAGGCTTCCCAGGGGATTTGGACGTTCCGCTTTCTGCGACAGATGGGACGATAGTCAGCATGCGATGGTAAAGTGAATGATCAGATGAAGGAGCAGCGACCGCACATACCGGGTAAAGTAAAACCACTGAGCTCTGGAGAGCATCTCGTCGATACTCGCTGGGTTCATCTTTTGCCCTCTTATAGCGCTGATGACTGTCGGCAGACCCGCCTGGGCAACGTTCCATCAGCCTGGCCCATCGCATCGTCCTCATGGCTTACTCTGAATTCCGGGTCGTCATTGAACAAGTAAGCCTCGAATGCTTCAAACACGGCATTATTGTCCTGGGGCTGTGGGGGCGAGTAGTAAGTGTATGGGCGGCTGGACTCGCCGCTGCTTGGGAGGTTCATGGTGAGACGAAATGCTTGATGGTATGGTTTGATGCTGTTGCTGAAAATGGGTCTATATCGTGTTTGGCAGGGGAGGGGGGACGAAGACGGGGCGGAACACCGCTTTATGGAAAGTCAAAACAGACAATAGAAAGAGAGAGGATCGAGGCACGGGCCGTCCCGACGCGTTGACGATTCGGCAGCGATTCGGACGTCGTTTGTGCGAATCTTGCACTGCCCAGCATCGCATCGAGAAGCAGCACAAGTGGCTGAGGCGGTCCGCCTCCCCCTTCTCTCTCCCTTTTCTCCCCCCCTCCCCTCTCTACATACACCCATACCCCCATGCATCCCCGCGCTATCGACACCGCCCCCGCCAGCGTGGTACGACGCGCCAGCGGGGGCGGCGCTCGCCGATGTACGTAAGCTGCCGATTGTGTCGGAAACTTCCTTAATGGGCAGAGAACCTTGTTTGGCTGCCCGTGCCTGTGCCTGTCGTCGTCCATCGCCTTGTTGCCCTATCCGGCAGGTTTCAACAATTCTTGCCGCCCGATGCAGCGGGGGATAGAGTTGATGATGGATAGAGTTGAACGATAGCGATAGAGGAGAGAAAAGCTCAAGTCGAGACGAGGCTCGAAACGGCACACTGGCGTTAAGGTTTCGCCGTCACCTTCCGAGCCGTGCCGGCTGGGGGATCGCCCTCTTGGGATCTGCATGGATACAATCATTTTTCTCATCTCTCTCTCGCAGATCCCCCATCCCCAAACAACACTCGCCGGTCGCCAGGTGCAACGTGCAGAGCAGACTACGAGGAGGACGCCAGCTGGTTTGGTAATAATCCTCTCGGTATCGTACGGCATCTCGTGCCAACGTGAGCCATACCGTCACTCTGTCACACTGTGAGCAAAGAGCACCGAAAACTTGGCCCTCCCGCCCGTCAGAAGCAACCCCAAACCTGGCCAGCCACGGTCAGTGCAGCATATATAATCGAAAAGGATACAATCGAAAAGGATCAAGTGCGCTCGCGCCCTCCCTAAACTACAACTGCCTCGCCCAGCCGCACTGGCCCGCCGTACAAGCTCCGGTGAACCCAACAACGCCCCTCCGTAGCCGTGTCTACGCCACAAAGAGTGCCCTGAGGGCCACATTGTGAGTGCATTCCCCTGGACCTGCATCCCCTCCCCCTCACCCTGGCAGACTTCGGCTTTCCGTGGCGGGCGGGGTGCTAGTGCAGGGCGGAGTATTTGTCCTGGTGCTAGTGGGGGGTCGCGCGTGTTCTTTCTCAAAGAAAAATGGCTGACAACAGAGCAGTCTCTTCCGTGGGCGCCGCTCGGATAGCAAAGGATACTACTGCACAGTGCACCGTGCACTGGCAGCATACTGGAGAGCTTGTTGAATTCTATCTCTCTCTTCCTCATCTCTCCATGTTTTCATACGCCGCCCTCACCCCCCGCGAGAAGATGCGCCTCGCCAGGGAGGCATTCCTCGACGCAGAGAGAGAGGAAGCAGAGCTGCAGAGACTCAGCTCCGTGCACAGGCAAAGGCTGAGCAATACTCCCTCTCTCGACGAGAGCGTCGACGAGGACGTGAGTTGGTCTTTCCTCCGTGTGTGCTATGCTTACGCCCCGCAGTCACTGTCACGCACAAGCTCGCTCCATTCACGCTCAAGCAGGAGCAGCAACGGTGCGCCCTCTTCATGCCACCTTGCCGCCACCCCCTACACCCCCAGCTCGCCTGCGCCCTCGCTCCCCCTGCCCCCACTTCCAAGTCCCACAACTAGCCTGCGTGACTTCAACCCCAACGCCTTCACGTCGCACTCCACAAGGCAACGCTCGCGCCTCCCGTCTGACCATGTGCGACCCTCCGAAACGGCCTCCTTGGGCTGTTCCTCTACTAGCAGAATGCTCCGCCGCGAGTCCTCGATCGAAGGCCTTCGGTATGACATTGCCTCCGCCTCACGCTCCTTTCGCGTCACCAGACGCACCTCGACCGCGTCCACCACGTCATCCATCAACTCGGCGTGGTCCAAGCGGTCCTCCAGCTACTTTGATGGCGAAGATCTGCTCAAAGACCCTGAATTGGCCTTCCTGCCCCAGGCTCTGCCATATCCCAAAATCGGCCGCTCGCTGGCGAGATTGAGCACCACACCATCACTTGAACCACATTCACCTCTTGCCGACAAGGAGCCCGTCCACTCTCGCGCTGCCCGTCTGTCGGTTGCGTCGACCATCTCCTCCCCCGGCTCCCTCTCTTATACCCCTTCATCCTCGAGCTCGACATCGTTGCCGACAGATATCGACTCGCCTCGGGTCCAGTTTGGCGGGCTGCCACACAGGAACTACCCTTCGCCCTTTGTTGCTATGGGTGTCGCACCCCGAAGACGCTCCTCCCTCGCTACCCACGTCTTGGAAGAAGACGATGGTGAGAAGGAGGACGGTAGCACAGTCTGGGTCGACCTCTCTGCGCCTATCACCCAGGCCAAGCCAGTCCTTGCACCTGCGGCAGAGATCCAAGTCGTCGAAGAGATACTTGCATCCCCGCCCACGTCGCCAGCGGTCAAAACACACCAGAGAAATGATTCGACGTTGAGCGCCATCATGGCGTTTCCTATACCGCCTGATAGGGTTGAGAAGAAGCGTACGCCACCGCCATTGCTTCTTCCGGAGCCACCGAGGATCATTGAGGACAAGCTTGTGGACGAGCCGCTGCCTTATGTGACGGGCGAGACTGTCTCTGAAGAAACGCAAGTGGAGGAGCAGACCCAGCAGCGCCCTCCCAGCCCTCAACTGGGTGATCTCCTCAAGAGCGTCACTCGCGCAAAGAGACGAAGGTCAAGTGTGTCTGAATGTGATGGTTCGGAAACGGACGAGAGCGATATCGGTAAGTCGTGTAACACTACAGGGAATTCATACTCATAATCTCTAGACATGGCAGCGCCATTGATCCAGGCCGCGCTCAGCTCCAAGATCCTCACTCCCCGCTCGCGTCTTCTTCGTCAACGCCCGTCCCTCCCCCCCGTCTCACTCCAGCGCCCAACTCACTTTCAACAACGCACTGTATCTTCCCCGTCTGTCCCTCTCCGCTCTTTCGAAGCCGATGAAGGGTGGAGCGGGAGTGAGAGCGAGGAGGAGGGATGGCAAGGGATGAGGGAGAGCAAAAAGTTTGGCCCTCGCAGGACTGCATCGGCAGCGGCTGCTTTGAGAAGAGCGAGTGCCACACCTAGCCCGGGGCTGAGGATCAATGTAGACCAAGACCTCACGCCAAAGTCTTCTCGTCTTTTCCCTCCCAGCTCGACAGACATGTCGCCTTCTCTCACCCCAACCTCCCACAAACGCCTGTCGTCGTTGTCCACCTCCACCGCCGCATCCTCCGAGCTCCCTCAGACACCCATGACGGGTTTGATGCTGCCCAACCTCTGCCCGTCTTCGGCGCACAGTGTGGATATGCACAGGAAGGGATCAAACACTTCCGATATCAGCGTGGCCAGTATCGGTGTCGCTTTGGCTGGTCCAGGCGATTTCCCATGGGGCGCCAGTTCACCGCCCAACTCGCCCGTACGCGCAGCATTCCGTCGCGCAGGCTCCCAGCGATCCCTCGCTTCCTCCACTTCATTCTCTTCCCTCTCTCTTTCGCGATCCACATCTGACAAGGGCAGGCGACTGAGTAAGAAGGATAGCAATATATTCACAATGCGACAGCTGCCTGCGCCCAGGCGAGAAGTGGAAGGGTGGGGCAAGCCCGAGATCCTTTTGGATGACGAGACGTGGGGCGAAGACGACAGCCCGACTTCAGTCCGGTCATACTCTTCCGTCTCTTCGCGTGCGTCCCTGCACCGAGGGCTGAACACTATCCACCTCGACGAATATTCGTCCGACGAAGAGCCCACGCCTTTGCTTTCTTCAAGCAAGTGGGATGCGACACCGAGGCCGGACAGGGAAACGCCCAGGCCTGGTATGGGCGCCTATGGCCGTGTGCCGAGCCCAGAGATGTGGATGAATATGAGCGAAGTAGCTAGTCTGATGGACGAAGGGCTTGATGGGATGGAGAGCGATGGAGAGTGGTAGTACAAAGAAGTATATTATTTTCTTGGTTTATCATGGTGACTATTTGTACAGATACTCTTGTCTAGATTTCATGTTAGGTGCACTCTTACAGTGGGATGCAACCTGTTGTATGCTTTGTCACACTTTTGCGAGTCAAGACCGGGGAATGAGTTCGGCCGACTTGATAGCGGCAATCTGAGCATTTGCCGAGTTTTTGCCACTCGCTACGTCAGACTTGTGCGCGCTGCTTGGGTGATTATAAATGCCAGACTGTTTTACATTTCTGTTCACACTATCATATCAATCATGTCTACCGAAGAACAACAACAAGGCGCATCCTGCCTCCCCACAGAGCTCCAACCCGACAAGCCCACTTCCTCCGTCTTTTCCCGCTCAGAAGACGCCCCCGTGCACAATGTCCCTATGAGAGTCATCAACCGTCCCCTTCCGTCAGAACTCGACGAAGACAAGGTGCAGGCGTTCATGGATGAGATGAAGGCAAGTTGTGTCCTTTGAAGGCTGTCGCAGATGCTGACTCTGTCACAGCGCGGCGACGCATTCACCCCGATAGAAGTTGTCAAAGTCAAAGCTCCGCTCAAGACCGACCCGACAGGCCCAGCACAGGTATTTTACTTTGCGATGGGTGGGTGTCATAGATATGAGGCGACCAAAAGGCTGGAGTGGGAGACGATCAGGGCGAGGATCATCGAGGTGCCTGCTAGCCAGATGAGAGTGTATCTAGGGGCGGGCAGTCCGTTCTGAGTCGTGGTATGATAAAGCATAGAGCATAGATGCATGGTGTTGTCAGAAGTCTTCTTTTGTGCGATAGCGGGTTATAGCTCAGGCTGCTCATAGCATGCATGGTAGTAGCAAATTAAGATTTGACGTTTCGGCCTGATGATTAGGCGCGCGTAGCCCCGACCCGTTCCTCGACCGTCGACGATAATAATCTCCAACTCATTTGTTGTTCCTTTCATGTCGCTGCTTCTGGGGCATAGCTGACGTTAGCATACATGCCGCCTGCATTCACTAGCCTGCACACTTCGACATTGCTCAGCTGATTTTTGGCCACATCCTAGCTCACAGCTCACCGTGGCCGCGTACTGACCCTGCTCATACCCCTCAAGCCATTTGAACACATCGCTTCTATCGAGGGCTCTGCAAGGGCTGCAAGGCAGTGAGTACTCCCTGACTACCCGCATAGCTCGAGTGGACGCAAACAGGAGCCCCTTGCAAACATCCGGGGCTGTGATGCCCCCTGAGAGCGGTGAGTCGCGCGAGGTGATTGCCAGGGATGCTTATGGGTGGATGCATAGACAGATACCCTGGCAAACAGCCTGCTCTGTGTACGGGGGGATCACTCAACATAGGGAATGCAGGGAATGTGGCGCGACGCGTGGACGCGCGGATGAAACGCGTGGATGCACCCTCCTTTGGTGTGTTGCGCACGGCTCGCTCTGTGTGCGCTCTTCCAGCGGGCAAACAACGCGAGCTGCATTCTATCTCTTCCTCATCTGCATCTCTTCTTGCTCATCATATTCACTAACGTATCTTGTAGCAGGGGCATGTCATAAACCCCAGACATGCCCACCTCGCCTCCGCCCCTCTCCCCGACACCCCGTCGCTGGAGAGCAAACACAGGCTCACCTCACCCCGACATTGCGTCCCTCCTCAACACCTTCGAGCCAAAAGGCGACTCTGCCACCATCACCCTGCCCCCCTTGCCCCCATCTGAATCGTCCTACACCCAGAGCTCAGGCTCCTCCAACTGGGCCACACCCAAAACCAGCGCCACGAGGCGCACCCTAGAGCAGAGGGGGGATGAGGAGGACGAGGAAGAGGTAGAGTATATGACCACTTCTGATAGCCTCGAGCGAGACACGCCCGATATTAGGACCACCTCGCCCTCGCCCCAGCGACCCCTCGAGTCATACAGGTCGGACGCCACGCTCAGTCCGCTTCTGGCGCCTAGTCGCGGTCAACTGTTTGGCGAGGACGCGTCTTCCACTTTGGGCAAAGCCAACGCTCGAGCCATTCGTGAGTGTTTTGCTTTTCCTGGACTGGACGCCGGCTGACGCGATAAAGCGCGAGAGCAGACCAGCTCGAACAATTCCGGGACGGTGACGCCCACAAACCCTATACCCCCTCAAGTCACTGGCCAGTCTACAGCGACCATCGACGCCGCTTATGATGGCGTCTTTTCACAGCTCGACGCCCTCGCTGGTGCCGAAACCAAGTCTCCTCCTCGCCCGACTCACACCCGAGGCGCATCCGACCCTGGTTCCAACGTCTGGCAGCCAACGCCCCTCCGCCAGCCGCTTGTCGGGCTTGGCCTGAATCTTCCCGAGGAAAGGCAGTATGGCGCGTCAGAATTCTCTAGACTCTCGACAGTCAGTGAAAGGACAGAGCGGAGTGCAATGACAGGCATGAGCCATCAGCTCAGCCCTACCGCACCGGGATCTTTCCATATACGCTCTCATTCCGACGCCAGTGCAGCAAGAAATCCTCTTCCACCCAGTCCTTCTAGACCTCCGCGCACGACAGGGACACCTGGCGCTGGAGCTCCAGTTACGCCTAAAAAGACGAGCGACCTCATCAAGATGTTTGAGAGCAAGTCTACGCCTGGAAAGGGCGATGTACCGGCTGTGCCCCAGCCTACTTTGGCGCCGTCCCGTGCTCCGCCTTCCCCTTCCCCTCCGTCCCGCCCCCCTCCGACGCCCATCAAAAACGACCCCTTATTCAGCCCTCCTACACTCTCCAACCCACCCCCTGTTCCCACTTCTTCTAAACCCACAACAGCCCCCACTCCACCGCCTAAAACTGGCACGCCATTGTCGTCAGTCCGCACCATGATTGCTTCTTGGCGCTCTAAATCTAGTGCTGGCTCTGGCTCGGGGTCTGGTGGCAAGCGCCAGGCAAACTCGCGCGAGAGCTCCCCGGGTCTTTCGAGAGGTGGTGATAAGGGGTGGAACGTCAGTATTAGGAGGAGGAAAAGACACGAGAAGGAGCTGGCGGAGAGGGAGGCGCAGGATCAGGCCGAGCAGGCAGAGAAGGATAGGAAGGAGGCAGAGTTTATGATGTCAGAAGAAGAAGCGAAAGAGGTATCGGCGGAGGAAGAACAGGTGCCCAGAAGGACCAGTTCGCTCAAGTCTTCGAAAAGATCTGCCTCGGAGCCGAAGCAGCTCACCGGTGATGTAAGCAGCCTCCAGTGCATTTGTGCTCCGTTGACCATATTTAGCTTATCCGGTCAGGCCCGCTATACTATCTCAACGTCCACGATGAGACCAAAGACGAGTTTGATTGGGTTCGGACTGACGGTAGGATGTATAACGATGGGATAGAACTTTCTTGGGTCACTAGTGGACAGGGGACTGCGAATGTGACACTCGATCTGGAGAATTGCGATGGTGAGTCGATGACCAGAAGAGATTTTTGGCTGACAATGTAGAGGTTGCGAGTACGTATAGTCCGAACAATCCGATGGCGAAAGAAGATCTCGGAGCTGTTGCTGCGAGGAGACAGGGCGAGCTGGCCGATAACCTCTATCCGTTTAAATTGGCAAGTCGACTCTGCTGTATGTGAGGCACTTTTGACTCTGTATAGGTGTACGATGACGGAGTCGAGCGCCTTGCCTGTGACAGTGCCCGAGACAGAGTCCGCTGGGTTAACGCCATTTGGACCGTCCTCGAGCAAACCCGCGCTCCTACGCTCGACCGCGACATGTCTCTCCGCGCCAACAGGTCATCCTCTGACCACGCCAGCGATACTGGCTCTTCCTCCACCCACTTTGCCACTGATAGACCTCATCCTTCGCCTCACAGCAGTGCTTCTCATAACCTGTATACTACCGACGATGCGGTGATCGAGACTTCTGGCGGTCTTCATGCTCCCATAGTCCAGCGGGGTAGTCGAAAGCTCGCTGCTCCAGGTCTGGAGCGGGTCCAGTCCTTACGAAGGGTCGCGAGCGAAGCAGACCTCCGGGATTCTGCCAGCGAAATCTCTATGCCTGTGACCACGACTACTCACGATCTGCCGCTTACAGCCGCGAATGCTCAAAGGCCTACCGTACGAGACTTTACATTTGCCAGGGGCATCAAACCCCCCTCTATGGCCTCGGAGGGTGAAGCGGCGAGTACGTGGGATACACCCATGCAAGGTGGTGCCACTTTGACCCCCGCTTCTAAGTTCCACTCTCTCGAAGGGTCTAGTCGTCAATCAGCCCCATCAGAGTCGGTATTCTCTCCCCATACGCCTGCTTCGACGTTTCCAAGAGCGCCGCCCTCGGAGTCGGCTTTTACTACTGCTTCGACTTTTCGCGAGGAGCCTCCTTCGGACTATACCACTCGAGCGCCCTCTTCTACTCATGGCGGTACAATGTACACCGCTAGACCGCCTAGTATGGCTGCATCCACGCCTGCTTACACGGCGGCGCAGTTGCCTCCTTCAGAAAAGAGTACTGCCCAAGTTCCGCCTGGGATGCCTCCCATGCCGTCTACAGCTACTACTTCAACGGGCCATGGCTCTAGTACGCTATACACATCAGCAATGTTGTCGACGCCGGCTTCGTCTCGGTCAGCGCTTTCAATGAAGACCGCCCGGCCTGGAAAGGACACCCCAAGAGTAGCCGAGCAGATACTCGAAGAGCCCGTCTCGGAGACACTGAGCCCGGCTACTACTTTTGCCGAACCCAGTCCTTCACTGACCCCCGCTTTCACCGCTCGACAACTTGCCACACCTACAGCCATCCTAGCCCCTGGGCTATCCGATGTGGGCACAGAAGGATTGACCACATCCAGCCATACAGCTCGACCTGGCACATATGCTGATACTGCCCCGCCAGCTAGCATAAACCGCACTGCAGACGCGCCTTTCACTCCTGGTGCAACAGGTACTTGGCGCGAGCCTAGTGATATGCAGACTCCCCAAGCTGCTTCGTCTAGGGTCCGAGTCGCAGTCACGGGTGCTTCTCCTAGCGAAAGAAGCGTTGGGACAGCTCGGCTTGCAGCTAGCGAGCGCCCTGCTTGGACAGCCGAGCCCGGTACGCCTCATAGAAACGGTCAGGCATTGTCTTCTGCTGGACTTTCTGCTCAGTATACGACTGCTCCTGATGCTACAGACTTCCAGTCGGTAGAAAACCTGCCCAGGGCCAGTAGTACCTATACTGCTGCTGTCACTGGGACGGCATCGCCTTTGCAAACTCCCAAGGCTCTTGTTGAGAGGCCAAGCTCTCGTTCTTCCAAGTCGAGCGACGTCTCTTACCAGTCGGCGCCGCCTCCGGTCCCTTCCCGGGATTCGCAATACTTTACCGCCTCGATGGGCCCCAGCTCGAAAGCGAGCTCAGGAAAAGCACCTAGCATTCCTGCTGACACTCCGCGCTATCAGCTGTACGACGCTCCTGCCCCATCTTTCAGTGAACGTCATTCTGGCGCTTACGAGTATGCCGCTCAAGGGGACGATCAGACTTTTGTAACCGGTTTACAGCCTCCGCCTTCGAATCGGGATACCTTCTATGTGACCGACAACAGATCCAGCTTTGTGACTCCGACGGCCCCATATGAATATACCGACGCGAGGTCGGAAGCTCGCTCTACTGCCTCGCTCGAGACAGCTCCTATATCCTCAGGAAAAAGTCCTCGCTCGTCCCAGTGGCAGACAGCCCCGCCTCCTCCCATCTCCCACGACGCTCAGTCTATTGGGAAGAATACGCGTGACGCGGATGTCACAACATCCCGGCGAGAATCAAGAGCATGGACACAGGTTAGTCATCCCGAATCGGATGACGAGATGCTGGCCGAGCTCGAGAGGCGGTCCAGTAATGGTAGTGCTGCTTCGAGAAACAAGACTCTCTCTATACCCGTGCCTCCTATTGCGTTCTCTGTCGCAAAGGAGTACTCGGCGTACAATACAATGCGAGAGAGTGTATATGCCCCACCTGCTTCTTGGGACAGCCCGCGCCTCCAATCGGGCCTTTCGCAAGCAACGCTGTTCTCTACTGCTCCCGGCATAACGTAAGTGCAATATATATCACTGTTGAGGTAACTAAACTTGGTCTAGCTCGTATTACACTACCAACGAACCCGTGGCCACTCCGCAGCCTCCGCAAGCCAGTATCTCTACGGCGTCCTCGGTGGCTTCCCCCAAAAAGATAGCCCGAGTGCCACCACCACCAGTTGAAGTGGTACAGCCCCCGCCCCCTTCTCCGACATCTCAGACTGCTCATTCTTCTTCGACTTCTTCATACACGACTACAGACTCAAGTAGGACGGTCCGAGCGCAGGAGAACACCGATGTCCTCCGCTTTCTGGTAAGTACTCGTTCATGAATGTTGAATGACCTCTGACATGGTTCTCAGAATTTCTTGCAAGGTCAAGAGTTGGCCAAATCTGGCCAGGCTACTCGCATAGGCAACCAACTCGACAGGATTGAGCGTGGTGTGACAAAGATTGCCGAGAACCAATCCGTCATGGCTCGAGACTTGGCGCCTCCGCCGGTCCCTCCCAAATCCGCTGACGATGAGACCACCCCTCCCTCGTCTCCTGCTTCATCGACTTCGTCTGTCGAGACGGCACGTCCGGTTACTCCGCCTCCTCTTTTACTCCCCGAGGTGGTAAACTCACAATTTGACGACCTGCGAAACCTCCTGGGTACGCTCATCGGTCGCCAGGAAGATATTTTGGGTCGCCAGGAGCTTATGGCGCAGGAGATTGCCCGGGGAAGAAACCTCGCGGTTGATTTTCCCGAACGCGCACCTGGACTGATGAGGCTCGAGGACTTGCTCAAGCGAGTCCTGAACAAGGTCGGGGATAGCGAGTTTACCGACGAGTACATGTCTATCCAAGACGAAAAGATGAGCGCTTATACTCGCTCAATGCTTTCGACGCCAAAGACTATGGGTACCAAGGATGGCTCTCTCTACGATGGTAGTAGCAGTGTCTACTCTGGAGAGTTCGCTGGGCATGGAAGACGTGCTCCTGCCAATAGTGTCACTTCGGAGCAAGAGCGCCGAAATCGGCCGCTCAGTGGCATTTCCGACTCTCTTCTCGAAGGACATCTGGGCTCGCCAGACTTTGACGAGGACTTTGCTCTCTCAGGTCTACCCCCCGACACTCCCCCGCAAGAATTTGTCGCTAGGCAGCTGCATGGCCCCCCTACCTTCTTGCACCGCAATCCTCGACAAGCTCCTCAGGTGGCTACTCCTTTACAACAGCCTCGCGCTCAACAGACTCCTCAGCACGCTCCTATGCAGGAATATCAGGAAACCCAGTACTACCAAGATGAGGAGTCTGAGCAAGAGCCTGAAGAGCCCATGACCGAGTATGAGCCTTCTGAAGCCCCGCTCGAGCGTGAAGCCACCCCCGTCCCGATTCCCAAGGACATCAGTCCCCAAAAGTCGCCTGTTCAACCTCCCGTCCCATACCGTGCTGAAGATGATTATCAAGATGACCAACGGCCTTTTGAAGACGATCAGTATGATCGAAACCCCACTCGACAGCTGCCCACACCACAAAAACTCGATCTTCCAACTCCAGTCAACTCTCCTCGGACTATGCCACCCCAATCTTCGCAACCCGGTCCTTCCATGCGCCCGCCTTTCCCACCCGGCCCTGGCATGTTCCCTCCTGGTCCTGGTATGAGCGAAATGTCTAGACCTTCTTTGCCTAGGATTGCCGGTGTTCGAGACCCTATTTCTACTACTTAGTAAGTGATAATACATGCCTTGCTTCACGCGCTGATGAATGTTAGCTACCGACGAGGGTTCCCCCCTGGCCCCATGGGAATGGGTATGTTCCCCGGCCCTATGGGTATCCCTGGTCCTGTGAGTGTGGTCAAATGATCGTTTATCAAAACTTACGGTTACAGGGTATGGGTCCGCATATGCCTGGTCTTCGTCCCGGTCTCAACGGTTATGGTGGCCCGCTCGGTCCTGTAAGTGCCCAAGGCCAAGCCTGATCAACCACTTATCTTGCCACAGAACGTCAATCCTAGTCTTCGTCGTCCCGGCTTCTTCCCTCCTGGTGTCACCAGTACTACTGGCGATTACGGTCTCCCTGCTGCTGCTTATCAAGGCTTGAACAACGCCCCAGGCGGTCCTGATGCTCCACAGGGTCTCGCGCCGCCTATTCCTCGTACGCACCTCTCGAGCACGTCTGACACTGGTCTTGGTAATACGACAACGGAATCTACGGTCTCTACGGTCTCTACACCTTCTGTACTCACGGAAGAAATCGTCACCCCGGCTACTGCGCACACGCATATGACTGAACCTGTGCACGTTTCTGTGACTACGACTGCACCCCCTACACAAGCCGCGCCTACTACGCTTGGTGCCTCTACGACGGCTCTTCCTTCTACCCCCGGATCTATGACAGACGGTATGACCGCGTCAGAAAACGAAGTTATTATGACGGACAGTGGTTCGGGTGATATTTTGGACACCGCTATGGCTCTTGCTCAAGGTGACCAGCAGAATGAAATGTCCCGCTATCTTCACGGTATGAGCGATCAGATCGCGGATGGCACGCATGCTACTCAGAACCAACTCGGAAACATCTTGAACGACATTGCTGCTCTTCGTGAGCAGCTCAAGCCCAAGCATGTAGCTGCTCGAGTCCTTTCGGATGGTACAGTGACATTGGACAATGGCGATATCATCGACGGCATCAGAGGAGTTCCTGCCCCTACCATTCCCGGTGCTCCTTCCCTTCCCCCACCCCCGGCTACCGCAACCCATGTAGAGGGGAGGATATTGCCTGATGGCACGGTCATGGTCGGCGGCAGGATTGTCGATGGTATCAAGGGTGCTCCTTCTGCACCCTCGCCTTCTCTTGCCGCCGTCACAGCACTTGAGGAAGAAATCATAGAGGAAGAGAACAAAAATCTGGAGCAAGATAAGAAACTGGCCGAACTTCAAGAGAAGAGTAGGTTTTCCGCACGATATAGCAGACCTGATTGACAATGTCTATAGTTGAGGAACTCATCAAAAGCAGTGCGCCACAAACAGAGACCCGTATATTCGAAGAGGAAGAGGTCATATCCATGAGGAACAATGGTTCACCAGCTGTCGTCCCAACCGAATATGCTGCTACCACTCCTGGTGCCGCCTCTACTGTGCTGGGACCCTCAGCTTCCGTCGCTCCTGAAGGATCTTACATTCCTACCGCTTATGGTCCATCTGTCCACCCCACTGTTGCTGGTGCACCTCTCTACACCCCTGGCAAGTCATCCCAGGATCGTACCGTCATCCGAGAGCGCGAGATCGTTCGAGAAGGGCCACATGGAAAACAGAAAGAGGTCGTATTCGAAGAAGATTTGGCCAGAGAGACTGGGACTGTTGCTCCCGGCGATACTATCGGTGAATCCGTCTCCGGCTCCTTGCCGGCTGCGGGTACGGTAGCTCATACGTTGCCTCCTGGTACGGTCGTGGCTGAGGGTATTTTGCCTCCTGGAAGCGTGTACCCGTCGGCTCCTGGTACCATGACTCCTGGTACAATCGCCGGAAGCGTTCATCCAGGTACTACAATGCCCCCTGGTAGTGTACACCCAGGTACCGTCGCTCCTGGTACTGTCGCCGCTGAGGATACTTTGCCTCCTGGAAGCGTCTATCCGTCGGCTCCAGGTACTATGGCGCCTGGTACAATCGCCGGAAGCGTTCATCCAGGTACCACAATGCCCCCTGGTAGCGTACACCCAGGTACCGTCGCTCCTGGTAATGCAGCTGGAAGTGCGGACCCTGGAACAGCTATGGCGCCTGGGACGGTGGCTGGAAGTGTCTACCCCGGAACGGCTGCACCAACTGTCATGGGAGATCCGTCTGTCGTGGGTGAGTATGGCTGGATGCGGAACCGATCAGAGGCTGACTCGCATACAGGATCACCGACCCCGACCCGTATCAACCCTAGAACTGGACGACCATTGACGATCCCTACAGCTCTCTCCCAGCATACGATGTCTCCTATACAATCAGAGTTCCAAGGTCCGCTCACTCATCCCCAGCAACTCATTCGAGAGGAGCACGAGGAAGTGAGTGCAGTGCGTTAACGGAGCAACGACAAACACTAATACAGAGTCAGATCATTCACAGACCCACTGAAGGACGACCTCCTGTCACCACCCATAATACAAGTCGCACTTACACTCAACTGCCTCCTGGCGCTCAGCCTGCTGGGTCTGGCGGCATTGTGCCGGGCAGCGTTGCCGGAACTGCGCTCCCAACCGGAGCACCACCCCCTTCCGCCCACCCGTCAGCTCCAGCCACAGTCTTCGCCGACCCTGCGGGCCATCCGTCTGGTCCAACGCATACCATCCCTCCCATGTCCGTTCACCCTCCGTCAAGCGACGCCGGCGTGCCCTTCGCGCCAGATGTTGTCCCTGGCGCTCACTACTCTGACCACCAGAGTGTTGTCGCACAGCCGCCACCAAACATTCCCGCCGAGTACAGCGCCCATGAATCAGCAACAGTGGCACCAGGACCTGTCCCAATTGATACACAAAATGCCTCGATCCATCATACCCAGCATCCTGGTTCTTCTGCGGCCCACCCAACAGCGGCTCCAACACAACTGGGAGATGCTCCTGCCCATGCTCCCACTGAAGCTGCCAACATTCCATCTCGGGCTGCGACTGCGGCCCCAACCGTTGCCGCCCCATCCGTTGCCGGCGGGGTTGCAGACCCACACACTCCCCCATCTCACGCTCCCAGCAACGTTCCCAGCCATCGTGCCGGGCCGGAAGTGTGGGACACGAACCACGCTAAGCCAGTCAGCGACAAGCCCACTGAGCTCTCCAATGTTCCCACTGGCGAAGCTGCTGACCCGGCAAATGCTCCTCATGGTGCTGCAGCTACTCATCCTCCTTCAGCGATGGCCGACCCCTCTGTGGCTGCCTCTTCAGACTCTGCTAAAAAGAACGGAGTCCACTGGGGCGATAGAATGCCTACCAAGGACGTTCCTCTGGTTCCTGGACGAAGCCCAAAGTACGTCGAGCAGAATATCATACTTCCGAGCTGATCGTTTGATGTCAGACCCTCAGCTCCTAGCCTACCCCCCGCCACAGAGCTGTCCAATGTCCCCAATGAGAGCGTCTCCGACCCTACCGACAAAGCTCTTCCGGCCGACCCAGCCATTGCTGCAAGTCAGCACGGTGATGATGCTGATACTGCCGCCCCTGCCGCCCCTGCTCACACCGGAGAGCCCCACACCAAGTCCCCACTTTCAGGCATTCTTCGCAAGCCAGTGCCCGAATCTGAACATAGTGTCTCAACTGTTCCCGCCGACACCGCGTCTCATCCTGATCACTCCACCGTTGGTCACCCAGTCCCAACACACGCCGGCGACAAAGACACTGGAGTCTCCGATACGGCGCACGTGGCTGGACCGCCCACTATGGCTGAGCTTCAAAGTGAAGGTCGGGATCTCACAGCTTACCCGGGAGGGCAGACCGTTCACGTCCCACCTCGCCCAGCTTCCGCTGCTTCACACAATAAGCTCCAAAAGCGCTTCCCAGCTCCCGGTCAAGGAAGTATGCACGATCCCCGAGAGCTGGCTGGGAATGCTCCTGTTGGAAGTCATACAACACCTTCTCACGGTGACCACAATTCCGCTAAAGATCCGTCAGAGATTTCTCATGCTGCTGGTACCCACAAGTCTGAGGACATTCCTATCCTCGAGAAAATCATTCTACCTGATGGCACAGAGGCGTATGTGAGAAGTAATCCTGCTACGACCCTCGGCCACTCAAGACCTGGCACGGCGTTGGCTCCTTCCAGACCAGGCTCTGCTATGGCTCCTTCCAGACCAGGCTCTGCTATGGCTCATAACTACCCAGCGTCTTCTCATCTTCATGACGACCATGACACTTCCCACGCAGAGAACCATGAAGTCGCGCCACCTGGCACACGACCTCCCAGTGCTCTCACCGCTTCTACTGGTCATCTGAAAAAGACCCCACCCGGTGTAGGCAGCGATAGAGATGCCCCCATCGGTACCATGGCCGACGCTCCCAAGTCGGAAGCGGGTGGCGCTCACAGCCATGGCCCCAGTGAGTCTGATCTGGGACGTGGTCACTGTAGTGTTTGCTGTCCTCATGGTGCGCGATTGGAGAACAAGATTCCCATAGAGGCCTGTGAGCATCAGAACGGAGCTCTGGGTGACGCTATCCCGGGAGCGACCAGCAAGCCCGCCACACCTTCTGGTCCCCGCTCTCACAGGTCTATCGCCCCGACCATCAGACCGCTTTCCACACAGTCTGTTCACACGCCTGCCTCCGAACACCCGCACCACCAGGATGAGGTAGATCCGTTCGATATGCACGACGGTACAGCCAGAGAGCCTTCGGTAGGAGGCGGGCTGAGCAAGGGAAGGAAGACACCTACTCTTTCTCCCGAGGAGGAGGCTTTGGAGGATGCCAGAAGACTCGCTGGTAAGTGGAAGATGCTCAAAATCAAACAGTCACTGACGAGTGCGACAGTCAAACAGAAGGCAGCGGCGGAACAAGCAGCCTCAGAAAAGGCTGAAAGAGATCTGAAGGTGGCTGAGAAAGAAGAAAAGAAGCGGCTGGCGGATGAACGGCACGAGCAAAACATGGAGGCATTGGCCAATCTACAGAAGATGCTTGTGAGATCTGTTTACTATATGAGGAGGCAGACCGCTAATGCCTTTGTAGTATCTGTTATCGTCCGACCACGCATCTTCGAAATCTTTGGACGGTGAGCGAGAACAAGAAAAGAAGAAGAGAAGAGAAGACAAGGCGGCGAGATATGAGATCATGGTCAATGCCTTGGAGAAACTCATGGGCGATAGAGAGGATGCAAAGAAGAAGGCTGTCGCGGACGAAAAGAAGCCCGGTGAGTCGATTCCTGAAGAAACTCTACAAAACTGACACCGCCTCTCAGGTTTCCAAGCAATCTTGGATGCTCTCAAGAATTCCGGAGAAGGCCAAGCTGCCTTCCTGAAGAAACTTGCCACAGAGCTCATGGAGAACTCGTCCAACCAACACAAAGAGACTCAGGCTGCTGTCAAGGCGTCCGCACGCGAGCAAGTCGGGTTCAATGTTGCAGGATAGTGAGTTGCATGTGGACAGGTGTATAGATCTTTGACTGACAATTTTAGCCTTGATGAGTTCTCAAAGGCGTTGTCAAGTGAAGTCAGGGTGCTGTTGAACGAGGTCGGCAATCTTCGCGAGTCCAGGAGGGCGCTCTACATGTAAGGTTCCGTGGATGCTGCAGGAGCATCGGCTGACAGCGAGTCATTAGGGAACTGGCCGAGCTTCTGTTGATGAAAAACAGACAGTCCCAGGGGTGAGCCCGGCATTGTGTTCAATATGATCTCAGCTAACCAAGATATAGTGATCTAATAGCGCTGTACCCTATGGACCCCAAGTTCATGGAGAAGACAAAGAAGGTGTGTGCAATGTATCGCACCCCGCCAAGCGCATCTTAGCTGACATTTTGCATAGGAGGAGCCACCCAAGGAGAAGCCCCCAGCGCCCCCTATGCCACCTCTATGGCCTGGTTGGGGTCCACCCATGCCCATGCCCATGCCTCCAAGCGTCCGTCCACTCCCTACTCCCAAGCAGCCACCACCTGCTGGCGAAGCCGCTCCCCCTCCCCCTCCTCCTCATCCCTCTCAGTACAACGTAGGTGTGAAGCGGAAGCCTTCACGAAGAGAGCTGACAATAGGATAGCTCCCTCTCCCCACTGTATAAGTACGCACTCAGTAGTTGTAGTATATAACGCGACCGGCAGAAATAATAGTTCTTGCACTTCTAGTACCAGCATCATGTCTATACCCTCATCCCATCTTCCAGTCGTCTCTTGGGTGGATATAACGATTTATGATATGCATATAGATTCGATATATGCTATGGCGCAGATGGTCTTCGTCTCTCGTCATGACAGCAAAGCTTCGTCTCGAGTTCCCCGCCAGGGGTGACCAAACAAACCAGAGGATCCTGAGTCTTTCATCGACCGCAGCTCTCGAGTGCATGCATTGAAAATTTCGAATCTTCCATGATGATGAACTGTGAAGAGAGCAGTATGCGGTGGGGCTGAGATACAGGCTGTCTGAAATGTTTAGAATCTTCCATTTTCTGTCGGGGGCGGCATGTAATTTTTCCAACGTCGTCCGCGTCCGGAAGTTCGTGACCACGAAAATTCAAAAGATCGACTCTGCGTCTGCATCCTTACCGCCACTGCCAAAATCACAGCACCATGCTCAGGCCTAGCATAGCCAGGAAGGTCCTTCGGGTCCGCTCGGCCAGGCTGGGATACAGGGGTCTGCATGCGTGAGTTCATATCGGTAATCGTACAGGCATCTCCTAAACATCTCTTGCAGCCCTCTGCCGTCTGAACATCCTTCCGAACCCCCCATCGCTACTCGATTCCCTTTGTACCGACGCGAAGAGTTTCAGAGGGAGCCACCCATCACCCAGGCAATGATTGACTCATTGCCCACTGATGAAGGCCTCTCTCGACAGCTGAAACGCAAAGTCACTAAGAAAGCAGTAGAGGATATTCCCGAATGGTCCGAGGAGGATTTGCGGGCCTTCTACCTTGATCTGGTCAAGACTGGGGTCAAAGAAGGAGAGAGTCTGGAAGCTATCAAAGCCCCTGAGAACCAGGTCGAATTATTGAGCGACGAACAGAGACGAAGCACATTGGCGAAGATGTCGTCGAGGCTATTGGGCCAAGGCCAAGGCCAAGGCCACTCCAATGAGGCCTCCAGTCTTCCGCCAGTGCACCGGGGAAAAGTCTCGTTCGCAAGACTGCCTTATGCAATCTTAGAGTCATTGGCACCTCTGGCCATCCTCAGCGGACCGAGTGAGACCAGCAAAGGCAAGGCCGTCGAAGACGTGGCTGCGAGGCTTGATGTTCCTCTGGGGCTGGTTAGCAACACCGAATGGAGTGCTCTCTTTCAAGAGCTTGTGAGTGATCCAGATCGTATGATGTGTGTCTTGACTGATCTGGTGCAGATACAAAGACAAGATGCCGTCGCGGCCGAGGCCGTGCTGGATCTCATGAACGTCAGTAAATTTCTTCTGCTCGCAAATCTACTGGCTGACGAGCTAAAGGCTCATGGGATGCCCGTGGACTCGCACCTGATTGACGAGATCATGCATGTGCATGCTATGCAAGGGCGTCCGGATGAGGTCAAACGCCTTGTGCTGGAAGTTGCCGCTGGTGTGTGCAACGTGACTTTTCGTGGTGTTGTACTAATCCCAGGTATAGCTGGAGACGCCATTCTCCCTGTCCATCAGGACAAGATAGTCTTGTCCCTCTTGCAACAATCTCCATCCGATGCCCGCCCTGCTATCGCCCACCTTCTACAGGCCGAAGAAGCAGCAACCCCCTTCCCGCAATCTTCATACCAACTCGCCATATCCCACCTCACTACCCCCTCCCCAGACGTCCATCCCAACGCCCATACGCGCTCCCTCGCTTGGGATCTCTTTGCCCATATGCGACTGAAGGCCCATCCAACACCTACGAGAGAAATGTACGCTACGATGATCAGGAGCTGCGGGGACGCCAATCAGCCTCAGCCGGAGAGAGCTCGAGATCTTTGGCTCGAAATGACTCAGCAGGAGAGAATGGAGCCGAACGGTGAGGGCTACAATGCCATCATTCGAGCTTTGGGGAGCACCAAGAAGGATTATCTCGAAGCTTTTGATCTCTTACGCCAAATGCTTGTCAAGCACAATGACGCAACCTTCGTGCCCTTTGAAGACGACAATGGCATTCCTCGCTTCAGCAACTTTGTCCCCACTCTCGAAACTTTCAACGCCGTAATGGAAGGCGCCAAGCGAGCCGGTGATATCAATCGGGCGAGATGGGTATTGACAGAAGTGCTCAAGCTCTCCAGGGCTGGACAGGCCTTGCAGGTGGCAGTATGGAAGGATGGAGCGGACGAGAGCCTTTTGTCGGCCGTTTTCATGACGTACGCAGCGTGGAAACCAGTCGTAAAGAAGCAGGGACTCAAGCTGAGGACTGGCGGTGAGGCTGAGTCGGGCGATGCTGCCGCCGAAGCTGCTGTGGACGATGCGAGCAAAGAAGCAGCTCACCTCGATGTGGATGTCTTGCAGGATGTCGAAGATGTCGTCACCCAAGAGCCGCTCATGGACGAACTTACCCTCGATGAGCCTCCTGTCTCCACTCCTACGACACCGTTGTCCAGCGCGGACGCTTTACGCGAGTGTACCTCCCTCTTCAAACGCATCCTCTCCGACAACGAAGCTGTTCGCGAAGGCAGTAACGATTTCCTTCCTTTCAAAAGTGTCCGTCTATCACCAAGGTTGATCAATTCATATTTGTCTGTGCACCTGGTGCACGGTACATCTTTGATAGGCCTCAAGAAGGTGCATGACGAGGCTTGGCAAGATGCTGCTAAAACGTCCATGTCTTCCGTCGAGCCCAATGGGTGGTCATATATGTTCCTCTTGGAGAAATGTTCTTCTGGAGCTCGAGTCATATCTCCTGCTGAACGACCCCTGGCCGTGTCATGGGGACGAGAGCTCTGGTCTTCTTACCTCTCGTCCTACTCTACCGCATCTTCCTATCTTGAAAGAAACTATACCGCCGAACACCCTCTTGCCAAAGCTCGCAAGAGGTGGATTATGGGCCTTGGAGACAGACAGGTAGAAAGGGTTTGGAAAGCTGCCATCAAACTGGAGAGTGTGCATGGGGATGTGGATCAGGCGCTGAAGATCCTGGAAGACTTTGTGAGAAGATTCCCAGCGGAGGAGATAAGCCGGTCATATAAGCCTATACCAGAGGCAGGCCTTTCGATCAGGATGGCCCTTCCCAGTGCCACCCCGGAGGCTGACGTCCCCCCGCTATTGCTATTCAGCGATGTCCAAGCTCTTCATCAAAGATTGGTAAAGGAGAAGCGATTCGGGTCCGTTCGGAGGCTGAAATGGGTGGTTGAAGGATATACAGGAGCGCTAGCCAAGAGGCGGAAATGGAGGATGAAGGGAGTAGCACAGGGTAGAGAGAGAATGGCGGAAAAGAGACACCGACGTGGAACATATGGAGCGGTCGAGGGGGAGCACTCGGAAGAATTGAACTAGCATTATAACATACAATATCATCACCATTCATATGCCCAATCCACCGCCCAAATCGCCGAACGAAATAAATTTAAGACTTATGTATGAGCCATGCATAGAGCTAACAGAGACAAGAATTCAAAGTGTCGATAAAGACCATGATGTACATTTACTTCTACACCTTCCAGATCCTACACAAGTCATTCCCATCAATGACCAGCGGCGCCAGATCACCCCCAGTATCCATCATCCAAGAACCGCCATTCTCATACTGCGTGACCTTCTGCTGGCCCTTGAAGTCCCCACCGATACAAACGACCACCTGTCCTTGTCCATCGGGCTTGGATGGACGAAGGTACTCGGCGGGGATCTCTTCAACCACCGAGGGGTCGTCAAGCTGTACGCAGACACAGTTCTCACCATTGACGTTCTCATAGCCAAATTTCCTTCCATCAAAAGCACCGCGTTTATAATGCAAAGGATTACGCGAGCTCCGCAAGGAGGACTGTCCGATCTCGACGATGATGTTTCGGAAGTCGAGAGCCCAGTCGTAATCCATTACTGTAAACCCTGTCAGCACGGGCTTTGTAGCAGACAAAATTGCGGGTACTTACCTGATTGTGCTTGTGATGGACCTGCGCCATAAGCAGGTGCACCATATGGCGTAGGAGCTCCAAACGGTGTTGGAGCGCCATGCATAGGTCCACCAGCAGCAGGCGTGGGAGCAGAGAGGCCGGCGCCTGGTGTAGGTGCAGCAAACGGCGTAGGAGCACCGTATGGTGTTGGTGCAGTGTAGGTATTGAATGGTACGGCAGGAGTAGGGGCCCCATTGGCAGCTGGCGTAGGCGCGCCGTAAGGGTTTGGAGGCGGCGGCATGGGTTGATATGGTCTCGAACTGCTCGAGGCACCGTAGCCAGAGTGAGCAGGAGTGCGACCGCCCCCAGGGCCCATGGCATAAGGATTAGGCGTCTTGCCGCCCATACCACCAGCACCACCCCAGGCAGGAGTCTTTCCCCCATTCGCTGCACCATACGCTGGTGTCTTGCCGCCGTTGGCGCCCCAAGCCGGTGTCTTGCCACCCGCAGCGTAAGCAGCCGCAGGCGTCTTGCCACCACTAGCCGCCGAAGCGTAGGGGTTGGGAGTCTTGCCATTGCCAACGCCCGCCTTCGAGGTATCAGATCTGATTCGCAATTGGTACGCAGAACTTACAGCATATGGATTGGGTGTTTGCCCGAAACGAGCACCAGGTGTCTTTCCGCCCATAAGTCCAGGGGTGGCACCGCCCTATTACAGCGTCAATCGGTTGTCGTTGTAAATTCTAGAGGACATGACTCACCATTGAAGGGTGCATCGCTGTCTGTCCGCCGTATGGTCCGACATCGTAAGGGTTGTTGCGAGGTGCACCGAACCCACCTGGAGCAGCAAAGCTGCCCCCAGATTCCAGAGGGAAGGTAGCACCGGTCTTTGCGCTTCATGGAAGATCAGCGTGGTTGCGGAACATGTAGAATGACAGCACTCACTCTTTTCGTTTCAATGATACTAGAGCGATGGACAATGTCTTGTTGCTTGTCTTGAGTTCCACTCTCGCAGTCTCACCTTGGACGTCCTTGATAACACCAATCAAACCCTTGTTGGTGCCCTTGGTCACTACCACCAGAGTATTGATCAATCTGTTCCTGTTGGCGTTGACAGCAGGTGCAGGCATCAGACTGGCGCCACCATAGGGAAGCTGTTGATTAAGAGCTGGGTTGATCTTGCCAAGGTCATTGACCGCCGACTTGGGGGTGACAGATATGAGAGAGCCTGCACGAGCAACAAAGACGCCGTGGTCGTCGGTATACTCTCGGTTATACAAGAAGACAAAGAGAGACCTGAATATGTTGATGACTTCACCCTGGCGCGACTAAGGAAGATTTGAGCTAGCCACCCCCAGTCCTAGATTGATAGACTTACCTCGCCCTCGGTCTCTTTCATGTTGTCTCCGACCTTCATCTCATTTCCTTGAGAGTCAGTGGCCGCAGCGAAGCGCTTGTTGTCTCGTCTCAAAGTCACTTGTTCGGGAGATACGCTTTGGGGTGCGCCGTTTTGATCGATAACCCTTAACAAACCACCTTCGACTTTAGTGACCACGGCGGCTGTCGTGGAATCCAGCATGACCATGTCATGCACATCGTAAAGACCTTGGGTGGCGGTGAGGTTGCTGGTATCGGCAGCTTTTCGTAAATCTTTAGAAAAGACCTTGATTTCTTGCTCGCCCTGATCGGACATCAAGGTGATGATATCGCCCTTGACCTCGACGACCATACCGGAAGCCTCCACATGCTTGCCTCCCAGCACCTTCACGTGCTCACCAACATCAAATCTCTTTCTCACACTCCTGGCGGGTACCTCGATGATCTGACCGTGTACTTCGCCGCCTTCTGCTTTGACAGCGATGACATCGGGCGTGACTGTTTCAACAATGCCGTACAGTCCCGTCTGTTCGCCTTCGTACACTTCTATCTTGTCTCCAGGGAACAGCAGTGAAGTGGTCAAGTTTTTGTTGGCGTCGGCAATGGCGGAGAGGTCAAACTTGGCGGTTGTCTCGTCGTCACCCGTAAATCGGGAGATCTCTTCCAAAGACGGGTTGACGTCCTCTGTGGCGACAGTAGGGATCTTGACGTCCTTGATACAGAAACCGTCGATGAATTCGTCATTCTCGAACTGGTAGCTTCCTTGGGGCCCTTGACGGACACTTTGTCGGCCATAGATCTTTCGCACGTCGTCGTAGGCAAAGAGGCGGGACGGGGGTCGCACGCCACCTGGTTTTCCAGCAGCGATTCGCTCCTTCCTTTTATCTTTGGGGGTCAAATCTATACGAGGGATGAATTTGATGCCAACGACACCACTCGTGATTTGGTCCACATCGACCACCTGCGCCAAATCGCCGGCGTGTTTGCCCCTCTTCATCCTGACCCACATGCCCGGTGTCAAGTTGACGTCCTTCTTCTTCATTTTGAGTAGGGGTGCCATTTCCTCGATGGGCACGAGAGAGACTCCTCTAGACATGAAGATACCGACAATACCGTTGACGGCAGCGCTGACAGCTGCCGACTGTCGGGCCTCAATGAAGATCATTCCGGGAATGGAGTCTCGGCAAAAGACAGAGATGACGTCGATGGGATTGGCAGAATATTGTTGGGCAAAGACTTTCCTGAAGATGGAGGCACAGATAGCGTGTTCACGGCCAGCCTACAGCTAATGAGGACGTGTCTTTGCTAATAGACAGTGACTCACCTTGACAATGACTTTCCACAAATTGGGATCATTGACACCAGGCATGAGCAATCGCTGAGGGACCGCATCACTGTCTCCATTGTACCTCGCCATTCCCGATCCAGCATGCCTCTCCTTCAATCTCTGAACAATGTCGTGCACATCCTCATCTTCGTTCCGCCCGAACACTCGATCAAGGCGTCGGTGTTGCTGATCATCCCTGGCCACAGCATCGTCGGGGGCCTCGTCAATGAATTCCGCCACTGGAACCCTGTCAGACAAGGTATGATCACAAATGAGCGGCAGACATACCATCTCCGAAATCATTATCCTCATCCTCCTCTTCGTCCTCATCATCAACCTCGGCTTCAACATCCAAGAACCTGAATTTGCTGTTCTTCTTGGGTCTCTTCCGCGGACGGCCTGTCATGGATAAGCTTGGTCCTTGTTCCCGGACTATAGACACACCTCTGCCCTCGTCCTCTTCATCCTCTTCGTCTTCCTCGTCGTCTTCGTCATCGTCGCCGCTTCTCTTTCTGCTCGGCTCCTCCTCTTCTTCTTCTTTTCGTTCCTTTCCTCCATCATTTTCCTCGGGGGCATTATCATAGTCCTGTGGATGTATCAGTACATATACGGCGCCATATTCCGGCAGCTTACCTCCTCGTCGGTCTCTATCAAATCAATGTCGGACTGATCAGCTTCAATGACTCGCAGCAGCCTCTCAATTGCGTCTTACCATCTGGGTCCACGATCCTAGCCTATTTGGGATGTCAGTTCCGTACTTTGCACTTCCGGGAGCCCGACTCACCCTCTTCTTGCCGGCCGCTCTCTCCTCCACTGGTGAGCCCACGGGCGAACTTTTGATCTCGGTGTCGGACATTGTGTGCAGTCCGTCCGCTTGTTGCGCTTGAGAAGGTTGAGATGCAGATGAGAGATGAATTGTGGGTGCATATCTCAGTTGAGAGTGCGTTGGTGCAGGAGGCGGCCAGCTCCGGAGAAAAGCAAGAAAATGTCGCCGCCCGATATTCCCATCGGCGACGCGAGTGACTTTGCTGCAACTTTGCTGGGGCGTCTTCTCGTCAGCGTCAAGTCGTGCAGCGTCGACAATATACACGATGGCGGCCAGGAGACAGAACGAAAACGTCCTCGGCACAAGGAGGCCCGCGGTGGGCGCCCATGCTCTCAAGAAAGTGAGCGGGCCCGATGAAAACAGCATTGCCAGGGCAAAAGCGCCTCGGGCCTCATCCAAGACTCTGGCCTTGGGCAACAAACCCCCTGCAAGTGAGCCCAAGGCAGAGTCAGGAAAAGCACAGAACGCAAAGCTGGAAAAGGCATCTAGTGAGATGCTCTTCTCCCTGCGAGGGGCATTGTTGACGACGTCCTAGCAGCTAAGCCCACAGCCACCCGCCGTTCAGCCCTCTCTGCCGTCTTTGGGACTCCTCTCCGCCCAGTCCTGGCATCCAAGCAAGCAAGTGCCGGACAATCCACCAGTATTACCACGAAGCATCCGCAGAAATCAGCCGCGAAACCAACACCCAGGCTCAAGTCTTCAATCCCGGTCGCCACCCCATCTACCAAGGCCCGTGTGCCCGCTAGTGCAGCGAAGACCAAGAAGACGCTGAGTATCTATACCCCATCCAAAGAGGCCAGTAAGACGCAGAAGAAGGGAACACACAGTACTCTCGAGTACATGCCATCTCCTGTCCGAGGTATGTAGTCGTTGCCTGTTACATGTCTTCCTTGTTCACAGCTGATTATGACATCGCTTGCAGAAAGAGATTACCAACCACTTGCCATGGAAATCTCCAGATAAGACGATGATATCTTCACAATGCCCAGTGAGCCCGACCTTGACTTGGGCCTTGACATGGGTCCGGATGAGCCGTCCCTCATGAGGCCAGAGCTCGGTGTGTTCCACTCATTCCCACTCGTCTCAATGGCTTACAGTCGCGCTTTAGGACCTGATCTTGACCTGGATCTCGACTTGGATCTCTCCCTCAAGCTTGATGACGAACCTCTTGTGATCTGAAAGGTACGTATGGTCTGCATCCACCTGTTTGGCGAACGTCCGCCTGAATCTGTAGGATCACAGTCGAATTATACGAACTTTGTACTTGTTTTACGACCACTCTTTCATGACTACTTGATGTGTCATTACGCCCTTGTATTTCTGACGTTCATATCATGTATAACAACTGTTCTGTATCATGATGGCTCAAGTGCATCAGGCACCTGTAGACTATCCCACTGGCTTTACACCACGCCGACATCGAGGGTAATAGCTCTGAGTCGGTGTGAGATGGATGTTGATTACCATCAGATAGGCTCACTCAGACTTGCTAGCATCGGTGCACTTGCGAGCAGTCAGCCTTTGAGCCTGTCTTCGATACAGCTCCTTTGCCGTTGAGCACCATACATATCAAACGCTGCCCCTTCCGTTCTCGACTGCATATCTGCTCGGAGGAGAGAACAGCCCATATACCAGAATGTAAACCGGCAAGTCCCAGGCGGTGACACCGAGGTCCGTCGCAGCAGCACTTGCATCGTCATCAAACGGAAGAGCATTTCTCTTGAAATTCAGAGCCTTCACCCGAGGCCTGCATTGTTGGGATTGTGGAGGATGCATATGCCCCTAATCCCAAGCATGGGTGATCCTCTCTCGCTCTTGCAAGTCTCAGTGATATGAAAATATCTTGATAATACCTTGTATGACAGGGTGCTCGGGCCAGTCTAGCGCGCCCGATAGCATTGCGTCAACCCTACCAATATATTTGGTCCACTTTCTCAGTCCGTCCATGAGCAACATCCCAGTCTCAGTGGCTACATACACACGATCCAGTTTGGGGAATGAATGGATACATATGCGGGGTGATTATGGGGCCAGGTAGACCCTGCGAATATACTGTACAAGGAACTTCTCTATAATGTCGATATGCAATGCCCTCCGTGGCCTCTATGGGGAGCCAAGAATCGTGGAGAAATCTAAAGCTCTAAACCATGTCCCCTCGCCATCCCCATCCCCTTCTGCACCTCCCCGGCACCCCTCAACATCTGGGTCCCAACCAAATCCTTGACACGACCGATAAACCAATCCAACTCGACATTCTCATCGCCATAGACGTAGTAGGCGTAGCGCCTTTGGAGGTAGGTGACGTGTGCGGGAAGATACGAGTAGAGCGAGAACCAGAAGAGGAGTGAGATGAGCGCGAGGGTGGTCCCTGGAGATAAGAAGGCGGTCAGCCATGGGCGGCGAAAGAAGAAATGACTGAAAAGACATACAAATGACCGCTTTTTCCCAGGGCTGCATCATACTCAAGGCGAAGGTGACCTCAAACCTGGTTCTAGTGAAGTGTAGGGGTCAGCGATCATCCAACATGGAGGAAGGGGCAAGACTCACGACCAGTCCCACAGCTTGCGCCTGAGACCTGGAGGGGGCCTGGCGGTGTAGAGGGGCCTGTTGTTGTAGGTGGAGCTCATGTTGGGTGACGAGCAGGAGGTCGGCGACAAGAGGCGGGGTGTCAGGGAGAAGGAGCGAAAGAGAAATAAAGAAAAAGATGTGCAGATGGAGATAACAAATAGACCACGCACGGGACTCGCAGGTCTTTCAAACGCGTCCAGACCCACGGAACCAAATGTTGTTTGTCTTCTATCATTTATCACCACACCGTGTTCAACCACTTCTCGGGTACAGCAGGGGCACATGGGTATCTTGGAAGTACCTAGGGAAGATGAATGTCGTAGATACATACAGCGCATGCAGGAGGTCGTGAGAGACAATGGAGGTATGGAATACCTGGCGGGGAGCGTCCCTTCCACCAGATCAAGAGTCAAGATCGGCCAGCGACCCTTACGCTCTCTTCTTCTTCTCCTCCCTATCACTGGCATAGCCCCTCTCCTCCTCTTCATCCTCCTCCTCCCCTTGCGCCCGACTACTTCCTCGTCTCAGTCCTTCAGCACCTCCAGGCGCCCAGATCTTTTCGTCCAATCTCTCGCCCTTGCTCTCTCGCTTGGCTCGACACCACATGCCCACACTGGGATCAGTGATAAACTTCCAAGTCACGTAAGGCCACGACTTGTGGACCGGCAAGGGGTCGTAAAACTCGTGAGCAATGGCGCGAAGCTCGGGAAGACGAGTCCAGGGGACAGAAGGAAAGTCGTGGTGCTCGTTGTGGTAGCCGACCTGCATGCAGTGTCAGCATCGTGCATGGACGTATGCGTGGACGAATGACTCACGTTATAGCAAAGAATGTTCAGCCACCCATAGTAGCTAGTCGTCTCTTGAGCCAATCCCTTGATGAGATCGTCACCCTCCACTTTCTCTCCCACGGGCAAGGGTCCCTCCATGAGGTAGTGTTCAGCAATGAAATGCGCAGCACAAGGGTGAAGAGACCCAGCGAAGAAAGAGCTGAGTACAAGGTAGACCCAAGGACGGATCCCAAATATATGGTACCAAGCAAGATGAAAGGCGACGACGCTGAGGATGTTGTACGCGTGCCAACGGGTGAACTGCTGGGAGCGGATGAAGCCAGGGCGGATGGCGTAGAACAAGAGCTGGAAAGTGGCAAAGAACGTCTTGCCGGCGACATTGTTCAGCACTATAGCCTCAAAGCGACTAGGCAGGTCGGTGTCGATTCCATCCTCACCCAAGAACTTGTGGTGCTCGATGTGGTAACCCTTGAACGCCATGGCGTAGGGAACACCAATCGTCAGGTTGGCGATGATCGCAAGGCATTTGTTGGCCTTGATAGACTTTAACGCAAGGTTGTGGGTGATTTCGTGAATGGCGAGGAAGATGTTTTGGTTGGCAGCACCACCCACAACGTAGGCTGTGAGGAGGACAGGGAGAGAGATGGTAGGGAATCTACTGAGGTAGACAGAGAGGGCAAGTTGGGTGCCGAGAACAAGGAAAACGAGAGGGACAGTGACCCAAGTAGGCCCCATGAGTTTACGGACCTATACAAACATTGTCAGTGTCGCTCCAACTCGTGACACGAAAGACGGACCTCGGGGTGGGCTTTGAGAATCGCGATCCGTCTTGAACGGTGCGGTTCCTCCGTCGTCATCCACAAAAAGTCCGGAGCATAGTCCCCAGATTCATCATGCTGACCTTGTGTGGGACCGTCGAAGTCGGAAGGATCGGCAGAGCTCAGCGCAGGAGACGAAGTGGAAGACGCGAACCCTGGAGTAGCAGTGCCATCCGAGATCTTTTCCGACCTGGATACAGGTGCCGAGTGGGACTTGGGGCCAGTTGGAAGGAGTACCGGCTCCATGGTGGTTACGTGCTGGCGGATGACTTAGACAGGGGAAGAGGGATGGCGAATGAGGACGCGGTGATGACGGCGGAGGGGTGGGTGAAGGAACGTGTAGATATCCCAGGCGGCGGCTGGGACAGAAAGAGGGTAGTGGATGATATTCTCCCTGTTGCAAGGAAAGAAGAAGACGAGGAAGAAGGGAGATGGAAAAAGTCGGATGACTGCGATATCAGTGGTTCGAGAAATCGCGAGAGATCTCCGAGTCTCTCCATCTCCAGCTCAGCCATGGGCCCCCCTCAGTTCCTCCTCGACCATCTCCCGGCCCCAGACGCACCCCTCGCCCGCCCCCATGTCACCGTCACTTGGGCCCAGTCGCTAGACAGCAAGATCGCAGGTCCAGGCGGCCAGCGCGTCCTGCTCAGTGGTCCAGAGAGCATGCTCATGACCCACTGGTCAGTCCCGGGGCGCTCGTCGGGCATTGGCTGACACAAGAGATGCAGGCTCAGAGCGATGCATGACTCTATACTGATCGGCGTGCAGACTCTCATCCTCGACAATCCTCGTCTGCAAAGTGCGCATCGGTAGTTGGTGATGTGCCACAAGCTCACATGTCCTGCAGCAAACCTCTTGCCGCCATCTCATGCTTCCCCGCCGCCCCAGCCCCTCATCCTTGACCCTTCTCTACGGTTCCCACTCGATTCGCGTATACTCCACGAATGGAACTCCAAGCCGGCTCTCCGAGGACGGATTCTGAAGCAACCGTGGATTCTGTGTGGAGATAATGCTGCTCGGGATAAGATAGAGATGGTCGAGAATGCAGGGGCAAAAGTCGTCACCGTCAGCCTTGACTCCAGAGGTAACCCACCCTGATTCCTGATATATACGCAGACTGACTATTAAACAAAGGTCACATTCCCCCAGGTTCATTACCCGGCATTCTCACCCAACTAGGCCTAAAAAGTGTCATGATCGAAGGCGGTTCGCGCGTCCTGTCCACCTTTCTTCACTCTCCCAGACGCGAAGACGGCTCGAAACTAGTCGATAGTGTGGTTGTCACGGTCGCACCAATGTTCATAGGGCAAGGTATAGGGGTAGTGCCCGAGGTCAGTAAATCAGCTCTGACATTGGCCACTTGTGCTGACTTTTGTAGGGGGAGGACAAGGGTCTTCCAGCTCTTCAAACCATACACACGGAAACCATGGGAAAGGATGCTGTCATGATTTGTACTGTCGACACAAGCGCGCCAACATCTTGATGCCTCCAAGTCCTATCTACCCATACCATTTCTATAATTACAAGTATGAAACCACCGACCATTTCCACGTTCCAAGGACATGTGTTTGCATAATGACAGGCATGAAGATAAAGAAATGAGAGATGCGATAATTAGGTATGCCTTTCAGACACAATAATAATGAAGATAAGAGGTGCTACAGCCTTCCTGGTGGAGAAGGCGCGCGAGGCATAAAGCCACCCGTGGCCGTATTCGGACTGGAATCAAGAATGGGAGGGGACCCAGGCATCATTCCAAACGGCGAAGACTTGCCACCGGACAACGCTCGAGAAAAGTTGAGCTGGGAAATGTCCAAAGATTGGTGTCTATTGGCATTTATGCGGGATTGGCTGTGAGGATGGTGTCGATGAGGAGGTAGAGCACCGCTGTGCGAGCCTGCGGGTACATGACCAGTGGATGCCTGTCGAATCCTGTCGTTGATGACGGGGTCGGATTCTCGCTTCTGGTGGTCACTCTCGGTACGAGTAGGAGCCGGACGTTGCGAGACAGGCTGAAACAAGTCAGTCTATGGCTCAAGCCGATGCAATGCACTCACATTGACGATAGGCCAGAGCTCTTCTATCCTGCGATCCTGATGGAAGCTCAATGGAGGAACCGGCAGTCCCTTGGATCCAGCGCCATTCGCACCGTTCGTATCAGAATCAAGTGTCATTTTGCCAAACAGAGATTCGGTCTGCTCTAGCTGGACGGCCTGCCGAGCAACGTGAGTGGTACTGACGTCGAAAGGCACAAGCTCCTGCAGTCGCATCAGCTTGCTCCATCCTATGATGGCGACGGACTCACGAGCAGCAAAGTTGCAGCAAGAGGAACCTCAGTAGCAGGGCCAAAGATTGAGACCACATCACTCCCAGTCTCACTGTAAGGGAATCTGACAACTGTATTCGTCTTCTGTTCAATGTCGTGGATGAATATACTCTTCTCTCCCAGCAGAGTCCTGTGATAGGGTCTGGGGATGGAAACATAATCCGTGTAAAAATTCCTTTCCTGCACGAGACATTAACACTTTCACTCTTGTCCACAGACTCTGACTTACTTTCAGACCCACTACCTCCATAATGGCCTGCTTCAACTCCCACAGGTTTGCCCCATTCTTCGACGGGGTCTTGGCGTACACATTGTCTTCGTTATCAAAGTAGCCTCCGAGCGATGCGAATTCTTCGGCGTTGGAAAACTTGACGAAAGAATTGTAGATCTTCATGATCTTCTGGATGTTCTTTCCTCCCACACCAATGATTCGCTTGTGGTAGCTTTCTGGGACGTAGAATGATATTTCAGCTGGCAATTCCTCTTGGATCAGAGAGAGGCCTTGAAGAGCATCTTGATTCTTCCCCGCTATATCGATCAGGAAGTTGTAGTCGTTGAGAGTCTCGAAGCGGATTTTGGCGTTGGTCATCTTCATGATCTTGTTGATTTTGCCATTCTTCTTGCCACTGAAGAATTCCCGCTGCTCGTTCGCTAGCTCCACTCGGAACCGGACCTCGGGTACAAAGTTCTGAAACTGTTTCAGCGCATGCCCTCTTTTGACTTGAGACGATACTCACGTGGAGGACGTCGACATCCATGAGCAGCAACATGGCAGAAGTAACCTGTCGCTCCAAGCCATTGACCTCAAACATGTTGGGCTTGTATACAACCTCTGCCCCAGTGACATGAGAAATATGTTTCACGACAGGTTGTATCTGAGCAGGGTTAAGAACCACGCGAGGCCCAACTTCAACGGGTGGCGGTAAAAGCCAAAGAGATGCCACATAGAATTGGCAAGCCTATTGAAAATGTCAGCGATTTTGGCCATGATGACAGGGAACAACCCACCAGAGCCATGATACTTCGAATCGTCCTCTCAATGTTGGCTCGATGATCACCAAAGACCGAAATCATGCTCGTCTGACCACCAACGCAAGGTACTTGAACATAAGTGCCATTGTCGTTCATGATGGTCCTGACTTCATCAATTTTCTTGCCAGTCAACAACCAGTCCAGCTTTCTAGGAAGGATTGCTGCGTCTCTGGAGATGATCAACTTGCACTGCAACGTAGTCAGTATTGTAATTTAGAAAGTACGGACGAGTCTCGTACCTTTTGCATTGCAATGTTCAAGAGCATGTCTCTAGCCCTCTGGACCCCAAAGAACTCTCCGGATATCCAGATTTGGTTCGCCTTCCCCAATTTTCCTTGCTCTCCTCCATGAATGCTCAAGCCAGGATGAGCCATCCCAAACTGGTTCATATGATTCATAGGGTTCATACCCATAGGCATTCCCCCGACTCCCATAGGAACATTGTGTCCCATGTTGTGCATGCCAGGATGGAAGTTGTGCGACTGAAGCCAAGGTGGGTGAGACTGATGGGAAGGCGGAGCAAGATGATTGGAGTGGTTCATAGTGTTGAAACCCATACCAGTCGCCCCGGAAAGAGGCGAATGGTGAGATTGGGGAGGCATTGGCGATGCAATACGGCTTTGCGGAACGCTTTGGAACCCACCGTGCAACGCTGACATTCCGGTGTGATCGACCGACATGGGGGGCGGCGCGTGCATGGGATAGTGCGCACCTGGGCCATTGTAAGGCACCCCGCGAGTGGTAGATGGATCGACGTTGAGGGGTTGAGGCTGGTACGGATAATGCACGTGCTGATGAGGATTGTAAACAGGGGGGCCCTGACGGGAATGATTTTGAGGGTTGAAACCGCCATTGATGCCAGGCATCACCATAGGCATGCCACCCATCCCGCTCACATGGCTCATCCCCGTCATCTGCATACCCAAGGGACCGGTGGGCTGCCCGCGCATTCCGACGCCAGTCATTTGATAATCCAAGTTTTGATGGCGTGGGGGGTCGTTCATGACACCCACAAGAGAAGTCGGCAAATAAATATTGGTGCCGGTTTCCTCTTGGATCTGTTGTATATATGCACGTTTGCGGCCCGCGATGATGTTGTGCAGTTTGTAATCTATATCGCAAATCTCGGCGTGGAGACCAGACTAGGAAAGGGTGAGCTTGATCGGTCAATTTATTCAGAAAACTCACAAGCTCATCGATCATGACTAGAAGTCGGACTTTGGCAATGTGGACAGATTCCATCGGGCCAGTCACGATGAACTTGTAGCCGATCTCTTCCAGAGCGGCGGATCCATTGTCCATACGGCCGCTCGACTTGTCATAACCAGCCTTGCCGTTCTCACTCTCCAGCGTCTTTACACCGTCTTCACTAGCGGTAGCCAGTACTTTTTGTCCTTCATTCGAGGAGTTATCATAGCTGACGACAGATATGAATGCTTTGCTGTCGATCGCAATGACTCCTAATCGTCGGACAACTTCTTGCTTCAACACATGTTGACTTGCTTCAAGGATGTCGGAGCGAGGAACTTTGACAGTGATGCGGTTGTCTTGAGGCACATCGCGTAAGATGGAGCCTCGAGCAGACAAGACTGCATTTGAAACACCCGACAAGTGGAAGTTCCAAATCGTAGCAGGAGGGTCGGACACGGTAGAAGATTCGGCCATGGAATCGGTGCTCTCTCGAGTGACAGTGACAAGACATCCCTCGCGAGCAGTAATGTCGGACGCCAGCTTCTGAACAGCCTCCCATTCCCTTTCCACCTTCTGAGGGGACTTGGGCGGTGTGCAGTCTGCACTCGCGGGTGGGGCTTCTGGCACATTGGGAAGCGGGACGGCAGGGAAAGCCGCGGGAGCGGTACGCGGGGTGGATGTCGCGAGTGTGCCAGAGCTGGTTCCGCCTGTTTGTGGAGGCACCGATAGAGGGTCTTTGGGAATATAGGCAGGCGTCGGCGAATGGGGTGCGGGATAGGAAAAAGCTGTGGTGTAGACGTCCATTATGGGATATTTCTGGTGTTATAGGTTTCAGGGATATACAGGGGATCAAGCTTGAGCTCGATGTTCAGCACTTTGAGCTTATGGTCACTGACAAGTTCCGCAATGCGGAAGAGCCAGATACAGTACGTACCCTGACGGAATCTCACTCTTTACAGATCCTCTCCTTTATCGATGGTATATATGCAGCTCAGAGCTTGCGGATGCAGTTATCAAGATCTGAATATGAAGGTATCAGTCTTTGTTCACCCGGGAGACATCGACAGAAGAAACGGGAAGCCAGGCGTGGTTGATGCAAGCTATTTATGCAGAGATGGAAAGCCGATGGGGAGTCGTCAAACCTGAAGTCGCTATCTGCGGAAAGCAGCTCTTTCCTTGAAAAGTATGGCAGCGGAATGCGATGGGGTCGCAAGAGCTGCCTTGGGTAGGTTCCGATGTCGAGTCCAAAAGATCGACGTCCGATGTCTTTCCTCTTTAGGTTGCGGGAAGGAGGTGATGGGGCGGGTTCGTACTGGGTTGTAACTCACGGAGGTATATGTGTTGGGGCAGGGGTGTGGTATCGTGTCGCTACAGGGGGGCCATGGGATACAGTACGTGCAGAGACGGGAGGTGCAGCGTCAACGACAACCAAAGACGGCAGACCATGACGCGAAGGAAGCGCGTGCCTAAGAAGCTTTCAGGGCCCGCCGCGGAGACGGCTTATGTAAGGGCCCTCTAGCTCTCAAATCGTCACATTGGATGCATACTACTCGAGGGCTAAGGTTCAATGTACGTATCGAGAGCGCGTAGCAGTAGATAGGCTTTGGCGAGAAGCGGGCACCCAGAAACAAAGGGCTATCGCAGGCAACGATGATCCGCAGTCGGTCAACATAGATGAACGCGTCCTCAGACTCTGTTGAATTGTATGCGATACGGCTCGCCGGCGGAAGGAATCCTAACCTATCCAAGGCTTATCCATCATGCAGCCCATGTCTGCCATACAAGGCGGAACGAGATAGATCCTGCTGATGTCAGACCCCGAGAGCGGTTGATTAACACGACGCGTAGACGGGATCAAATGTACACGCGCCTGCTCTCGGCACAACAACAAAACCTCAAAGTAGCCTCAAAATCCTGTCAACCTCTCCTGAAATCATCCAACCCTACCTGCAGACCTCCTCATTTTCCCCCGTATCCCTGCTATACTCTCCAAAATGGTGGCCGACGATCCTCCCACCCCCCGCGTCACCCGGGCCACCGCCAAACGCACAGTCGAATCACCCACCCCGCGTTCTCCTAGACGCAGCCGCGAGGCAACGCCCGTGGCCGGAATCGATGACCCCACTCTCGTGAATGCCGAAGACTCGGGGCAGACTGAGCTTTCTACGAGCCAGACCGAAGCGAAGGCAAGGCCGAGTACACGCCAGGTCGATGCCGAAGCCACAACGAGTGAAGCTGAGAGCGTGCTCTTCTCTGAGAAGATCACCGTGATGCCGAACGATGGCATAGTCGTTGTCGATGCTACCGCGCGTGAAAGCCATGAAGGCATGGATGAGTACTTCATGCTCGAAGACAATACGACGACGCGCAACTCTGCCGTTACTACGCAAGGCGATCAAGAATTCGTCCCCGAAACCACCTCCTCCATGGCTCCCTTGGCTGTCGATGATCGTATCGCCATGCCTCCGCCATCGCACACGCGGCCTCGACGCTCGACTTCTATCAATGATCCCTTCACTGCCTCCACATCCGACTCGGGGAGACCTGATCGCATGACTATGGTGCTCGAGAAGCAAAAGAAGCGGTCCTTTGCCGAGATCGACTTGGACGAGACCTCGCCAGTAGCAGAAGACGACGAGATCATGTCGGATACAAGCTACCATTCGGGAGATAGTGCCGATTTCGAGATGGAGCATCGTCCGGTACTGCAAAGAACAGCCATCAAGAAGGACATCAAGAACTTTACTGCGAGCTTGGAGTTGTTGACGCGGGGATATACAGAAGCAGGCATGGATATCCCCTACAAAGTCGTTGACAGACTGGGTGAAGGTGAGTCCAAAGTAGTTGATTTGAATGCCTGCTGACGTATATCAGGTACCTTTTCATCCGTCTATCTTGCCCACGATTGCTTGCATCGCGTCTTTGACAATGAGTATTGGCTGGGCTTGCCGAATTTGAGAACAGAGGCAGACAATCAACGGCAAATCAGAGTCGCACTTAAAAAGATCCTGGTGACGAGTAGTGCGATCAGAATTGAAAATGAGCTGGCCATCTTGGAGAACCTTCGGTGAGTGTGCAATTGTCAGATGATCACGACTGACCACCTATAGGGGCTGTCGTAACGTTTCGCAACTGATAACGGCCTTCCGAGAGGAGGATCAGGTCATCATTGTTCTCCCCTATCACCAAAGTGACGATTTCAGGGTGAGTTCTTTCATACTCACATTGTCCTTTGCTGACCCCGATTCAGCACTTTTTCAAACACATGGATCCACCCCACATCAGATCATACATGAGAGATCTTTTGCGTTCGCTCAAGGATATACACAAGCGCGGTATCATCCATCGTGATGTCAAGCCTGCCAACTTTCTCTTTGACTATGAGCACGAACATGGTGTTTTGGTAGACTTTGGGCTCGCCGAGGTGAGTCATATGGCAGCAAAAGAGAAGCGCTTGTTGACATGTCGCAGCGCTATGTCCCACCCGCCGAACCCACCTGTCAACACGCACCTGCAACCCTCACCTGTCTTCATGGATCCAAGATCAAGACAGCCGAGACACCTGCAGTCGAGCAAGCTCTGTACGATGCGCGCAAGAGATCCAGGCTGGGAGAAGGTCGTGTCGGGTTTCCACAAGAGGACAAGAGGCCGGCTATCAGGACCAACAGGGCGGGGACCAGAGGGTTCAGAGCACCAGAGGTATTGTTAAAGTGTCCAGACCAGACAGTCGGTAAGTCCTTCGTTCACTAGTGGCATAGATTCCAACTGAATCCCAACAGCGCTGGACCTCTGGTCGGCTGGTGTGATACTGTTCTCAATTCTCACTCAGAAATTCCCAGCATTCAACTCGTCGGACGACATTGAAGCCTTGATGGAGATTGCGGCCATCTTTGGCAAGACGGCGCTCGAGCGTTGCGCTCTTTTACACAGTGAGTATCGGTGCTCGTGGGCATACTTGCCAGCTGACACGTTACAGATCGAACTATAATTTCCAACGTCCCTACTCTTGACCACCCTCCAGCATCCATCACCGAGCTCATACTGAAACTCAATCCGCATCTCTACACTCCCCACAGCCCCAACCCCACGTTTGCTGAGGCCAGCGAGCACATTGAGGCGATCGACGATGCGCTTGACTTGGTCACCAAGCTGTTGCGATTAGACGCTACCAAGCGGCTGACGGCTGCTCAAGCACTGAACCATACGTTCATCGCTGGTGCTATGGGGGAATATGGTATAGAGAAAGAAGGTGAGGTATTGCACCCGTCTGAGGGCAAGTGCGGGGAGTTGCACATCTTGGAAGAGGGAGGGAGACACCAGGCGTACTTTCATCCCGTGTTTCAAGATTTGCAGTTTGGTCAAGGAGTCCCTCCCAGCCGAGATTCTTGTAAGCCTCCTTTCTTTTTGTGCGCGCATGATCAGACGCTCAAGTGACTCTAGTATGCCCCGAGCACGAGCATTACCAAGATCGCTGGAGCTTCAATCCTCTCGTCGCCAGAGGCGATATGCAAAAGAGCCTGGAAGGTGACCGTGAAGGTGCCTCCTCTGGTGACGAGGATGTCATCGTTGAGCGTCCCTCACTTCCCCGCTCTGCGTCAAAGCGAGAAGGCGACAGGACCTTGAAAGAGCGTGACGTAAATTCACGACAGGGGAGAAGTGTACGAGGAAAGGGCATTGGGGAGGAGTGGGTAGAGATATGAGGACGGCGTCATCGGCATGGGTCTGAGCATTGGCATAGTCATTTCTGAAAGCATAATTCACGAGTTCCCAGTTGTGATAATAGCATGTATCGTTGCGTGTATCTTGTACTGGCGCGTCATGCATCAAAAGCTGCGCAACCTCCACCGGCGCATTAGCGATTACGGATCTGTCGGCGATTAGAGATGCGGCCATGTCCGCCGTGGACGGAAGCATAATTCGCCACGCGGACGCAGGCTGGCGGAAATTGCATTTTGGTGCAGGCCGCTGTTTGGGGCTTCTGCGAACATTTCCTTCACTCTACACATCAAGATCAAAAATGGTGAGTTGGCAGTCCATTACAGCACCAATCCCCCCACCACACGGCACACAATCAGCAGCGCACACGGAGAGCAAGCGGGACGGGAAAAGAGGAACGGACGTGGCTGGAATTGCTGGCCGGGGGGATTGAAGATGGAGATTGGATTGTTGAATGGGCGCTGACAGTCGCGCAGGGTCGAGGTCCTAAGAAGCACTTGAAGCGATTGGCAGCTCCTTCCTCATGGATGTTGGACAAGTTGGGCGGCACCTACGTGAGTAGACACGTCTTGCGACACTTTACACAAAACCTAATATAACGATAGGCCCCCCGACCTTCCCCCGGTCCTCACAAGCTTAGGGAGTCCCTCCCCCTCACCGTCTTCCTCCGTAACCGTCTGAAGTACGCCCTCACCGGCCGAGAAGTCACTGCCATCGTTAAGCAGCGACTCATCAAGGTCGACGGCAAGGTCAGGACCGACGAGACCTACCCCGCTGGTTTCATGGGTGAGTGGGAGAATCATTGGGTGCCGAGTGCAGTGTCTAATGTTGCTTTTAGACGTCATCTCCATTGAGCGATCCGGCGAGCACTTCCGTCTCCTCTACGATGTCAAGGGTCGATTCACCATCCACCGAATCTCCCCCGAGGAGTCCACCTTCAAGCTCCTCAAGGTGAAGAAGCACCAGCTCGGTGCCAAGGGTGTCCCTTACATCGTCACCCACGACGGCCGAACCATCCGATACCCCGACCCCGCCATCAAGGTTAACGACACTGTCAAGTTCGACTTTGTCCAGAACAAGATTGTTGACCACATCAAGTTCGAGCCCGGAAACGTTGTCATGGCTACCGGTGGTCGTAACATGGGTCGATCTGGTGTGATCGTCCACAGGGAGAGGCACTTGGGTGGTTTCGACATTGTCCACGTCAAGGATGTTTTGGACAGGACCTTCTCCACCAGGTGAGTAGCGTGCATCGGCATTGTATCGTCATTGCTCATACCTTGATAGGCTCTCCAACATCTTCGTCATTGGTGAGGGTGCCAAGGCTCAGGTCTCTTTGCCCAAGGGCAAGGGTGTCAAGCTCTCCATCGCCGAGGAGCGTGACCAGAGGAGGCGTCAGCGAGCTCAGGAGGCTTAAGGGGATGTTTGTAGATCGGCAATGCAGACTCTTTCACGGCTACCCGCACTCGGTCGAAGCGCAATGTGGTTCTCTGAGGTGGCCTGGCTGGGATTGTATCATGAGCTACATATGACCACTAATTCGGCTGGCTTGTGGTCAAGTTGCATAACTCGAAAATTTTGCTCGTCTACATATCTGCGCCTTTACTCTCATGAAAGACGCGACTTGATATCTTAATTATTGACTAGGCAATCCCATGTCTCGAAGCATTGAAGACGATTCCGTGTGGAAGGCGGCCACGACATGCTGAATATTCAACGGAGAAGATTGTATTTGTTGCCAATGACAGACTGGAGTCGGGGCGCCAGGACCGCTTTCCTTCCGTATTGCTAGTGTGGGCACAAGTAGTCCGGAAGATATGTCGACTGTGAGTCATGGCCCGTAAAGCGGGGATAGGACGTTCGATGCAATTTGATCCCGTTTCGGGGAGTGGCCCGGGCATGCTTGGTTCACTTCAGTCTATTCAGTGGTTGTAGTATGTTATCCCTGTCCCGCTCCTTCTCTGCCGCAAGTCGTATAATCAACAGACCCATAATGTCCCAGCCACAAGTCACCCCCCAATGGGTACTCGGCCCCGGAAACACACCTTTCTACACCAAGACTGTACGTCACAGGCTGACGCACGCCTCACCCGCTCACTGCTCTCACAGTGGTCTCCCCCTACAGACCCGAAGGCCTACATCTTGTTTGTGCACGGATTTGCTGAGCATATCGAGCGATATACTCCCTTCTTCACCTCTCTCACCGCCACCTACCCCGTGCACATTACCGCATTTGACCAACGCGGGCACGGCCGGACTTCCCAGGACCCGCTCACCTCTGAGTCTCCAGAAGTGAAGAAATGGAAGGAAGAGGGTAAGGAAGTGAAGCTCGAGAAGAATGCAAAGAGAAGGACGGGGGGCTGGGGGCAGTGCTTTACGGACATGGAGTGGTTCTTGAAGAATGTGATTGAATCGGCAAACGGAAAGCCGGTGTTCCTATGGGGCTTCAGTATGGTGAGTTGGATGCTTGTGAGTTTGGCGGTTCGCAGTGTGCTGACGTTGAACAGGGCGGTGGACAATCACTCGCCTTTCCCATCCGCCCTTCGGGCCCACCGTCCCAGGACACTGTTTCAAAGCTCTCTGGTGTCATCTCTGGTGGACCACTCATCAGGCTTTCCAATAAACCCCCGGCTATCCAAGTAAGTTTGCGGGAGAGGGCGATTCGTACAGTGAACTGACACGATTGGGTAGGTGAAGGCTGGCACATTTGCTGCCAACATTGGACTGGGCAACTTTCTCATTCCCACGCCCATGGACTATACGGTAAGTCGTCCAGCGATCATTGTCGGATTGCACTAAGCCGGGCTTTAGCACCTGTCGCATAGCCCCGAGATCAACGAGAAAGCCAAAAATGATCCCTTTTGCGAGCAATCGGGCTCCATACGTGGCGTAGCCGACTTTCTCCACGGCGGAGAATGGCTCGACAGCTCGGATGCGTGGGGTCGCTGGCCCGCCAAGCTCCCTTTACTTCTCTACCATGGTGGGGATGACAAGATCTGTGACGTACAGGCCAGCAAGAGGTTTGTAGAGAATGTCAAGGCCGAGAACAAGACTATCAAGGTGTTTGATGTGAGTTTGCCCAACGCAGCTACATGGTCAACCATCTGACAAAGCCAGGGAATGTACCACGAAGTACACAACGAGGCCGAGCCTGTCCCAACCGAGCTCATCCAGCTTGTTACCCGATGGGTCGATGGGATTATCGCTGCTCCTTCGAGTGCAGAATCTGTTGCGCAGGTTCAGCCTGGACTGTCCAAGCTGTGAAGGGGTGTCTTGTGTATCCAGACGTCGGGTATCCCGGTATACCTTGGAGGGCCGAAGGCCGAGGAACGAGCCACCATCCGGCGGCTGACGATGATTGAGTCAGCCGGGCGATATGTTTTGTGTATGCACTGTTATGCACGTACTGTACGAGTGCATACGATCCGCCAAGCGAAAATTATTAGTCCCGATTATATTGATTCCAAGATCCAAGACTGACAGGTGTCACCTCTTGACACATTCTTGTCACCAGACGTCGGGAGAGCAGGAACAAGTATTCTATTACGGCAGAGCGGGAAAGCTACAGGGCCTGCGACGCGTTCTACGCGTCTCGGCGCATGCATATCTCGTACAAAAGCACGCGTCTCGCGCCAGTGACATAAGGCCTATACGAGTAGACTCTCCAACAGGTCCTGCCCAACGCTGGCGGGCGGAAGGGCACAACCGAGGAAGGTGGAGAAGAAGATGCGAATGTGGCGGATAGGGTTTGTGTTGTCACCCTAGTGCACCTGAGCCGAAGCTTGTTGTCTTTGTCTTCACCACCGTCACCAGTCCTCTTTTTCTCCTCTGACTCGTCTAGGCGGGACGGGACAGCGCAGCCCACATATCCCCCACCGCACATATCCCGTGCCCCAGTCCCCTGCATCCGCCATCACCACCACCCACCATCACACCCTGCCGCGACAAACAATGTCGTCCTCCCTTGCCTCCGCGGCCCAAGCGCCCCCTCTCGAGACCCCTATCCACCACACATCTCCCAATCCCCAGCTCCCCACCCCTACTGACGAGCATCCCGACACGCTCCCACCCTCCTATGCGTCACTGCCCCGCGCACCTCACACCCCTTCGTCGCAGCACATGTTAAGCCCCCGCGCAGCCACTATTGATTCGCACGCCGAAAAGCAGGCATTGCGCGATGCACGGAGGAGAATGGACAGCGAAGTAGAGAGGAACAGAGGACACTTGTCCCCTACAAGACTGCCGCCCGAGAGCATAGACCCGAAAGAGTTGCACGACGGGCAGGACAACCGCCCTCCCAATGGTACCGGCAACTCGAATTCTCACTCGGGGTCCAACTCCACTGGCTCCATGGGCGGAGGCAGTAGTATACGGGGACCAGCGACTGCTGGAGGTTCATCACACCCCCGCACATCTACCAATTCGCGAAGAGAAAGTCAAGATCAGCAGTCGGTTGCGGGAGGCGCCAGCACTACTGGAAGACTCTCCACAGACAACCTGCAGGTCGGACACCGAGGGCAGCTTCCTTCTGGATTGGATGTGCAGGATGCGCTCGCCAAATGCGAAGATCCAACACTTGGATGGAGTTTACATTTTTGGGTTACGCTAGCTGATCCCCTAGTACGTCTCTCGAGTACTTTGTGGTCTGCAAAGCTGATGTCGCCGGCCATGTAGACGCAGCACGTCTTCTTTGCCAACCCTGCCTCGGGGCAGTGTAGCTGGGATCCTCCTGTCGGAGCGTTTGTGTAAGGTTTACGCATCTGTAAGAGACTGCCGCTGACATCTTGGCCGCAGCGTTCCAAGGTCTCCGGAAGGAGAGTGGTGGGAGCTCGCAGACGCTACAAGGAGCAACCGGTCATACTACTACAGTGCGTATACGCTTCTCATCCCTTCTTTCAGGGACCAAAGGCATGCGTTCAAGGGTGCTCAACTGACACTCCGTTCACCAAACTAGACACTTTAACAGGCAAAACACAATGGACGCGGCCAGGTGGAAGCGCGTTCGTGATCCCCTTGGGATTGATCCAGGCAAGTTGTGCTCTTACACCTACCATTGCCATAATGAGGCTTACTTCTCTCCAGCGAAACGCTCTGCCGGCGCGCCCCAACAACAACAGCAACGCCCGACTGGCCACCTCAGCATCCACCTCCCGTCTCCCAACAATCCCCAATCCGACCACTCCCTCCCGAGAACGTCACTATACGACGCAATCCGCTCAGACGACTCCCAGCAAGACGCCCAGTAAAGCAATCCCCATCCCGCTGTATTCACCTGCTCCGAGCCACAACGCCATGCCCACTACTCCCTCATCTTCAAGGATATTTGAGAATGGCTATGCCAGCGGAAACAGCCACAATGGCGTTCCCGACTCACCCATGTCGATGCCTTCTACCTCCCCACAGAAGCCCCAATTTCAACCTTTACGAGGCTCTACTACGCTTCGCTCTTTGCCTGTGCTTGAAGAGACCGAGTCTTACACTGGAAGCTTGACCACAGCAGGGGAAGGTGGTACGGGTAGCGGAAGCGATGCCGATAGAAGCGACAATGGTCTAGGGACAAGTGGATGGTGGGACAAGAGAAGGAGTAAGGCGTGGGGCAGAAAAAAGTCAACCGAGAACAGAGATAAAGGAAAGGGAAAGACGCTGAGTAGGGCACCCAGTACGGATAGGCTGCAGACGAGTACTACTTCAAACTCGAATAACCCTACCGCTGCGTCTCCAGCAAAGGTGAGCGCGGTGCTCAACTCGGTCAGTGCAAATCTGCCCAAGGACATGCCTCTTGAGCCTATATATGTCGAGACTCCTGGACAAGCGTCCATGAGGACCAAGCGAATGAGCACTGGGTAAGCTGAATCGTGATTGATTAAATTTTACTGACTCGGAGACAGCCTTCACCCTATACTGCCCCTTGAGATTACCTCACAAATACAATCCTTCCAGACAGAAGACTTTTCCAGAAAATACTTTGCCATTAAACGCACTGGATTCCTGAGAACGCGCATACCTGTTGACCGAATCATGGAATGGCAAAAACCCCCTATCACCTCCTCTCTACTCGTCCTGTCTGATAAGAATCTCAACAAGGAAGCTGTAAAGAGTTTCAAAGTCATTCAACATGTGATGGGCGAAAGGGATAGGGGAGTGGAAGGCGCTAGACCAACACAAGCAGGCAGTAGTGGGCTGGCTTTGAACTCCTCCCTCAGAGGTCAGGGCTCCGCGTCAGGCGAAGAGCCTGGCCAGGCTGGTGAACTTGGAGTGAGGCCTGGGTTCAATCAAAGTGTGCGAAACTTTGGTGGGTCAGACGCTGGCGGCCAGCAGGCAAGGAGCGAGAAGATATTGGTGCTTGAGGAGATTCGATGGTTGATCCAGTTGGCGGTGGCGCAGGTAGAGATGAGGGACGAAGTGTATAGCCAAGTCGTCAAGCAGTTGACCAGAAACCCCGATCAGTGAGTCTTGTAAATGTGACTTGGTCCCTTGCTGACAGAGGCTCTCAGTGATTCTGTGGTATTGGGTTTCCAGCTGTTATGTGTCTTTGTGAATGCGTTCGGGCCCACCAAGAACTTTGAGCCATTCGTCAAGAACTTTTTAGAAAAACACCTCAGTGACCAACGTGATGGAATTGGGATCATGGCAAAGTGTGAGTACATCAACGCTCATGCCAGGATGATCACTGATGCCGAAAAGATTGCATGACCAAGATCGAAGCGTTCTCCAACAAGGGCGGTCGCGCTAAATCTCTGACTGTCGGCGAGATTGAACATGCCTCTGACGCAGCCTTCTACCCCTCCATATACGGCGAATCACTTGCCCGGATCATGGACCTCCAAAAGAGATCTTACCCTCAGCTCAAGATTCCTGTGGTCCTCCCATTCTTGGCGGACGGGATTCTGGCGCTGGGTGGCATGGAGAGCGAAGGGGTATTTAGAGTTCCGGGAGACGGCGATTGTGTGGCAGAGTTGAAAAGTAGGATGGACAGAGGTCACTATCAACTGGTACGTGTCTATTCTCCTCGAAAAGAAGTGTGCTGACAGCGGCCGAGCAGAAAGGCATCGACGACCCTCACGTGGCAGCCTCCCTTTTCAAGCTATGGCTACGTGAACTGGAGGAACCCATCATTCCGACAACGCTTTACAATGACGCCCTTCTCGCTTCACGCTCGTACGCAGAAGTGTTTGACATTGTCCAGAGATTACCACTGTATAACAAGAGAGTCTTGGTGTTTGTTGTCAGCTTTGTGCAAATGTTTTTGAAGGCGGACGTTGTAAAGCAGACCAAGATGGGCCCGTTGAACCTGGGTGAGTGCTTGTTACAGTCGGCGTCCGACCGAGCTGACATTACTTCCCAGCGCTCGTCCTTGCTCCCAATATCCTGCGCACCACTTCTGATTCTCTGGTCACTGTCTTTACAAACTCTAGCTTCGAGGCCAAATTCATCCTGCAGTTATTGGAAAACATGAAACCGGGAGAGATTGATCCAGATTACGTGCCGATACATGGGTCAGGAGAGTAGGAGATTTGGGGAGGGTGAAGGGTTGCGGGATTCTCTTCATGGATGTTGCTTGTGTATACACTAGAGAGAGTTTTTCTCACGGCAAACAACTTTTACAATACCACTGTCATATATTGAGTTCGCAATGTACTACTTGAGTACGCTTCCTAGGCTATTAGACGCCTTCTGGTTGCGGTCAGCGAGGGCGGTCACTATGTGGAGAGACACTGTCTGGCCGCTCGCCGATCCTAGGTGTATGCATTACACTTTCTTAGACTACATGCTCTGACTCATCTGAGTGATACAGACTGATACCTTATACAATTTTATTTCAAGCCCATCCCACTCAATCGGGCGCGGCCAATGAGCCAAACATCTGCCAAACCTCTCGAACATTCCTTCTTCCATTCTTCGCTCTCAGGAGCCTTGACCATCTTCTCTACCTCTTCAGAGTCTATCGGTGGCTCATTGGGGTCACCGGTGGACGCCGGGAGACCAAGAACGGACTCGAATTCTGGAATGATCTCGGCGCGGGAGCGGCCGTTGACGAAAGTAATGTACCGGAGGCCTGGGTAGACTTTACAGTACAATTGATTCAGATGCGCAAGTCTGCATATGTGATCAGTCTTTGCGATATTATACTATGAAAGAAACACACCTATCGAGCACCTCTTTGGGCGTGGCTCCACCGCCTCCCTGCTCTTTCCCGCTGAGCTTACTGAGCCCCGTGACTTCACCAATCATGGGATGTCCACTGATAAAGTCTGCCTTCTCCTGCCAGCTCCACCGGCTGGAGGTGGCTTGGCATAGGTCTATGATGATGTTGTAGCTCTCGAGTCTAGTGGACGCCGCCAGCTGGCTGTGGACTGAGGGGACGAGAAGGGAGTGGAGGGACGGGGAGGGCTCGAAGAGGAGGGCGAGGAGGGTGGTGAGGGCAGAGGGGTCTTTGAGGGATTCGAGGGAAGGAACGGCGGACATGGTGGATGGGTGGACAATGAAAAGACGTTTGTACCGCCTATATAGTCGTCAGTAGTCCGTTGTTGTCGCTGCAAGGAAAAGATAAGATAGCAGCCGCGGACATCGGACATCGGATCTCGGTGTCCGGATCTCGTTTATGAAGTCTGTCCGGATGTGCATTTCGGTTCCGGTATGCTCTCGGCTTCTGCGTCATTCTCGTCGACATAGATATAATTTGTGACTTGGAAGTGCATCTATCCAATCCCAGTCACACCATGCCGCGCAAAGTGCCCATCTCAAACAAACGCCGCAAGGAGCAGCTCCTCGTCAAGCGCGCTCTCAAAAGAGGCGACATGACTGCAGAGGAGCACGACCAGCTTCGCTCGCAGCAAAAGCTCAAGACAGAGAAGAAACGCCCAGGCCAGGTCGCCGCTCGCTCCGATGCACCTGTAGATGCCAGCTCGAGAAAGCTACAGTCCAAGTTCATTGCTTTGTCCTCGGACTATGTGGTGAGGACTCGAGAGCTGGCCTATGCGCTCCCTCTGCAACGACCATTGCCAGCGTCAAGTGCCGAGTTTCCTCTTGGCGTGCTCGAGGACAGAGACCCTGAAAGACGTCTCACTTGTCCAGCAAGACCTAAATTTAGGTATGGCCAAACGAAGAAGGAAGTGGAGAAGAACGAGGAAGGTGTGTTCAAAAAGTGGCTGAAGGGGGTGGAGGAAGTTGTGCAAGAGTATGTCGATGGAGAAGAGGAACAAGTCGAAACAGAAGACGAGACTTTCAGTCTTCCTCGAGGGCCAACTTGGTTTGAGACCAACCTAGATGTGTGGAGACAACTGCAAGTCCATTCCTTTCATATAGGAGTCGTGCTGACTAGACGACAGCTGGCGAGTCACTGAATCGTCACAAGTACTGCTGCTTCTCATGGACACTAGGTGTCCCCCTCTACACTGTCCGCCTTCTCTACGCACCCACCTCCAGTCTCTCAGTCCCAACAAGGAGATCATCTTGGTGTTGACCAAATCTGATCTGGTCGATGCTAAAGCTTTGCAAGGGTGGAAGCAGTGGGTCAAGGGGTGGTGGGGACAGGAAGGCGTTCAGGTCGTCAGTGTGAGATCGTACGATATTGAGCTCTTGCGAGAGGGTGAGTCTACCACTGAATCAAGTTGGCTTGAGCTAAAATGTTTGTAGGCAAAGGGCGTCACAAGCCTGACATTCCTCAACAGTCCCTCGACGAGCTCATCTCGGCTCTTAGAGCCGCCCACGAGCGCCTTCTCCAGCCCCCAGCACGAATCCGAGACGACCCCGAGAAGCTGAAATCGTGGAAAGCTCCCACCCGCCCTACTGTCGACTGGGCTGCATTGATTGAAGAAAGCGAGGTCGTACTCTCTCTGAAAAAGGAAAAGAAGCAAGTCGCTGCCGAAGCTGCGCAAGAGGCGGATGGGCCAGAGGCAGAAACGAGCGGAGAAGGGTACAGGAGGGACCCCGCTACAGAACCTTTTACGCTGGGCTTGATAGGCCAGCCCAACGTTGGCAAGTCGTCTCTATTGAACGCGTTGTTGGGTGAGCAAAAAGTCAGGGCAAGTAGGCAACCCGGAAAGGTGAGATGATCGTTCTGTGAATGACGTCCACTGACTTGTTGGACAGACCAAGCACTTCCAGACTATGTTCTGGGGCTCAAAGAAGGAAGTCAAGATTGTCGATTGCCCAGGTCTGGTTTGTCCTTCTTTGGCTGGGTTGGAGGTGCAAGCCTTAGCTGGTAGTACGTCCTTTCCCTCACAATTCACGATTTGATACTCATCTTTGACAAGTCATTCCCATCTCCCAGATCCCCTCCCTCCCCTCCTGTCTCACCTTTGCCTCCTCACACCTCCCCATTGAAACCATCTTTAAGGTACCTCGCCCGGCTCCAGAGGACGATTCCTTCCAGACAGAGGTCAAAAAGACGTATAGGCATGAGTGGCAGGCAGAGAGGGCAAGAAAGAGGGATGAGGAGCGTAAGCATAGATGGAGCGTTGGCGGTGTGTTGGAAGAAAGGGCTATTGATAAAGGATTCAGTAAGTGACTTGGCGAAAAGGAGAATTGAATCATTGACGCAAGGCGGTAGTGACTGCCAAGGGCGGTAGACCGGATATTAATCGCGCAGCCGACGGAAGTGAGTACCCTTCCCCACCTTGTATTCTTGGACTTACGCAATACGTAGTGATGCGAGCACTGGCAGATGGCAAAGTCCGTTGGGGTTTCTACCCACCAAACACTTCTGGCAAGGAAGGTGCAGGTATTTGGCTGGGTGAAGATGTTGACGAATCTGGGGCTGCTGACGTGCCGAGCGCGGAAGAGGAGACGGCGGAGGAAGACGAGGACGAGGATGTGGAGGATGGTGAAAACCAATCTGACGAGGAAGAGCTTTCAGGGAGTGAAGAGGACGACAAGGTGCCGATGAAGCAGGCCGGGGGATTCTTTGCGGCTTTGGAGATCAGCGAAGGCGAAGAGGACGAGAGTGAGGACGAGGAGTAGACCGGTGCTGAGCGCTACCAACAACGATCATGATGCAGACAATGGCATGATTAACGATTCAAATTCTACGTGACCTCTTCTAGTTGCTGGTAACCTTTCCACTCGTCCCATAGACATCCCCCAGATCCCTACCCAGGACATTCCTAATTTGGTCCCTCAGCTCTTGCCCTCCCTCTCCAGCTTCCTGCTCCAAGAACCAAGTCTTGCTGATATAGTTCCGGACGCCGTCAGGAAAGAGGATGACGACATTGGCGGAGGGATCTTGGGCGATGGAAGCGCCAGACGGGGAGTGCAAGTATCTGAGAGCCCCGGATAGGGCGGAACCGGAAGATCCGCCGACGAAGAGGCCTTCCTTGCGACTGTCTGCGTAAGCGGGTCTCTTGAAGGGTATGACTTACATGACGCGTTTGGTAGCAGCGAAAGAGTCTTTATCGTTGGTCTTGATCCATTCGTCAATAAGGGGCGGTTTAGGGTCGAGCACCTCTGGAAAAAAGTCCTACCAGACGTGTCAGCAGACATCGTTATCTAATATGGCGAGGGACGCACATATCCAATACCCTCCACTTCATAATTCCCAACTTCTCCGCCGCCCAAGATTGATCCTTCAGGGTCTATAGCCAGCACGACCGCCCGCTGACCTGGCGTATTGGTCTCCTTGAGCCCATTCTCGATACCATGCTCGAAATGCTCTCCCGTCTTTTCCGAGTCGCGGATAGCGCGGGCAATACCGGTTAGGGTACCACCTGTACCAGCTCCGGCTGCAAGAAGTGCAATGTTCTTCCGGGGAAGGTCGGAGGTCTCGAGAGAATACTGTTTGACACGTCAGTATTGGGTAACAGTCTTCGTGTGGTCACTTTACAATGATCTCTTCGTATGTACCAAAGTAATGAGCAAGAGGGTTGTCGGGGTTCGAATACTGGTCGAGGATGACGGCACCCGAAATGGCTTTCTCCAGAGCTCGTGCAACTCCGATATGGCTCTCAGGGCTATCAAATCTGACGATCTTGGTCAAAACAATTTGGTCAAGGGTAGAATCAGCAGACTCACGCAGCTTCAGTCCTAAATGACTGATGTCAGTCTCCCCTCGTGGTCGCGGCGTCAATGAGAACCCACGGTGTACGGACAATCTCGGCCCCGAGTGCTTTCAGCATGACCTCTTTCTCGAGGCTCATCTTGGCTGGAAGCGTGATAATACATCTATGATATTACATCAGCCATCTTCAGATCCGGATCTACAAGCGACGCACTTGTATCCCTTGATGGCACATGCGAGAGCGAGACCAATTCCCGTGTTGCCACCTGCCCCGGGAAAAGGTGAGGTTAACCATCCTATACTACCACTCCTTTCCTTTGTTCAAAACTTACTTGTGGGCTCAATGACAACGCTCTTGCCTGGTACCAGCCGGCCCGTCTTCTCTGCGTGTTCCACCATCCTCTTGGCGATGCGATCCTTGACAGATCCTCCAGCTGAGAAGAACTCGCATTTTGCCACTGACAAGGACCGTCAGCTGATGCCTCACTGTTATATCTCCTTTTTTGAAAGATGGACGCGCTTACATAGATTACAGCTGAGCCCCTCCTCCCTGGCTATGCGGTCGAGGCGCACGAGTGGCGTGTGGCCGACGGCGTCGAGGGCGGAGGAGAGGACGCCTTTCCAGTGGTGGAGAGTGTTGGTGGTGGTGGTCATTGTATTGTGGCAGTACGAATGAATGGATGACGAGATGTTCAATACATGCCCTTATAAGAGAGCGAGATGGACCGCATGGTGGATGGCGAGCTCGTGATTCCCGGGTTCCCATCAGCGCGCTTGCCGGTCAACCTCCACCACCCCCGGCCGGACCTTGCTGCTTATGTAAAACCGCCGCGACGCCATCACTGACAACAGATTATGAGGCATGGCAGGCTATACATATACTACATATCACGCTATTCCACAATACCCCACCCACAGCCATGGCCAATACAGACCTCGAGAAGCTCGCAGAGTGGAGAACCCTCGGAGCACGGCACTCGGAACAGACAGTAGAGCTCGCAACACGCGTGCTGGCCTCCAGGACCCTGGGCGATCAAGGTGCGTATGCCTATGCGGTACTTGACATCCCCATCAATGGCGTGCTGAACATGTAACCTGTAGAATGGGCAGTCAGAGAACAGCTTGCCATCGCAGCTCTAGATTTGGGGCGGATCAATTTAGCCGTTGTACGCCATGATCTGCGAATCTTGCAATGTGTCTTTTGCTGACTATGTGTCGCCCTTACAGACGCAAATAGACATCTTGCATAAGCAATTTGGAGGGTCACCGCGAGTCAGAATTCTGGACGGATTGAGGTTCGAGGCGGACGGAGATGCTACCAGGGCCAAAGCGGTCTATGAAGGGCTTCTGAAAGATGACGAAACTAATGTGGTGGGTCTGAATGGCCAACGACAGTGTTCCTGACGTGCTGAAACACTCTATCTAGACAGCTCACCAACGCCTCATCTCCCTTGCGGCCCCTTCATCAGCGGCCATTCCTCTCCTTCTGTCCTATCTGGATACCTTTTACGCTGACCCCATGGCTTGGTCACTCTTGGCGGAGCTCTACTGTGAACAAGGCCTGTATCCGCAAGCGCTCAGTGCTCTGGGGCACATGTCGATAATCAACAACTGGGATGACGGTATCTTACGGAGGTCGGGCGAGGTCGCGTACACGTTAGGGTACGCCCCTTCTGTCCTGGGCGAGCAACTGTTGACATGTCTGTGCAGGGACTATCAGCTTTCATTGAAGCACTTTCTGCGGGCCGCAGAGATGCAGGGCGGGAAGACCAGCAATCTCAACACGAGTCGGACAAGAACGTGGTGGGGTATCAAGCTGGCACGTCGCCCATTCTTCATCTGACATTTCCACTAACAACTCTCTAGGCTGTCATGCAATTACTCGATAACCCCATTTCAGAGTCGTCCGTGCCCCTAGAACTCGCGACTTCTCTACCACAATTGCAGGCGCTGGGCGAACTGGCGACGGAGAGGATATTAGCTGCCGGTGGGCAACATCTGGATGTGCGTCGGAAAGTACTCGGAGAGGCCGCTTTTGTGAGATAGCTAGGACCCATATTGTAACATTACGGCTTGTCATATGTACACATGCCCCCGTTATGACCTTGCCTCTGGAGGATGTTGAGTGAGCGGGACCAAATCGCTCAGGGCTGAGCGGCCGAATAACGGGATCAAAATCGGCGACCTTCGTCATTGGCGCTACCCGACCCAGCCGTCATTCGCAGGTCACTTTTCGATTTCTTTCTTTTCACCACGCTCGTCCAACCACAGCCCATCCATTTCCACCATGCTCTCCAGATCTGCCCTCCGCCTCTCTGCCAGACTCTCCTCCAGGCGTGCCGCCGTTGCCCCCCAATTCGTCGCCCGACGAGCTGCCTCAACCTCTGCGGGCGGTCACAAGGCCTCAAGCGACCTTCCTTGGATCGCTAGCTCCTTGGTTGGCTTCGGTGGTCTCGTAAGTGCGCGTCTTTGCGGGCATATTCACGTGCTGATTCGCGATGGTTAAAGACCGCTTTCATCCTTGTCCCCTCAAAAAAGACTGTCCACCACGCAGTCACCCCTCATGATGACGAAAAGGCCGAGACCAACGAGTCTGCGCCCAAGGCTTCCACCGGTGGCGACCCCGTAGAGTCTCCCAACACTACTGAGCGGGCTGTCGTGAGTGCACAGGATTCCGAGGTGAAAGGTCAACTGACGATGCATACAGGCTTCCGAGGACCCCAAGGACACCCACCCCAATGCTGAACATTCCGCCGGGGACATGGCTACCAAGAAGGAGGGCAAGGGCGAGAAGCCCAGCGAAGAGACCAAGCCTTCTGCCAAGGACGGAGGCGCCAACGCCAACGAGACGGCTCAGGTCCAGAAGGCTGCCGAGGACGAGGAGAAGAAGGACGAGCCCGAGGAGGAGAAGAAGGACGGTGAGGAGAAGAAGGAGGCGGAAAGTGTCGAGCAGGCTACCAAGTCTGACGCTCCCGCTGAGGCCAAGGAGGCCGAGGAGAAGGATGAATCTCCCGCCGAAAAGAAGAGCGTGGAGCAAGCTACCAAGTCTGACGCCCCCGTCGAGGCTAAGGAGGCCGAGGAGAAGGGTGACTCTCCTGCTGAGAAGGAGGAGTAAAAAACACGGACAAAAGTATAAACAGAAGAATATTGTAGGCATGCTCTTAGTCTATCATTACATGGCATGTAACCAGCTAAGCATATCGCCCAATCTGGATCTGTATGTAGGGCGGTGCTCACAGGGAACAGGAGATGTGTAACAAGCTGCTCAATGGCTGGACGCCGATAACATACTTGTATCCTCACCGAGTTCCTTAACCACCGGCAGTCGCTCGGCATGGATGTAATAGTCGGCAAGGACACTGAAGGCAACAACCATCCTTGCCGCTACACCCACAACGCCCCCGGAAGAGGAGCGCCAGTCTGATGTCCCCCTATTTCCCTATCTATTCGCTTCCTCTCCTTTCACAGTGTGTCCAGCCTGAATTCTCCTACGGAGTTATCTCTTTTATTCCTCCCTCCTTATAACCACCTTGCCTTAGCTGGTATCACAAACCTTCCGTTGGCTCCGGACCGGCCGAGATGTATATCGCCTGAACGACCCTGTTTTGGCAGCCAAAGGAAGTGAGTGACAAGGTAACAACAAAGGATCCGCCAGGCCACTATTTTGAAACGCCGCTAATGAGCTCTACTAATCTCCTTTGACAAGACACCCCTGTATATCTTCTCATACTGCGTAGCCTTCCCCCGGGCTCACGTAAAGTCTCGCCCTTCTCCTTGTCAACATTGGATCCTCAAGGAATTCTCAAACATGCTCGGACTTCTATTCCTATCCTTTGCGCATGCTCAATTTGTGGAGCCCGGAGAATAAGGGTGAAAGGGCAAAGGAAGGCCTGGCTAGGGTGAGTCGGGTTGCGAGTTGACCATCGCCGTTCTTTGATGGGTATAACAGCAAGCCCACAAACCTTTCATCCCCAGATTTCTCTTCATCGTGAAAGAAACTCGCCTTTACCATTGTGGGACACAACTTGAACGGATTATCAGCCACACCACAGAGACAACAGCAACACGCCATTCAGGTCTTCGAGAATAATCCGGTATACAAACCTTGAACCTCTTTTGAGTCAACCGTTGCGTCAGAGGCCAGCTTCTTCCTTTGCCAATTCACCCAACATTGCCAAATAGTGGTCGACATGTCAGTTGATCAATATAGTGGATCCAGTGCTAGCGTATCCGGCGTTAGCCAGAGTGATGGTGCGTATGATGTTCATGGCCATCATTCAACAACACCTGACACCTGCATAGTCGAATTACGCAACTCGAGTCCTCTGACATCCCCGCCTTCTTCGCATCAATCACCTTCTCCCGCAAAGCAGAGTAACCACACGCCTCCGTCCTCCCCACCAAAAGAACAGTCTGGCAACCAAGCTACATTGCAAGCCCCTCTACTACTCGAGACGACCTCTGCTCAAAACGTTAACGCCTATACGACTGCTACAGCCGATGATGCCATAGACCCTGCCCTCAAGGGCCTTTCCGATAGCTTTCCTGCTGGACCCGACGATCTGCAAGTTCAGGACCCGGCATTGGATGACTTTTCGTGGCTGCCGGACTTTGCGCCCAACAACCAGTCTCCAGCCGCTGTCAGCGGCGGTGCCAACCCTATGTGGCCTATCAATACCGCTTTCAACTCTCTGCCTTCTACCCAGCCACCATCGTCTACGAGCGAGTCACCCTCTTCCCCTCTTGCTCGAGCAGGTAGTGCAAACTGGTCGAACGGCGAGAACGCTACTGATCTAGAAAGTCTTGTTGCTGGCTCTGTTAAAAAGCAAGGCGGCAATGCCGGCAAAAGCACCAACATCAGAGCGAGTGCCGCCAGTAGCGAAAGTGGATTCGAGACGGGGAGGGATGAAGGGGTGCCTCCTCCCAAAAAGAAGAGTCACGCGAGAAAGGTACGTTGAACAAGGACAGAGGAATCGACATGATGCTGACGTTATACCATAGCAACCCGAGGGCCACATCAAGCGAGCTCGAAATGCATTCATCCTCTTCAGAAAACATATCACCGACTCCAACCTCATTCCTCCGAGCGTGGAGGTCAAGCATCAGAACATTTCTGTCGTGGTAGGAACTTTACCATCTATTTACATGTGATGATTTCTAATGCGATCCAGGCGGCTAAAATGTGGAAAGAAGCTCCACAAGAGGTACGTCGAGAGTTTCAAGAAAAGGCTCGCCTTGAGAAGGAGGAACATCAACGGAAGTACCCAGGATACCGATACCAGCCCGTCTTTCGTCGTACTGACATTATCCGCCGCCGGGTGAGGAAGGATCCTGCTGAAGATGAAAAGGTCGACGCCGTGGCCGAAGCTTTGATCAAGGGGAAGGCAGGTGGCGAGCTGGAAAAGGAGATCAAGGACCAATTGGTCACAAGGAGCGATGCTAGCGATAACGAGTCGGAGACCTCTACGAAAAGTCGAAGGTGAGCTTCCACTGATTTATCTTTTGTTCAGGTGCTGATTGTGTGTAGCCGCCGAAGACGCGAAGTTGGACAGCTTTCCAAAGGTGCCGTCCGTGCCCAAAGAGCTCAAGCTCGTGCCAAGCAGATGCGCCAGAACCTTCTCGGGTCCAATTTGCTCAACATGTCTCTCTACAACGCCGCCAACGCACGCCTCGCATCCTCGACTGGCACGAATGACTATCATGCTCGGCAGGATGCTGCCGCCGCTGCTGGCATGGCTCCCCCCAACGGGGTCATGAACGGGCCTCATGGGCACACACACCCAGGCATGCAGTACGTCATGGACTCTTACATGCAGATGGGCTATGGCTTGGATGGCCGACCACTCCAGATGGGTGGCAGCTATTCAGGCGAAGCCTATGGAGGTATCGCTCAGGGAGGTCCGGCACCCACGGGTGTTGAAAGTGAAATGTACCGCCTGCCTCCTATAGATGGTATGATGGGTGCCGGCAACGGGTACGAATGGCAGGCGCCTCCTGGAATGGACTACTGGGAGCAAGGCGGTGTGGCACCAGACATTGCCCCTCCTCCCCAGCAAGGCTATCCAATGGAAGAGGGTTATTATGCGCCAGGGTACGAGATGGAGGGCGTTCCTGCGGAGCACAACATGGAATACCGACTACCTCCTCTGATGGAAGCTTCAAGGGAAGATGGACGATCTTTCGCTGAAAGAGCCCCTGGAGACCTCATCGCTAATGCCTACGCTCACGGCGAGAACGAGTCCAGGGACCTTCCAAGTATGCGACAGTGGACACATGAGGGCCAACAGACCCCCTCCAACCATGTCATGTTCAGCGAGCGACTATTCGATGGAGCACTTGGTAGTGCAGGGATACCCGAGAGACCGGAAGGAGATGACGCTTTGGGAATGTTTGATCAGGCTATGGAGCATGCGGGTGAGGTGGCACAGTGGTGAATGATTCACCTTGATGCGCAGGATATATATCGACGATAGTTAAAAATGACACTTAGAGGTTATATGCATTGAACAGGAGTACTGCTTTCAGACTAGATGCGGGGCTGTGATCCGAGCGTCGTTCGCTCCCTTCGAGGCGTCTAATTCAAGAGCTCTTCCACAATGATTCTGCTCTGATCCCAAATACCGGCTCTCCAATACACATCTTCCTTCAATCGATTCCACACCTGCTCGAGGCTGTCCATCTTGTAGACCGTGAAGCTGCCCGCGATGTTTGGGACGCCCTCCGGCAAAGTCGCCTCTCGAGCCTTGGTGCCCGGCCGGGGAAGTATGGGCCCGCTGTACACTGGGACCTGCTCGTCAGCTGCGGAAGGCGAAAGAGCTAGGAAAACTTACGAACAAGGCCGGAATCCGTGTCAATCTGGCCACGAGCAAGATGTTCTGCTCTCACGGCGAGTCGCTTTTCGAGATAGTCGGGATAGTCGGGGGCGTAAACGAGAAATCGCGGCATATCCAGTAACTGCTTCAGCGTTGTTCGATTATCTGACCCAAGTGTCGAATGATGTCGAAGGTCTACATATATGGTTCTGCCATCTCTCGGACTTGTTGTTGGCCGGGCCGAACGCCGGCGGGCTCGCGCGGTATCTCTCGGCCCAGGGGATTCGACTCGTTGCACTCAAAGAACTTGTTTTGACTCTATTGACACTGTCAGGATACATACTCCAGCGACACAGCGAGTTATCAAACACAAGTGAACGGTATTCTCTGTTCTCGTCATGTATAGCATCCCCCCTCTCGTCATCGTCACCGTCGCAACGACCCCGACTCATCAAATACGGCCTCCTGTCCATGGTCGACGCAATTCTCATTGGTGAGATCTGCGTCCCCCAATCTCGGATGGTCCCATATATCGACCGCTTCACAGCTTCATCTGCACCATGTCTCGCTTGTTACTCTGCCCTTTCTCCGTCATCACGGTACCGAGTTTGCTGAAGTGTTTCAATCTTCCCTGAGAGATAATCTTTGTGATTCTCGAGCTTGTGGATCATCATCACCCTAGGTTGGCCAATCGTCAACAGCCCTTGCCATGCACTGCTGTGCATGCGTCTTCTATGCTATATGCTGCGATCAATGATGCTATGATGGTACTGTACTGTGTAGATCGCTCTGAGCCCCTTGTCCCGTTCCCCTGATCTTCTCATTTTCAGCTTCAACTTGTTTCCTTCTCCATTCCGACAAGCTGCTAGGGTTGACTACCCACACGACCGCCTCGCCGTTCTGGTCTCCTTGCCCATACGCCATGCCCTCATTCACGCCCATCTCCCGCACCACCTTTCCTACTGCGCCTCTGTTGTTTGTCAACACTGTCATACCGTGCTTGAGCCCAGCCAGAAAACTCCGCAGGGTATGGTTGCTGGGAAGCCGGGACGCGATGGTGATACCAGGTTGGGACCGACGTCCCGGGCGGGAGGAGGTGGATTTGTTGGTCTTTGGGGCAGGTGGTGGAGGGGGGAGGGAGGAGGCGGAGGCTTGTTTTTCGACTATGGCGAGCATCATCTGGCAGACTGTCGCGAAGCCGCCTCTGAAAGGAGACATTTGGAACATCTGGGGATCCAGCTCGGCGTATTCTTCTGCGGGCAAGACGTGGAGCCTTAGAGAGCGCAGTATGCCCTCGTTTCCCTTCCAGCGACTGCCTTGCCAAAAGTCTTCATCGCCGGTAAAGATCGCCCTAGCCCGCCGGCGTTCGTCTTCGCCCCCGATGATATCCGCAATGCTGGGCAGCCGTGTTCTAACTTCCTCCGTGACCCAAAACTCATGCGCCCCTTCGTACACCGCCAGCCTCTCTTTGAGCTCCTGTATGAGAGGATGTTCCCTCTCCCATCGCAGCTGGTCCCTGAGATCCTTTGTAACTGGTATGTGAGGGGCCAAAGCCAGCTGCCCATCTTCACCAAGGACCAGAGGCCGGAAACGGCTCTCCAATACGTCATCTGATGTGGGAAGAGGGCGGTGAGTGGAGTCGCAACATAGAGCTACGACGACCGAGAGGTCAAGGAGTATCTTGGCAGTGGGCTTTGGCGGGGGCGGGTGCACTTGCGTAGGACATGGAGAGCGAGCCGACGAGGCAAGGACAAGGTCTGCGCCGAGATTTCGGATTGTCTCGAAAGTCTCTTTGATCCTAGGATCTCTATACCCTCCTTCCGGGTCTTCTTCTAGGCGGTTCAGAACGTATCTGACTTTGGGGGGAGATGAATGGGGAAGGCGGGAATAGGTTTTGGCGGACGTGACCATAGAGGCAGCTTGCTCGATGGCAGAGATTGTGAGGCGATTCGGTTGCCTGGACTCGCCTTCCGAGTCACTGTCAGAGTAGTCAGAGTTGCAGTAGGAGTCGTGCTCGCGAAGCTCGGCCATGAGACGAGACTCTTTCATGCTGGCACTGGTGAGTCGGTGCACATAGCAAGGTGGCAAAGTAGACTTACGTGTTGACTTTGATCCACTCCTGACCACCCTTTGCTACCACATCGACCTTGACTTGGCTCCCATCAGGACACTCCAGGACCTGCGCTATACAGCCGATGGGCCACTCTGCTCTTCGGACCTCTTCCCAAACGGCAAGCAGGTGTATTGCATTCGTGGCAAGATCTTTCGGCGGACGGCCGCTCGCAACTAGACCATCAAGGTGACTCTTTTCCTTCTGCACGCTGCTGATGAACTTTTTGAGACCTGTGATGTCTGGCTGGCGGTAAGCGAGGGGATGGTGCCAGTCGATGATGGGGGCGTGGTAGGTGGCGGCGGGCGCCGTGTTGGCGAGGAAGGCGGTGGCAGACTCGAGGAGGGCATCTACCTGTGCTTTGGTGGCGAAAACCTGCTCCATCGCATCGAATGCATCTACCATCGTCCTTGATCTTTCTTGAAGCAAGGGGCCAGGAACACGGCGATGGCCGCCGCGTGCCTGGAATTGGACTTGAATTCTCGAGTGGCCTCCTAGACGGCCGGTTGACGCCCGCGTGCCCTCATTTCTCGCGCATCCTCGCATCACTCAACATCCCCATCTGTAACTTGCCGGCACTCCCCGCCTCGCGTCAGCCCTCCCACACCCCCGCCCCCTGCTGCTGCCCATGCCTCAGTAGGACTGCACGACATGGCTTCCTCCGCGCCGTCGACAAACCGTTCAGGAAGACCCCGCAAATCATCCACCGCCGCCTCACATCCCCATCCCTCAGAAACACCCACCCCCTCAGCAGCAGGAGGTGGCGCAACCAGCATGCCACCTCCAAGCCATACCAGCAATGGACCCATGTCCGTCAGCGATTGCGAGTTTCTCGCGTCCCAGCTGCTTGAGCCTTCCTTTCCGACGCGCAAGAAGCTCGAGATTGCTCTCGAGTTGAGGGATTCGGCAGAGAACAACAGGGACTTTGGATTCTATGACAAGTACCTGTCTGTCTTTGTCCCCGCCTTGATCAGTATATTGGGCGACGAAAAGTCAATCACGTTTGTGAAAGACAATGTTGAACAGGTGAGCGCACCATCTTTGGCCCTGCTGTAGCTGACACCCAGTCAGCGATTCCGACACACCCTTCTCGCTTTTCTCCAGCGTTTGCCCCACACGGAACCATTCCGCCATCACATGAGTTCGGTCATGGAACTGTGTGTCAAGCTACTCAAAATCGAAAATGAAGAGAACGCTTTGCTCTGTATCAAAATTATGATTGACGGGCTCAGAAGCAACAAGGACCAGATGGAGCCTTATACCGAGCCCTTCCTTGATCTGGTCAAGCAAATGTATGCCAACATCAAGGCTGTAGTCGAGAAGGAATTTGGTACCTCGGGCAGCGGACCCAAGGCCTCGGCTGCCCAGGGCGAAGCGGCCGCCAATGGGCAATCCCACACCACCCTCCCCCACGCTCTCCACTCCCCCAAGGTCCTCACCGAATGCCCCATCGCTGTCGTCCTCATCTTCCAGACCTACAAGTCCATCATGCAAACAGCGATGCTCGACTTTTATCCCCTCGTCATCGACAGCATCAAAATACAGCCCGAGCCTCAAAGGCTGGCTCATCAGGAGGCTAGCGAGAAGGGAGAGATTTTTGTGGGTGTCGCGAGTGGAATCACAAACAGAGAGATGTTTGCAGAGCTGGTCAAGGCGCAGGTCAAGACGATGGCCTTTCTGGCGTACGTTCTTAGAGGCAATCAGGGGAACAACAGAGACTATGTCAATGTCTTCCCTGAGGCCTGTGCCAGGCTTCTGAGGGACTGCCCACCGGAGGATGTGATCACAAGAAAAGAGTTGTTGGTCGCTACTCGGCATATCCTGACGGTCGACTCTCGATCGTCATTCATTCCCTACATCGACATTCTCCTTGAAGAAAGAGTTTTGGTCGGTACTGGTGTATCAAGCAGAGAGATGCTCAGACCTCTGGCGTACTCGGTAGTGGCCGATCTCATCCACCACGTACGAAACGAGCTTCCACTTCAACAACTGATCCGCGTGGTCTACGTCTTCTCCTGTAATCTCAACGACTCTACCTTTTCCAGCTCCATCCAGACCATGTGCGCCAAACTCCTCAACACTATCATAGATTCCATCTACCACAAGGCCGACACGAACGAAATGTCTAGGATCCTGAAGGGCATGTTCTTCACGTTCCTCGAGAAACTCTCCGCCATGTCGGATGCGCACGAGAGACTGAAGGGACTGTCAGTGAGAGAGAAGGAGAAGGGAAAGTTGAAGGAAAAGACAGAGGATGAAGACGTGGAAGTTACGGATGCGTCAGAGGCATCAGCGGATAGGTTGGCTCACGGATGGAGGGATATCGAGCAGGCTATGCCGGTGCACTCTGTTGCATACGCAAACGAATCCGTTGAAACATTCTGTCGAGGTCAGTCTGCGTTACGCCCTATTGTACCATTGCTCATATCGCTACTAGATTCTCGGTATCTTTTCAAGACCATTCTACACACCTTCCGCACCCTTCTCTCCTACACTCGGCAAGGCGACAACCCTCCACCTCAACCCGATGGAGAAGTCCTTAGCCGCTTTTTCGAGTGCAGTCTCAAGTGTTTTGCTATCTTTGACGGCATCAACCGCGACCCGAGAGAGGCGAAAGAAGCTCTGGAGATGTTGTCTGAAATCATCCTGCTATTCGAGCCGCATGTGTTTGCCGAGGTGTGGAGCAGCCACATGGAGTTTTTCAGCGAGCTCTCAATCTCCAACAGTCAGGTGTTCTCCTTGCTTCAAATGGTCATCACCCATGAGGCAGTGTCCCACCAACTGGTGTCGATCCTTCTCAAATACTTGATGGCCAAGTTGCCCAAGGTCGGTAGCATGGACAAGGCGAACGCCAGTTTAACCCTCAAGATGTTCAAAATTGCTTTCTTGGCCATCAACACTTATATCAACAGCAACGAGAGTGTCTTGGTGCCCCATTTGCAAAAGCTCATCATGAGCTCGTTCGAATCGGCGGCCAAGGCGGAAGACTCTTCGTTCTACTACCAAATTCTCCGCGCGTTGTTCAGGTAAGCTTTCACTCATGCTAAGGATCCGCGGTGACTGACAGTGGTTAGGTCGATTGGCGGTGGTCGCTTCGAGGCTCTCTACAAAGAGGTCCTTCCAATTCTCCAAGAAATGCTCGACCATCTTGCCTATCTGCTCGACCACCCTCCCGATGAGGTTCAGTCCGACATATTTGTCGAGCTCATGCTGACTGTTCCTGTCCGTCTCACCAACCTCCTCCCGCATCTCAGCTACCTCATGAAGCCTCTTGTGCGAGCCCTCAGCGCGGGACCCGACCTGGTCAGCCAAGGGTTGAGGACTCTGGAACTGTGTATCGACAACCTTACTGCCGACTTCCTCGACCCGACACTCCTGCCAGTCCTCCGAGATTTGATGGCTGCTTTACACCAGCTGCTCAAGCCTGTACCGGCCAACCGGGAACACGCAAATGCCGCTTTGAAGATCCTCGGAAAGCTCGGCGGCAGGAATAGGAGATTCCAGGAGGTCTACGACAACCTCGAGTACCAGCTTTTGTCTGACAAGATTACAATGCCCATCACGTTTGAGGGCTCGCACCATCAATTGGAGTTGATGTCTCTTGTTCAGACCGCTGGGATGGCGATTGATGATGATGCGGAGATGTTGAAGGAGGATGGGTTGCAGGTGTTGATGTACTCGGCTCTGACTGTCTTTGAAAAGGTGAGCCGTCTTTCTTCTCGTGTGCTAGACCTGGTACTAAACTCAATACAGGGAGCACCGGTCGCTGAAGGCAATGCCACATTCCTGACTACCATGACAAAGCTATTCATTGCCTGCGACAAGCCAGTCGTCGGTGAAAAGGCTTCCGCATTTGTGCGCGATGTCTGCATGAGAGCTTTCGCCCTTGAACTTGGTAGAGCAGACCAAAAGGCAGATGGTGCCGAGCCTACTGCAAAATCTGCTCTCGACCACACTCGTCGGCGATTCCTGCCTCTTACAAACGCTCTGTCGGATGCTTTCCTCGAGACCCTCGCCAATTCCAAGACGTCAGAGCGCAAGGGACTCAGTGACCTCCTTGCTACCATTGTCATGGTCTTCAAGGATCTGGCTTTGAGTCCTCGATTCGCATCAGTCGTTGACGGACACCGCTCTTTCGACCGTATGGTGACTTTCTTTGCACTCCGCCTGATTACGCTTTGTCACGAAGAGGCCTGGAATAAAAAGATGGCCGGTGTTGCTGCGATCTCGACTTTTGCTCATAAGATCGAGCTTAGCCGGAAGAACATCATTGACCTCGAGCTCGACTTTATCAGAGCCTTGCTGTTCTGTCTCCGTGATGCTCCCCAGGACGTCCCAAGGACGGCAGATGATGTTGTTGAGCTCATCAAGCACCTCATCCGTACCTGTCAATCTCAAGAAGACGGCAAACCTCGGCTTGCAAGAATCACAGACACTCTGGTCGGGGAGCTCTACAGTCAGAGTGAGCTCGCTCGGGACGCTGCGCATCAGTGTATCGAGGTCCTTGCCGAGGTGACTTCGCAGTCAGTACCCGACCTCATCACCAACATTGCAAAGGCAAAGCTGCTGAGCGTCGAACATGGCCCTATCTACTCCAAACCGCTCCGAGCCTTGCCGTTCGCGATGCAGGTTGGCAACATCAGTGCGGTGACGTATCTGATGAACTTGCGGCCTTCAGCTGTGGAGGCAACCTCTGAGGAGTTTGTGCGGCTACTGCACGAAGTCTTGGCTCTGGCGGATATCGATGATGCCAATATCATAACCAAGCCAGCGACGCACAAACAAGAGTCGTGGCTCAAAGCTTTGCGTATATGCTGCCTTAGGTTGCTAAAGTCATCTATGGCTACTCCAGACTTTATGAATAAGCCAAACCAGGGACAGCTGCGCGCGAGGTACGTGAATTACGTTTATGTGGAATTGAGCTCACCAGACCGCTAGAATCATCCAAGTGTATTTCAAGCACGTCTACTCGCAAAACCCCGAGATCGTTGCAGTCGCGCACGAAGGCCTTCGAGACGTACTGCAACAAGAGAACCGACTTTCGCGCGATGTGCTTCAAAAGGGCTTGCGGCCTATCTTGGTCAACCTTGCCGATGCCAAGCGCTTGAGCGTATCGGGCCTCGATGGTCTCGCTCGTTTCCTTGAATTGTTGACAAACTACTTCAAGGTCGAGATCGGAGTCAAACTTCTAGACCATTTCAAGACCCTCGGAGATCATCAGATGCTCTCCAAAGCGGCCTTTGCTCCACTTGAAGACAATCACAACATTGCGCGCATGTCTCGCTTGGTCAACATCTTCCGACTTCTACCTGCCAGTGCCATACAATACTTGAACGATCTCGTCGCCAACGTTGTCGAGGTGGAAACCATCTTGCACCAATCGCAGCCTGGTCCTTTCACCGAGTATCTCGGTCGATATCTGGACAGATATCATGCGAATGCTGTCCAGAACTTGTTCGACAACGTTCGCAACCCTCGTTATGTGTGGACATATCGTAACATCATAACTTCAGGCGAAGCTCCTCATTTGGTGGAGGAATTGGCGAATCGTGCAGAGAATCTTTGTCAACTTTGCTTTAGTGACACGGAAGCTATAGACCTGGTACTCCCAGGTCTTCTTCTGGTCAGAGACCTGTCGCGAGTGCAATCGAGCTGGCTGTCGGACGCGGAGCCCGTCCTGGAGCCGATGGTCGGCGTCTGGCGTATGATCGTCAGCAAGTCCCGTGATTCCAAGGCAGACACCACCAGCTACCACTTCCAGCAAATGCCTTCGCTTCTCCTCGAAATGTTCATGAGCAGCCTCGAGCAGCAACAGCACATCCCTCTTCTCTTCCACGTTGTCGAAGCGTACGAAGTCCGTGCAGCCTTCGAAAGGTCCCACGTGACATTCTTCCTCTACCAACAAGTTGCTCTGCAAGAGTCGGTCGACTACCGCCGAGAAGTCATCGAGTACTTCTTCAACTTGTATGAGTCTGAAGACGTTCCATGGGCATACAAAACGAACGCTTTGAGAGTGATCGTCAACCCGACTCTTCGTGTCCACTTTGCCGACCCGAACCACGACCAATCGTTGATCTCTCCTCAATTGGTACAAAAGATCGCAAGTCTGATGTGGCGCCCTCTCGCTGTGATTACATCATCCAAACAGAGGGAGGACACTCATCTAATTGAGGTCTTTGCGTTGACCACTCTTCTGGTTCAGCACTGCAGTTCTAAAGTGAACGAGGCAAGAAAGGAGATCTTCAAACTGGCATGGATGGGCATCAATTTGTTGGAGCCGACGGTGAAGCTCATGGCGTATGTACTGGCGGCAAGGTTCATGGCGACATACGACACCCCTGTCAAATTCGTGCGTCTCACGTGGACAGGTGTTCTGCGCCTCAAAGACACCGATAATCGTGTCCTCTACCGCCAGGCCATAGACACGCTAGCTTCGTCCCTCTCAATGAGAGACCCGCCCCCAGCTAGTGGTACACCAGAGTGGGCAAAGCTGCTGCGCACCGTTCTCATCGAGGAGGGTCACGCCACCAACCAATTGGTGACCGTCTGCGAATTGTTGGTTCACCATCCCGACCTGTTCTTCGACTACAGAGAGCTGTATGTCCCCCACATCGCCAACTCCCTCGGAAAGCTAGCGTTCGCCCAAGCAGCTACACCTGAGCTGAAAAAATTGACCGTCGACATTGTGGAGTTGATATTCAATTGGGAGAAGCGTCGAATGGCTGCGAAGGAAAGTGATGCAGCCGAAGCCGAAGAAGGATCCAAGCGCGGCGCCGATCCTTCGTCGGATCAAGGCACGTCCAAGAAACAGAGGATAGATAGAGCAGGCACGGCCATCTCTGTCAGTAGTGGTGGAGGGTGGGCCGCGCCGAGTCAAGTCAGAGAACTCATGACAGCGCATCTCCTTCGACTAGTTTCGACTTCCGCGGATCCCGTCACTCGAAATGGATTGACAAAGAGAGCTTTGATGTTGTTCAAGGAGATATTGGGACCAAGAGGGCTTCCCAACGTGCACGTGAAACTTGGATTCTTCCACAGGACGATGATCCAGGCAAGTTACTTTATCTGTCTGTCAAATAATCGGCTGACACATCGCAGGAAATCAACGCGACTACGAGACCGCTTGTCGCCAATTCAACAGAAGTCATCGCTGCTGTAGCCGCTGCTGTCAAAGACACGCAATGGGTCAAGGCCAACCTCAGTCTACTGTCGAAACTCCTAGAGAAAGTCTGGGTTTCTCACGAAGTGGACCTGCACGAAGTGGTCACTCCATTGACGGAAGACCTATTTGCTGAGATGCCTGCGGATGAGACAGTTGAGGCTGAGCCGGACGCGAAAGCCTTGTTGACATTCGTACAGAATGCTGTCAATGACGGCTTGGCTGCCAGTCTTCGCTCAACTCTGTCCCTACCCGGATCCCTGTTCCTGCTTCGCACCTGGCTGAAAACCCACCCAAAGACACTCCAGTCCGAGGGCATCAGCATCGCACTTTTGAAGGTGCTAGGCAATACGATCAAGCTGCACACAACTACCAATCAAGCTGCTGGTGCCGCCAATGAGCCTGACCTCGTTAGGCTCATCATATCTATCCTAGACATTCTTCGAGATCGAGTCCCTGACTTGCGAGAGCACCGCAAAACCCTCTACCTGGGCGTCACCTCCTTGATCGATAAATCAGCGAATCTCACTCTTTGTCGGTATCTTCTGCAGCTCATGCGTCACTGGATCATCGAGGGTCCTGATGCGGCAGTTCATGGCAAAGAAAAAGCGTCCATCCTACTCCGCATGATGAACTTCGAGAACAAGAATGACGTACTCTTCCAAGAGTATCTGGACGTTGTATACGACATCTATGAGCAAGACGAGCTCCGAGGTTCAGACATCACCCATCGCCTCGAACCCGCATTCCTGCTGGGCACAAGGTCTCGAAAGCCCGAGCAACGTGCCAAATTCCTTGACAAGCTGGAGAACAATTTGCCACGATCTCTGGAACAGAGGCTTCAGTATTTGTGCTCCTTGCAGAATTGGGACACGCTCTCCGATGGTTATTGGATCCCTCAAATCCTGAGCCAGTTGCTTGGAATTGTGGACGTCGACGAGGCTCTGATTCAAGTTCCATTTACCCAAGTTCTTGATTCCGACTCCGTGCTTGATTTGTCAGAGACTGCCACCGTGGGGCATATCATCCGCCCCGCCAGGAACCTCATACATATCGACCCCAAGCTTTCTCATGACCTTTGGGTCGGGATCTTTTCGATGTGCTGGGAGTCTCTAAGCCGATCTCAGCAAATGACTTTTACACCCTACCTTATCAAACTTCTGTCAAAGTCCCACCTTCAGAAGCAAACCGACATGCGCCCCAATGTTGTCCAAACTTTCCTCGACAGTTTGGCTGCGTGTACCGTCCCTGTCACACTCCCTCCTACTCTGATCAGATTCCTAGCCAAGAACTTCAACGCCTGGTATGTTGGGTTCGAGCTCCTCACTCGCCTGACTGATGTCTACCGCGGGGACGATGGCTTGAGAGAGACATGTGCTAGCTGCTTGAGTGAACTCTATGCTGAGCTTTGCGAGGAAGACATGTACTACGGCGTTGCCCGGAGCCGTTGCCAGTTCCCGGAAACGACGGGCGCGCTGACTTTCGAGCAAAACGGCATGTGGCCAAAAGCCGTGGAGCTTTACGAACAGGCGCAAATAAAGGCACGCAACAACATGCTTCCGTTTAGCGAAGGTGAATATTGTCTTTGGGAAGATCATTGGATTCTGTCCGCACAAAAGCTGCAGAACTGGGAAAATTTGACCGAGCTGGCGCGGATCGACAATGACTCGGATTTGTTGTTGGAGTGCGCTTGGCGATTGTCGGATTGGGCCTCCAGTGACCGTCTGGCCATTGACGAAAACCTTTCGAGGGTTGTTGACCATCCCACCCCTCGTCGCAAGACATTCGAGGCTTTCCTAGCTCTCTTGAAGGCTCAAAACAACCGCGACCCCCCCAACGAGTTCCTACGCGTACTCGACGAGGCTCAGCAAATCACTTTGCGTAAATGGATCAGTCTGCCTGCTCATATGACCAGTGCCCATCTCCCTCTGCTCCAAATGTGTCAACAATGTGTGGAGCTGGGTGAGGCAGCTCGAGTGTTTGATAGTCTACAAATGACCAATCAGACCAATCTGGAGTTGCGCTGCAACAGCGACCTGAAGCCCATCTTCCAGACGTGGCGAGATCGCCTGCCCAACTTCTGGGATGATATAAGTGTCTGGAGCGATCTTCTGGCTTGGCGACAGCACATCTTCCAAGCTGTCACCAAGGTTTATCACCCACTCGTCGCGCAGCCCGACAATGCTACGTATGGCTACAGGGGCTTCCACGAGACCGCTTGGATGATCAATCGCTTTGGAGAAGTTGCGCGACGCCACGGACTTCTCGATGTCTGCAGCGTGTCTCTCAACAAGATCTACATGCTTCCCAACATCGAGATCTCTGAAGCGTTCTTGAAACTCCGAGAACAAGCTTTGTGTTTCTTCCAGAAACCTGAAAAGTTCAACGAAGGTTTGGAGAACATCAGCACCACCAATCTCAAATTCTTTGGTCAACCCCAACGCGCAGAATTCCTCACATTCAAGGGGATGTTCATCGCCCGGTTGGGTCAGAATGAAGAGGCCAATGCTGAGTTCGCTCATGCTATCCAAACAGACTGGAACCTCCCGAAAGCTTGGGCCGAATGGGGACGTTTCAATGACAAGCTGTACAAAGATCGTCCAGAGGTCCCTACCACTGGTCCTCCAGATGGCGAACCCGGCAAACCGAAGATGACAGACGCCCAGTGGCAGGAATCTTATTCCCAAGATAGATCTGTCCTTGCTTCGAGTGCTGTCTCCTGCTATCTACAAGCTGCCGGCCTCTACAACAATCACAAATCTCGAGGGCTCTTGCTGAGGGTGTTGTGGTTGCTCGGTCTTGATGATAGCCACAGCACGATTTCCAAGGCGTTCGAGAACTACAAAGGAGATTTGGTCATATGGTATTGGATCACTCTCATCCCTCAGTTGATCATGTCTCTGTCTCATCGAGAGGCTACGCACGCAAGGTTGATATTGATTCGTATTGCCAAGGCCTTCCCTCAGGTGAGTTTTTCCATCTACGCTACATCACACTACTGACGATGTTCTAGGCATTATTCTTCCCTTTGCGAGTTTCACGAGAGGACTTCGTCACCGTCAAAAAGCAACAGCAGCTCCATCAAAAGTACGTGGCCGCTCGGCAGGCTAAGGCCGCCACGGCAAACGCTGCCGATGGTTCCCAGACTGCTGAGAAGGACGTCAAGGAAGAACCCGCGGCCAGCGGTGCCGATGCAAACGGCAGTCAACCACCTGCCTCCGGGTCCATGCCGCCACCGTCGCAATCACAATCTCAAGCCCCTCGACAGCCTTGGGACCTTGTGGACGAGATCATGAACCTGCTCAAGACAGCTTTCCCTTTGTTGGCTCTTACGATGGAAAAGATGGTCGACCAGATTTCGGTGCGAGCAAAGCCTGCTTCCGATGAAGACATTTATCGATTCTTCTCGGCGCTATTGGCGGATGCCATGCAGCAATGGGGCGCAAGGAGCGGACTTCACAATGATGATGGTGAACTGAATGCTCAAACCAAGGACAATCTTGCCAAGTTTGCAACGAATCTGAACGGGGATCTGAAGGTACGTGTACAGTGATATCTTTACCCGTCCCATGTGCTGACTTTCTACAGGTCATGATCGAGAAAGACTTTATGGCCGACATGCCAAAGTTGCGCGAGTATATCAGACGCCTCCAGAGGTGGCGAGATGTTTATGAGGGAAATCTCGACGACCGATCGAAGACGTTGCCTTTGGATCAAGGTGGTTGTACCCTTATTGAGTTTAACCACTCTAAGTTCGATGACGTCGAAATTCCCGGGCAATATGTAAAGGTGAGTACCGTGTTGACTCTACCCGACTCAATCTGACTCTTTCTCCAGCACGTTGATCAGAGTGAGGAGTTCATCAAGATCTCTCGTTTCGCCCCCAAGGCGGAGCTCGGTCGAGGACACGGATATTGCTTCCGCCGTATCACCATGATTGGCAACAATGGGCACTCGTACACATTCCATGTGCAGATGCCTGCGGCCCGACACTGTCGTCGAGAGGAGCGTTTGACCCAGTTGTTCCGAATCATGAACAGGTGAGTCAACACCCATAGTCATGGACTCTGTACTGATTTCTGTCAGTGTCTTGTGGAAACGAAAGGAATCTCGTCGTCGAGGTCTTCAAATCCATCTTCCCACTGCCACTCCCCTTGCCCCTCAACTGCGACTCGTGCAATCCGACTCCTCCTATGTCAGCATGCAGGAGATATTCGAGGATTATGCGGCATCGAAGAAGATGGCCAGAGAGGAAACGGTATTGACCTATTACGATAGGCTCAAGGAGCTTCACGACCCTTCCATTCCCAGAGTAAGTCCATGATAGTGATTCAAGGAGGCAGCAGCTGATCCTCTCAAAGAACGACCACAGGTATATCCAGCTCAGAGCCGAATTGATGGAGGAGATTCGAGTAAAAATGGTACCAGAGACAATCATCACCAATGTGCGTTGCTTGATCGCAAATTGCCAATACATGCTAATGACCTGCAGTACATGATGAAATCCATGAATGGCCCCGATAATCTTTGGCTTATGCGAAAGCAATTCGCTGCTCAGACCGCAGCCACAATGTTCCTCACATACGTGTGCTGCCTGAGCAATAGAACGCCATCTCGCTTCTATGTCAGCCGCAAGACTGGTTTGATGTACATGTCGGAGATCTTGCCTGGTAAGCACAAATGCATTCATATTAGCGTGGTCAACTGACGCGCATGAAATCAGCCTTTGCCCCTGGACAACCGCTCATCAGCTCTTCGGAGAGCGTACCATTCCGACTGACGCCCAACATGCAAAACTTTGTGACCCGTGCCGGTGTCGAAGGTATCATCACGGGAACCTGTACTGCGATGGCAAGATGCCTCACTTCGCCAGAGTTCGATCTATCTGGCACTCTCTGTCTGTTCATCAGAGACGAGGTATGTGATCTCTTCGATACAAGCATAGCATATACTTACCCGGCTGTCTAGCTTCTGATCTGGCACAACACCTATTTGAAGGACTCTCGTCTCGACAAGCCCTTGCTTGGTCACGTGTACAGGAATGTAGACTCTTTCATCCGAAGAGTTAGCACCATGGGTTATATCGGCGAAAATCGTGATAGAGTGAGTCTGATTGGTCACCAGATAATCGGCAGTGGCTGATACAAATGCTAGTCTACGAGCGCACCCCCTGTGGTACATGCCATCGTGTCTCTTATATCTCAAGCCACGTCAGCAATTAACCTTGCTCAAATGGGAGAGATTTATATGCCGTGGTATTAAGCTCAGATTGAAATGAGGGAGGCACCATTAAGCTTTGTGTGATGAATTGATGAGAGGCGGTATGAAGGTCGGTGGGTCGATAGAGACAATTTTTGTCTATTGTTTTTCGTCCTTTTTAGCAGTAATCAAAAGTAGTACGCGGTATATACAGTCTTGTTGTAATTTGATATTTCATAGCTTCCGAGGATTCCAATGCATAGTCTATGAACTGCAAATTAAAGCACGCAAGGTCGTTCGTTACTGGTCATGAGGATCGTGAGCCAGTGCTATATACCTGTCTGTTTGTTCAGCGCATCGACAATGGCCCCGAGTCGTCTATAGTCTCTCAAGAGGACTCCTATCTCGGAGACGCGGATGTCTCCAGCTTCACCTGTACGTCTTCAGCTAATGCTACATGAGCGACGTGGCACTTACAGGTCATGAACCGCTCGATGGGAGGCTCGAGAGCATCTCCAGAATTGGATAATGAAAGCGAGGCAGTGCTTCCCTTTGGCGAGTTGGCGGCTCTCGTCAGATGTGACTCGATTGGGTTGCCGCCGAGAAGGGACGACCGGCGCCCATGACCTTGGTCACTAGCACCATGAGCTCGAGGATGATTGTGATTCTGGAAAAAGAACTGTAGATGCGTGAGTGTGGCTCTTGTAGGAAAGTGAGGTATTCACCTTGTTGACTGGATGGGCCTCCGCAGGGGTACTGTCGCCAGGGGGTGTGTTTGACGAGCTGCTGAGCCTACCCAGCACACCTATGGACGCAAGTCGATTACTCAAGCTGACCCTCTCCTGCTTGGGTGTATCATCTTTCTCTTTCCCATCTTGCGGTTGCCCCTTTCCCTTCTCCTTTGGCTCAGGCTCCTCTTCTTCACTACTCTCATCATCTTCCTCGCTACTGTCTTCGTCACTCGAAGGGTAATCACTCTCCCTTTCCCGGATCGACCCTGGCCTCGAGCTCACTTCTACTAGTTCCTGAGTACCGCCCCAAACTTGCTCGCTCGCTCGTGACGTGGCTCGTGAGCGATTGCGGGCTGCCGCAGCAGCTGCAATACCCGCCACGCTTGCAGTCACGCTCGCAAGAGAAAACGTCGATGCTTGGCGTGGGCGCATACCCGGCCTTGTCCCTTCCGCAGAGATCGCCAAGGTATTTTCATCTGCTTCGCCGTTGAGAGCGACGTTGTTGTTGCCCATAAAACCTCTGAAAGCAGACCAAGACGAGTCCATGACCTCGCTGATGACCTTGTTGGCCGAGCCTGCCGCCGTACCGGCAAACTCTCCAACTCTTCCTCTGAGACGAGAAGAGGCACTGGCAATGCTGGCCGCATCTACATTCCCCTCGGCCATATATCCCAGCCCGATGGGCGACAAGTCGTCTATACTCATCACCTTGTCCTCCTCGCCTCCGAGCCCGAGTTCACACAAGTTTACATGCTCGAGGAACTCGACCACGGCCGTCAAGTTGACAATGGCGTAGCTTGCTTCGCCAGTAAGGCAGATGGCAGAGCGGTAGCGACGGAGGTACATGAGCTGAGAGGCGAGCTGGGGGGGATTGGATTTGACGACGGCGTAGATTATGATGGGTAACATGAGGTCGGCACCGGAAGTGGTACCTGCTTTGGTGGACTGTGGCTTTGGAGGGGGCGCAGAAGACGAGGTTTCTGTCAAAGTGGTGACAGAATCCGACATTGCTTCGGCAAGCTGTGCCTCCTCAGCAGGTTCGGAAGTCTCGTCATCATCCAGCACCAGCTGAGGCACCGATGGGCTCTTGTTGAGATCAGGATTCAGGACAGCGGCCTGAGGGGTAGCTTCGACGTCGTTGACCGCCGAGACAGATAGAGGGTCGCTCACAGCCGATGTCACCGATCTGTCCCCAGAGGATGCAGAGCTTTGTCTAGTCATGGTATTAGAGTTTGATGATCTCTTTGATGAATTTGAGGAGCGGGACAAAGTCTGGGTTAGAGGCAGAGGTTCAAGGATAGTGGGATCCTCAGGAATCGAACCCGGCTCTTCAGTTTTTTGATATGACTCGCCTTCTGGCCGAAGTTGCACTGCAGGAAGGTTGTCAAGACCATCTAGGACGCGTCAGCTAGATACACAAGATCGCAATGAGTGACTGACCAACAACAATCTTGTGGGCTTTGATGAGGACGTCAGTCTTTGCCTTTGGTGTAAGACAGTCTGCCCGGCTCAGCTTCTGTAACTCTTCGCCGATAGACTCTACAATATTGTAGAGCCCTTTTGCAATGGTGCCCTCGGGTTCTTCTCCATCCGGCCGTGTGATCAACCCCAAATGATCGAGTGACAGGTCCAGCATGTTGAGCGCGGCTATCCGGGAAGCCAATGCTTCATCATGCCGCGAATCGTCGGATTCCAAAGGGGAGAAGAGTCTAGAAGTTTCAGTAACGACCTCGCAGAAACAATCACCTACCTATTGTACAGCAGCCTCGCCAACAATCCCTCTACGCGCTCTGTCCCATCACTTGCGTCCTTTTCAATCCTCTCTTCAAACTCTCTCCTCTCTTTTTCCTTTCTCGCCTTTGAATCCTTTTCGTCCTCGCCCTCCTTCTCCTGTGGGTGCGACCTCGCCCACGATCCCCCACTCGCTTTTCTTTTCAATCCTTCGCTCGCGTCTTGCCGATACTGGGTAAACAGATCATCGTATATGCTTTCCACGAAATCTTGCAGTCTCTCGCCCGTCTCGACGGGGTCGCTAAAGTTGAGAGCCAGGATACTATCCAGGTCCACCCCATGGTGCCCCTTGAGCTGCCCCTTGAGCAGCTCTTCGGATCCCTGGGGAGTAGGACAAACATTGGCTACCCCCAGCCTCACCACCTTGTCCACTGCTTTCTCGGGAAGACCCGCCAAGCTCTCTTTGATATGCACCCTCACACTTTTGGAGATCGCCTTGTGGGTCTCGTGGAACCGTATGGTTTTGGAGACAGTGTATGCTGATACGGTAAACCCTTCGCCGTTGCGTTTCGAATCAGACATGATGGAAGCGGCGTCTGCTTCGAGGTTGATTGTTGATGGCTTTGGGCTCGATGGACCTGGAGAAGAAGGCCGAGAGCGCGGGGGAGATCGCATATCAGGTTTAAGAGCTTCCGGGCGAAGCAGTGGAGAAGTCGCAAGCGCCTTATTGTCATGCACCGGGCTAGCGTGATTCGACCCTCCACCGCCAAACAATGAAGCGAAAGGGTTGATTCGCCCGAGTTTGCCAGGTTGAGCCTTCTCCTTTTCTCTTGTTTCCGGAGTGTGAGGAGGCGGTGCTTTGGAAGGCGGGGGGAAAGACAGCACAGCCGACTCTGGAGAGAGGGTCAAGGAAGGGAATGCCGAGGATGGTGTTTGGGCCGGGCGAAGGGATGAAAGTATGGACTGGCGAGTCGCGGGGTCTTTCAGCGAGCGCAACAGAGGCGAGTCTGGTGGTATTGCAGATTCTATAGTGATATTACGACCCCTGAGGGTCCCGATAAGACCAGAAAGCGTGACGATGACGCTGACGGATTCTTGTTCTCCCGAAGGGACAGGAGGGGAAATGAATGTAACGTGATCTCTCAACGTTTGTGGCGTCATGGGAAGCGATGAAGAGGGTGTTGTGGGAAGTAGCAGAATGGCCTATTCGCCATTAGCACGGCAGCCACAAGTAGTTCCATACTCACCTGGCCGCCTATGAGGATACGCAACAGCTCGCCCCAATCGCCACCCTCTCCCATCTTTGCCCGTCCCAGCTGTCCCTTGTCAAAGATGGCATCGATCATAGACATTCCCATACTCCCGTTACCAAGCCCTACACCTTGAGCTGCGGCCTTGAGGCTTTGCAACTGCAAGCGACTTGTGAGAGAGCTCGTGCCGGTAGCGCTTGCGGTGATAGGTACCGCCGACTCGTTCGCCTGGGCAGGAGGATCCGAATGGGAAGGTGGGAGCGCAAATGTCGTCGAGGTGGAAGTGGATGTTGTGGGCGGGGCAGATACGGCTGTTGGTGTGACTGGGGATGGCGGTGCGTTGCTGCCTGGCAGAGCAGCGGGCTGTAGCGTAGGCGACGACCCGCCTACGGATGTCCCGATTATGCTATTTGTGCTGCTGACCGAGCCTATACCGCCGCCGTGTCTTTGCCTCGGCTTGTACGGCAGCGGAAGTGTGTCGGAGGGAGAAGACTTTGACCATGAGCCGGATGACTTGTGGCGGAGGTTGGGAGGAGCGGTGGGCGGGGTGTCGTCAGGGACTGTGGGGGAGGACGCTGCGAGGAGGGGGTGGGCGAGGGGCTCTTTGTGGCGGGCAGTGCGGGGGAGGGAGAGGGAGGCGAAGAGGGAGGGCTTCTGGGGGGGATCCATGGCGGAGATGGAGATGGAGTGGAAATATCAGAGGATATGGACGGATGCACAAGTGCAACACAAGTGGTCCGACGGGGACGCCACCGGTGGAGGGCCCCGCGTGGCAGCGAGGCTTCTCTGAAGTTGAACCCTCAAGGGACATCCCGAAGGAGATGGGACACTGCAGAGAAGACGAGAAAGAGAATCGGATATACCTCTCGGGACCACAGTCATACATGCTAGACGACAAGACCACATATTTAGACGAAACATATCTAGTGAACCACTCCTCTATATCCAACGCGTTGCACGAGCCTACACGGCATCGAGCCCAGCATACTCGCTACGCTGCATGTCAGCGACCCCGCTTGCGGCTATGGATGAGCGACGACTCACGACTCGACTCCAGGCTCCAAAAGACCCGCATGGGCGCCAACAAGACATCCAGAGCTTCCAACAAGCCAGAAGAATGTAGAGATAGGGGCCGCAAACCACAGCAGGGGAATGCCTGTATAGAATGGCGACTATAAGCGAGGAAACATAGGGACTGAATGAGACATACCGATCACGAAAAGACCGACATAGAGGTTTTGAGGGGTGATGGTCTTGCCATTGAACTCGATGGGTTCAGGTACTGGACAGGTCAGTCACGCCCGTCCGAGTATACCGCATCGTATACATACCGAAGCGGTTGATGGCAAGGAAACCACCGATGAGAAATCCGAGAGAGATGAGGAGGAGAGGATTTGTGATGAGACTGTAGACTGCCAGGAGAGAGATTACAATGGCATAGTTGGCGGAAAAGTAGCGACTGCGCGTGCACTGTCAGTGATATGGCATGGAGGAGGCAGACAGGACTGACACATTGTAGCTGGCGCGCTTGAGATACTCCTGGGTGTCTTTCGGGCGGGAGACGCGCTGGTAGTCAAAGAACTCTCCCGGATGCCTGATCTGGGTGGACTTGAGGGACTGGGCGTAGTTCTGGAGGTTGTTGACGTGGCTGAGGACGTCCATGGTGCTGACGAGATGGATGTCGAGATGGATGGAGATATAAGTGAGTGAACTGTTGATGCCACAGCCTCGCGTCGATCGCAGCCACCGCGACGTGGCTTACGTAACAGTGGGTTGACTATGAACTGGCTCCTCCAGTCTATCTCTCGCTGTGCCCCATATATCCATCACCATGTCTCCCAGTAGACATCCCGGCGCCATGTCCCCCCTCGCCCCCGCCCCAGCAGCAGCATCGCCAGACATCAACCCCTTCGCGCCCCTCTCCCCAGACAACAATCCGCCCCAGCCCGTCCCCCTCTCCCAACACGACAAGCCCCTCGTCACATACTCCAGACGCGAGCTGCTCCTCATCGCCGCCCAGCATCCCAACCCACCCCCGCCAGAGGACATGGGCCCCCTCGAGTCCTGGTTCGGGTGAGTCGTCCGGCACATCCATTCACAGTCCGACTGACACCCTGCAGGACGATATCGAAACCGCAAAGTAACAGCAGCTACGAAGACCCCGCTATCGCTTCCATAGGCCACCAGAATGGCCGACGCAACAACAATGGTGGGAACGGATTTGGTGAAGGGTTTGGCTACGGAGGCGGTATTGGCGGTGGGAGTCGTTTGAACAATGCGAGAGGAACGAGGAATATCGGGTCCGTGGTGCGTCTCGTCTCTGGACTGTGCTGACACCTCGATAGACTGAGGCGACTGCCAGAAGGACTCGACTTGCCCCCGCACTTGGCGCCGCCAACCTCGGGAGGCGGGGGTGATAAGGCGTTTGGTGGGCAGATGGGAAGATTCAATGTGAAAAGTGCTAGTCAGATGCGTCTGGGAGGAGATGAAGTGAGTCCAGTTTACCTTGTCACCCGTGTCTGGCTGACCACACCCAGCCCAAGAATAGACGCAACAACAATGAGGCAGACAGCCAAAACCCGGAACCTTGGAGAAGAAACAACAGACAGCAAAACGGCTACCAGCGCGATAACGTCGAGCGCCCGTACACCCAACGTGGTGAAAGAGACCACAGCAGCCATCAGCAACGCGACCGTCGGCCCAATAATTGGCATCAGCCTCAGCACGACGAGGATGCAGAGCCAGAATGGATGAACGACGCGCCTGCGCCCGTAGACTCTGCTATCGTCAGCGAAGCCGCGGACCCGCTCGTCAAGTTTACCCCTGGAGAGGACATGATTGCTGCCCACAAACGCGCAATGAAGACGAAAAATGCCAATGATTGGCGAGGTGGCATGCCCCCATTGCCGGCATTCTTCTCGGCGGACCCTGCCATTGCGTCCAATTCTCAAGCTGCTCCACCTCTAGAGGCAAAGCCTAAAGAGATGAATGCCAACAACTATCTCATGCAGAGAGAAGACCCTGTAGAAGAAGAGCCCCAGGAGTCTGCTCCGCCCCAGGGAGGTTCGGCATTCTCAAGTCGGTTCCATAGGTTCTTTGGGAATCCCGGAGGGGAGGATCCTGCTGGGAGTGCAGGAAGAGGCAGCGCGAGTGCGCCGTTGCAATCGCAGACACCCTTGCAGTCGCAATCGGTGCCAACGCCGCAGCCGCCGGCGGATCATGTGGATCAGAGAAAGGCCACTTTGATGGGATTATTGTCTACCAAGGTCAGTGCGCTCATGTGCTCGAGACCAGCGCTGACAACTCATAGACACCCACTCCCAAGCTCGAGACGCCTTCACTTCGACGTGGCGACACACCCCAGCAGTATTCCCACACACAAATCACCTCGCCCATCGAAAACGTCCCATCATCCATGTCTCCCAACATGTACCAAAACTCATCCCAATACCGCGCACCCCCTAATCCGCTGTTGCAACAAATCTACCAAAACCCCAACCCTCCCATCCCCTCTCCATCACACAACAGCCCGACCGACCCTCTCCAGCTTCTTGCCCAGGCCCAAGCACAACGTCAGAGCCAGCAGCCCCAGCGCCAATCTCCCGCTGGCGCCTACCCCCCGCAACACATGTCGCTTCCTCCACAGTTCCAGAGACCTCCGCCAGGGTTCATGCCATCTCCTATCGACGGCGTGCCTCATCCCGACATGCAAGGCTTCCCGCCCTTCATGCGCCCGCCCCCTGGTGCAGGCTATCATCACCAGGGCCCACCGCCCCCTCCTCCAGGTATCAATGGCGGAGGCTACATGCCGATGCCGTTCTACCAGCAGGGTCCTCCCAGGCCGCCTGGCATGGGTCTCGGTAGTAATGGACAGGGTGGCAGTCAGTACGGAATGCAGCAGGCTGGCCCCCCGGGGATCATGGGCATGCAGCCGCAGGGGCAGAGGGGATATGCCCAGACGCAGGGGCAGTTGAACCATTCGCAGCAGGATATGCTGGCTACGCTGTTTGCCGGGCTGGAACCCAGGAGTCAGATGTAGATAGACATCCATCGATCGTGCCATGAGTTTGAGCCTTCAAATGTGTAGCCGTCCAGCTCAGTAGTATCAATAACGCAAGCCTTCATCTGTACCCATTATGTGACTATCGGAGTACTGGTTTTATCTGGAGACATATCATGCATGCACTTAGCACGGCCGTTTTCGTTACTGCTTCTGTATTGCACTCTGCCAAACAAGATTCGCTTACCCCTGACCAGCATATCTCCCTCTACTCCATCCCTTCCACAACTCGGCCCAAAGCTCCCTTTCTCCCTCTCCACCCGGTCCTTCTCCAAGCCCAAATGGTGTCCCCAGCCCTTCTCCTTCTCTTCCCCTAGCACCAGCCCGACCACCACTCGTTGTCAAGTCGCACAACGCAAACAATCCTATCTCCAGCTCCTTTCTCACCGCGGCCTCGTACCCTTTCGTCGGGTCCGAACACGCCCGCACATATGCCACGAGTATGGCAGGGACGTGCTTGGCGAGGGGACTTGTCTCGTGTGGGTTGTCGGCGCGGGATGGTTTACTTTGCGCCAGGGAGACGAGGTAACGGGCGAATAGAGTCGATGAGGCGGCGGAGAGGGGTCTCTCGGCGCTGCCTTGAAGAAGCGCGGCGCGAGAGACTTGGAATCTGGGAAAGATGTAGCATACAGTCTGAACAATCTGCGGCAGAGTGGCGAAAACCAATTCGGGCCTTCGACGATCGATGATGGTGAGAATGTTGATGATAGAGGTGAATGTTTCATTGCCGATGGGAGTGAAGAGGATCTCGTAAAGGGCGGAGAGTATGAGAAGAGCATCGTCTGTTTGAAGAAGTGAAAACTTGTCTTCGACAATGGATTCGACAAAGCTGATGGCACGAGCAGGGCTCGGTGCTGATGATATGCCAGTCTGAATAACCTGCCGGATCAATTCGGGCTCTAAACTCAACGTCAATATCTAGTAGGGCGTCGCAAAGATATCACTCACTATTGCACGCCTTGGTCATTGCCCGCAAGGCGCCTATGATCGCTTCTTCTCGACCGGAATTGGCCTGTAACAGATGAATGCAAGCACCCATAGCCTCGTCTATGTGGTCCTTGAAAGTCTCTCGGACAATCTCATCAAGTTGCCCACCAGGCAAGACCGTATAGAAGACGACAGTGACTGCCAGAACCTGATCGAGCCCTTCGCCCTCATCGAGCAGCAATTCCAGCACACCCCTTGTCGCCTTCCCCGCATCTTGTACTCTGAGCCTTGCAACACCTGGGGCCAACTTGAGACCAGCCTTCTCCTCGGAGACTGGCACACCAGACCAACGGGCGAATTGCCGAGCGACGACATAAACGGGGACAAGATGGCTCAAATTCAGAGTCGCGTCGGTATTGTTGAAAAGGGAAGGAATGATGGCAACAAGTTTCTCGGACAACGCAAAGAAATGGGTTCTGGTCGTGGATGGAAAGCTAAGAGTGGTTTAAGCACGCATCGCATGGTCAAGGTTTTCACAAAGCATACCTCTCCAACGGTCCAGCAGCCATGGCTTGTTGAGCAGTTCTAGCAATCATCTCGAGCTTCCCCGGGAACGTCCTATCCTGGGGCTTTTTCCCTGCCCTCAAGTAGTCCAGATGATGAACAAAGAGCGTGTCAAACTGGCCAGAGTACTGTAGCGGAGCTTTCAAAAGACGTCTGAAGGGCAAATCAACACAAGTATCTGGCTCGTCCCAAAGAGACTCACGGCAGGATCTTTGACCAAATTTTACGAGCGTATTCTCCGTCAGCATTGGGTTTTTCGGCGATCTTGACAAGCCTCAAGAAAATGGTGTCGTCGCTCAACTACAAGAGTCAATTAGCATGTTTTGATACCGACTGCTTGGGCAGAACATACCACAGGCCCGGTGTAATCAAAGTATTCCGCCATGATACTCAAGAAATGCACCCCTTGATCCAAATCTTCATGCTTCCACAATGCGTCCGCGGCGGCAGTCCTCACATGCTTTGAGAGGTAATTCGGAGGCGTTCTCTCAAGAAATGCGACGAGTTGTGTAGCGCTGATTTCTTTGAGATAGTCCGAGAGACCTTCGCATACACCTGTTTGTATATGGTCCAATTCCCAGAATCCAGCGTTGGACAGGATGCTAGAGTTGTGATGAGCAGCACGGATGACGGTCATGGCGAAGCGTTTCAGTTGTTTGGGGGTAGCGACGAGACTGCAAAGGTATCAGCTTGCGTGTAGTCGACAGGAGCAAGGACCTACTCGATGATGGCAGCATTGTCCACGACGATCTGCCAAAGATCGACATTTCCAGGAGCGTTACTCTTCGATGAATGTTGGACGCGGTCAAAGGCGGGTTGTTCAACGTCTGAGCAAAACTCCACAATAGCGTCGAGCTCGGAGGGGAAGGTCTGATGGACCTTGTGATCGAGCTGCAAGTTCAAAGCGGCTCGGTGGAAAGAAAATTTGGTCTGTGCTTTGTCAGTTCCTCGCATGCACTGATTGGACTTTTGACTCACGAGCGCCAAAAGCAGCTCCCTATTGGCAGTTCTGGCTGTGAGAGCAGCATCGACTCCCGTCTCCGTCGTACAGCTCCTGTTCAACAACTTTTCGACGGCGATGGTCAGCCTCAACCGCGCAGCGCTGTTGACACCCCCAGCTTCTGTCTTGACGTCGTTTGCTCGCCCGGAAATATTGAGCGGTGCCTGAGCCCACTTGTCGAGGAAGGTTGCAAAGTCGCTGACTACGTCGCCCTCTATCTCGCCGTCATAGGTAGTATCTACGACAGCCTCGATACACCGGGTGATCCATCGACTTTTGATACCAGTCAAAGCAGCAGATCTGGCAGAGAGTTGGCCAGAAGAAGTGGCCCATGACGGCTCGGTGAGGGCTTGCAGACTGGAAGCCAATGCAGTAAAAATACCAGTCCACTGAGGACTTCGCCTCTTGCCGGGATTGGTCGTCTTCAAAGCAGATACAAAATCTTCTCTGATGGCTCGCTGGCCAAGAGGACCACAAATGACAAGCTTGTATAGGTGTGGGACAGCCTGGTCGGGAATAGAGGGGTCGAAGAAGCCTTCGACTGTCGTGTTGAGCAACTCGAAGAGTGAAGGAAGAGTGTGGGTGAGTTGATGATATCGGATGATGGAGGAGAGCAATGGTACGGTGTGATCAGACTGAGCTGTGGGAGCCTGCAGATCATTAAGCATGTGAGATCGTGGTCAGCAGTTGGACTCACGGCAATGACCCATCGCATTAGATCGGGACCTATGTTGGTCCTATCGTGATCCACCTTCTCAATGATGGACAAGGTCTGGATAGCAGCCCTCAAAAAATTCTCGTTCGTAGCAGTAGGTTGTGTATTGAAATTCGACAACACTGCCTCGATACGTCTAGCCGTGGCATCCACAAGTCGGCCCCAAGGCTCTTCCCTTTCCATGTAACCTCCCCAGTCCGCGAGAGCCTTCCAAGTCGCTGCTCTGCTCTCCCAGAGCCACACCATGCCTTCTTCAACTTCCGAGCTGGCGGGAAAATTCTGCAATCGTGTCTCGAGTGTCTCGAGAAAGACGAGGACTCGATCCAGGGATTGACGAACAGAGTCCCGTTCTTTGGAAGCGACAAAAACGTCATGAGGCAGTTTGCTGCTAGACGGTTGAGCAAACAAGGTCGAAGAATCTTGATGGTAAGTGGAGGTCAGGCTTTTGAAGATGGTAGGCAATGCCAAGAGGCAGCCGTGGGCTACAGCAGCTTCGTTCAATTTGGGCTCTGCCGCCGAGAACAGCCCACCAAGAGGCTCTGATGCCTGAAGGACTGCAGTATTGAAAATGATTGATGACAGGGTATCATTGAGTTGATTTCTGAGGTAGGCATGCGCCAAGAAAGCCTGGCAGTACACCGGGAAAATAGCATTGGCTGCTTGAGCATTCTTTTTCGCGCTGGTGTTTGAATATTGGCTTCTTTCAATACCAGAAGCGATCAGGCCAGCAATGGTACTGATAGGCGCATTTTGCTGGGCAGAAAAGGACGGCAGAGACAAGAATTGGACCAGACTAGTCCACGCATCTACCCAACTCTCCGTTTTGTAGGTGATCTCTTGGGGGTCGAAAATGGCTGCAAAGCTCTTCGCAGCCGACCTTAGAAGCGATACTGTGTTTTCGTTCTGTTGCAGGGAGGAAAAGAATGTCGACAGTATTTGGAGGGGGGCAGGGGATGCGAGATCATGAGTCTTTCCTACTCTGAGTAAGAGACTGTGATACTCTGTCTTCAGGATGGCATTATTGTTGTTACTGTGACCGTCTCGATGAGCCTTCTGCTTCTAAGGTTTCAGGCAAAACTCACTTGGCTCTAGCCTTGGACCAAGTCTCAAGGATCCAGTCTCTCAGTATCTCTGCTTTCCGGGGGATATCAAAAGTCTTTGCGTTCCAGGCTTCGAGAGCTATTTGAGCCTTGGATGGGCCGGGGGAGACGGGGGGATCGTTGCTCGCTCTGAGCGATTTGATGAGTGCCGAGGCGGACTGGAGATACTCGGGTCCGGACGCCATCGCGAGTCTATGATTTTGAGGAGTAGGCGGTGAATCAGAGCCGTGGTTTATTTTGTATTCATGGCAACCAAATAGTTGCCAAAAAGGTGGAGGCCGAAAAGTGGAGGAGGATGCCTTACGTAATGGTATCTCGCGCAGCTGCAGAGGAGGAGGAGCAGCAACTATTCAACTATACAACCAGGCAACGATACAAGCAATCCCATGAAGTCATGTATGCCGGATACCCTGGCGCGAGCCATGACGTTTGATACGTTATATGTATGCAAGAAACGGGCTATCTGGTACCAGCGCGCCGTCGACCGCAGCATTACCTTTGTACAAATGAAAGCTACATAGCGTTTGTGAAATACTACCTTGCCTAACTCCAATCATACATCTCTCTCTCCGTTCCTCTTGTTGCCCGTCAAATGCGAAGTGACACCTTCATTCCTCGCCCGCTCCCACGCCTCATCTTCCTCAGCATTCGGTATCGCGTACCCTCCTCCATTCAAGCTATCCGAGCTCCTCCTAGGTGCAGATCCATGTCCGGTCAGATGAGCCGTGACACCCTCTGATCTAGCCCTATCCCAAGCCTCCTCCTAAGCCCTGTTCTCCCCGATGTCTCTTTCCCTGGGAGGCGCGCCTGCAGGAGGCGCATAGTCTCCCTGTGCCCATTCGGCGCCGGGGTGGTAGTCGGATTTTTCGTACCCGGCAGGAGGAGGAGGATTGTTGGCGTAGGGACCAGGGGGGCCGGGAGGCCCAGGATAAGGTGGCACCATCCATGCTTGCTGCCCGTCCGGAGGGGGGGGGAAGCTAGACTGCATGGGAAAGGCTTGATTTTGATTCTGTCGGTAGTTCACTCGCTCCCGAACGGAGGTGGGGTCGAGAAGTTGGTGGTAGTAGGAAAAGTACGTCGATGCGAATAGGAGCTGTGGGTCATTAGTGCCATTGCATTGATGTACCACATGTAAACTCACAGAGATACCGAGAGTGATGAGCAACCAAGCAAAGACACCCCAAGTTCCGCGGTTCCACGAATTGTTACAGACTGTTGATCTGGTCAGCAGTGATTATAGCCTCGTCGGGTAAACCACTTACTAGTGTTGGCTTCTGTGTTGGTGACGTTGAAAGACGAGCCACTCCAGCTCTGTGACGGATGTTCAGTGGCGGTATTTCATAGAGCTCTAGGTATCACTCACGTCGCTGAAAGAATCGCCCTCCTCATTCGTCACACATTGGCTGATCAAGTCAGACTGAGACAAAGATCAGATCATGCCAGAGTAGGGGAAATGATGGGACAAACCTTGAGGGTAAAGTGCGCAATGATGGACACGATGCTGACTGCAAGGTTGACCAAAACGCCCACAGGAACAAGGACGATGAATAACCTCGCCAGCTGGAGGCTTTGCTGTTGGCTGTGTCAGCACTGATCTGCCCATTCATATGAATATGATGAATCACCATGATAGCTACAGCAAGGACAAAGAGCTCCGTCCCCGCAATGACGAAAAACATTATGGCCTCGATGATATCGAAGACCTTCATTTTGCTCGTTTCTTTCTCGACTATCAGTATCCCTTTCAAAGATGAAGATAGAGTACCACTCACCTCCATCATCGTTCCTGTCTTTGATACTTTCTACACCCAGAGCGATTCCATAGATGAACCCCACTATCGACACAAATATCACGATAGGTCTGAGTGTGTAAGGGTAGACCTTGCGCACGACAGCAGTATAGCGGGGTGGAGGACCTGTTGAGGGCGAAACATGGTTTTCAATGGCAGAAGGATGAGGAGGTGGCGTGTTGTTGTCGGTGACGAGAGGAGGGGGCGGGGGAGTGTTGGCGGTTTTGGCACGGAATGGAAAGACCATTGTGGTGAGGGTGTTGTTTTGGTGAGACAATTGGATACAAGATGGGGATTTTGAATTTCAGCCGTATGGGACGCATGGATATAGAGAGGCGGCGTTCCAATGCGAGGAAGATATTATTAGAGCGTCACCGTGGCAAGTTGCGGGGTCGATGTGGTGAAAGGAGAAGTGAAGGGATTTATTGGGGGCGTAGAAGCCAGGCAGAGAGACACCGGGCAATGAGAGAGGATAAAGCGGCAGGAGAAAGTTGGTCGTCAGCAAAAGTGTCATGGATTGTCATGGTGACAGCTGCCAGTCCGACGACTACCCGGTGGCCAAGTGACAGCTGGCGCTTTGCGGGCTGGTAGGGAGGCAGAAGGCAGGGCAGGGGTATAGAGATATACGCACCGGAGGGAGGGGGAGGTCGTGTGGCCGACGACATGGCTTGGGATTGGTCGTGGAGTGGGATAGACGGTGGATGGAATGTTTGTGGACGAGTGACATAAAAGTGCGGCAAGACACTCGATCTTCCTGCGGCCGGTGGCGGTGGAGGGAGGCGGTGTTTAGCTCCAGCACATCCGTTTCTGTCAGTCGTGCTACAAATCTGCACTGTTCCGCCAGTGGTACACAAAGCCTCTACTGGGAGATCAATACGTATCGTTCCGAGCAGGTACATGCATATATGCGCGCGGGAGGCAAGTCGGACCACTTCAGTATCTCATGCCCAACTAGATAAAGCTGGCGCCCGATCATTGTGCACAGACATAGACTGATGTACCAGCAATCAGGATAGCAGGTCCTACATGATAATATATGCAACATTCTACAAGCCGACATTGATGGAAAAATGGAAGCCGCCCCCTCCTCCCAGTCATCTCAGTCTCTACTCGCTACGCCCAATACAACTCCACCAGACAATCTCGTCAACGACTAACACTCCGCCTCACTCCTCTTCCTCGCCGACGTCTTCCATGACCTGATCCTCGGCGTCCATTGCCCCATTCTCCTCGGTTCCGTAGAACTCTTCCTCGTTTCCACCGAGTCCCGATCCCAAGCTGTTGTCTAGAGCAGCTTGGGTATACTGGGAGCGATTACTCGCAACATATCCTGGTAGACACGACGTAGAGCTACCCCCTCCCCGACCCTGTGACGTACCGGCTGCTATTGAGCTGCGTCGGCCCTCGCGCTGGGTCAAAGAGGTTTCTGCCACCTGCGCTGCTGATCGGGAAGAAGTTCCCCTCGACCGACCACGGCTTGATCCAGCCACAGGGGTAGGGCTGGCATCTCGCGCCGACAGGTTGAAAGAGGTGCTGGGATGCAACCAATGACCAGGATCATACTCAGGAGCGTCATCAAAGGGTGCAATAGAAGCTGATGGATGGCTTTGCTCTCGTGGGATGGGCGTCGTCTCATCGTTGGTGCTGAATCCTGACCACATTCTGCCCTTTTGGCGCGTAGGGCTCTTGGATGCCAAATCCCAACCCATCGAAGAGCTTCCGCCAGGCTGCATGATATCTTTCCCCTTGCTAAACCCTTTGCCATGGCCTTTGCTGGGAACCAATTTGGTGGCCCATTTGGCCTCTTCAGCTGCCTTCCGCTCCGCGATGGCCCATCTCTCCCACCTGGGAGGCTGTAGGTTATCGAGCGAGGAGTCATCGACCGGGTGGTCCGACGGCTGCCCGAAGCGGAAGACATCAAAGACCGTTTGGCTGTTGCGGTTGGAAGCCGCGACAAGCAGGTTGCCATTGAAAGCCACTTGCCACACCGAGCTGATGCCTACAACGAGATCCCGGACAAACGTGCCGGTTTTGATGTCCCAAAGTTTTAGAGTACCGTCGGACCCGGAGACGACTTTGACCTCGTCATGCTGGAAACATGTGATGGCTCCGCCAGTAGAGGTCAGGACGTTCTCCATTTCACACGAGCTGGGGTCCCAGATACGGAGTGAGGAATCCGCTGCTGCGGAGACAAGGTAATTGGGGGATAGGCCGAGGAGACCGACAAGTGATGTGTGGCCCTGAAGAGTGTGGAGGCACTCGCCAGATACAACATCCCAGACCTTGACAGTGTTGTCCATAGAACCAGAAGCACATCTCTTACGGTAAGGGTCGTACACTATGCTGTAGACTGGAAAACATCAGCGAGTTGTTCCGTACTGGACTGAGCTCCCAATTGAGCTCACCTTTGGACTCGTGCCCGGTTAAATGGTGCAAGCTAGTGCCAGTGACGATATCCCAAACTCGCACGGACATGTCATATGCCCCAGAAACACAAATTCTTCCGTGGGCAGCAATAGCCCGAACAGCGAGAGAGTGGCCCTCCAATAGATGAACATGGAATGGATTCTGTTCGGGAGAAGCCTGTTCAGCTGTCTCGGGATTGAGCTGTACACCTTGTCAGTGTGATTGCTTCCAAGGGGTACGGACGATACTCACAGAACCTTCATACATAGGGTCGTCCTTCTGAGGCAACTTCCACACTCGCAAAGTCGCATCTCTAGAGCCAGTCACAATCATTGGGACAGGGGGTTGATAAGACTGCGTCTCCTCTTCCCAAACAGGGTCCACGATACGCAAGCAACGGACAGTACTCGTATGGCCGTTGAACACGTGGGTCATTCGAAGTTCTTCTAGATCCCAGATTCGGACCGTCCTATCCGTACTGCCACTGACAAGTGTGTTGTCCTTGTACTGAAGGGTCCACACACCTCCCTCATGCCCGTCCAAACGACGGCGAAGCTGACCGTCGCTCGTGTTGTAGACGTTTATAGAGGAGTCGTCCGAAGCGGAGACAATCTTGTCATCGTCGAATTGAAGGCAAGTCACAACATTGGGGCCGTGGCCAATGAAGGAATTATGCTCAGGCTTAGTATGTATCCAGTCTCTCTGCTCCTGGTACCGTCTGCGGTAAACGTGTTTCAGAGGGGTGGGTCGGTCCGACAGACTGCGGCGGCTGGCTTGAGGCGAGAGTCTATCATCCTCGTCGGATTGGCTCCTCTCCACAAACTGTTCGTGGAGGTCCATCGCCTCGTATCGCTCCCGGATGAGCATCTCTTCGGATTCTTCCGTTCCAAACCCACTCCACAGCCTTTCGTCGAGCAATCTCTGCTTCCAAACACCCCTCTCATTGTCTATGACTCTCTTCCATCTCTTGCACACTCTCGACGCGTTCGCAAGACTCTTGCCGTCGACGTGTCTCAAGATGTGGATAGCAACCTCATGAGGTAGCTGGGTGATGAAGTCTCGGCGTAGAACAGTTGAGATGAAGCTCGATATGCGCTGAATAGTAGGCATGCGAGATCGTCGAAGAAGGTGCATGAGGAAGTGTTGTTGTAGCCTGTCGGGGAGCTGATCGAAGTGTGAAGCAAGCGACGGGAGCGAAAAGAGAGCGGCAAGCTCAGAGCCCGATCCGAGATTGGGCGGAGGAATGGAAGAGGGTGTAGACGAGCCGAGGGTTGTTGCGGCATGGTCTGGCGAGGGCAAGGGTGATAACAGAGCTCGACCACTCTGGTGATGGGGAATATTGATCTCCTCCAGCCCACGGGCCTTCTTTCGCGGAGGACTGTGACGAGCAGCTTCATCCCCCGTGATTGGGGGCGTCGGAGCGTCGCGAACAGACTCCGCAGAGAAGTTCCTCTTCTTATCTTTCCCCTTTATTTGATTGAGAGCCTGAAGGAAGCCGACCTCTTCGTCGACAACTTCTTCGGTAGAAGACTGGACAGGAATGGCTCGGGAAGAACCCAACTTCCGGGTCCAGCCTGGACCTGAAATCTCGCTCTCGACGGCACCGGCACTGTCATCTTGCACCACCACGCGTCTCCCACCAAGAGTCATTGTGAATATTCGGAGGTCTGCAGGAGCTGATTGGTCCGCCAAAGGATAAGTCTCAGAGGAAAGATGATCCGGGAGCCTGAGATTTGTCGGGGACGAGACGCGGGGAAGACTGATAGGCTGGAATGATGTTGTAGTGCGGGTAGTATGAGTGACACTGCAAATATGTGTCAGCTAGAGGGAAAACGAGCACCTGTCTGTACTTACACAGTCTCGACTACGGCATCCTCCATGCGTAATGATGGGCCATCAGTCGTCCATGACACCCCCGACGAAGGACCGCGCCCGCCGGTCTGGGGTGGGTCGTTATAGGCCATCGTGTTCGGTGTTCTCTGCATTGCAGAAGCCAATAAGTCGGTGGGAAAGATGCTACAGTGAGCAAACGGTCTAGATAGAATTTGTCAGCGTCTTTGGTGTACGGTACGCAAAGTCGTCTGAAAGAGAACAAAAGGTGGTTTCCCTTTGTCAACCCATTAGTCTCTGTGGCTTCCTCAAGCACGGGAGCCTGGCTCTGTAGGGACGCATTACTGAGGATATGCACTAGCCTCGTTCGAGCAGCCGTAAAGGACTTGCCGCGAAGCTTTGAAGGAGGTCCAGGTGCCCTTGGCAAAGAGCGAACCCGACGAAGAAAGGAAAGGACACGCCATCATACAATTGCAGCCATTCGTGAGATAGACCTCGACTGACCACTTTGACAAAGGTGTATCCCAGTACCGGTGATCCTTTACTTTCTGTGACGGGCGCCCGCGGGCCAGGAAGGAGGTTCAGAGGCGCGTAGGACTAGCGACAGCGCTTGTTGCAGAGGAGTGTGTAAGGAAGGAGTCTATCTCTGCGTGCAAATAGAGCTATGAGCCTTGTTGGCCAACTATATGAGGCAAGACGCGAGAACGCACTGATAGATGTCAAGATGATGGTGGAGGGCGGGAAGCTGCAGGTTTGAGTCAGCACTTCGTTGGACATGCGTGGAGTAGAGGTACTGGGAGGTGTCGCGGGGAGGCGAAGAAATGAGATGGCAGTCGAGGAGTTGCGCAGACGATAGATAGTACGAGGGAAGATTGATTGAAAGCGAATCGCGTCTGAGCGGCCCACGACGCGCGTGTGCTGCTGGGTGCAAGGAGCGGGATGTCGATTGCGGCTGTGTTTCCGATTCAAATTGTCTCAAAATGCCCTCTGTGACTATGCACAAAGTGTATGATGAATTCCAAACAGAACAAGAAGTCAGACCGTCGAGATGCAGGGGGTGCAACAGCACGGAAATAAGGGATTGAGCGCGAAATGACGCGGCCGCGCTCTCCCGTCTTCACTGCACCGACCTTGAGACATATATCTGTTTGATTTGGTTGTGTTATACGCGCATTCGACATTCAATACAAGTCGTACAGTAGAGTGTCCTTCATGACTGATGCAAATACCAATAGCACGTATAGCTAATGCCACTGCATCTTAGGGCACCGTGAGTCGGCGGCGCCAACAAACAGTAGATGAAAGCAGGTACACATACACATTGATATTTCGAAGTAAAGGGTCTACTCGCTTTTGCTTCTATAAACGTCCCTGCCGATCATCTTCGCCACGTATGCCCCCACAGCCAAGCTGCTCGTCAAACCAGGGCTGTTGAATCCGAGAAGTTCAACGAAGCCCTTTCTGTCCTCTCCGTGTCTGATCAGAAAGTCGGAGAATCCTGCTCCCGGAGGGGCGATGTTGGGTCTGATTCCAGAATAGTCTGGGCTCAATCCGCTGGGATCGATGGAGAGGTAGTCTGAAACAGAACGAGCGAACAGAGAGATTGCCTCAGGAGTGTCGATAGCGGCCAGATGGGATTGCCAGAAATCCGGGTTGGCTTTTGCATCGGCCGCGGTTCCAATCGTCTCGACATCTGGTCCGAACCTGACATGGCCATCAAGATCAAGTGTCTGTACTATGGGTCAGGTCTTCGTACACGAATATCATGATGATATACCCACCAGGTGGGTACCCAAATGGTCCACATTGGCGCTGGGACAAGGGTAGATGAGTCTCGATACTTTGCCAATTCCCGGCCCCTTGTACGACATGTAATTTCCTGACCCGCGGATATTAGCTGCCTTGGTGTCATACCGTACTCGTAAGGTATAATCGACTGACCTTTGACAGGCCACAGGTGGACCATCTCGTCCTCCGGAACGACACCTTCGCATAAGCTCACCGAGTTCAAACCAGCAGCATTAATGACGACCCCAGCCCTCACACTTTCCACCTCCCCCTTTTCACCCTCTCCCAGATCTTCCCAGCCGGTTTCCATTTGCACCACCCACCCTTCGCCCTGCTCTTCCCTATCTATCCTCACCACTCTCGTCCCTTTGACTATCACGCCCTCACCTCGTCGTTCTCCAGATGGAGACGGGTTGTAGTCAGGGTCCTCCGCTTCCAACTCCAAGCTATCGACCAGGCCTTGCGAATCCACGATACCAGTAGAAGGTATGTGAAGCGCTGCGCATACTTTGGACGATAGATCAGGCTCAAGATTCCGAGCTTCATCACCGGAGAGAAATTCCGCGTAAATTCCCGAAGACGTGTTATCGGATGGGTCGGAAAGAAACGATGAGTGAGCCGAATGGGCTTGAAGCCTGTGAAGATAAGGAATCTGGTCCTTTGCAGTCGCGACTACAATCTTTGGCGCCAATGAAGGTCAGGAAAGCGAGCTGCACCGGCTGTGAGCTGACACGCACCTTCCCAGTGTTCTTGTACCCAATCTGAAGGCGCTGGCATCTGTTGTAGAGCAGGTCTCGCCCAGCGATACACAGTCGCGACTTCAAACTTCCTACTGGATAGCTATGTCAAGGTCAGATACTACTCATTTTGTTGGCTTCAGTTATCTTACTATATACCAGAGTGAATAACTTCCGAGTTTCGAGCTCTGTCATCATCAGCTATATGACAGGACATTGTTCCGTTGCGGATCTCACGTCGTTTCTTGGCCCAACTGAATGCGCAATATCAGCTGCAGGCTCTAGTCCTTCTGATAGATTGCATACCTGCCCACGTCGTTCTACGACGAACGTGGTCCTGTCCCTCCCAGTCTGGTTTACTAGTGCCGCAGCCACACTCAGGCCGACAACCCCGCCACCCACTACAAGATGGTCGACAGAGGTGGATGGGGGCTTGTAAGGGTAGAGCTGACGTAGAAGTCTCGCACGGGACACAGTCATAGTATATGTGATGTAGGTGATGGCCTGTGTAATCTGCTGGTATTGCAGCTGGGCATACGGGAATGAGCAAATGAAGGCAAGGAAGAGAGATGTATATCGGCTCTGCAACGGCTTTGACCGGAGTTGCCTCCACCGAGTCCGGCGCGCGGACCGCGCGCCATGATTTGACGCGTTCGACTTTTTGATGTTGACAATTCACCACCCGTCAAGAGCTCGGAGTCTGCCTAAGCAATATCGCTCACAACAGCATTTGCATTGCTACTATCGATACGTGAAAAGTCGAACAACTGTTGATTACACTGTCCCAAGATCGATTACAAGGAGGCAGAAAAGCATCGAAATGATCTGATCTCTAACCTAACAAGGCTGTAGGCCCATTTTATATTTCGTGTCTATTATGATACAACTGCGATTGCCGTTCGTTGACTCTCTCCTTGTCTAAACCACCCTGCTTCCTGCACTGACTTGACGCATGGTGGTCCAATCCCCAATTTCACCCGGGCGCACTAAAGAAACGCGCTTAGCCGCCTTCGTCTTCTGCCAATCTTCCGCTTCCTCTCCCATATCGCCCTCTTCCTCAACATGCGCGACGTTACTCCTGTCATCTCGTAATGACTCTCCGTTATGGGGACCGAAGTATGCATCCTCTCGGTCTGCACCTTCCTCGCCAATGTCCATTGGGCTTTCCATGACAAACATGGGCGTCATTCGGCCACTGGACATATCTCCATAACTGTCCTTCCTCCTCGGTACTTTCGGCCGATCCAGTACATCTGCATCGTCGAGAGTCCCTGTTCGGGATACAGGGCTTTCGTTGATATCACTCGACTTGCGCTCAGACTCCATGGGACTAAGCAGATTGTCGGAGGATACAGTCTGGCGTCGAGAATTTGGAGCCGTGCTGGTGGTGGTGATACTGATCGTCGTGTCGCGTGAACTTGGCCGCCATCGACGGTCACGGTCGTCGTCTGACGGACGACGGAACATGATTGGAAGCTCTCCCGGACTGGTGCTGAAGTGGTCCCCATCATCCGCGACGTCATTGTCCTCAGGAAGTTCGAGCACAGGTACGCTCCTACCTTCGCCTTCGTCTCTGGCGACATCATGAACAACACCTCTCACACCATCTTCTCTCAGACTACGTGCAGCAGCTTGGAGAGCGACATGCCGCACCTCCTTCCACTCACGCTCCTCCCTCTCTGCTTCCCATTGGAGCACGTCGATCCAGAGATGCAGCTTGGAAAGCGTAATCCGTTCTGTACGCACTCGTCTGGCTATCGAGGGCACAAGGGAGCTTAGATGGTCACGAGTGGATTTTTGAAAGGGGGTAAGGAGTTGGATGTTGCGAGCCAAAAGGAGAGAGGATCGGATGGCGCTTTCGACAGGCGTGACCTTTTCTCGCAGGACACGGACCTGGTTCTGATAGAGGAAATCAGTGTTTGCCAGATATGTCGTGGGCCATCACTCACCTCGATGACTGCCACTCGCGAGACATGGGAATAAGGACTGTCTGCTTGTTGCTGGAGCGATTGCTTGCGGCTTGCAGGGTTCGACTCCGCGCCCCCGCGCCCCGCAGCCAGCTCTGCCTTGACCACACCAAAGACCTCTTCAAGCTGCTCGCCTTCTTGCAATCTTTCATTGGCGCCATCTACATCTACGCCCCTGACCTCACCTGTAGACGGCTTCCTCGGCTGAAGTCCCGATTGAATGCCGGGATCCCCGAATACAGCCCTTCTCCCGGAGGAAGACCCGTCGCCATTGTGCAGAGAGGATTGGCTTTCACCGCCTCTGAGATCTCGCCTGTGAGACGCAGCAGCGGCAGCTCCTGCAAGAACTGCTTGGTCTTTCCTCATCGTGGCTCCGCGCATTTTGATGCCAGCTGTCTTAAAGGCAGAGGCATAGTTGATGAGTGTGACCCATTCGTTCATTTCAAACTCGTCGGCCGCCTGCATGAGGTACTGCTGATGTTGCGAGATGACAAAGCGGAAGGTATTTGGTTGCTAGTGTATAATCAGTATTATTCACTGATGATCGAGCAGTACATACAGAAGTGCAGGCTTGATCGAAAACGGCAATACAATCTTTGACGGGGAATACTTCATCTGGCTTGAACATTGCCATTCGAGGGAGTAGCAGATGGCCATCCTTATTGATCTTTGAGCTAGCACGTGCCTCGAGGAGAGTCAAAGCCCATGTCGGGTCTTTGAAAAATAGCAGTTGGGACTGAGTCAAAACGACGCTCCACGACCTCCATTTACGATTGATCTTCTTGCTATTTTCACCGTTGCCCTCGTCTGAAAACAATTTAGCATATGCACCTGACCACGTAAGATTGACATACCTTTACGCGAGATGAGGCCAACTTTGGTCACTCTCAGAGACATATCTCCTTCCAAATGAGCTCTGCCTAGTTGTTTTCTACCAGGCGTTGCCATCTTACCAGTATTCTTCCTCTGCAGCTGCGGTGCTGGTATAAGGAGATTGTGGGCGGTAGCAAACGTCTGGCTCAGGCCATTAAGGTCGAGGAAGGGCCTTGTACCCATACAAGAGTAGGGGCTTTCGGCAGGGACCTCTTTGCTCATGTCGATCCTCAAAGGATCCAACATGTCGCGGACGATGAGATCGTAAACATCCACCTTCAATTTATTTGATGAATTCGACGCATTGAGCAATGTCGAGAAGTTCGGGGTGGAGGGACCAAATGACGAGGGAGTGACCGCACCGCCAGATCGCTTACATTCAAGCTCTGCATCGTCCTCAATGAAGACAAACGGGGTGAAAGTGATGTTGTCGAAGAAAGTCTCGAGCACGAAAGGAGGAACACCTTCCATGCGAGAGTTTCGCACGTAGTCGGCTTTCGTCATCTTGTTCTTGTTGTGCTTATTGAAGGCATCTGTGTGAAGCATCATCATGGAGAACGCAAGAACATAGGCGTTGTCTACAGACTAGTCAGCACCATGCCCTCTAATTGACAAACATTGATACTTGCCTTTGTCACCAAACAACCCCGGCTCGCAAACTTCGTACTGCTTGGCGAAGGCCTCCATCACTCGGTCGATCTGTTGCGTCTCCTTCGGAAGAGACATCTGCATCAACAACTTCCTGAGGGCAACATCGAGTCCACTGTGGCTGAAATCAAAATCTTCCATGTACATCCGCAACGCATCAGTGTGAAAGTCGTCGCCGCTATGAGACAGTTAGACATCTGCCATGTGTTCCTGTCAACACGCACCTTGCAGCCAGGACATTGGAGATCTCGCCCCTCCCAACAGTCGCAATTACTCGATTCAGCCACTGCCTCGGTGTCTCCTCATCATGCACAATCGCCGCTTCTTTCAGCGCCTTTGGTTTCGTTGTTAAACTACCTGTACTGGGCCTTGGGCTCGTACCATAAGAGGACTCATCCCCGGGTACGCCTGTACCGATCGAAGACGTTGAGCCACTGGATCGGGGAGGAAGAGGAAAGAGCGACGCAGGCTGAGGCGAAGTAGATGCGCCGAAGAGTCCATTGGACAGACGTCGTATTGTACCTTGCCGTCTAGGAGGAGTGGCTGCTGTCGGAAATGTCACTGGCGAGGAAGGGGTAAGATGGTACGACGTCGGTGCCAGAGAGACTGTAGAAGCCCGCACACGGCTGCGGTGAGGTGGGGGTTTATGGGCATGCGAGGGATCCAGAAGGATGGACTGTCTTTGAGAAGAATTATTCGACGACACAGAAGGCGTCATGGACGTTCTTGATGGCCTTTCTGTTCCGGCCAAAGATTTCCCTTCGTACTGAGGCTCCGCCTGCGTTTCATCGGAAGCCACCGCTGTATTTCGTCCCGGCACAGACGAAGCGACGGATGAGGATGAAGTAGACGGCCTCATCCGTTGGCTCACCAGACCTCCAAACTCATCAACATCACCACTCCTCTGTCTCAGCAAAGAGTTGCTCCTGCTTCTGCTAGTGGACTTTGAGAATACGCTCTTCATTCGACCGAGTATGACGGAATTGCCCGAATTTTGTCGGCTGCCGAGCTTTGGCCTGATGGGTACTTTGAACTCTCCCATAGGTGAAGAGGGCGTTTGAGGGGTGTTCGGTGTGCCAGGCGTCGCGGGTGTCGCAGGGGTCTCTCTGGAAGTTATGCGGGACGAGATGAGAGTTTGTTCCGGGCGACGTGCTGGTAGAGGAGCGTCTGACCACGATCTGACCCTGCCTTCTCCGAACTTTGCAGGTGCTTTCAAGGGGCCAGAGTTATTCGGTTGCGACATCTCCTGTGGCGCGGGCAACTGCTCTTGCTCGGGAAGTGTGTCTAGGGCTGAGGCCACGGAGTTCCTGGAGGAGACGTGATGATCCGTGACGTCCATCCAGGGGCGAACCCCCGGGCCCCAATGTGTGCTACCCCCCGAACTGTGAATGATCTCCTCATGATCGGTACCAGGGCTCGATATCCAGACTGTGCCCCCCTCCGGAACGAAGGGGGATGCAGGATTGCCCGTGGGCAATTGAAAAGACGACTGGGAATGGCTAGACGAAGGGGGAGGGTGTTCATCAATCTTGGCGTTTGACCGGGCCACGTTTATAGATAAAGGCTCAGTCTCGTCTGCGTTATTTCTGCCAGTCGTCCGCCGGTTGAAGATGCTGGACAATTTACCAGGAGTAGACTGTTGAGATTCAGAAGCAGAAGCTTGTATTGGTGGTGGGGCTTGTAGGGGTATATCCTGCGGTAGCGAACGAACATGCCTTTCTTCGTCTACCGACGCTTGTTGTGTTTCAGTCTCCTTGTCCTGGAGCTGTATTTGTGAAGTCTTTCGCTTGACCGTCTTTCGAACCCCTAGCCACTCCAGCACTCCTACTCTCCCCGCCCCGCTGTGCTCATTCACTTCCTCGGCTTCGGAAGAAATGTCCACCGATGGGGATTCGTTTACTTTTGCAGTTGTAACCATTGGGGACGTCTTTCCGAACAGCCCCGACAGGCTCCTGGCTCTCTTGACCCTCCCTCTTCTCTCTCCTTCAGCTTCTTTGGGCTGCATTCTTTCGTCTGTCGGTATGGTGGGCTCGATGAATGCAATTCTTGGACTCGGGCTAGCCGGGCGAGAGGGGAAGGGTGACACAGGAAAGGGTGATGATACCGATTGGGGTTTGGAGGGGACAGGAGGCGGGGGACTCTGCAAGCCTGGGGACGTGGATGGCCGGGCCCGGGATGTCGAGCGAGACCGTCCAGAGAGCACGGAAGGGAGACCCAGGCCTATGTTCCTAGGGGCGTCTGTGCTTTGTGATCTTTTCCTGGAATGACTTCTCGAACGCCCAGCAGATCTACTGCGCCTTTCGCCATCCTGTGCCCGCTTTGTAGTGGAAGACTTTGTAAGCTTGCGGGGTGTGCTCGGGGTAATCACTATATTTGAAGGACCCTGAGGGACCTCTGACGCCTGTGTGGAGACGGGTGGAGGTAGGGGAGGTAGTGGCCGATCTGTATTCACGGGGAGAGGAGGCTGTAATTTGCCAACGGCGTTTAATGGAACGTTCAGAGACGGCGTGGAGCGTAGGGAAGAAGAACGGGGTGTGGGTCTGATCATCAAGGAGGAAGGGGCATCCTCTCCAGATGAAGAAAGCATATGAGGGGCTTCAAGATGATGATGTGGATGATATGGCGTTTCGGTCAGCGAGAAAGGGTCTCTGTCGCTCGCCGCCCGCAAGGACGCTCTTGACACGAAGGGGTGTGGCTACATGCGACATCAGCAAGGCTGGCGAATATCGTTCGGAAAACGCTCACAGCATAGTCCACATCGCTCGGTACGACAGTCTTGTCCGAGACGTTTCTCGACGAATTCTTTGAGCTGAAGTCCTCCATTCTCATAGCTTGTGGCTCTTCAACACCTCCAGATCTCCGTTTCTTCTTTTTAGCCGTCTGCTCAAGCTCGCCCTCTATCGTCAGAGGCTCATCCTGTTCGTGACGTTGGTCGGGGACTCCTCCTTCATTGAAGGACTCGTCTTGCCTGGAGGAGGTCACGACCGGGCTGAGCTCGAGTTCTTCGGTACTAGCGACACTCTCGCGCCTCTTGTCTCTGCCCTTGTCCTTGCCTAGGGGAGTCACAGGCGACCCAATCCCAAACCAGGATCTGCGCTTGGCCTTGACAGAAGCGGTGGGTGTCGAGGGCGGGGTTGCTTCGAGCGGACGCGGTCGGGAGGGACCTGCCTCGGGGTTATTGTCCATTGCTGGTCGTTGCGGAGACTAGGAAATGCCTGGGCGGTTGGCAGACGGCCCCCATTGGGTGGTGTGTGGGAGTCGAGGGAGAGATGCGGATGAGAAAAGAGATGCGAATTGCAGGACGGATGACGCAGAACAATAATACTAGCACAACCGCGGCCGTGTTTCAAGCCACAACTGGCGGCGACGGCCGCAACTCCACGCATGCTCCGGGCCTGGATTTTGGCCTCCACCTTCTGCACCAGCCTTTTGCATTGTGTACGTATACGCTATACCAGCATCGTTCCGCCGGCGCCATGTTCAAGTTTGATTTCCAAATAGTAAGTCAATTGAGTTGCTCGCAGGCCGGGCTGACATCCACTTTGCAGGAAGAAGAGGACGACCAAGCTCCCATCATACCATCTGTCCAGCCCAAGCCTTCAATTGCCCCCTCAAAGTCGTCTAAACCTCAGGACACTAGATCGGACAGCAGCACCCTCAATGAACTGGTGTGTATGATCGTATCCATATCCATGATAGCGATACTCAATAACCTGGCAGATTGCGACCCTTCCCGAAGCTATCTCCTACTCGCCTTTGAACCTCCGGGTCTTGACCACCTCTTTGCTTCGACGAGACCTCTTCGATGCCAGATTTCAGCTCTTGACCAAGGACTCTGAACGATCTGAAGAGAAAGAGGACGCAACGCCCGAAGGGGAAGAGGAAGAGGACTATGTTGATGCCAAGACGGATCTTATTCCTGGTTTCTATGAGGGAGGTCTTAAGACGTGGGAAGGGGGCGTCGACCTTGTTGAGACTATCGCCGAATCCCTCAGCCCTGTCAAAGAAGAAAGAGATCAGGAAGTGGGAGAATGGGTACGGGGTGGAAAAGTGCTAGAGGTCAGTCGGACTGAAATCACCAGGTCTTTGACTGACTCTGACCCTAGGTTGGCTGTGGCACTGCTCTCCCGACAGCCTTCTTGCTTCGCTCGCTCCTCTCCTTACCGCCCACAGAGACGCCGACGCGGACTGTTTTCCATCTCCAAGATTACAACTCCTTGGTTCTTTCTCTGGTCACCCTTCCGAACCTCATCCTTGCTGCCCTTCCTTACCTCCCACCTGATGTCCTGCGCCTGCCTCAAGAAGGCGACGAACCCATCGAGACTGTTGTCCCGGATATGGAGCTTCCTGGAAATCTCAGCCTCAACGAAGACTTGATTGCTGCCTTCAAAAGTCTTCTCGAAGAACGTGGGATAGATGTGAAATTCAGCCATGGGCACTGGGAGGGGTTGAGCAAGGAGCTCGAGCAGCAGGATGAAAAGTATGGTTTGGTCTTGACGGCGGAGACTATCTACTCGCCCGAGAGCACTCCAGCCCTCATTGGAGTGTTGAGAGAAGCTATTGGAAAGCAAGCAGGGAATGTTGAACACAAGCAGGTGCAGCTCGAGAGCGGTCTGGGTAGCCTAAGCGTCCAGGAGGCATGGGCTACCGCACCCCTAGCCGAAATCACAAGGGGTCACGCTCTGGTCGCCGCAAAGGTCAGTGCTTGTGCCAACTACAAGCATTTCAAGCTGACAAGACATGGCAGGTGCTCTACTTTGGCGTCGGGGGCGATCTTCAGACGTTCGTTGAGACGGTCGAGAAGGATGGCGCGCAGACTTCGACAGTCAAGCACTGGTCCCAGGGGGTCGGGCGCAAGGTTGTACAGGTTGGCTGGTGATGAAAGACGGCGGCTATGCATGTATACAGACATTGCTTCCGAATGCAAACCGGAAGCAGATGCATGCGGACTTTGCGGGCGTTAATTGACGCGTCGGTAATTGAATGATCGTCTCAGGAACGGTGTGACTTGCAGGGCAGAGGTTTGAGCGCACGGACAGAGATACACAGCGTGCACATGCTGCCACAGGGACGGGGACGGTGACGGTAGCTGCTGACGAGAATATGTATATATGTCTGCAAAGACAGCATGCATTCCCCCTCTTGGCATTTTTGCACTCATCCATATTATTTGTGACCGATTTCCGAAAAGAGAGTCACTCAGGTACAGACCCCCTTGGATGGTCGCGTCTAATCTTCAGTGGATTCTCAACGTTCTCCCATCTTGGCCGCTCGACACAAACAGCTCAAGGGATCTGCACACACCCTTCCCTGTCACCGCCGCGCAACAACAATAATCGGCACAGTGCCGGAACTTCTTCTATTTTCCTGGCTCCAACGGGCTTTTTAAACAGGCCACTAGGCTATAAATTCACCATGCCCACCGTCTCCGTTCTGCCCGCCTTCCTCCAACCAGGCTCACCCCCCCGTTCGCCTCATGTGGAAAGACCCTCTTTCCTCTCGTCAGTCTTCGTACCTCGCGAATCTCCCAACACTCCTCGAGGGTCTCCATCGATGAAACCGACACGCCGCGACGTGCTCCTGTGTCTTTTGACACTGTCATTTTCCTACCTCCTCTTTTCCTCGCCCCCATCATCGGACCCCGTCACGCGGAGCACTTCAGGTGGAAACAGGTATAGGATCCCAGGATGGAGCAACTTTTTCCCGTCATCCACTGGCACATCACGGTCGCACGACCGTAGCGGAGAAGTGCTCTTCACCAACTCTGTAAAGGCGGTCGGTGTGGGGTCTGCCGATGTAGAATTTGGAAAAGGCAACTCTTGGGATGGCGGCGAAGAAGAGGAAGAGGATGACGAGTTCGAATCCATGGCGACTGTACTCAAAGGCCATTCTCCCGGATGGACAATGTTCGAAAAGTTGTACATCTACAACGGGAGCTTCTATGTCATCACGTGAGTATGGAAGCGACTCTAGACAAGCCATTTGTTGACGATAGCCGCTCATTAGGGAGAACAAGGAAGAGTTTCCCGAGCTGAGGTTGATGACTTCGACTGGTCTTCCAGCCAACAACGAACCTGGCAATAGTGAAGCGCGGGAGCCCAAGGGAGATGAAGTATGTTGTACACCTTCTTTACGGTATAGAGTAGGGCACTAAATCTACCATTCAGATCATCTACATATCTCCAATGGATGCTGCCAAGCTCTGGGGGCCAAGAGTGTATAGAATGGATGGAACCACGTTCCTTTTCAATGATGGGCAATGTGAGACCTCCTACTATCTCAACTTCGAGGAAAGCTGATAGAAGCAGTCATTGATCATTACTATCACTTTGCTGCCGAGCTGCTTCTGGGTATTTGGAGAACCTATACCTCGTATGACCAAGACATCAGCCCGGCCGGTGAGACATCACTCCTTGCGCCCAAACGCATGTGGTTCCTTCACCAATCAGTGGACGAATGGTGAGTCTCAACTTTCATTCTCAAGTATTCTCAGCTGACAAACTTGAAGGAGAGACAACCCTCGTTTCAATCCCCTCTTGATGTTCACCCTTTTCCCCCAAACTTCCCTTTTGTATCCCTCGGACTTCGCCGACCTCGCCAAGCAATCCGTCTCCTCCAAACCCAAGGCCTTCGTCCTAGACCGTGCCATTCTCGCCGACAGATCTGCTGCTTTCCGTGGCCCTTTCACCGGACCTACGGCAAGGACAGTAGCCGGGGCTTTGCAGGTGGGGGAAGCGAGTCGGTGGTGGTGGGAGCCGGTGAGAAGGACCGTCTTGAGGTATGCCGGCGTACCACAGTCGATCATCTCGAGGAATCTGGAGGGGTACGGGGCTGTCGATCCTGTCACCTTGAACGATCCCACGATTGAGCTTATCGAGCCCCTTGCCCCTCCCGGTGATTATGCTCCTGTTATCACCTACATTTCGAGACAAAACTCTCGAAGGAGGTTGACAGCAGAGAGTCACGCCGATCTGGTCCAGGCGTTGGAAGAAAGGGCGGAGAGGTTGGGATGGGAGCTGGTGATTGTGGAAGCAGAAAATTTGACCAAAGAGGACCAATTTGCACTTGCTGGGAGAACTACTGTAAGTCACATATGTTCGCGCACCTTCCAGTGTAGCTGATGAGGTAGATCATGCTTGGAGTACACGGCAACGGCCTGACCCATCTCCTATGGATGCCGGCGACGCCCAGAAGCGCCGTGATCGAGATGTTCATTCAAGGAGGCTTCGCCAGGGACTGTAAGCCTCTCCCTACTACCATTCTTTGGACTCCTGCTGACATTTGTGTAGACCAATGGACAGCCCACGCCCTCGGTATACGCCACTTTGGCATTCAACACGACATCTCGTTCACATCTCCTGCCCTACCCAAGGTTGACTATCCCGAAGGATTCCAGGGGACTGGCATTACCGTAGTGGGCAAGGTCGTTGCAGATCTCATCGAGGATAGACTGGCAGGCAGAGTATAGCTCACATAGAACCACAAAGAAGGTAACGGGAGGCTGAAGACGATCTTTTGGTGGTCACTCTTGATGAATACTATCATTTCATATCATACGCGCAAGTCAAGCAAGCGCCATCTTTTTTCTTGGGCTTCCTATCTCTTCTATACATTTTATGATAGTGCACAATACATCGTTTTGGGCTCATTGGTAGGTTTTGGGGTGCTGCAATATCTTTTTACCGTAATAATGCTCTAACATGCATGATTGGACTTTCAACAACAATGCGTCGTGGGATCCTTGGGAGCACTGGAGATTACCTTATTCCTCATCGTCTCCTCTCTTCCTCTGCAGATACAGTCAGCATCATCTTCAATGACCGCACAGTATTAGGCACGCACTTTCATCTCTCTTGTCACCTTCGTCCGCGCCGCATCATGCCTCGCCAGCTCCGGGTTCATTTTGCTCATCTTACTCTTCTCCACCTCCACTCTCAGATCGTACATCACCTCATCATCATCATTCGTCAAGAATGTTATGGCCACACCCGTCTTGCCCGCACGACCAGTACGACCAATTCGGTGGACATACTTTTCAATGACATCAGTCATCTGCCAGTTAATTACCAGAGAGACGTCAGGGACATCGATACCACGTCCAGCAAGGTCGGTAGCGACGAGGACAGAGACGGCGCCGTCGCGCAAAGATTGAAGAGCGGCTTCACGTTGCTCTTGGGACTTTCCAGAGTGGAGGGTGGTACCGGAGAAACCAGCTTGTTGTACGTATTTGACAACCATGTCTGCCGTCTTCTTTTGATTCACGAAGACAATCATAGGCGGAGGCAAGCCAATGGTACGCAGAATCTCGATAAGACGGGCCTTCTTCTTTTCGTCGCCGTGGACAAACTCGACGCGCTGCTCCACAGTGTCCACCGCTTCACCAGCAGTACCGATGGTGACCACAGCGGGCTTAATCAGGTACTTGCGCGATAGACGTTCGACGGCAGGGGGCATGGTGGCGGAGAAGAGGGTGGTCACTCGCCAGCCTTGCCACTCTCCTTGCTGGTGCCCGTTGAGCGCCGCATCGTCAGGCTTCACAAACGTCGAAGGCATAGAATCCAAGATGAAGTTCAGGTCTGCCTCAAAACCGAGGTCGACCATACGGTCGGCTTCATCCATAACGACATAACGGCATTGGCTCATGACAATCATGCTCTTGTCAATCATGTCCTTGAGACGACCGGGCGTAGCAATGATAATTTCGGCGCCATTACGCAAGGCGAATTGCTGCTCTTCCACTGAACGTCCACCAACGATAGAGACACAGGTATAGCCAAGGGGAGCGCAGAATTTTTTGGCTTCAGTTTCGATTTGCTGAGCCAGCTCTCGTGTGGGCGCCATGATCAAGGCGTAAGGACCGAGGTGACGGATTTCGTCGGTGAGAGGACCGAGGTGACCAATGTAGTCGAGCATGGGGATAACGAAGGCGGCTGTCTTACCGGAACCTATGCCAGACCGTCAGTAACGAATCACGATTTACGAGAAAAGGACATACCAGTTTTGGCAATACCAATAAGATCCCGGTTCTGCATCCCGATAGGAATGGCTTGCTTTTGAATTGGGCTCGGCTCTGTGTAGCCAATCTCTGATATGGTATCAAGGATTGAACGGGGAATACTCGACTCTGCCCAGCTCCTGATAGGATGTGGGATAGACCCTCCACGAGCAGAAATCTCAAAGTCTTCTCGAAAGATCCGCCAATCCCGCTCTTTCATCTCATCCAGAGGCTTCTCCGACCAGTGTCGGTCGTCCGCATTACCCTTACCGGCTCTTCTGCGTTCAAGGGCGTCGGCATGGCTACAGACACGGTCAGCAAAGAAGCGACGAGTAGGGAGGACATACTTGTCTGCACGGATATCACCCTTTCTGCCATCCAGGCCAGCCAGTTTCCCACCAAACATGGTACCACCCGGGACCAACTCCCGCACTTCCTGCTTCCAAGTACTCTGATCCAAAGCTGTCGTGTCGTCCCCTTCGTTCCAGTCGAATATTATCTTCTTGTCGGTGGCCTTCCTTAATCTAGGCTTCTTTCCACCGTTCTTCTGACCGAGATATCGAGCGCGAAGGGCTGATAACTCGGCTTCCGAGGGACCGGCAGCATCGCCGGGGGCGGATGGGGAGGCAGTGCCTGCAGGGGCGACCGCACCATTGACAGGACGAGGGGAGGCATGGGAGGGAGTGCTGGGTGCATTCTCGATGTACGGCAGACCTCCAGAGACCGCCATGTTCCGTGGACCGCCCGGAGGAGCCGCACCTCGAGGTCCAGATGGGATATTGTTCCCTGGTCCCCTTCCGTTGCTCGAAGGGTCGTCCCTTCTGTCGTTGTACCCTCTTCCTCCGTCCCTTCTGTCTCTTCCGTATCCCTCACGGCCGTCTCGTCCATGGCCATTGACGCCGAACCTGCCGCCACTTGGCCCAGCCCCGTGCCCCGGGTATCCTCCATACCTCTCCTGTTCATGTCTCTGTCTTTCCGCTTCGGCAGCTCGATCAAATTCTTCACGTTGGCGCCGTTCAGCCTCGTCGCGATCTTGTTGTTCTTTGACTTCGTTTTGACGCTTTTCGAGGGCAAGACGCTGTCGCTCCGCTTTACTGAGAAACTTGGGCTGTTGCGATGAATCAGCGCGAGTTCGAAGGTGCTAAGAGTTACGAACCTTTGCAGCCACCTCGGCCTCCTTTCTCTGCTTTGCTAGGATATCTTCCACTGAAAGGGGCGCCATCTTGTCTTGAGGGAATCAGAAAGAAGAATGAAATGAGACTGGATTATTATGGAGGACGTACATTGTGGCAACAACGCCACTGATTACGTACGCAGAGCGAGCCTCCTTCGGCGAGAAGCGATGGATGATGACGGTGCCCAAATGCATGTTCTTTTCCTTTTCAAGAGAAAAAATCTCTGACTGATAAACACCATGAGCCAGGCCATCATCTCCCCCTCTGTTCTCGCTGTGAGTCGTTCAAGAACCACCGGTCACATTGGCATTGACGGCTTTCATATAGAGCGACTTGTCCAACCTCACCAATGAGTGCCGCCGGATGATGTCTAACGGCTGCGATTGGCTTCACATGGGTATGTTGAGACTAAGGGAGTATCAATGAGCAATATACTGATGGCTACGTAGATGTCATGGACGGCCACTTTGTCCCTAACATCACCATGGGCGCTCCCATCCTCGAACACGTATACAAGAACGTACCCGACATCTTCATGGACTGTCACATGATGGTCTCTAACCCTGCCCAGTGGGTACCTGAGATTGCCAAGGCTGGCGGCAAACTGTATACCTTCCACTATGAGGCTGAACCCAGTACGCTTGCTGCGCGTATTTCAGTATGAGAAACGCACTGATGTCGGTTACAGCTGAGACTGAAAAGGTCATTGACCTCATCCACGAACACAAGATGCTCGCTGGTCTCGCCATCTCCCCCCATACCCCGTCTTCCGCCATCACCGACTCTCTCGGCTCCAAGGCTGACCTTTTGCTCGTCATGACTGTCCGACCCGGACAGGGTGGACAAAAGTTCATGCCTGAATGTCTGGAGAAAGTGACAGAGCTGAGAGCGAGGTTCCCGGGCAAGAACATCCAGGTCGATGGCGGTGTCGGGAGCGGAAATGCTTGTCAATGCGCCAAGGCCGGTGGGTCCCATCCCTCAATATTCGAAGGGAGGTGTATTGCATGACGGGGCCGCTAACAGAACCACGCAGGATCCAACGTTCTTGTCGCTGGTACTGCCATCTTTGGCTCCAAAGACCCCAAGCAGACCATCTCGGAATTGCGCTCTGCTGTTGACACGGCCATCGCTGAGCGCAAGTGAGATCGCTCGAGTAGCGTCGTTCATCAAACCCAACCTGGGGTTTATGTAGACTGTAGTTTCACTCTGACGATATGAATCTGCATGTACAGACGTTCGCATTGGTGGACCTCAGCAATCTCTGTTTCATCAAGTGGAATGGGTGGTAATTCGAGTTTGGGCGTCGTTTTCTTGATACATCGTTATCTATATTTTCTATACACATATATACACACTCCAACGGTTTGATACTTCCACCTATCTTAACTAGACATGCAGTCGTATGGTGGCTTGATTACAACAGTCCAATCGTCACATCGCCCTTGACTCTAGCGGTCAGATGCACCTCGACCAGAAGATCGAGAGAAATGTTGATCTTCAACGAGTGCTCCTCTTCATCGTTTCTGCCGCCAGGCTGCTCATCCTTTGTAAGCTCAGCCATCTCGTTGGGTAGAGGCTGGCGATGAGAGCGCAGTGGTCCCAGCTGCTGGTCTCGGGCGGTCCCCGAGCGAGGAGGGTTTTTGGGGTGGGTCTGAGGGCCGGGGGGTGGGGGCAGATTGAACGAGTTTCTGCAGAATATCAATGGACGATTTGGGGCGTACGACAGAACGTCACTCACTGGTCATGGCTCTGAACCTGCTGGGGCTGCTGCTGCTGAGGTTGAGGTTCTGCCTCTTCAGCGCTTTCAGACTGTTCCCCTTCTTCTTCCTTTTGGGGCTGGTCCTCTCGCTGAGGATTATTATTCTCCTGCTCTCCTTCTTCCTTCTGAGGCTTTTCCTCTTGCGGAGTCTTCTCTTCTTCCTGCTGAGGCTGCTCCTGCTGTTGCTGTTCTTTTTCAGACATGATATGTGATTGTATTGTTGGTCGTGTTGACGGTTGCTCAACGGAGTGCTTATGTGTATCTGCTGCAGCCTTTTATACGCCTTTCCATTTTCTCCACTACTGCACCGCATGTTCTTACCCTGTGGGCCTGCTGTGTATGAACGTCATTCGAGGCCCATCAACTGTTGGTGTTCATGGGGCCGCGCGATTACATCATGTTCTGCGAGTGATTAGTCGCTCGTCGTGTTGGGACCCTCAGAGCAAATCGACAAGTCGGGGTCCAGAGTCTGCTGTCCGTTCACAACTCTTTCCGGGCTGAGTAGCAAGAGAATCCTACTATGGAGCATGGTGTTCAGTCTGATCTGCGTGGTCACCGCGGATCTTTGTCCGCTACAAGTTGGTGCCGGTAGCTTTCCGCGTTCCGTCGAGCCTGCTCTTGAGGAGTCATGCTCGCTGTGCTACCATGGTAGCCGGTCATCTTGACAGTGTGCAGCACGAATGAGAGCTGAAGCATGGATGAAAATGCCACTCCCTCCGGCAAGCCAGCCTGGATGCAGACCTCCACCCTCCACCTCTCCGGGCAAGCACACGCGTCAAGCTGTCTGCGCGCTCGGGCCACTGCTGTCGGCCTGAATTCACTTTCATCCCGCTGTTGTTCTTTTGTTTCCTCTAGACATCCCAACAGTCAACTGCCCGATATACCCACCATTGCCTGCAATACCCTCGGCCCCGACATACGACGCACTCGCCAGCAATTCGGGTGTCCGACATCACAGCCTCATCACTACGACATTTCATCTGCTATATTTCATCTGCCATATACAGGTCCTTGTAGTTCTCTCCCAAGATGTCGGGTGGTAATATCAAGGTTGTTGTCAGGTCTGTCGAACCACTCTTCCATCGAACGCAGACAGCTGACAGAGATTACAGATGTCGACCTCTCAATAGTCGAGGTAATGTCTCGCAGTGCAACCCCTGATCTGACTGACGAACGAAACCAACTGTAGAAATCGCAAGAGGGGCGAAAGGGCTGATCACCATGGAAGGCAATCAAACCATAATCCAACCCCCCGATGTCGCCGCGGTATCTGCCAGAGCAATTGAGAAGAAGCCGATGACCTTTTCCTTTGGTGGGCACCCATGGGCGAAATGTTTTGTGACTGTGGCTGACAATCTCATAGACAAATCATACTGGTCAGCAGGCCCAAAAACGGATCCACACTACGCATCGCAACAAACACTGTACGAGGATTTGGGTGCGGATTTGCTGGACCATAGTTTTGAAGGGTTCAATACATGCATCTTCGCTTGTAAGTCTACACAATCTCACTAGCATAGATGCGACGCTAAGCCTTCATCAGATGGACAAACAGGAAGGTGAGGACATCGGGATGATAGGGATCATTGAACTGACACGGCTCGTCGGGACCAGTGGAAAGAGTTGTAAGTGAAGCGGTCATCTATCGTCTGATATCCCAGCTGACGCTCTGTATGTAGACTCCATGATGGGATGTAAGTCATGGACCCATTCATTCATCGAAACCCACCTTCCTCCGCACACAATCTGATGCCCTCTGCTAGATGGTCCTGAAAAGGGTATCATACCCTTGACAACATCAGAACTGTTCCGGAGAGTCGAAGAGCGAACAGCCAACGACTCGAATCTCTCCTATACTGTTGAGGTGTCATATATTGAGATATACAATGAAAAGTGAGTCATGTCAGAAAACAATGGCTGCAGCGCTGACCATCCATGAAGGGTCCGCGATCTTCTGAATCCCAAGAATAAGGGCAACCTGCGAGTGCGAGAACATCCGGCTCTAGGGCCATATGTGGAAGATCTAAGTCGTTTGGTGGTAGAGAACTTTGAGCAGATGATGACACTTATGGATGAAGGCAACAAGGTAAGCTTAGACTGTTATCACACGAAAGTGCTCATAGCCATGTAGGCCCGTACAGTAGCTTCGACCAACATGAACGAGACTTCATCACGGTCGCACGCAGTATTCACTCTCATCGTGAGACGATCTTTGTTGAACAATTAGCGCCACATCCACTCATTGATTTTCGCAGCTAACACAGAAACGTCTCGACGCCCAAACAAAGATGACTGGTGAAAAGGTATCCAAGATATCACTGGTTGATTTAGCTGGTAGTGAGCGTCAAAACTCAACTGGCGCCACCGTGAGTCCCTTCTCGGGACCGAGATCTTATTCTCATGACGTGCTCTAGGGAACTCGGCTCAAAGAGGGGGCCAACATTAATAAATCTCTTACGACACTTGGGAAGGTCATTGCAGCCTTGGCCGCGGGAAGTACTGGAGGGAAAAGAAAGAAGGAGGATCATGTTCCATATCGAGACTCGGTTTTGACATGGCTGTTGAAGGAGAGTCTGGGCGGTAATAGTAAAACGGCAATGATTGCTGCCATTTCGTAAGTAGATGGGACGAATCGTGTTAGGCTGGCGCTGACATGCCATCACAGACCAGCAGACTGTATGTGTTATTCTCATCACCAATTCTGCCCAGGCGTATCCTTGCTGACCTTGTATGTCCCATGTAGATGAAGAGACCCTGAGGTGAGTGCATCGTGAACGATATAGGTCTTTCCTGCTGCTGAAAAACCGTAGTACTTTGCGCTATGCAGATGCTGCCAAGAAGATCAAAACTCATGCGGTTGTCAATGAGGACCCCAATGCGAAGGTCATCCGGTATGTTGCCCTTGGCATTGGTACTCGTCGAATGGCAGCTGATACGACTTGCGCGCAGTGAGCTGAAAGAAGAACTTGAACGTACGCTTAGGTTATTCGTGATACGGCCATTGCTCATATCCCAATAGTCCTCCGAAGCCGAGTTTCTACAGGTGGAGGTGTTGCTTCAGACGAGGCCGCTTATGACCCTAGTATCCCTCCAGAGAAACAAATCGTAACCTATAGGACCAAGGAAGGAGAGATCCGCAAGGTCACAAAGCTTGAACTGCAAGACCAGCTAGAAGCTTCAGAGAAAATCATGGAGAGTCTCAACTTGACTTGGGAGGAAAAGCTCTCAAAGACACAAGCAATTCACGTCGAACGAGAGAAGGCGCTAGAAGAGATGGGCATCAGTATTGACAAAAATGTGAGTGTGATCTTACCAAAGGAGGGATAGCCCGCTCATATCCCGCTTTCAGATGGTCGGTGTCCACGCACCTCAACGCAATCCCAGCTTGGTCAACCTGAATGAGGACCCTCTCATGTCGGAGTGCCTCATCTACCAGATCAAACCGGGAAAAACGGTGGCTGGAGCCGTGGACGATGACAAGGCTCACATCAAGCTCTCTGGAACTCATATCCTACCTGAACACTGCATATTCGTCAATGAGGACGGCGTGGTGACCATTGAAGCTATGCCCGACGCCAGGACTTTTGTGAATGGTGAACGCATCCCTCCTAAAGCCCCAGTCAGGCTGCTCAATGCCTTTCGCGTCATTCTGGGTGACTCCCATGTGTTTCGATTCAACGACCCACAAGCAGTCAGAGCCGAGAGGCAGAAACTCAGACAATCCGCCAGCATTGACGGCCTGTCAAACACCCCTGGGGCACGGCCTGATTCGCCGAGTGTAAAGGCTGATGTTGAGTTGATGGACTGGTCGGCGGCCAGAAGAGAGGTGGCAGATATCGAGAAGCTTGGAGACCAAGATCTAGACAAACTATACGATGATATTGTAAGTCTAGGGATCGAGGCGGTAAGATGAGGCGCTCATGTCACACACCAAGCTCAAAGTCAGAACCCAACGAAAACGACCTGAAAGCCGTGCCGATTTTGGCGATTTCGATATTGATCGATCTGCCGATCCGTCGAGCAACCCATGGGCTGCCCCTGGTCATTCATTGACTGTTACCTCCAACAGTCTGGGGACGCCCGTGGGCCAGGAAGTGGATGTTCACGTTTATGACGAGCGCTCCGAGACTTCGACAGAGCAGCCCTTAGGCCTCAGCACCCCAGCTTCTCCGGCACCGGGCTTCCAGGACCAAAAAGCTGCTGATGTCAAATTGCACCAAGACCACTTGACCAGACAACTCAAATCGATGGCGCAAGAGGTGAAAAGGGTCAGGTCAGAAGCGGCCAGGGCTAGAGCCCTGGAGACTGTGGACATGGAGCCAGAAAGCTGGGGGGTAGAGGAGCTTCGCAAGATCCGATGGGTGCTAGAGCGATGGGAAAAGCTGAGAGGGTACCGGATGGCCGAAGAGATTTTGACAGGCGCGGTGGATCTGAGAGAGGCCAATGTCATTGCGTGCGTATCATCAGCATTGGCGTTCAAGATGCTGACGCGAGCGCAGAAAGCAAATGGGTAAACAAGTCACCTACAACTTCTTGGTTGTTGATGGTAGCTTGGCATCCCCAGTCTCTTCGCTAGATGATTCAAACGCCCTGGTAGAGTTTGATGATGTGTCGAACTCGGTCACGCACTACAAGAACGGACCAGTGGTCGCCGTGAAAGTCATAGACTGGGAAGCTAAGAGTGCGTGTGGTCTCTTGTCACGACTTGGTTTTGTTTGCTGATATCCGGCAGCTGCGTATACATGGGACTTGCCCAAATTCAAACAGCAGCTCGTCAGGATGAGACACGTCTCTGCTCTAAAGCAGAAACCCAACTATTCAGAGCACTTTCAGATCGACGGTCTTTTCACCGACACTCCGCCCCCATCCTTCTCTTTCGTGGGCGCAGCCAAGGTTCCACTTCGGCTCATAGCTAGCCAGCTGTCATACTCTGTGACTGTGCCAATCATGTGTCAATATACCATGGAGGCTATAGGTTCCTGCCGAGTGGCTTTCAGGTGCGGAAACCCCGACTCTTCCTCCACTTCTGGTATCGACACTCCTGATTCCTTCAGCCACATCTCCGACAACCCGCTCTTTGTGGGATCCAAATTCACCTTTACGCTCATCGTTGACACAGTCAAAGGGTTGTCTTCCACCGACTATGCCTGTATCCACGCTCAGACCCGGTTGTCGTCACTCGTTGGCCCTTCTATCGCCTCTGAAGACACGTTTGCTTCTCAGGCGGTCGACCTGGACAAAGCATCCGGAACCCACCTGGTTTTGAGAAAAACGGTATCCGTCATGGTCACACCCGACATATTACGGTTTTTGCGAGAGGAGTACGCCACCATTGGCTTCTTTGCTAAAGCAAAAGATGGATATTTGGAGAGATTGGAGCGATGGGATATCAACCATGGTACAGCCCCTGGGTCTCATCTTGAAACACCAACCCAGAATGGAGTAACCAAACCGGCTATGCGCCGATGCGAGACCGACTTTGTTGCCCCTGAGAGGCATGATATCTTGGCTACCGTTTCTATCCTTGAGCTGTCTGCCAACGGAGATTATACTCCTGCCGAGGTGTTTGACGATACTTTCCAGCTCCACCAAGGGCTGCAACGACGCTTACACCTGCGTCTGAACCATGCTTCAGGCAAGTCGTTCCCTTGGACCAAGCTGGAACATGCCAGCATTGGCGACGTACGTCTCATGACAAGGACTGGCGCTGCAAGCGTTGGCAAATCCCAAGTGGACGTCAAGGTTTCCGATGAGACCGTAGAGTACCATACTGACGGCACATCTACGCTCGAAGCTGAAGGGGTTTTCGACACTGCCTCGCTTGCTTGTCGCCATTTGGACAAGCGTACACCCTCTGATCAGCATCTTGTGATCAAGTTCACTTGGCTGCTCGACGTATCCACACTGTCTGAACCAGCCGTCTTCCACCTCGATCTACCAATTCGCATACTCGGTCGCGACGCCAGAAGATCCTCCATCATGACCTTCTTTTCTGCTGCCAGGGCGTTTGAAAGCATCACCCGAGTCTACTCGGTCGAGTGCGCCCCGCCTCTGGCTAGAAGCGCAAATGAGCTGTGGAGGTTGGACACGAGCGAAAAGCATGTGAAGGGTGAAGAATCACTCGGCAGATGGAAACCGCGGAGTTTAGATCTTTTGGACGACTGGCGAAAGATGAGGAAAGCGCATAACGGGCTCGGAGAGGTTGCAATCACCAAGGTGGTGCTGGAGATGCATGGAGAAGAGATGGATGGTGGCAAGGGACATGGTGGCAACACTGAGCTGCTTGAGCGGTCTTTGATGTTGTGGAATAAGGCCATAAGTGAGAGAGTAAAGGTGAGCCTGCCAATTTTGCGTGGAATAAAGCTAGATAGAGGCAGGTCGATATCACGAGACAGGGATTGGAGGAAGAGGCCGTGGCTCGCAAGCTTCGAAAACTTCTCCCCGACCTCGAGACAAAGCCGGTGCCGACCGTCAAACTTCAACCAAATATGTAAGCGTGACTTGCTATCCTCTGGTGCACTGTTAACATGAGCGGGTAGCGATAATGTGATCAAGTATGGGCCGTTACTGCTCCTTCGAGACTCCACATCGGATCGTTGGGAGAAACTGCACTTTGTACTGAGACGGTGAGTGGAAATACTCAAGACATGACCTTGGCTCATCTCTCCCAGGCCATACCTTCATGTTCACCAAAGTGCCGGACAGAGGGAGCTTCAGGTGATCAATCTGACCGGATCTCATGTCACGACGAGCCCTGAAGTTGAGATGCTACTCGAGGTGAGTCGTCATCACTGGACTCTTGAAAAATGACGCTGACTTTTCATACGTAGCGCCGCTGGGCATTCACGGTATTCACTTCCACCAACTCTTACATTCTCCAAGCAAGCTCCGAGAAAGAGAGGAAAGAATGGATGTCTGTCATCGGGACAAGCGCCTCATGATCTCTCGTAGGGGAGGGAGCGGTATCATTGCGTTGGGCTTGCATGCGTTGTGTTAAGACGACAATCACGAAATTTTATGAACTGCTACGTTGCTCGCGAGAATCATCCAAGTCTGCCGCAGTTACAGGTAATACACTTGCAGGTGGCGGTACGTGCCTTCGGCGAGAGCCACTGCAGACAGTTCAGTTCATTATCTTGTGCAGTCGCAGCTCGAGTGCCTTCGAGCGCACTTACGGCTCACTTTCTGAGCTCTCACAATAGGTGGTGCAAGATCAGCAATAATTCGAGGTAGAGCCGAGCGAAGACCTCCTGTGCGCAAGGTTAGTTGAGGAGAAGTTGGATGGACTCGCAGAGTTGCAGGCCGTAGACATTCAGTCACCCGCAGAGTGGCTCGGCTGCTGGGCCAGACCTGAATCATGACTCTACAGTCAGTGTAGCTTATCACCTGAGTGAATTTCGAACGTGCAACCAAGCTTTCAGCGGAACTGAGGCAAAAAGGAATGTGGCAGCGAGAAGGGGTGTGGCATCGAAGGAGTATGCAAACGATCGACGGGATGTGCAGCGTACAGATCCCCATTCTGCTGTAGTGGCATATGCAAAGCTGTTGGCTGCAAGGATGGCAGACGTGCGCGATGGGAAGAGACGACTGCAGTGTGCGGGCGGGATAGGTGAAAGGGGAGCCGGCGGGCATTGGAAGAACGGATGCATGCCCTGCTCTGCCTCTTGTACGCAGCGTCTGGTGCATGAGCAGGCGACACGCACGGCACTGGAGAGCGGGAGGACAGAATACGGGGCGTAAAGTGGAAATAGCGACGAGGCGCCAACGGATTCTGGTCGGGTTTATAGGGTCGAGAAGAGGGAAAGCGCAGATGAGTGGTCTCTTCCCACAAAGCTCAATGAGCCACATCCCGGCCATCCCCACGCACCTCAGCGAGCATCCCCCCGCCCGGACCCACCCCCCCTCGCCCCTCGACGCCCCGTATCCCGCGCCGCTCCCAGCCCCCTACCACCCCGCGCCCCACCCCGCCGCCGCCGACTACCACCTCCGGGGCATCTCCTACGGCCACCCCGCAACTGCAGACCCCTCCCACTCCCACTCCCCCTACGCCCACTTCTACAGCTCCGCCCCATCCGCCTCCAGCTCCGTGTCCCTGGGCGACCGAGTGCTGCGCTCTCCCCATCCGCCATTGACCGCGACTTACCCGTCGCAACAGTATCTCTGGCCCCATCCCCTGCCGCCCATAGAGAGCCTCAGGCAAGGGTCACGCCCCCATCCCCAATCCAACTCGCGTTCGCCCATCCTTGATCAGCCCCGGGCATATTACAACCACCCCTCTGTATCCGCGCCTTCGCTGCAATACTGCCGTGAGAGCTACCCTTCCTACCCAACATCTCCTTTTCTGCCTCCGCCTACCCCAACGGCCTATTACCAAGGTTCATCACCGCTACGTGTACCTCCTCCACTCCGCTTCAACTACTCCCAGTCTCCCCCACCAAACACCTACGACAACATGCCGCCCCGGGCCAAGGCAGACGCTGTTAGGGGCCATCCATCCACCCCTAGCATCGCATCCGCGACTTCGGTCGGCGCTAGCAGCGTCGCGAGCACAAGAGCTCGCCGCGGCGCGAACGGCAAGGGATGGACAACGGAGCATACCCTTGATCCAGCCAATGGTCAGCGGAAGGAGGTCATTGTGATCGACGACTCGGCAAGCCCTATGGTCCAGCCTATCAGAAAGAGAACGCGTGCTCAGGTCGCAGCGGAGCAAGCGGCCGCTCAGCAGCAGCAGCAGATGCAGATGCATGGGGGTTATGGGCACACGGGGTATACGGCGACGAGTGTGAGCCTGTCGAATGGGCATGGGAGTGTAGCGAGTAATGTGGGAACGACGGGCGTGTCGTCGGCGAAAAAGAGAAAGCTTGACGACGACGCGGCGGGCAAGAAGGCAAAGCCAAAGGTCGCCAGTGTAAGTGGGCAGCGTTGACCGCAGGGATAGTGCTTACATGCAGCAATAGACTGCGACGTCAGCCTCAGTCCAGACCACAGCTACTTATCAGTCGGCCCAACAAGCTCCAGCCAAGTCCTATGCCAAAGCCCCAGCCCAACAAGCCCCAGCTTCTGGTCAGCCAACGTGGGATGATAGCGAAGGTCATTATATCATCAAGCCTGACGATGTTATTGGCGGGAAATGTGAGTCTTGATACTATCTTGGGGACAGCGAGCTGACGAGGATAGACAAAATTGTGAGATTATTAGGCCAGGGGACGTTTGGAAAGGTTGTGGAGGCGAGACACATCCAGACACGGCGAAAGGTCGCCATCAAAGTCATCCGCGCTGTGCAAAAGTATCGGGAAGCGAGCAAGATCGAGATAAGAGTACTGGAAATGCTCAAGAAGCATGACGCGAGAAACGAAAAGTGAGTCGCACGCTACCGAAGAGAACCTCACTGACAAAAGGCAGCAAATGTATTCATCTTGACGAATACTTTGACTTTCGCAACCACCCATGCCTCGTTTCAGAGCTTTATGGGATGAGCGTGTTTGACTTTTTGAAGAATAACGGCTTCCAACCATTCCCAGACAAGCATATTCAGGATTTCGCTCGGAGCCTGCTCAGAAGCGTCGCTTGTGAGCCCAGCGTTTTCTCTCCTGATCTTTGCTAAAATACTATAGATCTTCATTCTCTCAAACTCGTCCACACCGATCTCAAGCCCGAGAACATTCTCCTGTGTTCGAATGAATCCCGACTTCAAGGCGCTCGCGCTCGCGGCGCCAACTCCAAGTCAATCCTGCGCAACACCGAGATACGCCTTATCGATTTTGGCTCTGCCACTTTCGAGTCTGAATACCATTCGTCGGTCGTATCAACACGGCACTACCGTGCTCCTGAAATCATACTTGGACTGCCCTGGTCGTATCCTTGTGATATGTTCAGCATAGGGTGTATCCTGGTGGAGTTCTATACTGGTAACGCGTTGTTCCAAACACATGACAATTTGGAACATCTGGCCATGATGGAGATCGTCATGGGCAAGTTCAGTCCAAGAATGATCGAGAAGGGAAAGTGAGTAACGCCCAGTGCTCCCACATCACACTCTGCATCCATGAGACTGACCCAGAGATCAGGTCAAAGAAACCGGAATATTTCAAAGGCAACAAGATTGATTTCCCTAACTCTACTGTCTCCAAGGCCAGTAGAAAGTATGTCAAGGCCATGCACAGTCTCAAGTAAGTGCGACTCTGTCAACCTTGGGTCGCCTATTGATCCGTCGTCTACTAGGCAAGTGATCGACCCCACCAACAGACATCAACAACTCTTCCTCGACTTGTGCACCAGGCTATTAGAACATGACCCGGATATCAGAATCAAGGTTCAAGACGCCCTGCGTCACCCGTAAGTCTAATGATTGGGTTTGAGGGACATGCTAAAATCGTCTAGATACTTGACTGAGCCAATTCCCGAACCGCATTGATCAGATTATTATAGATGTCGTCCAGGTACGTGTCCGCGCGGGCCGCGTGCCAGATTACATCAATACTGACCGCATCGCAGTATCTTTGCATGGCTCCCCATCTTCTGAATCAGACCCAAAATGAGATTCTCACTGCTTCAAGTGCCTCCATGGGTTTTCATCTCAGTCTGTTCATCAATTTTTATATAAATGTACTCTACCACCTATATAACCAATCTCACCAGCCTTTTTTGATTTTCCACTTGTCTAATCCGTTATGTTTTCCTCAATCATTTCGCCTTGTTTTGACGCCATCTCCTTCCTTCCGTTCTATTTTGGGTGAAATGTCTTCTTTTTTATACGGCGCTGTGGACGAAATATAGTACCACGATACTGGATGAACGAAAGAAGAAGAGAAATGCAACAGAGCCCAATGTTCAGTCATCCTCGAAGGACCTTGCTCAGTGTCTTTGCTCAGCCTCACGATAATGCACATACACAGATTCGATATGATATGCATACTAGATTACAACAATTACAGCGACTCGTCATTTTACTGACGCCGCTGCTGATCCCCTGCCTCTTCATCACCTTCCAGACGTTGAGGCGGCTGCGCTTGAGCTTGCGCCAGCTCACCACCAGTAGGCACTGGCAAAGCCTGTCCTTGCCCTTGGACAGCAGCCTCCAAAGCCCTAGCTCTCGCCCGCTGATTTGCGGCCGCCCATCTCGCCCGCACCCATACTAGTCCAGCGATAGCTGCCAACAGTCCCACCAATACCATGTCCTCTGCCAAGTCTGCAAACATCTCCGCCTCCCAATCGTCTCCGCCAGTGCCCCTGTCATCTTGAAGATCACCTTCGCCGAGTACTATATCATCTGGTTCGAGGTTGTCTTCCCAGTCCTCGGCATATTCCAGGTCGGCCCATTCGAAAGGCGACGTGAAAAGAGTCTTGATTCGGGCCCAGGTCGAAAGACTCTCAGACGCAGGGACAGGGACAGCATCATAGTCGAAAAGGGCAAGACCTGGAGTAGCGCCTCGGGTTTTAAAATGAGTCCACCAGCTGCGCGATCGTTAGCTCGTTGTATGTGGCCAGGGCTCTGAAAATTACCTTTGGATGTATAAACCCGCCAGACTCAGCCCAGCGGCATACATAGCCTCCTCCCCAGTGTCGCGCGACAAGTCATAGTACCTCTTGGCCAGGTGCCAGTCTCGCGTCACTCCCAAGCCTGCCTGATGCATCCATCCGAGGTTCCAGTACGCCATGGGTGACTGCTGGGTCTCAGAAGCAGAAAGGTAGTGAGAGAGGGCCCGAGGGTATTGACCTTCGGTATCTGCCAGTCATCAGTAACGGTCCCGAAAGGTCATGGAAACGTACAATAGTGATCCCCGATCTTCACCATGGCATCCACATTGTCTTGTCCCGCACTCCTGATCCACCATACAAGTCTATCTTTCTCCTCATCCTCTCCCCTACTACTTCCAATTGACCACTGCTCCTCTTCCTCGGCCTTAAATTTCCACCCGCCTTCTCGCAAGAATGCGACATTATTTTGAGCAGCTTCATACCCCATCTCCGCTGCAATGTAATACCCGACCATAGCCTTGGACGTCTCGCCCCTGGCCCAAGCATGGTCGGCTTCTTGGAGGTAGTCTTCATACCACGCCCCTCGCTCGGAGACAATCTTCTCATAAGCGACTGCCACACCGCACACCCCAGGTTGACTCAGGGACCGCGCGTTTGTGTGTACCCGCGCAGACAAGTGGAACGCCTCCAATGGGTTGCCGCTTCTCAGCGCCGCCTCGAGCAAGGGGTAGGCATTCTTGAGATCACCATGTGCGAGGACTAGCTTGGCCAGGTTGACCTGCGCTTCAGACAAGGCGGCTGAAGCAGCAGCCTGAAAGTATTCCTGAGCTTTGCTGACGTCCACCGGAACACCCAGACCGTCACGGTAGATGATACCAAGGCCGTTCATGGCCTCTCGGTCGCCCAACTCGGAAGCGCGCTCATACCACATCTTGGCACGCTTGTAGTCTTGTTTCTGACCCTCGCCTCGGAGCGACATGCGGCCAAGGAAGAAGGCAGAAACCATAGCAGGCTCACGGATCTTGTCCTCTTGCTCTTTGGTCAACTTCCGTCTGCCCGCCGGATGGTCTGTCCCTGGTTCAAAGTCGAGAGGCCAGAGTGTACGAGCAACGCGAAGAAAGTAGGATCGGGCTTTGGTGAATGATTGAGGTATTTCACCTATCGACTCCGCACCCACGGACACACCGTTGGGCAGGTAATGGACAGACCCGTGGTAGAAGAAACGGCCGAGCCTGACGGTGTATGGATGAGAATCCCTGTCAGAATGATATTGGTAATACTCGAGTATTTCTTGAGTCGTCTCGCCGCGAGATGAAGCGGTTGATGCCCGAATAGCTGGCTTTTGAGAGTTGGCACCTGTGGATGCCCATGATGCGTAGGTACCGTATATGCCGCCGACCCTATCAGACAGCCTGGAGGAGACGAGCGGTAGAGCTAGTCCCCCGGGAGGGCCCTCTTGGAACCTCCTGTAAGCTTGATGCATGTCAGCTCAAATCACTATGATTTGCGAGTTACTCACATATTTCAGCAGCGTTGCTGTAGTGTTCCAGGGCAACCTCACAATCCTCCTTGACACCAATACCAGCCCAGTGTCGGTATCCCAATGCCATGGCTGCCGGCCTGTGACCCTGAGAAGCCGCGAACGTATAGTACAGAAGCGCCTTTCCTTGATCTATTGAGACGCCCCCCAAGCCTGTTGCATGGAAGACACCGACCAGAAATTGGGCTTCTGGGTCCGATGACTGCTCGAGGTACTTTTGCAGGGATTCGTACGCCATCTGAAGATCTTGCTTCAATCCTCTAGGAGGAAACTAAGACGTATGAGTGGTGCGCCCAAATCACGATGAAACCAGTCTCACCATTCCCATCTCTGCTTTGAGCATCAGAGCTTCTGAACAGCCATTCTTCTCGGCTTCGTCAATGAGACCTGTAATCTTTTCTATCCTTTCCCTTCTTCCCCGCGAGACCTTCTTCTCCGAGCTTCTCGACATTGTCTCCGCTGTTGATGACAGAAGCCTACTGGGCGAGAAAGCAGATACTACCCGAGGTAATAACCTAAACGCAGTGGATAATGGACCCTTCTATATGTCAGTCACGGGTGCTGTACTTTATATCTAGTAGACGCACATTCTGCCTCCATCCTAAGCCATCTGCCCAGCCCTCATTACTGAAGGGAACTATTCCAGCTGCCTTGCTGTGTAGGTGAGCGTCTGGAGACGGCTGGAGTGATTCGAGGATGCGCTCTGCCTCTGTGAGGGGCGAGCATAAGCTGGGCTGCTCTGCTAGGGCTAATGATACGCCCGCGAGAGCGAGGAGGAGATGGGCAGTGCGCATTGTGGGATGCGACGAGTTGAAGAGACATCATCGATCTCAGTCAAGACACGTCGCGTCCGCAATGTCCGTTCTACGGTGGAGGCAATGTCCGATGTCCGACAGAGACCAAACAATGTCCGGACGCACTCGTTCCGTGTTGCTCTGCCAGCGAGCCTGCTATCTGCCCCCCTCAACACCACCTCATTGCAGACCAGGGAGGACTCGCCAAGATGTCTGCTATCGATGTTGCCCTACACCATCCCATAGCGGTACTGTTCGCTTTCATCACTCTCCCTCCCGTCATCTTCCTGCTCTCGCTCTATAGACGAGTATCGACCCGGCCATCTAGAAAACACACTGCGACAGTGCTCGTTCTAGGCGACATCGGTCGAAGCCCAAGGATGATGTACCACGCAGACTCTTTTGCCAAGAATCAGTGGGCCACTTATGTGGTAGGATATGAGAACACGGCCCCCATTCCCTCTCTGCTTGAGAATCAGCTGGTCTCCTTCCATGGTCTCGCAGAAGCGCCAACCTTGGTTGACCTCCTGCCGTGGGCTTTGCGGGCCCCTATACGAGTGTCGTATCAGATCATGTCTGTGATATACATTTGCATATGGTCAATTCCTTGTAACACAGAGGTGCTCCTTGTACAGAACCCGCCATCAATCCCTACACTGGCTCTGGCTCAGGCTGTATGTTTTGTCACCAAGACCAAATTGATTATCGATTGGCACAACACGGGTTATTCCATCCTGGCGATGAGAGTCGGAGAACATTCACCTTTGGTCAAGGTGGCTACCTGGTAAATCAACTCTTCCCATCAGTATGCAAAGGGCTAATTCAAATTCAGTCTTGAAGCCAAGTTTGGGAAGAAGGCCTTTGCTCATCTGTTCGTCACAAAAGCTCTAGAGGAGTTTTTGGTGCAAAAATGGGATCTAAGGTCAGTCCGTTCGCCCGCACCTTGGGCAGCGCATATCTGACGGTGTTACAGGGGAAAGACGACCGTTCTCCACGACAGGCCACCTCAAAACTTCCGCCGTACTGGGCCCATGGTCCAACACGAGCTCTTTCACCGCCTCTTACCGGAACTTGAACCACCCTTTCCTTCCACCTTTCCTCTAACAGACCCCGCAGACACCATTTTCACCGAAATTGGGCCTTCAGGAATGCCCGCCTTTCGCACCGACAAGCCTGCTCTGGTTGTATCCTCCACCTCCTGGACCGCCGACGAAGACTTCACGCCCTTCGTCGTCGCTCTGGATGCGTACCAAAGGGCTGTGGATTCGGGCGCCAACCTTCCCAAGCTCGTAGTCATCATTACTGGCCGGGGCGGTCTCAGGGCGCAATTTGAAACCATTGTCGCTTCCCGAGAAGCAACGCAGGCATGGAAAGACATTATCGTTCGATGTGTCTTCCTGCCCGCGCGAGACTACCCGGCATTGCTGGGAAGTGCGGACCTCGGAGTGAGTCTACACAGCAGCAGCTCCGGGCGAGACTTGCCTATGAAAGTGGTGGACATGTTTGGCTGCGGCGTGCCCGTGCTGGCGAGAAATTTTATTTGCTTGCATGAGCTAGTCAAGAATGGGAAGAATGGGAGGGTATTCGAGTCTGGTACAGAGATGGGTCAGCTGTTAATTGTTGGTCAATCCCTGTCCCCAGTCTTCCATCATCACTGACTTTCTGTAGGAACTTTTCGATTCATTCCCTGTCTCCCCCGACCTTGAGAGCTTGAAATCCTTTTTTGAACGCGGTAACAAGCCGCGACGGACCGGGACATTGCCGCCCAGTGGCGCTGGTGAAGACGAGTGGTCGTCTTGGGAGGACAACTGGGATAGAGTGGTTTTGGACGGCGTTTTGAACGATACCAAACATTAGAGATGCAGCATCATTAGAGTATGTGTTCTGTCATGTGGTCAAACCCAAGGTCTATACATGATATTACGAGAAGCAAAGAGATTCCACGCTCAATACAAAGCCGTTCCTACACGGTACGCAGTCTGATGTACTATACAAATCACCATATCCATCACACCTCTGCTTTTCCCTTGCCTTTTGACATGTTCAGCCGTGATTGGCCATTCTTGCCGAATTTGAGTCCCGGCCCCAATTTACGTGCTCGAATGCGCCTTGACGTCTCCTCCTCAAACAGCAGATCGATCGTCTCGATAAGCTCGTGAAGCCTAGCTTTCACCGTAGGTCGTTTAGACCCGTCACTTTGATCAGCTGCATACTACAGTCAGTAGACGTTCGCGTCTTCCTCCGAGCAGCTCACGAATGGAGTCCATGCTGGCCTTGAGCGAATGCCGAAAGTCGGCCATGATATGCTTCTGCATCAAATCCCGACCCGATTCGTCCGAGCTGAGCTTTGGAGGTACAGCGTCAAGGATCTTGGCCGGATTGTTGATCGTCGCAAACATAAAGGTCACCTCAATGTTCTTGACGACCCAGTCAATCTCGACGGTTGGAGCAGGGCGCAGAGAGTCAGAAAACTGGTCGACCACCGGGATTACTTTCGTGATAGGAGGAACAGAGGGCTTGTTGGTCTGGTGTTCTTGTCAATGTCCGGTCGAAAAGTCAGTATGTTCTGACGTACCATAGCATCGACCTCAGCCAAGATACTCCCGGCTCCGAGACTCTCAAAGAGATACTCCGCACCCAGCCACGTGTACACATCCCTGCTCTCGACTGTGGTTTCGCCAAGAAATCGGAGGACAGCGCATCGCACATCAGGTCCATACGACTCTGTACTCTTGACAATTTGCGCGGCGATCATTCTAGGCTCATCATCAAGTCTCTGTGCAATGGTGTGTATCAGCTAGGTGATATACGAGATATATGTAGCCCACGTACATGTCTTCCGTCATGCACAAGTACAGTTCGAACGGCGTCGACAACATGGCTTCTGAGAGCCTCTGATGAGCTGGTGTCGATACCCAGTAGAAGAAGCGAAGGAAGGAGGCGACGGGAGAAAGTCGTCTTTCCGAGTTGTCTGCGCAACGTCAGTATCATCGTTCCACGGTGATGGAGTAGCTTACTTGGTCAAGACGCAAGTGAGAACTCTCAGGAGCTGAATGCAGACCTGATCTCTTTCCTTGGAAATGACCATGGGCGAAGACAGGTCGTGTAAACCTTGACAAGCAAGAATCGACTTTCTGGCGCCAAGCTGAGAGAGTATGAGGGCAGTCCAAGGTACAAGTGAGTCTGCAAGTGGAGGGGAGCGAGTGCCGATCCACTGTATAAGAATGGTAGCAGCGGTAGAAGCCCATCGGGCATCAACAGCACTGAGGGCTATCTGGATGTCAGGAACGAAACTGTCAACCATCACAACATTACGTACCGCACTTGAACAACCAGTTGCAAACACTCAAATCGTGTTCCTTGTTGATGAGGTTGAGCCCTCCGGACGAGACGATAGTAGCCAAAGCGGATATATCTGTTCGACATCAGCATGGCGTGCTCTGAATTGCACAAGCCAACTCACCGCGCTGACTACAACACTCTTTGATTTCGCGAATGAACTCGTCCGAGCTTGCAATGTCCAGTTCAGGAATCTCAATACCGCCGATCGTTTTCTTGAAAGATGGTTCCCAGAACCCATCCCAATTCAAAGGCGCTTCCGCTTGGAAGACACCCTTCTTCGCATCTCTCAGCAGATTATCATCCACCGCTAATCCCTTGTTTTTCAATTGGGCGGCCACGTCGTCCAGGTCAAATTCCCGCTCGTCATCCTCCATGGGATCATCCGCATCAGACAGATGAAGCTCCTCGTCGGTTCCCACATCAGACAAGTCGTCCTCGGAATCATCACTGTTGTCAATCTCATCCCAAACAGCCTCCTCTTCTCGGCTGGTTTTGATACCCTGCAAGGTCCTGTCAAACCGTCGCTGCTGCTGATCACGCTCTTTTGCTTCCTGCTTGCGCTTGGCCGCAGCCTTCTTCTCGGCATCCCTGGCCTCTTTCATGAGGCGCTGCTCTTCTCTCCGAGCATTGACGACTTCTTGACGAGATTGAACAACATCGGGAAGATTGGGAGAGGATGCCTTTTGAGGCGATTGTTCCAGACCACTGCTTCCAAGTCAGCTTCTTTCGGCTTTGTGATCACAGGTACTGACGCTAGAAGAGCACCCATGTCTTCCTCTTCCTCGTCTTGATCAGGTTGCTCGGCAACAATCTCTTCAATTTTCCTTGCACTTTCTTCTTCCTTCTTGCGCTGCTCCATTTCCTCTGCCTCTTTCGCGACTCTGGTCTCCTCGACTATCCTGTCCCACTTTTCCTGCTCCACCTTTCTCTTTTTTACAGAGTCGGGAAGCACCAGCCCAGCGCTCGCGCGCTTGCTTGAGGATCGTCTTGGTGTGACTTGGGCCACTGAGGATGCCCGCTTAGATGAGGTAGAAAATCCCGGATCAGATTTGACTGGAGTAGTAGGCGCCTCGGGCTTGGCCGACCAGGCAAAATTGTCCCACTCGGTGAGATCGATATCCTGTGAATGATTAGCTTGTGTTCAAGTATCTAGAAAGGAAAGATATACATCTAAATCGACCTCGACCTCAGTTGGCTGCTGCTCCACCTGGACCTCCTTCACCGATTCAGCCTTGGGGATAGACGCCCTAGGTGTCGCAGGTTGCACACTCAAGGGCGGAGGCTTGGTAGGGGTCTTTGTCTCCTCGTCCTCCTCCTCGTCAGACAGCTCAGTCAGCTCAGTCAGAGGGCTGGATGGCGGTAGCATTTGATCGACCTCTTCAAAGCTGCTTCCACCCAGAGTGATACTGTTTGACAGTTTCGAAGGTGACTTGAGAGGTGAACGCTGCTTGTTAGGTGCAGATTGAGAGGATCGGCTAGAAAGGAGTACAGCTGCCCTGGATCTTTGCGGAGTGGTGTACCGAGAAGTCGCCTTTCTGGCATCACGCTTGGTGGGGGTGCGTGGCCCAGGTACAGCCGAAAGTGGAACGAGCGGTTGCTTCTCAGGCTCTGGAGATGACGAGAGCTCTTCACCAAGACTGTGGACACAAGATATACCGCGATCACGATTGCGAGATTCTTCGGCCCTCTTCTCATCCACCCCTTCCGCTATCACGTCGACTTCCCTCTTTACGCCCTCAACCTTTCTCTTTTTTCGCGTCGTGACAGGAGTTGATCGGGGCACCGTAGGCCATTCGGCGGCGTCGAGTGAGGGTATCTCATACGCACCCGGCACTGGCCTCGCTCGGGTAGGCCTGGAGGTCACTTGGGTAGGTTCTGTGCTTTTCTGTCTGCTGGAGGCGCGAGTGTGACGCATACTCTCTATTTCATCCAGGGCTTCAGACGCACGGCGGCGGGAGGCTGACGAAGCTTCAGGGCTCGCATTCTGTCTTGACGCATGCGGGGTCGCAGGAGTGGGCAGGGCATTGCGGGAGTCTTGGGCAGTTGTGGTAGGCAAGTCTGCTCTGCTGACCGCGCGCGATGACTTGGCATAGGCCTTCGTGTCGTTGGCAGTTTTGAATATACCGTTACTTTTCTTTGCAGCCGCCGCGAAAGCAGGCTCGAATGACTTGGGTTTCCCGCCATGGAGCTCAGTAGGGGTATGCTCGGGAGACGGGGTGGCATCGTTGGCGGGAAGAGAGAAAGACGACTGGGAGCGCGGAAGGCTCTGGATAGACCTCGACGAGGAGGACCTGACGGTCGGCTGTGGTTTCGATTCTCGGGAAGGTGTAGGATTCTTTTTCAACTGACTAGTCGAACCTGGAGGGGCAGTTTGAGACGACAAAGCGGGCGGATCAGCGCGCTCCTTACCCTTACCCTTAGTCATGACCGATGGCGCTGTGACTTTAGGGGTAGAAGTTTTGTTGGTGAGGGGTTCGCGAGTAGCAGGCGAGGGGGAGCTCCCCAGTGTGGGAGCCAGAGATCCAGAAGACCTCTGACTGGAGGAATAGCTCAGCGGCCGACTGCCAGCCCCGGGTCTTCCGCCAAAAGAGAGGCGCGACTGATTCAGGCCTTTACGCTTGTCTTCCTCCATCTCCCGTTTTCGCTGAGCCTCGCTCTTGGGTGGCATTATGGGTATTGGTTTTATGTCTTCGTCGTCTTCCGAGTCCGAGGTATTGGTGAAGTCGATAACGCCTGACTGAGTCGCGGCGGGTTTAGTAAATACCGGTGTGTCGTCGTCGTCGTCGTCTGATAACGTCAAGTCGACGAAAGGGACCCCTTGGGCAGTGACGAAATGTCGATGAGGTCTGGCGTGTTTCTGAGAGGGGTGGGAGGTGGTGGATCTCTGTGTGGATGAAGAGGATACGGTGGCCGGTTTGAGGCCGGCTTTCTCTGCAATGGTCGGGAGGTCTCGAAAGAATCGGGATCCGGGGGATGTGGGACTACGGTCGAGGCGGCTTGAGCGTTGCTCAGCGGGCATAGTCACGGGACGGGGCGAGCATGGGGAAGTTGGGTGACGGCGTTGAATGAACGAAGAAAGAGAAAGTGGACCCGTCGCGCTTGTCCCTCACGCGCACATTAGCGACGCGGTTTGCTCCTGTGTGCCTCCACCCACGCGCTGTCGCCACTGTGCGCCAGGTTTCTAAGGCCGAAATCTCCGAATGCGTGGTTACGTACGTACTGGCCATGCTATGACGTCGTTGGGAGCGCATGTCACGCATTCTCATCGCCCAGCTGCATCTTAATTCCATTTCTATCTCGAATCTTCTTTCTTCTCTCAACTTGCTATTCATCACTTTCCATCTCCAATCCAAACCATCTACCAACAATGTCTTACGCTTCTGTCGCTGGCCACAACGGTAAGTACACCCATCCCTACTCACACGACACTCGTCGCTGACGACCATGCTCAGTCCCGTTCGGCGAGATGCCCCAACCCGACCCCAACCTTGCTGAAGGTTCCACTGCTACTGACGAGGTATGTTGATCTCACGCTTTTTCTCTCTATCCCTTTCATCCCCTAAATCGACCGTCCAGGCTCCCGCTCCCGTGGCCCCCTCTGAGCCGCCTCTTTCCGTGGAGCTCCACCCCCCTCCCGAGCCGGAGCCTTCGGTCTCGGATGTTGCTCCCAAACCCGTTTCTCCTCCCCCTAAAAGTAGTGTCCATCTTCCCGAGAGCGGCGCTCAGTGGGAAAAACAACAGGACATCAAGAAGGAGCAACAGGAGCTCAAGAAGAAGGGCAAGGCTTTGAAGAAGGAGGCCAAGGTATGTCGCTTCCATGTGCCGAGTTGGTCTGTACTGATGTATCATTAGGACGAATTTGAGCAGGCCGAGAACGCTTTGGCTCCTTACTGGGAGAAGACCAAGGACGTCGTCCTTCGACCTGGTACTCTTGGTGGTCTTTTGGGTGTTGTCAACGTCGGTATCCTCGGTACTGCCGGTTACTTTGCCTACACGAGGAAGAACCAGCCTTGGGATCAGCGACTCGTCGGTGGCGCTGTTGCCGGTACTCTTGCCCTTTTCGGTGCTGAAGGGTGAGCATCTCTTGCGGTCCACAATGACAAGCTGACGCGCGCACTAGCTACCTTGCCGACTCTTACCTCTCCACCCCCGAAGGCCAAGCTGAGGCCGACCGAGCCAAGGCTGAAGGTTCCAAGCTCTACCTTCATGCCAAGGAGGTTATTCTTCGTCCCCAGGTCGCCGGCGGTCTTGTCGGTGCTGTGAATGTTGCCATCCTCGGTGCCGTCAGCTACTTTAGCTACCAGAACTGGAACAGGCCTTGGGACAGGCAGATCGTCGGTGGTGTCGCCGCTGGGCTCGTTGCTCTCAGTGGTCTTGAGGGGTGCGTCACTTCTTGTTCGCCACAAAATTGAGCTAACCATGTGTTGCAGTTGGGCCGGTAAGAAGTACAAGGACGAGCAGCTCTAGATACCAACATTGCTGTCAGGCAATCAATGAAGAAACTGTTGATTTGATGGTGGCGAGTTGATGTATATTGTACTGCTATTCCTCTCTCCATTAACACATTGAAATACAAGTGCATGCAATAGCCTTCATTCCTCGTCAAGGCGGCTCAAGATGTCACATGAGACTAGTCGGGACGTATCATGTACAAGTGCCGGAGATGGCTTGGGTGCTGCGTCTTGCAGGGGCAGGCAAAAGGATTGGCTATGAGTTCTCACATCGTGTCTAACCCCTGTCTCGACACAACCCGTGCGATTCAGCCCGTAGTAAACCCCATATGCATCCCCATTGGGATGTCGGACCTTCGTTCGGTAGAACTATACCCGAAGGCGCGACACGCTTAACGACGTGTTGCAACGTCTCTAGAGTTTGCAATTCCCCTTCTGACTCTTTCGCCCTCCATCCAGGATCCTAGAAGCACTAGGCACCCATCAGCGTCACTCTGGAAACCCAACAATGGCCTGTCTAAAATTCCTGCAAAACGTGAGCTGGAGACATAAGCTGCACGTCTCCGTCATACCCAGCGCTGACTCCATTCGTGCGTAGGTCTGGCAAAAGACCTTGACTAAAGGGGGTGAGTGCTCCATAATGTGAATAGACCGCTGCTAAACGAGGTTTCTTGAAAGGCCATGATTTCAATGTCCTCTCATCTGTGGGTGTGTCGCGATAGATCGATCTCATGTCATGACCAACGGGAGATAGCTTCGTGTAGTTGAAGCCCGTCCAGGATATCTGAAGGGCATTCTGCGCATTGAGCCCAAGCATCTCAACAACCACAATGTGAGCTCTATTGTGCGGCTCATGTGCCTACTGTCTGATCATGTGTTGTAGACTATCCACGGCGGTGCCATCCTCACAGTGAGCCAGACGCCCTGGGATCGTGATCCTACTCTTACACACCTTGACAGCTTACAGACACCATAACATCGCTTTCTCTATCTACCCACGGCCTTTCTGCTCCCACAGGCGTCTCCGTCGACCTCAACACGTCCTTCGTCCGTCCGGGCGGCACAGTTGGCGACGACCTCATCTGCATCGGTATCGTCGAGCAGCTTGGGCGGACTTTGGCGTACACGCGATGTGAATTTAGAACGCCTCCGGGGGGCGAAAAGGGCGACAGGTTGGTCGCTTATGGCGCGCAAACCAAGTTTATGGGAGGAGCAAAGGCGGTTACCAAGTTTAGTAAAGACGGGGAGACGGAGCTGGGTTTAGAAGAGCAGGCAAAGCTCTAAAAGTAGAGGCTGCAGAAAGAAGTTCTTTATATGTATAGAATCGGTAGAAGTCTATTGTGCATCTTGGTATCATCTTGTCAATTGGCTACCAACGAAAGAACAACTAGAGCGCATGTCAACAATAGGGGTGCCTTGAGTCGTTTGGAGACGGCCCGAGCCCGCGCAATGGCTATACTCGTACTGTATGTGAGTGTGTTGTCCTCGTTGTGTTTTCACTCGTCCCACCTTTCGTCATACGCACAGCGAGGAGCATCTAGATGGACGCTCTCGAGAAAGCAGCCCTCGACGGCTCCCTCTTCCAATCTAGAGAGCCGCCCTCTACCACTCGTGCAGACGACTCGGGTGACCGCCCTTTCTTGGGTATCGAAGACGAAAAGTATTCGTTCGAAAATGACGAGTCTTCGTATAGCAGTCATATCGGAAGATCTCATTCGGTGGGCCAGGAGCCCAAGCGGGAGCCCAGAGGGCTGGTGGAGCATGGCGGGCCCCAAACAGGTGCCAAGGGTGTCATTGAAGACAAAAAGGCCAGCGAGCACCATGCTCAAGCGGCGAGTCGGGCTGCGGCTCTTGCTCGTGGCATCAACCCCCAAAGTCGCCAGATGACTAGCTTGACAGTCCATGAAGAGGCAGAACTAGCTGCCAGGCAAAAGGCGGAGGAGGAGGACGAGGAACTGAACGAGATCAGACGTCGAAGACGAGATCAGCTTCAGCGTCAGAGAGAGGAAGGGCAGGAGAAGGTCGGTAGTTCTGCACTGGAGCACGACATGAAGAAGGCGGTAAAGGGGGGAGGTCTTCAGGAAATTGGCAGTGAACGGTTCTTGGAGGTGGTGGAGCGACAGGGGTGGGTTATCGTTTTAATCTTTCAACCAGCAAGTACTCTCTCATTTCCATGCATACTACAGGCTCATGTATCTGCAATAGGGCTTGTCAAGATGCGACGCTCTCTCCACATCACTGCTTCACCTCTCTCTCAACGTCCCTGATGGTGTTCCTATATCTCTATATCGCGCTCGAGCCACGGCTCTTCGCTTTTCCCTCGTACCTCCTACGCCCCAAACTGTCTCTTCTCATAGGCAGAACACGAGCGAAGATTCTGAGATGGCATGGGATGAGGAAGGGCAGCCGCTGGGGGTGCCGGATCCCGACGTGTTGCCGACGTTATTGGCGTATAAGGACGGGGAGTTGGAGAAGACTTGGATTCGAGTAGATTGGGATGTGGGGAAGGATGGCATAGAGGGTTTGCTAAGAAGGTGAGTCGCAACATCAGGTCGAAACCAGGCTCAACCATTTTTACAGGGAGGGCATCTTGCCGTCCATCGCCAAGCTTGGTTATACCGGACAGGCTTACGGCGAGGAATCTGATGACGATGATTAGATGCTGTCAATATGAGCACTGGCGTATAGGGCGCAATTTCTGTGTCTGTACATTCTATTGAATCCAGCTGTGCATTTGGTCATGTCCCATGAGAGTCGTTGGGGTCCATTTCGCGTATCGACGGGACGAGGAGAGCGCTTGCGGGTCAGTTTCCTACAGCCAAATATCGAGTACCCAGGTATCATCTTTCTGTTGGCGAGTCGATGTGTGGATCGTCATGCCAGACGCGCCCATTCATCGACGTTGGTTTCTCATATATCAATACATCCCGGACATCGTCTATTCCTGTCGGACACCGAGTTCTCGAGCTTGAGGGGACCACTGCAATCAACTGTCAGCTGTGGTCTAGATGATAACAATGCACCGTGATATCTTCATACCACCTCGCACCCTACACCCCACCCCAACAGCTAATCACGAGACACAACACTTACCATCTGTGATGGGATAGGCCTTGTGGGAGCAATATGTCTTTCTTCCCTGTTGGCAGACAATCTCCAGACACCAAAGGTAGCGACGAGGATACCGCCGAGAGCGAAAGCAGTGTTTCCCTTCCAGTTGCTTGGGCGCGACCACCATCCACCAGATGGGGTCCAGACTTCTTTCGGGTAAGGATAGTGACCCTGCGTACTGTCAGTTCTCGCCCGATGCGCTGTGCTCTCGACCTACACCGCCGCCCTACAGTGGGTCAGCACTATCTCCCGCGATGCGCATGCTGCTTACCATTATGGTGCTCTTGATTCGTGGATATATGCAGTGCTGGGATGGCTTTTGCAGCGAGGTGAGTGGGCAGAAGGGGCGCGCCTATCGGAGGGCCCCGCTCGGCGTTTGTGGGTAGGCGCGCCCGTGAATTGGTGCGTCGCTGATTGGGCGTCGGGTCCGTTCGGAAGTGGGAAACTCCGTCTCAGCGTCACCCACAACACATCTCGCGTCTTTTTAATCCCTCGATTCTTGCTCTTGCTTTTCTTTTCCTTCCACCTCCCCCTCTCTATCTCCACCACTTCCCACACCACACCACAACTCACCTACAAACATGTCCTACAAGCCTGGTGCGTGCATTCCCCTTTTCGCCCCAGCTATCTCATCGCCCAATCGTCGATCTTCAATTGTGCGACGGCGGTTTAGGGGAGGTGTATGTACGCTCTGGAGTTCTCGTGCTGACTTGACGGCCTTCTGTAGGAGACGCTACCAAGGGTGCCGGTATTTTCAAGGTGGGTGCACACTCTCGACGTCCTTGTCGAGGAAAAGACGCTGATGTTTTGCTTCTTAGACCCGATGTGCTCAATGCCACACTCTCGGTGAGGGCGAGGCCCACAAGGTCGGCCCCAACCTTCACGGTATCTTTGGCCGAAAGTCCGGTCAAGCCGAGGGTTTCTCTTACTCTGCTGCCAACGTTAACAAGGGTGTGACATGGGTGAGTCTTCGTCTCTACGATGAGCGGGCAAAGAACGGCACAGCCTCTGCTGTGTCTGCTCTGCCTCGTCTGTATCAGCATCATATTGATAGCATGCTAATTGTGTCTTTTCAGGACGGTCAAACTCTTTTCGAGGTATGTTGATGCTGCACAGCGACTCAGGGGACGTGCGGCAAGAGCTGATTCGTCGTTTTAGTACCTCGAAAACCCCAAGAAGTACATCCCTGGTACCAAGATGGCCTTTGCCGGTCTTAAGAAGCCTAAGGACAGGAACGACCTTGTTCACCACCTTGAACAGGCTGTGAGTGCTCGAAACCTCTATATACGCGGTGATACTGATATCTCTTCAGACCAAGTAATTCAGCTATTTTCTTTGGGTCTCCGGGTTGGGGGGTGTCATTCGCCAATAGATCAGCCCATGCACTCCACCTTTGTATCGCATATACACTACCTATAGCTCCTTGCATTGCATTGCACCTCTCATCGAAACGCCTGGCCTCCGCTATGCACCCACACCAACGCTTTCAACAAGCACAACAATCGAGCGAATTATAACACCGCGTTCTGTGCGTCATCGACACGCAGGTCAACAGCCAACGGGCGACGCAATTTTTCTGGTGGTCACCATTGCCTGAGCGATGATTGGCGAGCGGCCTGCGACGCGGCGCGGCGGCAGAAGAGCTCCGCTGACTTTTTACGTAACAATGTTTTGGCTGCCTGACTTTGTGGCGGCCTCTGCCCGAGACCTCCGCGGGTCTCAAACGTCATGGTCAAATCCAAAACTGAAGTTGCCGACTTTTCAACGGAAATTCGAGCTACCGCAAATCCTGAGGACATGGAACATGGGATCATCGGGTTTGGTCATCACAAACGACATACGTGGCTTCAACACAGTTATTCTTCAACTTCCACCGTGATCTCTGTTTGTACCTCGCAACCCCCTCCTTGGACGCTGTTCACAAAATCGGCCCAAGATTTTGGTTTCGCCTGGGAAGTGGTCGTTGATGTTTCGTGCAAGACCTCGAGCAAGTCGCCAGTGTCTCGAGGCAGATCGGGCTCGCGGGGCAAACAGCGACCCATAGGGGTTTCGTTCTTGTCGAACGCAGAGGAGCTACTCTTGTTTTTGATGATTTCGGTTATGAGTGGGTTGATCCTACAGAGGATGAGAATTAGGCTTGGGGATGGACGGGTTGAGGGTGGCTTACAGGCAGGGATTGGTGATTGACGTCCATCGAGCGGTGGAAGCCCACTTGGTCATCACCTCGCCGACCAGCGCGTGTCTCGTGGCCAGACGTGATTCGCCTTGCTTTGCACGATTGGAGTTGAGCTCACGAGTAAAATCGAGCCATATGTTGTTGGTGGGATTTCTCTCATTGCCATCGCCCTGGCTCATCACATTCTGCAGATGCCTCTCAGCATCATTCACCATTGTATTTCGAAGCACGTACCTCGATGATAAGAATGGGATAGTTTACTGTGCCCATTTCATCCTTGGTAGGCAGCTCCATCCGGGTCGTGAGAAGAGGTAAGAATACCTGCAAATGAGCAAGGTACTGATTGTTAGGTCAGCCTACAGCTTGCAGGCCCATGATTTGCAACACTTACTTCGGCTCGAAGCATCCTAGCTTTTGCCATATCTGTCCATTCGTCTCGAACATCCCTGAGTATCTGGTTGGTCCATTGTCCAGTTGCAAACTCGAATAAAATTACGTTCAAGGTATCAATCAGGTCCAGGTCTTGCGTTCGCACCGCATCCATTTGCATCTAACGTAAGCCCCTGGTGAGTATCTGCGTCGCGCGTGTTTGCTTTCTCAGGAGTACTTGCCTGTAACCATTCTGTAAACCCCATCATGACCAAGTCAGTCTCGACGGGTGTAGTAGGACCAACCATGGTCAGACTTTCGACTATCTCTGGGTGCGCCAAAGCCAGACGCATAGGGGCTAGTGATCCCATGTCGCCGCCCACCAGGTGTACCTTTTCCACTTTGAGTGCTTGCTGCGAAGAGGTCAGCCTCTGACTTCTGAACCATACGCCACTCACCAATACTTCGTAATAGAGCCCAGCAATCCTCTCCCAAGTCATTTCACCCTCCATGGGCTCTTTGAGCAAGGACATACCGTGCCCTGGCATATCGATAGCGACGAGGTTGTATTCGTTGTAAAAAGTAGGGTCGTCTAGCTGAGGATAACTATATATCATGAGCATTCCGTGAAATATCTTGAAGCGCTTGTCAGAACTCACAAAAAGTAATGGTCAAGCCATGGTGGGTGGCAAAAGAGCACGGTAGAGATGGCTGGGTCGATAGCTGTCGCTACCCTGTTACGAGGGGTTGATAATCGGTATGCCAGACGTCCAGGAGCAGAGTTGATGTTGGCGTAATTGACCATGGTTCTTGTTCGGTGGAAGGGAGCGAACAGCTGATATTCGAGAAACGAGAGACAGTAGGTAGATGCGAAACGTTAGACTTGATAATTATATATCCGCGACTTCACCAAAGACGGCAATCAGTGATGGCTGGGACGGACACGGGTGCACATGCCTTCACGAGATGATCAATATACCTAGGCACAGTAGACCAGCTGCTGAAGTGCACAGTGCTTGTAGATGATGTAGAGCACTTGGCCCTTGTGAGCTGAAGGGGCTTATGCTAGGCCTGATACCTGTTTCCCGCGCTAGTAGATGTCGCAGTTCTGTGATGTATATGTGAGTAATCGATCCTGAGGGACGATCAGGATGTTAAGAGAGAGGGTCATCATCTTTACGGCGTCGTGGGCTCGCATTCTGCTCTGATTCTTACTGATAGTCTCGAGAAATTATCTACACGACATCTTGTGCGTGACTGAGGAGCTACATGGATGCCTCATTCTCGCATCTGAGTGGATCACTGGCGAGCCGTGACTGAGGCGGGGAATCTGACCCTCGGCAACCCGAGATCACAACCATCATTAGCCATGAAGAACATGGAGAGACGTATGAAACAATACTGAGCTCGATTTGAGGAAGCTGTTGGTCACATTGTAACCCCGACAGCGGGTATCGATGTATTGTGCGCCAAGAGAACGAGGTCACCAGGAGATTAGCAAGATGACAGCAGTCTACAGCCTGCGGGGCCTGCGGCCGGTGAAATCAGGCCCGTGTCCAGGTCTTAGCTTTGACGCAACGAACGCGCCATCAAGACCCCTGATTTCACACACATGTATTGATCCGACATTGATTACATTCCCTTATGCGCCAGTAGGACATCTACCCGAGTGAAGGAAAATTACAGACCCGCCCTCTCATTTCTGTCTAGGGAGATGCCACATATCTACATGATTGACGCGGTGAATCGTACTAGAGTAGCGTACCCATACCGTTTTCGGTATCTGGCGATTTCAAAACCCACAACAAGCCACGACACCATCCAATGCTAATGGAAAGGGAGAACCGTTTCACTTGCTTGGTCTTGAGCGATACCAAGGCCCCCGCATATGAGGAAGTCAGATGGACACAGTGGTACAATGTGGCATAATCATTAGATTGTGATGGTGGATCCCGAGGTGCAATGGGCTGGCTGTCTGACCGACCGTCGTGGATAGGAAAGTCTGCTGGGGGCCGGGGTCGTGGGATTGCGATTGGTAGACGGCAATATTGCCGCTGGAAGGGGCAAAACTCGAATTGTAGAGTGTCGATGGGTAGTGACTAGATATAGTGAGTCCTGGTAGCATATACGCGTGCCGCCGAGATATAAAGAGGACATAGGAAAATGCAAGGGGACATATGGAAGGACGCGTGATTACGGCGGAGAGTGCCACACAGACTCATTTTTAACGCCGCTTGAGTAACTCGCGCGTCTGTCTTACTGCTCATCTTCGACAGCATCCATACGAACCACCACCAATCCCACAGCACAAGACCGCTCCAACATGGCCGACCGAGATGTCAGGGATCGCGCCCCTAGGGTCCGCAACAGGGCTCCCGCTGCTGTCCAGGTAAGTCGCCCAGTAAAGTCGATATGTCAGTGACTGACCCGGTTTGACAGATCACAGCGGAGCAATTACTTCGTGAAGCCCAGGAGCGCCAAGAACCCGGCGTGCAGGCTCCCAAGCAGCGAGTTCAGGATCTTGAAGAGTTGTCAGAGTTCCAAGCAAGGAAGAGGACAGAGTTCGAGGGACGGATCCGATACTCGAGGGACAGTATCATGGGTGCGTACTATTTTGGGATGGCTTTGAGATGATGCTGACCAGTATATGATACAGCTTGGATCAAATACGCACAATGGGAATCCAGCCAGAATGACTTTGATCGCTCGAGATCCGTTTTCGAGCGTGCATTGGATGTGGACCCGCGATCTGTTGATCTTTGGGTATGCCATCACCATGTCTTCATTAGTCACTTTGAACTGACCAGACATGTGCAGACCAAGTACACAGATATGGAACTGAAAGCGAGAAACATCAATCATGCGAGAAATCTCTTTGACAGAGCCATTACGACCCTTCCCCGAGTTGACTCGGTACGTCTACCCTGCCCTGGCTGTCGACTCGTATTGACCTTGTGTATAGCTTTGGTACAAGTATGTCTATCTCGAAGAGCTTCTCCTCAACGTTCCCGGCGCTCGGCAGATCTTTGAGCGATGGATGCAATGGGAGCCGAATGACAAGGCGTGGCAATCGTATATCAAACTGGAGGAACGATACAACGAACTTGATCGGGCTTCCGCCATCTACGAACGGTGGATTGCCTGTCGACCTATACCGAAAAACTGGGTGCAATGGGCGAAATTCGAGGAGGACAGGGGCCAACCGGACAAGGCGCGAGAGGTGTTTCAAACAGCGCTGGAATTCTTTGGCGATGGAGAAGAGGAAGTGGAAAAGGCGCAGGTTGTGTTCGGGGCCTTTGCGAGGATGGAGACCAGATTAAAGGAGTTTGAGAGGGCTAGGGTGATTTACAAGTTTGCTTTGGCGAGGTTGCCCAGATCCAAATCTGCAAGCTGTGAGTCTTTGTGTATATCAGTACGTTGTACGGACTGACATGATCACAGTGTACTCTCAATACACCAAGTTTGAGAAGCAGCGTATGTCGACTTTTGTTCGAGCGAAATATCCTGCTAACTCTGTGGATAGATGGTGATCGTGCCGGTGTAGAGTTGACTGTTTTGGGCAAGCGTCGAATCCAATATGAGGAAGAACTTGCCTACGACCCGACAAATTATGACGCCTGGTTCTCACTCGCTCGCTTGGAAGAGGATGCTTATCGAGCGGACAAGGAAGATGGTAGCGAAGACGCGAACCCTACGAGGGTTAGGGAGGTTTACGAGAGAGCTGTGGCCAATGTGCCCCCGGCTATCGAAAAGAGATACTGGCGAAGATACATCTACCGTAGGTCGTCTCTGTCGCTGCGGCAACAGCGCGCTAACGCTCCCAAGTGTGGCTGCAATATGCCGCGTTCGAAGAAATCGACACCAAAGACTTTGACCGATCTCGAGACGTCTACAAAGCTGCCATCAAATTAGTCCCCCATAAATCCTTCACGTTCGCCAAGCTCTGGCTGTCATATGCCTACTTTGAGATTCGCCGTTTGGACGTGACGGCTGCGAGGAAGGTTCTGGGCGCGGGTATCGGAATGTGTCCCAAGCCTAAACTCTTTACTGGCTATATCGAGCTGGAGATGCGATTGCGAGAGTTTGATCGTGTGAGGACGCTCTACGAAAAGTTCCTCACTGTGAGTCGGACATTTCTAGTTTCAGCATGTGCTTACAATTTTCCAGTTCGACCCATCGCTCAGTTCCGCCTGGATCCAATGGACCCAAGTGGAATCAGCTGTCGAAGACTTTGAGCGTGTGCGAGCCATCTACGAACTTGCTGTTCAACAAGCTCTCGACATGCCTGAAGTCGTCTGGAAAGCATATATCGACTTTGAGGCTGGCGAGGGTGAGCGCGAGCGAGCCCGAAGCCTTTACGAACGCTTGCTCGAAAGGACAAGCCACGTCAAGGTCTGGATCTCGTACGCTCTCATGGAAATCGCAACTCTTGGTGGGGGCGAGGACGAGGACGGCAACGAGATCGAAGGCGAGGCTGGCGATGTGGAGGCGGCTAGACAAGTGTTTGAAAGAGGTTACAAGGACCTCAGGAAGAATGGCGAGAAGGAGGACAGGGCGGTCTTGCTTGAGGCTTGGAAGACGTTCGAGGAGGAACATGGCGATGACGAGAATAAGGAGACTGTGGAGCAAATGATGCCCACAACAAGAAAGAGGTGGAGAGAGGCCGAAGATGGCAGTGGCATGGAAGAGTGTACGTTCTCATCTTGTTTGATAGCCGTGCTAACATCTTCCCAGACTGGGATCTCATATTCCCCGACGACGAGAAGGAGGCCAACCCTACGACCTTCAAGTTCTTCCAGGCTGCGCAAGAATGGGCTGCCAAGCGTGGGGCACAAGGGGAAGAGAGTGGTGGGCTGTCCTACGACATGCCATCAGACTCTGACGACGACGATGACGGAGAAGCGGGTGAAGGCGAAGGAATGGACGAAGATTGAACGGCAGCGGACGGATGTGAACTTTCTTGTTACTGGCAATGCATGGCAACTGAAGATACAAGCATTACGCCCGCCAGACATTGAAATATCCTGGCACGACAGTCTTTGACCATCTACAGAGCTCTACCTCGCGGCACCCATCGCCATTCAAGCGTTTGTGGACTTCCAATATCACATTCCCACAGCCAACCTGCTCAACAGTGGCCCCTAGTATGCTATCACTCCCTTGCGTACCAATGATGTTTCTCCAGAAGTGAGCCAAGCTGCCCCTCGTCGTGGTGACAGGCGAGCTGTGAATGAAATTCACATGCACGATGCGCAGCTGCGCCGAGGCAAGCAAGTCCTTCGCCGATGGAGAGACGCTGGATGATAAAGTAGGGTCAAAGAAAGACGGGTGAAGAGCCGTGAGATATAGCTCATCTAGATCAGGATTGGAAGCTAGGATTTGGCCCAGCGCAGCGGCGTCCTTGAGAACGATACCTATCAGCGAGAGCTTGTGTAAGCTGCCGCCGATCATCTGGGCCTGGAATGTCCTCCACACCTCGGCTGTCAAAAAGGGTCTCCCCGGCGATGAAGTAAGGTGTAGAGATCTGAGAGAGGGACAGGAAGGTAGGGAAGGGAGGTCCGACAAAAGAGTGTCTTGGTGTTCAGGACTCTCTCGACGTGGGACTGTGATGGATATGGACAATGTGTGAAGTAGAGGTAATTCCGGGAGATTGGTGAGGTTGAGGAGCTGCGATTGGGGTGGGGCATCGAGAGAAAGTTCTTCAATCTTCTCACTGGACTCTTCCAGGATGGTAGTGATGCCCGCTCTCGTCACATGGGTGCAGCCCCAGAACGTAAGGCGACGGAGACTTGTCAGGTACGGGGCCATTGCCCGGAGCAGGTCGTCGTCTATCAGAGAGGATTCCTATCTTTGGTGAGGCAGAGCACGCGTCAGAGACGGAATGCGCACCTGGCAGACAATCCCCAAGCTTTTCAAACCAGCACCCTTCCCATCGGTGTTGTCTCTTGATGAAAGTTTCGATAGGACGTCTACCAATCGACCCTTCAAATGCGGATCTGGCATCATGATCCTGAGGTCTTCAAGAGCGGGTGCGGCAGATAACAATGCTGGATCATAGTACCTGTAGGAGTGTCCCGATATCTCAAACGAGGACAAATGCGGAAGGCGGATCATGCTAACAAAGAGGGCGGAGTTGAGTGACTTGTCTCTCTGCAGCACCAGTCAGACCGGATGAGGAAGTAATAGAGTACCGACCGTCCATGCGATGGATGTAAGGTTGTCCATATGAGATATGGCAAGCTGTACACGATCGTCCAACTCGGACCTCGCCTCTCCACGCGTAGCGAGAGGGAAGAATCGGACCTCTGGGATGATATCTGTTAGTCTTTGGGGTCGGTCCACGAATTCGGCTCACCCAAACGACGAACGAGGCGACAAAGCTCTGGGCGCTTGTGTAGCGTTTCAAAGAGCATTACAAGCTATCACCCGTCAGTCAGTCAGTGAAATCGTTCTGATGCTTAGATTGGAGGGTACCTTCATGTGTGGCGCCTCTTCCCCTTGTCCGCTATCAGCTAGCATATACGCAGTAGTACAGAGATACGTACAAGGCCGTACCCATACATGTGAATACATTTGCTTGCGTCCGATACTGCACCACTCCTTGCACACTCGACATATCTTGGCCAAGTCCCTGGGTTGATCGAAACTTTCCAGTACCAGTGGCACCAGCTCGGCGTATTGGAACAAGGCCGCCAAAGGCGATACCTGATCCGTGGCCCGGGTGGCCGAGGTGTCGCCTAGAGTCGCAGATGATGACTCATACGACTTTGGAAGCGGGTAGATGGGAGGCTCTCGAGGGGGAGTCGGCGGCGACTTGTGTTGGATGGAGGTATCGGTGGTATTTGATGTCGACCCTCGCCACTGATGTGCCCGAAGAAACATCTTGTCGAGCCTGAGCGGTTGGAGCCGTGGGCCATCATCAACGCGGATCGCCCTTAACTGATCGTCTAGATGGTGGAGATCTTGCTCATCCATGCTTGAGCCCCGAGTCGCGATTGCTGCCAGGAAGAAGAGCCAGTTGCAGTGATCCCAGTGGTGTATCATTTGATGACTTTCATTGCGTTCTCCACCAACAGACCATGGCGAGTTCGGCGTACGCCGGGCGCGGTGCCACTTGCACACAGTTGTAGAAACTGGGACCAGAACGAAGAAAGGTGCAAGCTGCCTAAATACAGGTGCATGTAGCTGCGGATGAGGGCCACCCACGTCTGGTACTAAAGCAGACACACAATCAGGGTCAGCATAGATTCAACGGGTTTCGACACGGAGGAGGAGGAGAGGGAAGACGATCTGATGCCGACACTCTTCCTCGCCTCGCCTCATGCCTCTGTTTCTGACGACAGTTCTCGAGCAGAAAATGCTGCAGCCTCCTGCATTACATCCATGTGTAACCAAGAAGCAAGACTACCCTTTGCGTGCAAAGATGATGAGCTGAAGGTTGCAAAAAGAATAGTTTTACAGGGGGTCGAACCCTGGACCTTCCGCGTCTCTCCTCAAACCGGGTTAAAATCCGGTGGTGATTTGTGAAGCGGACACTCTAACCAACTGAGCCATAAAACTGTTTGATATTGTTTTTGTCTTTTGTGTCCCATACATCTCAATTTGTCTTTTGTGTCCCATAGATCTCAAACACTTCCTCATTCATGATCACTAAGTTCCCTCAACTCCGACTCCCTTGCATGCCTGTGCTTATGGATCAAAGTCTCATCTGTCGCATCGTCGGCCTGTCTTATCTCCCCTATCGAAGTTCTCTGAAGTATGCAGCGATACAGCACACAGTCCAGGGTGATACAGACCTTCTTTCATCGGTCACACCGCACACGCGCACGCTCACGTCACTCATCGTTGTTGACGTGAAGCGGCACTCAAACCAATTGAGCCATGAAAACGGCACTTCATCAGGCCCTTCGTGTGTCAGCATGCATGTGCATATAACTTGACTACTCATCAGCGGCAGCTTGGTGTCCACGAGTACATCTCGAGCGCGGCCATGATGTATGTTCAATAAGGTTTTTCGAAAAAGTCTTTTGAGGGATATTTCACCAGACACAATCAGACACTGTCAATCGTATTAGTATTTGTGCCATGTATAAAGGCTTTGTCATGTCGTGTACATCATATCACCCTATTGCGCGTCGACGTCCATCCCTCCACCCACTTCCTCTGTCTCTCCGAACATCATTCCGCTCGTCTCCTTGGCATACTGTGCGCTCCTCTCCACATCACTAAAGTACTTGTACGCCAACCTCACATCTTCCACATCTGCCTGTGGCGACTTTCTGCGCTGGGCGAGGTGAGAAGAAGGGGCGATGAGGTTCAAAGAGTATCGAAGGGAGGTTTGAGAGCCCATCGTGGCGAGGAGATCGAGCGCGGCGGGGGTAAGCTTGACGTCTTCTTCCTCCGCCCTGAGAGTGTGTCAGCCAGGTGTCAAGATGAGGCAAACGACTTACCTGATCTTGACAATCTCTCGCATCTCATCCTCGTCATACTTTTTGGTCGAGATGATCAACATTCTATCCAAAAGGTCGACGGGGATACCGTGAGGGCTCTTGTACTTGGTCCCTCTTATCCTCGTGATGCCTCTGTTGGAGGCCATGACCACCAACGGCGCCAGCTCATTCTCCATGGCCCTGTTCAGGAACGAAAAGCACTCAATGTCAAGCATGTGTACCTCATCAATGAACAAGACACCAGGAACAATTTCGGCCTTGCCTTCCTCTCTCCACTCGGCCACCTTGCCATTGATCTGCGCTCGAAGCTCGGGCTTGATCTCTCCAGTGTCGCCGGCAAAGAGGGCAAGGAAGCCTTGGGTACGGGAGTTGATGACATCGATTTCGTGAAGGGAAACGGTGTGAACGACCTCTTTGCGCGTTTGAAGCTCGCCGTCGGGGCAGGCGACGAAACGTGTCTACCGACTGTCAGTCAACGTCGCGGGCTGTAAAGATCACTCACGTCGGCACCCATAGCATCATAATCCTTGGCTCGTCCGAAACTCCTTCCCAGCTTTGAAATTCTGCCGCTAGCCTTGTCGATGCTGACAACATCGCCGGCCAACACCTTTTCCTTTTGCAGCTGGTCGATCATTTTAGAACCGAGGTCGTAGACAGTCTCCATGTCTGTCGTTTTGAGGGTCAATCGTCCTGTCTTGGTAGCCTGCAGTGTAATGTCAGCGCCGTCGATATGCAGACAAAGAGGCTTACACCGGTCACACTTCGGTCCACTTGGATCTCAACGACTTCACCCTCGATCAGCTCTGTCTCCTCCTTTATCCTCACACCGATAGCACGTCGGAATGCCTGGGTTAATGATTCGGTTTTGGACATCTACATCCAAGTCAGGGTGATCCTCGAGGTGTAGACTGGAGACTTGCCTCGAGAGAGAATACCTCTGAAGCCGTGAGCATGACAAAGGGAACATCACTGCCCAATGTTTGTGTCATCGCTGATATAATTCAGCTCCAGACTCGAGATATTGGAGATTCAGACTCACCCATAGCCAACGCAGTCTTTCCAGTACTGGGAGGACCGGCCATGAGGATTGCCCGTCCGGCTATTCTTCCTTCTTGAACCATCTTCAAGATCACACCAGCCGCCTTTCTAGCCTTGCCTTGCCCAATCATACCTTGGGAGCTAGCGCGAGGTTCTAAATTGGAGTCGAGTCCAAGGCCATGAATGTGAGAGTGGACGCCTGCGTACGGGTCAGATGGGTGCTTTGGAAAGGAAGACAGGGGGCGCACCGATGCGTTCCATCTTGGTGACATCGCGGATGGAGGAGGATGGTTGCACAGAGATGTTGGCAGCCTAGAAACGTCAGCACGGTCTCTCCTGCATCGAGCGACTTACCATCGTGGTTTCTTGTGGTTGTTGCCGGATTCCAAGTCTGTCGCTAATTCATTCGCGCGAAAGCAAGAGCAGATGAGTGCATAATTACGTAATGTTGAGAGCTGCTGTTAATTTTGGCTGGGCCTCCACTTCTGCCGACGGCTTGCATGTAAATTTCAAGGTGGTACTATATTTCTGTACACCACCAGCTACAATGTCCGGCGAGAAATCAACCAAAAAGACTTCCAAGGCGGAACGAACTCCTGAAGAACAGGCCAAAAGAGACGCCAAAAAAGCGGCCAAGAAGGCTGCAGCTGCCAAAGAAGCTCTGGTCACCTCGGATCTCCAGGCAGAGGCTGAGCCTGCAGGCGAGGCTACGCCCGATGCGACCACAGAGGAAGGCGACGCTGCTGCCTCGGATTCCAAGAAGCGAAAGAGAGAAGGCGCCGCTGAAGGCGACGAGCTGGAAATTGATGTCTCTGCCCCCGCTCCTCTCTCCAAAGCTGAAATCCGAGCTGCGCGAAAGAGGGCCAAGCGTGGCGACAACAGCGAAGCTCGACCAAAGCTGAAAGACTATGAGAAGGTCGCGAAGAAGGGTGACAAGGATGGAAAGGACAAGGCGGCTGAAGCTCTGGAAGGCAAGGGCAAGAGACAAAATTCTATATGGATCGGAAACCTGGCGTTCAAGACAACGTCTGAAGGACTCAAGGAGTGGTTTGAGAATGGTCTGAGTGGGCTGGGAGGAGAAGGCGAAGGTAGTGTCACCAGAATCAACTTGCCGAAAAAGAACAACAAGGCCGGATTCTCAGAGACAAAAGGGCAAGTACAAGCCTGCTCTGACAGTCCCAAGCTGACTTGACCACAGATTTGCCTATGTCGACTTTGCCACACCTGAGCTCCAAGAACTATCACTCAAACTGTCCGAGTCCCCTTACCTCGGCAGACGAGTGTTGATCAAGAAGGGCGATGACCACACCGCTGCTCCGGACGCCCGTACTCCCAAACAGACCCTCGCCGTTCGTGCGGACGAACTTGGCTCCATCTCTAAACGTCCCGAGACTTCGTGTATATACATGGGCAACCTGCCTTTCGATATCACCGAGGTTCAGATTAGGGACTTGATTGAAGAGAATGCGCCAGAAAGGGAGGCTGAAGAGGGCGAGGAGATTATTGGGGACAGAGGTGGAAAGAAGAGTGGGTTAATCAAGGTCAGGTTGGCAGCTTTCGAGGACACTGGCAGGTGCAAAGGGTGAGTGGGTCTCGTGGCCAGATTGTGCTATATCTGACTCTGTATAGCTTTGCGTTCCTCGACTTTGTCTCTGCCCGGCACGCCAAGTTCTCTCTTGCCAACCGCAAGAACCACTACTTCAACGGCAGAAAGCTCAACCTCGAGGTACGTCTCGGCCGCATCACGTCTATCCATACTGACATCCATCAGTTTGCTTCCGAGTCGTCAGCGAAGCGAAGCGGCGCCGACAAGCTCCGCAAATTTGCCGGCGAGGGCAAGCCCAAACCTCGCTTCCCGCCCCGCGTTGAAGGTGAAGGCGGTGACGGTGAGGAGAGACCCGTTGAAGGCGAGAAGAAGGACCAGAGAGGCAAAAAGTGGGAAGCCAGCGGACGACAGAGACCTGGAGCGGCGTTGGCTATGGCCAAGAGAGAGAATGTCGGTATCGTGGAGGGTTCTGGTACAAAGGTCACGTTCGATTAGAGTGTCTGTGATTTGTATGTATATAGTTTATCAATCACCTTGCCGAATACTTCCTATACATGTCTTACAACTAACATACTATTGACGCCTTTCTTTCAGCCTCTCTACTTCCAATGCTGGCTCATCAAGCTCTGCACCGTCATCAAGGCCTGATATCTCACGTCCCCGTTCTCATGCGACATCAACTCCATCACCCGAGTCTTGCCGTGAAGTTTATCAACGGTGTCCCTGCTACGTTCCCCGCCGTACCTCACGTACTTGCCAATGTCGTGGGTGGCAACGGCGAGAACGAGGGGGTCTTTGGAAGTTGTGATGAGCTCGACTAGTCGCCTGTTTGAAAGTTAGTGTTGAACCCTTGTGGAAGTAATGAACACACTTGACAGCGCTTCCTCCATCCTCCTGCCCGATCCTCAAACCGTTCTCCTTCCAGAAATCGACCGTGTCATGTACAGGCGACCAGACCAAGTGCCCGCTCTCCAGCTCCTTTACATACTCGTCATAAGTACTCAAGCCGTCCAGTCGAGTCTTGAGCTCGCCCTGAATGTAATCAAGGTCTTCGACGATCTCTTCGTCGGACCATTTGCGGGATTGAAGGGAGGTGATGAAGGGGAGGAGCTTGGTGACAAACATGGAAGGCAAGTTTTGAGAGGGGGCGATAGCGAGGAGGTTCTAATGAAGGGTGAGCAAATGAAGTTGATGCCTGATCTGAGACACACCTTGAAAGTAGCAACGACAACTCGCTGGACCTTCTCCTTGACCGCAGCTTTGGCGACATCTGTCAATAAAGCAACCACATCATATTTCTTGTCCAGCCCTTCGGCGGCCTTCTTTTCAAAAGACAGCTGCCAGAGAGAAAAGATGGCCCAGTATTGAGCTTGAGGATTGGGGTTGGATTTGAGAGATTTGATCAAGCTGCACAGGGCGTGAGCACGTACATACAAGCGGACATTGATGACATACCCCGAGATGGCCCCTTCCTCTTCCCAGACGGCATTTCGGAACTGCTTGGTACCAAGGACTGCACCGAGTACCTGAGCAGCCACTTCCCAGAGCGGTATGCGACTGCCGTTGAGAAGGGTTTGGAGAGATGACAAGAGAGTTGGGACGAGGGATTCTGGGAAGGGCTTGGGGTCGGTGCTGACAAGCATGGTTAGCTGCGCCCAAAAGAAGAATGGTGGACGCACGCAATAAGCAGAGCCAATATCCTCAAGCTACCCAAGACCGGGAACTCTTCCTCCATGCCCAAGCACTTGACGATAGGCCCATAGGGGTCAGTCGGGTTTTCGGCGGTAGCCAAGCTGTGAAAGTAGGAGATGTTGGTGGTGTCAGAGAGCATGTCGTTGATAGACACAAGAACGGCCTGGACAGTGTCTACACGTTGGAGCTTGCGCAGGAGATCGATATAGAGCTTGGCGTATTGCGGACCTTGGGTCGCGAACACGGTCGGACGTTGTGCTGGCGGCTGAGAAGCGTCAGGCGGGGTAGCAGCGGCTGAACGTTACATACGAGTTTGGAGAGCGACTTGAGGAGGGAGAGTTCATCCTGCGAGAGGAGCTTGGCTCTCTGGTATCCCTGCAAGCGGTGAGGGTGGCACAGGCGGGCTTGGACGTGGACTTACCTCCCAGGGGACGGCCTTGTTGTTGATCTTTGTGCATTGGTCGTCGAGGTAGGGGGAGAAGAAGGGGGGCGGGATCGGGTGCAGCGTGGCCATGGCGGGCAGGATGATGGGCAGTGCAGCATACAGTTCTCCTTTCAGTGGTGGTGGTGAAGCCGAGCAGTCATCATGCCATTACGTAAACGCATTCGAGTTGACATCTCAACAGTTCAACTTGTGACTTCGACTTGTGCTTTACATCACCGCAGAGTGATCCACAAAACAAACGTATGCCTGCCCCTGTCTCCTTCACGGTGCGCCCACCAGGATCCGCCCCGTACCGGCCTTCGCCCCTTGGCAACAGGGGCCCGCCTTCAAGACGGCTGTTCAATGATGACCAGGAGGACGAGGATGATCACGACGACAGCCATATTCAAAGCAAGAGAGGGGAAAGGCCCAGAGACGAACGGATAGAAGGATTCGGAAAGAATGGACGTGCCATTGGGTACGTTGGTCACGATTCAACCAAAGTGCAAGAGTTGACCTCTCGTCTGTGTAGTGGCGACAAACCTGCAGCCCCGCTTGTCATTCCCGCCATCCCCAATCGAGACTGGCGAGCCTCATCTACCCGCAGGACGCCTTCATATCGCCCCGAAAACCAACCCCAAGTCGATGCTGGCGATACCCATGACCGAGTCGGAGACGGCCCTCAACGTTCGGGATTGAGGCAGATGATCAAGCAGGAAGTAAAAGAGGGCGAAGACGGAAGTGTCAATGTCAAAATTGAAAAGCACGAAGAGATTAGCAATGGCTCCGTCAAGCAGGAAATCAAAGAGGAGGTGGAGGTGAAGAGGGAACCCCTCACGCTAGAAGAACAGGCTCTTCAAGCTCTCCTTCAAGGCGAAGTTCCTCGTGAAACGGAAGAAGAGCGACTACGCCGTGAGCTCGTCATTGCTTCCGCCGCAGACACCCCTTTCTCTGAGGAAGATGCTCTCAAACGAGACGTCGACGCTCTCCCCGCCGAGGTGAGAGCCCTTCTCGTATACACAAGAGACAATGTTGACATTAGCTCGCAGTCGACTATCGATGATTACGCCGCTGTCCCTGTATCAGCCTTCGGTGAGGCTATGGCTCGCGGAATGGGCTGGACTCCTGCGACCGAGGGCGGTACAAAGATCCACGAACCCAAATCGAGGCCTGCCCTTCTGGGTCTTGGGGCAACTGCCATGCAGGCCCCGGTGCCTCCTAGCCGGAGCGGCTCCAGCAACGGAAAGAAGCCCAGGCCGCCAAGCAAGAGAGATGCTATGAAATACAGCCTGGCGGGGGCTATGGTCAGGCGAGATGGGAGTGAGACGCCCGGGGCAAGCAGTGCCAGTGAGAGCAGTGAAGGCAAGAGGAGGAGGGATGACGACTCCGGGAGAGAGAGCAAGCGGAGGGACGACGGATATAGAGATAGAGATAGGGACAACGGACGGGACCGTGCTCGTGATAGTGAGAGGGACAGAGATAAGGAGAGGAGGACCGACCACCGAGATGCTGGGCGTTCTGAGACAGAGGACGAGCGTGCTCGGCGGAAAGCCAAAGAGCGCGAAAGGAGAGACAGGGGTGACGATAGGGATCGATACCGGGACGGCGACAGACGAGACGACCGTGATCGCTATAGAGAAAGGGATGATAGAGATAGACGCGATGATAGGGACAGGAGAGATAGGGACCGGGATAGGAGACGTTGAGCAGGCCTGTTTGTATATTACATGTATGAAGAACCACCTCATGTGGAGAATAAACCGTTCTAACAGATGAGTACAGTCATCTGCTGCACAAGTGTGTATGAATATCAGTAGAGCATACCAGTATACTTCTGCAAGTTGAGAAAATAAGTCCGCAATAACACGGTATAGAAGGTCAAACATGCAGGTTCAGCATGATTGGGGGTGTAGCTCATTTGGTAGAGCGCAACATTTGCAATCACGATTTCGTTATTTGCCTCTTGTTGAGGCACAGGGTTCGATTCCCTGCACCTCCATTCTTTTTGCCTTTTGCTTGTCTCCCTTGGTGCGACCGGCATGTATGCAATATTCTATTGCTTTGAGAGGCTGGACAGCCCGTTGGACCCTGGATGTCTGCATGCTCATAATTGACTACGCTACGGACTGCGCTGAGGCGGTGGTGAGGTGGTGGAGGGTGGCGCTTCGGCCCAGGAGATGTCCGCGAACTGCCGCCATCGTTATTGTCGTCACTCACACTTGCATCTCATTCATCTTCGCATCTCCTGCCATGCCCTCCCCGCCAGCATCCCCACCGCGCACACCCACGCCCACCGCTGCCAGACCAGTCGCAGCTGAGCCCGCCTCCCCTCCCATTCCCCCTGCCAAGTCCTCCACTCCTACGCCCGTCGGCACCGTCCCTGCTTGTGCCACTCCCACTTCCCCTCCGCACTCAACGACCGCTCCCACGACTGAGACTGCTGCTTCCGCGCCCACCATTGAGGCTCCTGTCCATGCCAACCCAAAGATTGCCGAGCTGCAGGCCATCTTCCCAACCGTGGATGTGTCGGTCATCGAACTTGTCTTGGAGACGTGCGGCGGATCCACAGATAGAGCCATCGAGCAGCTTTTGGGCATGACTGATCCCAACTTTAAGCCCGATGAACTTGACGGATCTAGGCAAGGCGTAAGTCTGCGAAGGTTGACAGTCAGGCGACATAGCTAACGCAGCACAGCACCAAGTTGACCTGGACGCCGAATTCGCTCGGTCATTGCAGATGCAAGATGAGGACGAGTTCCGCCACCAACAGCGCCAGTACGAAGCATCTCACGGCGCTGGTGCCAACAGCAGCCTTCCACCGGGTCAGTTGCCATACCAGCCCCGTGTCCGTCGGGCACGGCCCCCTGCGCCGCAGGCCGCTTATCAGCCAGAGTCTGGGGAACGGGAAGCAGCTGTTGGCGGAAGGTGGGATCGGTACGAGCAGAGGCCTACTGGTGACAATCCCCCTGGAGCTTTGATGGTAGAAGAGAAGCTGGAGAGATTTGCTGAAGGTGAGTGTGTAGGAAAGACTTGGAGGCAACTGCTTATCTTGAACGTCAGTCGGCAAGCAGACATTCAACTCTTTTCTCTCTCGAGCCAAACAAAAGTATGCCGAGTTCCAGACCGCTCAATCTGAACGGCCAAAACACTATCAGCCTGGTCAATCCGAATATGCCCCGGCCCCCGGCGGTTCGCGTGGTGGCGAGCAAAACAGATACACCCAGCCCCAAGAGCGTGTTGGCGGACTGTGGGGTGAGAGGTCGAATTCGCCCAGTATCAGTGGGAGATCTGAAAGCTTCTCGTCGGCCAGTACACTGGACCCACAGCCGGTACAACTTGACCGAGGTGGTCAGATTCCTGTAAGGCAGAGTAGTGGCTCAAAGAGGTGGCAGCCGTCCGACGCTTATGGTACGTCAACTGAGGTTAGAGAAGACATTTGGCTGACGAGTCGGTAGACGATCCGCTTCCGCCTTCGAGGGGCAGCACATCAAGCCCCAACAGAGTCGAGATTGCTACCCGTAACAGTATTTCTGGGAGCCCCGACAAGGCTGGCAAAATTGACCTCGGTACGTGCCTACATGTCATTCATGAAACAGTACTGACACTCGATCATAGCCAAGCTGGGTATTCTCCCCAAGAAACGTGTCGACCTGATGTCAACCTCTCCCTCTAAACCTCTCTCCAGCGGTTCCGGCGCTGCCTCATCATCCAATGCCAAGACCCACGACAATGACTCGGATGATGACCCCAATCCCGGTCTTCCGAGCGCAAGCTTTACAAACAAGATTCCACCTACGCCGCCTGCTAGCAACAGTCCGTATAGGTTGGAAGATAGCGATGATGAGCTAGAGTACACCAAGTCAGTAATGACGCCCACTTTGTCTGCCAAGCTGACGTGTCGTAGGAACCCTTTCGATGAAAAGTGATCGTTGTATACGTGTATCAAAGAGACATTGAGAGCGTAGATACTGTGCCTCGTGTTCCTAGTAAAGGTAGAAGATACAGCCATATGAGATCGCGCCACTGATACGCTTCGACTTGGCATAAGAGAGATACATGCATGCTATTGATTGAGGGGTATACTGTAGAAATTGTAATCTCCGTTCCTTCTCAAGACTAATTCTGTAGCAAAGGTTTGCACTTGCTAATTCTTTCTTGTACAAATAAATCAATCAGTCCCCAAATGAGTCAACGCCACCCTTCTCTTCTTCTTTGGCGCTTCGCCCCCTTCAGCAGCTTGCTCCCCTCCTCTCTTATTGGCCGCATCTTCCGAGGAAGCAGCACCAGCGCCCCCACTTTCACTCGGCGTAGGCGTCGGCAGCACTCCCTGCCCCTGGCTAGAGATGAACGGCCTAGTCGAGGCCGACACACCGGCCACACTGCTAGCCACCGAACTCTCCCTCTCACTCCTCGCTCCCCACCCGCCGAGATTGGAAGGCGCGGGGCTCTGCCTGATGCCCACTGCAGGACTGTGTGGTGTACCTGACGCGGACGTCTGGGAATGGATAGAGTCGCGATGGTGGGACGAGGCAAGGGGAGTACCGGCGAGGGAGTGGGATTGGGCGATGGCTTGGAGTTGGCGGTGGTGCTGTTGGGTGGGATGGACGGTGCCTATTTCGCCTAGGTCGAAAGTGACCATGCTGCAGTAGCCGTCGGCTGAAGAAAGCAAGAGCGCCTGACCATCGGGAGACCTGTTGAACAGTTAGTTGACGTATGCCAGGTCAGAAACGGACGTACCAAGCCACGTCGGTAAACCCAGCATAATGCAGACCCTTGAATATTGCTATAGGACCTGCTTGCTGTGTGTCGTATAGCAACACCGAGTCCTGACACGCCACAGCATACAGCAACCGGTATGGCAGATCAAAGACACTACCCAAGTTCTGCGTCTCCTTTTCCTTTTCCTTTGTCGAGGATGACGAAGGCGCTGGGGGTGGGGGCATCGATAACGAGACATGTACGGGTTGAGTGTCCGACTTGTCTAATGTAACATGTTTCGGCTCTGATTGAATATGCCCATTCTGGCGCAGGTCGTAAAACACTGGGCAGAAGCGGATGGCCACACTCGAGGTCTTGTGCCCCGGAAGATGCGCTATTGGCGCCCGCGCAAGGTTGGCTCGCGAGTAGATGTAGGCAGTGGGCTTGCCACTTTCGGTATGCTTGGGTTTTGGTACGCTGTTGGATTCGGATGAAGCGTCTTGCGACAAGCTTCTGGGGCCGAGCATGGGAGAGCCCTTGAATACTTGATCCTCGATCTGTCCCGCGGGTGTCAATAGAAGCGACCCATCAGGAGAAAAGGTCAGTCTTCGGAAGAACCGCGTTGCGCCTTCTTCGCCGTAGAGTCTCTGGTTCAGAGAGACGTTTGAGCTTGCAGGCGGGGCACGGATAGCAGGGAGAGGAGGTATAGGCGAAGGAGATCTTGCTGACCGGCCGAGGGCACTGAACGCTGCAGCGCTCAGAGCTGGAGAACCAGCAGCCTGCGAGCCGGAAAAGGAGGACCGACGGGAGGATGGTCTGTTGGAAGTGGGAGGGTTCATCGGTGCAGGCGCAGCGGGCTGGGGTGTCGATGGCACCGAAGCCGAAGGCGTGGCAGGAGTACCGATGGCGCTAGCTGCGATACCTGGGAGATGGGTTTCGGGATAGTCGGAAGCGGTGGTGATGACAGACCCTGCTTCCGAGGTGGTCGAACCTCGACGGACCATGTTGGGGCGAGAGACTGAAGAAATGGATGGTGTCCGGGAGTGACGAATCTCCATGCGAGTCGCCCGGGTAACGGGGTGGACGTCGGGGATGCCGTTGCGGAATGCGAATGTGTTGACATGGACAGAGCTGTTGACTACGATCAGCCAGAAAGATGTGACGAGGGTGTAGGACTTACCGGTCACTGCTCTGAGTAGCAATATACTCGTTCAATGGGTCCCATGATACACCTTGTACATTGTGAGAGTGTTCTCTCAGAGCAAACACGCACTCGCCTTGAATATATCAGCATTCGCCTGGGAAATCAATGGCCAAGCACTCACCCGTAGCCGCTTTCCATATAGTCGCCGTGTTATCTGTAGACCCGGCAATCAAGAACTCTCCATCCGGTGACCACGCCAAGTCGTAGACATGCTTTGTTGTGACTCTGCAAGATGATGAGTGGTGATCGTGGCATTGGCGGTGAGGACATACTGGAGCATCTTTTGCAGTCTCCAGTGCTCCTTGTCTGGCAAGTCTTCCGAAGTCTCTCCGAAAGTGACATTGGGCCTGTCGCTCGGGACCCAAAGAATGACATTGCCGTCTACACTGTATGAGCTACGACCTTGGAGCCTGTGGAATAAAGTCTCACCGTCACCAGCGCTGGCCAAGGTCTGCCCATTCGGGCTGAAACGGACGACATTGACGGGCGCCGTATGCTTTGACAATGTCGCGAGATACTCGACTCTCGGGGGGTGCGGTGTATATTCCTGGCCTGTTAGAGCCGTATATGTGGCAGGGGATATCGAGGGGATATTTGGGTAGACCATCCATATCTACAAGAGTCGAACGACGCGTGAGTCAGTGACCGGTACCGAAAGTGGATGTCTCAAGTCGAGGTGGACTTACGCGGACTTTGGAATCGCCTCCTGCAGTGGCCAGCCTGTACTGCCTGCTGGCAGCAGCATTGGCGGCAGCAGTGGCAGAGCTTGTGGGTTTGTCCTTTTCTTCGTCGTCGGCAGAGGTGGACGCCGATAGGAGCCGCTTGAGCTGCGTAAGCGGGAGGGGCTGGAAATCGCACGAGTAGACTGCTTGTGTCTCGTGCCAGCTGGGGCATGCATGTCAGCGAAGGGCACCGGGAGCTGGGCAGGACGTACGCGATTTCGAGGACTTTTGGTCTCATGGCGTTGTGGGGTGGTGGAAAGATGAAATGCAGCGAGACGAGGGCGGACGCGCCGAGATGAGCGAGCTGCTACAGGCGAGATTTCTCCAGCGCCGAGGGATGTCCTTTAGGGGTCGCCGTAAAAGGAGCGCTCGGTACGGGCAGGGTGGCCAGGGGTATGGATGACCTGGTGTGCAGTGCTTGTCCAAGTCCGACGGATTGATACATACATGGACAGGCTCCGGTGCGCTCTCTCTCTCGCAACACCGGACGGCGCCTGTCTGTTACCCTCGCGGTGATTGGATCGTTCGTGTAGCTGCATTCGATGGTCGGCCGGCTGTGTCGACCAGATTGCACATCCGCTAGCAGGACCCTGCCACCAATGACCCGAATCTTGGAGCAGCTGCTATGTATACCCTCCTGCCTCACCTCTTATAACACCCATGCATCCCTCCCCTCCCCGTGCATGCAATATAACGCGGCTACCGACGGCCCGCTCTTCTTCCCACGGCCCGCCGGATCGCACATCCGCCCAACATTTCCTCTTTTTACTATCCACTCGTTCTGTATATCCAGCGCTAATAGGTCACGCGATGCTCTATCCACCTTCTCCGAAACGGGCCCCTCATAAGAGGGTGGGGCAAAGCCATGGCCATCAAGGGAACCGCACTTGACTACAATCATTCGCCATGTGGCTCACAGCGCTTCTCCCCGTGCTATTCCTGCTTGCCCACGCTTCAGGCTCAGCCATTCCCTTCTTGGTCTCCCGAGACAATGCCACGTCCGTAGCCAATACAACGGAAATAGAGTCGATGGCTCAGCGGCGCCGAGCCGACCTTGCCACCTTCCCGGACCCAGCCTGGTTCCCTCAGATCGATACGTGGCTGGCGAGCCAGAAAGACGGCGTCTGGGATGATGTCGACTATACATCCGGCTGTTCGGCCCGTGAGCTCTCTTTGCCGTTTGCATCGACTTGGCTGACGTCAAACAGAGCGCGCAAACTGGCCCATCCAATCTCACTGGACGCGCTTGCTGACGTTTGCTGCTGCTTGGTCTGGATTGAACCCCAGTGTGCCTCAGAATTACAGCAACAGCCCCGAGCTTCTGTCTGCGGTACAAGCCGGTCTCGACTTCTGGGCCGCAAACGACTACAACAGTACCGACTGTATCGGGCACGGCGGAGTCGCGCAAGTCAACTCGAGTGCTCATGTTGTAAATACTGACTGTCGCCACAGCAACTACTCTTGCCCTTGTGGAACACCTGGACTATGGAATACTGTGAGTAGCCCGAATCGTCATGAGCTTGACACTGACATGGTCACAGAACTGGTACGGCCAGACCATCCTCTTGCCCCAGCTGGTGGCTCCTACCTGCCTCCTCGTCTCCACCTCTGGCAACCTGACCGACTCTCAAATGTCGCTCTGCAGTCGCATACCCGAGAGAGGATACCGTTACAACGAACTCACACCTGGCTCGGATCCCATGACTGGTGCCAACATGGTCAATGTGGGTATCCTTTCAACATTTTTGGGAAGATGAGGCTAATTTCCTTAGATCATGCTCAACTCTATGACCTGGGCTCTATACTCGGGCAATGAGACTATTCTGCGGGATGCCATGACACAATCCATGGGTGCTGTCGTCGTAGGTCACCCGCGCCCCTAGTCTAGAAAGTGCTAATGCCTGCCACAGTTCAGCGACAATACCACAGAAGACGGCATCCATCGTGATGGCAGTTTCCTTCAACACGAAGGCGTGCTCTACAATGGCAACTATGGCAAAGATCTCGTCAGTCATCTCATCAAAAGCCGAAGCCCTAGCTGATGATTATCAGCTCAACGCATTCAATGCACTGGAAGGTCCAGCCATTGGAACCCAGTATGCTGCCAGCAATGACTCTCGCGCAGCGCTCTCAACCCAAGTCAAAGGTTCCGAGTGGATGATCTATGTAGACCAAGAGACAAAGCAAGAACACTGGGACTTTGTGAGTCTTACCAGCCGTCACATTGCTTGTAGCTAACAAACGAACAGAACGTCATAGGGCGCTTTGTGGCTTTCCCCACGACCGACCTCATCCAGGCCACCTCAGATATCCTCTTCAACACCACCAAGCTTGCTGCAGCTACATTCGACTTTGCAGACGAATACAGTGTGGCCGATACTGTTCAGAGACTCAACAGCAATGGCTCTGATCCTCTGGTGGGCAACAAGGTGTTCTGGGCATCTGACTATGTGGTGAGTTGACCCTGGCAGCTGATATTCACCTTGACTGATGTATTGAAAGAGTCACCGTCGCGAAAACTACATTATCGGCTCCAAGATGCTCTCTACCCGTTCTCTCGGCACAGAGACTGCCAACAGCGCCAACACCCTTGGTCACTGGCTCGGCCAAGGTACTCTCTTCTCCTACGTCTCTGGCAACGAATACAAGGACATTCAAGCCGAATGGGACTGGCAGTTGGTGCCGGGCGTCACTAGCCTGCTGAGTGATGATAACGGGGGTGTAAATCTGACACTCGAGAATGTTGGGCCACCAGGAAAGAAGAGCTGGGTCGGTGGAGTTAGTGATGGATCGTTGGGTGTGGCGGTGATGGACTGGGAAGATGTGAGGAATGCGAGCTGGGGTTACAAGAAGGCGTGGTTCTACTTGGACGAGGGAGTGATCGTAACGGTCGGTGATGTGTTCAATGATGGGTCGTGAGTCATCGCATAACGCTTCTTCTTGTGCTGATATGTCTCAGTGCTGAGGGGCAAGTCATCACTGCTCTGACCCAACGGGCATCCACCGACAGCGAGATCTATGTGGATGGCGCCTCTTTCGATTCCAACAACGACTCCACTTCTGCCCACACTCTCTTTTACGAAGACACGGGCTACGTCGCCTACGATACGCCCTTCAATCTCAAAATCACGAATGGTGAAAAAACCGGCAATTGGTCTGCCATCTCCACATCCTCCAGAGGCGAGGCTAGCACTAGCATATTCTCTGCCTACACTTCCCATGGCGACCTCGCTGTTGCGGCAGGATCCAACCAGACATGGAGTTATGGCATGTTCCCTGCTTCGAGCAAGAAAAAGGTGCAGAAAGAGCACAAACATCAGACCTACCATCCCTTCCAGAATGACGGGGTGTGGGGCATCCACGGCCACGATACTCTTGGGCTGGTCTTTTGGCCCGGATCTTCTTTGGCTTTTGGCTCAGGAGTTGCGACGGCCTTTGGTGGCTACCCCAATGGATGGGTCAACATTACCTCTTCCGAGCCTGCCGTTCTCCTGATGACCACCTCGGAGGATGGGACCATGAACATCAACATTGCCGACCCATCACAGACAGTCCAGAGTTTGGACTTGACTTTCCGATTTGACTATGGGGCGAAATTGGACTGTGTGGATGAAGGCTGTGAAGTGGACGGGGATGTGGTGAGGTTTACAGGTGTCCAATTGCCTACTGGTGGCTGGGCAGGTGACTCTGTGAGCTTGAAGACCAGGTGGGCTTGAACAACGAGGACGATTGAATGGGATCACTTTCGGGCGGTAATGAGACTAGTTGTATAATACATATCTATGTGTGAATGGAATATAATATCTCGCCGCTTCAAGCAACGAATGCCTTCTCACTGACACCTCCCCTGCCCCCCCCAATGTCATCAACCACCATGCCCTCTCCCTCGTCCGCCTCAGTCTTGGCACCTTCCAGCTTGGCAGACTTTTCAGCTGCAGCAGCTTCCGCCTCTCTCTGCTTTCTCCCGCGGGTCGGTACACCCGCATACTTGTCTCGCATCCTCTCGTACTTGATCCTCTGCTCCCTGGACACACTGGGTAACGTCTTTTGGGCAGCCCTCTGGAAGTGTTCGATCGTGACTCTGACATCCCGAGCTCGCTCAGCAACACCCAGAGGTTCGGACTCTGCGGCAGTCTCGAAAGCGCCGATAGACTCGAGCGCGGAGCGGAGGGCAAGTGTGGCAGCTTCTCGGACGAGAGCAGCGATATCCGCTCCCGAGAAACCCTCACACTTGTCAGACATGACGACTTCACGGATCGTTCCCCAGCTAGTCTCGTCGATGGGTGTCTTTTTAGTGTGCGTCCTGAGAATGTCGAATCTCTCTTCCGCGCTCGGCAGGTCGACGTACAACAGCTTGTCCAGACGTCCCGGACGGACCATTGCAGGGTCAATCATGTCGGGACGGTTGGTAGCGCCAATGACATAGACCGCTTTACGGGCATCGAGACCATCGAGTTCAGTGAGGAGGGTGTTGACGACACGGGCGGAGGATTCAGACATCGAGTCGTCTCGGCGAGGGACGAGAGCGTCGAGCTCGTCGAAAAAGATCACACAGGGAGCAGAAGCACGGGCACGGGTAAACACCTGGCGGACAGCGCGTTCACTTTCACCAACATACTGACAAGCAAGTGAGCAGAATTCGAAAGGAGCGTGTTGTACGTACCTTGTTGAGCAACTCTGGACCCTTGACGCTGATAAAGTTGGCTCGACTTTCATTGGCAACGGCCTTTGCCAGCAACGTCTTACCGCAACCCGGGGGACCCCAGAGGAGCACACCGCTGGGAGCATCGATACCGACTGTGCTGAACATTTCCGGATGTCTAATGGGCTGTACAATGGCCATATGCAGCTCATCGCGAGTCGCAGAGAGCGCACCGATATCGGCCCAGGTGACGTCGGGGATCGTGGCAAAGCCTTCTCTCTTGGCTGATGGCTGGACAATTTTGAGAGCAGTGAGGAAGTCGGATGGAGTGAGGGAGATGCTATCGAGCTGGTCGGAAGAGAGGGGAGATGGGTGAGAGAGCAGAAATTTGGCGATGGCCGTTTGTCTCAAGTCCGCAGACAAGTTGGCAAACGGCTGGTCGTCAATCATCATGTTTTCGACTCCATCGGGTGCAGGGAATTCTCGCTCCCCAGAACTCATTTCCTCAAAGATGCGCTTGACGGCAGTGACTCCAGCTTCAGTTGTCAACGCTGTGAGGTCGGCACCGATATAACCCGGGGTGGCCTTGGCAAGAGCGCGGAAATCAACGTCTCCTGAAAGACGCAGCTTTGAGCAGAGAACTCGAAGAATTCTAGAGCTGTGTCAGCGTGCGACATTTATAGGCGCAATGCTAGGACTTACTGCTCCCTTCCCTCCTGCGTAGGCACTCCCATCTCAATCTCATGATCAAACCTACCTGCTCTTCGCAGAGCAGGATCCAAGGAATCAGGTCGGTTGGTCGCTCCAATGATAATGACAGGCTCCTCGCTAGCCGCGAGGTCGTCCATGAGCGTCAAGAGCTGCGCCACGATACGTCGCTCCATTTCTCGCTGAGCGTTCTCCCGCTTGCCCGTAATGGCGTCTATCTCGTCCAAGAATAATATGCAAGGGGCGACTTTCTGTAGGACGATGAGCTCTCAAACAATCAGCAGTGCATGCAAGACTTACCTTGGCCTCCTCGAACGTATCTCTCAGAGTCTTCTCACTCTCACCCGACATTCCCGAAACGATACTCGGCGCGGAGACACTGATGAATGGCAACTTCATCTCTCCCGCCAAGCACCTCACCAACTGCGTCTTTCCTCCTCCGGGTACACCATGGAGCAAGACACCCTTTGGCCGGGGCACTCCAGTATGCTGATAGATCTCCGGGTGCCACAACGGCAGGGCCACAATCTCGAGCAGCTGGGTGATTTGTGACTGGAGACCTCCCAGAAGCGAGAGGTTCACATCGGGAGGAGTGTATTTGGCAGCGATCGTTGACGGGTCTGTCCTAGGGCGTTTCCTCCGGGGAGCTGGAGGAGGGGTGGGCTGAGCGTCGTTCTCGCCTGAAGGCCCCGCCTGAGCCGAGATGGAGGGGTCCACGGGGGTGCCGGGGGCGGAGATGTCGTTGACTGGGAGAGCCTTCCTGACCCTCTTTTTCTGCTGCTGAGGGGGCGCTGCGGTGTTCCAGGCGGCGGTGATGCTCTGGTTGAGGGAGGGGAGTGCGCTCATCGTGCCCTCTGTGCTGTTTGGCTCTCAATCAATCCAACAGCCAACTTTTCGCCCGAAGCAGCCTCCACCTTGAACTCCGTTACGTAACCGACGCGTGAGGTGCAAAAATCCAGTCAACCAGAAATCAAACAGGACGCGTCTCGTTCTCCATCGCCGATTTGATTGTCTGCGTTTGCTTTCGCATCTCATCTTCATTATTTCATTGTTTGACGGATATGTCTGCAGACCAAGAGAACGACCCTTTCGTGGGCCAGAACGGCGAAGAGATGGAGGAAGACGGCGACTTCTTGGCTCCTCTTCTCGTAGCAAAGCTTCAGGTCGGTTCGCCACTCAGTACCCGTCCATAGCTGACTCTCATCGATCTACAGGAAGCTGGTATTTCAGCCCAGGACACTAAAAAGCTGTCCGATGCTGGATTCCACACAGTAGAAGCGGTCGCCTTTACTCCCAAGAAGACTCTCTGCACCATCAAGGGTATCAGCGAGCAGAAAGCTGACAAAATTCTGGCTGAAGGTGAGCTTTTCCACTTTGACCGTATTGGATTGTTACCAACTCCATTCCAGCGTGCAAAATGGTGCCAATGGGCTTTACAACAGCCACAGAGATCCATTCCAGACGGTCAGAGCTTGTGCACATCACAACAGGGTCGACGGGGTTGGACACAATTTTGGGAGGAGGTATCGAGACTGGTGCTATCACCGAACTCTATGGTATGTCCGTCTCCATGTGAGGCTGACGTCCCGGCTAACGCTCTTCCAGGTGAATTCAGAACGGGAAAATCGCAACTTTGTCACACTCTTGCAGTCACCTGCCAATTGCCCGTGACCATGGGCGGTGGTGAAGGCAAATGCCTCTATATCGACACGGAAGGAACCTTCCGACCTGTTCGTATGCTGGCTGTCGCGGAGAGATACGGATTGGACGGAGAAGAGGTGCTGGATAACATTGCCTATGCGCGAGCGTATAATGCGGACCATCAGTTGCAGTTGTTGGTGCAAGCTAGTGCAATGATGGCTGAGTCTAGGTCGGTTCACAAGCCTCGTTATATGACTTTGAGCTGACAATATTACAGATTCTCGTTATTGATTGTGGACTCTGCTACGTCACTCTACCGAACGGATTTCTCTGGTCGAGGCGAATTGTCAGCACGACAGATGCATCTTGCCAAGTTCTTGAGGACTTTGATGAGATTAGCGGATGAGGTGAGCAAAGACATTACTTCCGACTTTGATCAGAAAGCTCATCGCAAACAGTTTGGAGTTGCCGTTGTTGTCACCAACCAGGTTGTTGCTCAAGTAGACGGAGGTCAGTTCGCTGTTGCCGACGCCAAAAAGCCTATGTAAGCTCCCTTCTATATCACGCATATGCGCTCACTGACACTGTTTACAGCGGTGGTAACATCATGGCACATGCCTCCACAACCCGGTTGAACCTGCGTAAGGGTCGAGGCACATCGCGAGTCTGTAAGATCGTGGACAGTCCATGTCTGCCAGAAGCCGAAGCTATCTTCGCCATCAAGTAGGTCGCTATCCTGCCCTGTTCATTCCATCGCTGACACTCGCTCAGCCCCAACGGTATTGGAGACCCCGAGGAGTTGCAAGAGTGATTAAGAGAGACGCGTATTGATCGACAGTATCGTGGTCAACTCTGGCTGGGTATCTTTTTCTATAAATTCGTTCCTTGTGATCATGATTGTATAACGACGCTGGAGATGTATGCTATCCATCTGTTCTTGTTTGCCCATCAGTTTTGATACGATCAAATTTGATTCCTGCGACGTACCCTCACGTCGATCAACGTTCAAGCAAACGACATTGCCAAGCCCCGATCTCATGATAGGACGGTCATAGGCTCCGATTCTCGGCTGACTCGTACACTCATGTCTGGCTATACATATTCGAGTGTGATCACATACACGTAGCGAGAAGATCAAGAACACGGTTACTCACCATCTTTGCGCCACATTGGGAAAAATGGTCCCGCCCAAGGAACGGACGCGCTCGCTCTTTCACTCTTCCTGGTCCAGCCATCTCCTCTCTCTCCCCACAACCTCCCCCGTTTCTCAATCCCCTCCCTCCCTGTAATCCTCACGTCCCTCCCCCATTGCGCTCGCTTGGAGCGTACACCTTTTCTCCCGCTCCCAAACGGTCCCCGACTCCTCTGCCCTTCCCAGCGACCCCCATCTTATCGCCCGACGCGATGAAACCCGCTGCTTCCCTGTCTCTGGGAAGAAAACTGCCCTCGGCAGGATCTCTGCTACTAGGTATCCTGGTGGGACTGTTAGTGGCTTCTGTGAGTACTACCGAGAGCCCAGATGGATGCCGTTACTGATTTTTGGGGCCTAGTTCTTACGCGGTGGTGAAGTGAGCTTGCTTTCCGTATACAGGTTCCTCAAGCACGCAACTGACACAGACACTATAGACCAACACCGAATCATGGAAGGGCTCCAAGTCGCTCCGCACCAACCCCATATCTGCCTCCTCCCGCCTGCAGCGCTCCCAGATCACGCTTCCCTCCAACGAGCAGCGTCTCCACATCCTCCAGCTCATTTCCACCCTCTCCGCCCACCACACCAAGGAATGTCTCCGGAACCCTCAGCCTCTCTATGTTGAGCAGGTCAAGGAACGGTATGAGCCTCTGATTGGGTACAAGAAGAGCTGGAGCAGAGGAAAGGGCATTTTGGGTCGGCTCTTTGGGCTTGGGGGAGGGGGTAAGGACGCGGCGCAAGTGAGAGGAGGTGTGGGAGGCAAGGACAAGATGAAGGATATCAAGCGGGATCTTCAAGCCGCGCAACATCAGTACTTTTTCGCCATCAACCTGTACAACTCTTTCGACGTTATTCCCGACATCTTCTCGACCCTTTTCAGAGTCGCTGCCATCTTGGGCTACCACAACGTATTCGTTTCCATTTACGAAAACGGTTCAAACGACCAGACCAAGGCTTTGCTCAAGATCTTTGATGCCCTCGCTCAGACTGTCGGTTTGAGGATCATCATCCGAACTTCTATGCGAACGCGAGGTCTCTTCAACCATCGTATCGAGTACCTTGCCGAAGTGCGAAACGCTGCCATGTTGCCTTTGCACGAGCTGCGAGACAAGGAGGGCATCGTTTTCGACTCTGTCGTTTTCATGAACGATATCTTGCCTTGTGTGGACGACTTGCTTGAGTTGATCTGGCAGAGTAGGAGGCAGAATGCGGGTATCACCTGTGCTGCGGACTACATGTACCACGACGATATTGTAAGCCGAACTTGTAACTATCAAGCGACGATACTGATTTCTCATAGGGAGCTCCCGTCTTTTATGATAACTGGGTTGCCCGAGACATCAACGGTACCGCCCTCGAGAACGCTCCTTTCGAGCAGATCTTCCACCACACCGAGTCCAATCACCGATTCCAGCGACACCTCCCCATCCAAGGTAGGTGTCGTATCACCCTAGTTGGGGCTGTTATTGATGCTGGACTGTAGTGCAATCTTGCTGGAACGGTATCGCTGTCTTGGACCCCGCTCCCTTCTACGAGCCTCCCCATGCTAGGTTCAGGATGGCCAATTTGGCCCAGGGTGAATGCTCTGCTAGTGAATGTTCTCTCATTTGCAGTACGTCCCCTTCCAATCACGTCACGCTTCCGCTCACCTCTACGTAGACGACTACTTTAACGCCGGTTACGGTCGAATCATCATGGTCCCCCGCGTCAAGCTCGCCTACGACCAAAAGGTCTACGATATTATTCACCCCGAACGCCGCAATTTGACCGCTATTCGAGGCTACAAGCGTATCGGAGGTCTGCCCGATGACCCTCACACTGATCCTCAGGACAGGAGTTGGTACGGTCCGCACGACAGGCTTTTCACGCCTGAAGAGGATGAAGAGCTGGCTTTCATTCCTGGACCTGAGCGAGGTAAATAATGCCCTTGTATATCTTATGAGGAGAGCTGACGCGCTGCGATAGTCTGGTGCTGGGGTTGGGATGGTGCGGGTGATCTTGATGGACCCGATGTCGATCCCATCTGGGAACAGATGCAGCCCAGGTCATACTCTCAAGAAGCCATCGAAGTCAAGCATTTCAGAAATTTGCCAAACTACCCGGCGTACTGAGAGCATGGTGAGTCTTTGCATCGCATTTGAGGGATGTGTGGGCTGATGTAGCCGACAGGATGATTTGGAATGGCCGATGGTTGTGTTAAATGGAATTGTTCTTTTGGAATGCATAGATCTGTTCGTTTTCGGCCATCTTCAGTCTTCCGGTGCACATCATCAGTCAATGATGATTACAATGCATGCCCAGTATCCTCCTAGAGCTGCGCTTCCGTAGCCTCTGCCGCGACCTGCTCCTTTGGCCATCCCCAGAACCTCCTCTCCCTTCCGACAGCCCTCTCATCCCTCGGCAGCCTCTCATCCCTGTCCGCCACAACGCCCACGTATTTTCTCAACTGTCTGGGGTTTTTGACCGGTGGCAAGTTGGTTGGGGCAGGCTGGTCGGCCCGGGCAAAATGGGGATAGGGGAGATGGGACTGGTAGAATTTGACGTATCCGGGTTGGAGGGCGTATACGGTAAAGTCTTTGCCGAGAGCGACGTTCTGGCCTGGGTGGAACTCGGCACCGCGCTGGCGCAGAATGATGTTACCGGGAACAACATATTGATCTATAGTAGGACGGTCAGACTTGAAGAAAGTGTAGTGGCCAGGGAATGAGAGACGTACCACCGTAACGCTTGATACCTAATCTCCTACCGGCAGACTCTCGACCGTTCTTTGATTTACCACCAGCAGCTTTGGAGGCGTATCGCACTTGCATCGCTATGGCTATCATTAATCTGTCAGCTCATGTTCCGAATCACATACAAATCGGAACAAAGCGACTTTTGTGTCGATGGAAAAGGTAAACGAAAAAGCAGAAGACACGCACATGAAGGCCCAGCGAGAACTCCTGAGCGGAGGGCATTGACCGAGGATGATATCCGGGGCAGTATCGAGGATCCGAACATGGTGAAGGGTGCGCGGTGTATAGCAACTGGAGGACCTTGAGTTGCGCAAAAGTCAGAAAGAAAGCGTTGGCTGGGACAAGACGCCGCAGGTTTGGTCCCGTCGGCGGTCATGTCCGCTTGCTTCAGCAGAACCTATACAAGCTACAACTCGTTCCGTCCTACCACTCCTGGAGTCTGTCTGTGCCCCGCTATGCGGAGGTATACCTTTGAAGTGCACCTCAATTAAAGTCAACTGTCAATAACATTTCCACGATACGCGTCCCATCTGTCGTTGATGAGAGCGAAACACCTTTCTCTACGATGACGAGAACTGCGTCGCGTCGTTAAACTCCCACGCAGGCAAGAGTCTACGCATTGCCTTGGGAGTCGGTCGAGGTACATCGAATCTACAAGGAGGGCAGTGGGTGACATAGCCACAAAGTCTCCATCTGCCGACATATGTGGTCATCATTGGACATGGCACCTCGTGCACTGTACGTAGTTTCGTGATGGCGCATCATTCTACCATTCTGTGCAGTGCTTCCTATCTGTATCGGTTGATAGCGATAGCCGGTTATGCCGGTCAGTAGTCAGTAGCATACTCCACATGTAGGGCTGTCACCCGCCGTCTTTTGCGCCCCTCGTATGTGTTGCAGCCGAGCCTTTGAGGGATGTTGCAGCCATTGGGCGTCGAGGAAAAAGGTCTCTTGCAGGTTCCGTTTCGATGATTCTGGTGCGCATGTTCCAGACATCCTCGATTGCAGTGGAGCGTGATGGTACCTTGTTGCTGTCGTGACATCTCCGCACAGATCGCCACAGTCCTGCCGCATACGTACGTAACGGCAACATCGCCAGCTTATGATCTCTCAGCGTTGGTTGTTTTGCATCTCAGCGTCATCTGTCTGTGGCGTATACTCGCGCAGCTGCACACATGCCACCTCTCGCCAATATCTTTCAGTTCCGAAGAAGGTCATTTCGATCAGTGACAAAACGCCAGAATCGCCAGCTATGTTCTCAGATGGCAGCCACAAAGCGTGCTCTCTCGACATCTTACATCTCTCGACACTCATAAACAGGGTCTCGTGGCGCTATCCTTGGGGGACTTGGGCCCCGTGGACTGCACAGGGGTGTACGCATGGCGTCGAGAATGTCTCGAGACACATGGGCCATGGGACGATGGTCCCCCATCTACCCATGGCGAAAGAGAACGTCATACCACAAGCCTTCTCCTCGAGGGTATAGGAACCCCTCCGGCGAGCATAGCTAGCTCATCCCAGACTCACAATCTATCCTCACTCATAATACAAACCCACTTCAACTTATAAGTTCTCTCACCATGCTCTTCACTCGCTTTGCCCTCTTGGCCCTCCCCTTCATCGGCTCCGCCTTGGCTACCCCCGTCGCCAAGTCTGATGTCGTTCAGTTCGAGAAGAGGGATGATGTGCTTGATGTCGTAAAGACTCTTCAGAGCACCATCGTGAGCCGTCTCTTCTGGTATAACGAGCCCTACTAACCCGAGGCAGGCCGACCCCATCTCCACCCTCAAGACTGACAATGTCTCTGCGGACGACGCCCAGGCGGCGCTCTCCTCCATTCTTGACGCTATCAACACTGCGTCCGCCGCCGTCCCTACCTCTACTACCACCGAGAAGCGTGCTCTCGAGGGGCTTACCGAGATTGTCAAGCGAGACGACTTGAACGATGTTGGCACCTTTCTTGCTCAGGTCATTACAGACATTGTGAACGCCGTGGAGGGTTTGGCCGATGATCTCCAAAGCCTTCCTCTTATTGTGAGTGTATCTGGTGGCCGACAGAGTAGAGATCTGATCGCGTAACAGGGAGCTCTCATCACCAGCATTGACGGGGGCTTGCACATTCTCCTCTTGGGCGTCGAGGTTGTCCTGGAGGGTGTTATCCAGATCCTCCAGGGTTTGCTCTCTGGCCTTGGTAGCCTCCTCAGCAGCCTCGGTGCTGGCCTTGTTGCCGGTGAGTACCTGCACGTCTTACCAAAACGCCATCTCTGACGAATCTTCATAGGCCTCATCCTCGTTTAAGCGATGATCCCTTCCCTTGTCTCTCTTCACATTCCGTGCGCGATCTGATCAGCACTGACATTCTTTACTGTAACTTCTTGATATGGGCGATTATACTTGGCGTTGCGGTGTAGCATAGATGCAGATGAATCGAAAGTGAACGCGATAATTGGCGCAAGATCCGACCGACGTCATGTCCGCTGCGACTTGGGTGATATGGTGAATAAGGGAGCACATGGGCTATGCAGTCAAAACGGTTGCCCTGGAGCATGTACAGCAGCAGCCAGGCAATACACGTATCTGTTGGGAGAGAGGAGAGCAAGAGGAGGATGAAATGGGGCGAGCCAGTAGCCGGCGCTTGTTACGAAAGGCGTCCCTCCACCGCGTCCATCTCCATCTCTCTTCTGCATCTCGACAACACACCCTACACAGCGCCCGATGTTCCCCAGCGATGTCGCTCCGCCATAATGACATCGAGCCCAGCACCTCCCCCCCTCCCCCCTTCCCCCACTCCATCGTCCACATCCCCGCCCAGTTCCATTCCATGACCGCCGGCGCCGGGGCCGGTCTCGTCTCTTCCATCGTCACATGCCCCCTCGATGTCGTCAAGACACGCCTGCAAGCACAGGCGATATCGAGGACTGCAGAGAACTACGAGTCGGTGGGGATGATTGTCAGGAATATATGGTCTTCGAGCGGCTTTAAGGGGTTTTACCGGGGCCTGGGTCCGACACTGGCAGGCTATTTGCCGACGTGGGGGATCTACTTTACAGTCTACGATATGGTCAAGGACAGGATGGGAGGATGGGCAGTGGATAATGGTAAGGCGTTGCGCTCTCAGTCTTGTCCCTGCAAGAGCTGACTCGTGGCTCAAGACTTGCCGATAGCAGGCTCTTTCGTCCACATCATAGCAGCCATGTCAGCAGGGGCGACTGGCACCATCATGACAAGCCCTTTATGGGTGGTCAAGACCAGGTTCATGGTGAGTGCGTACATCTTCCTTGGACCGTCGTGCTGACAGATCGCATAGGCTCAGGCTGGTCTGCCTTCGCATCACACACGGTATAAGAACACCTTGGAAGCTATAGCAGACATATATCGGCACGAAGGGCCAAAGGCATTCTACAAAGGATTATTACCATCCCTCATGGGTGTCAGCCACGTCGCTGTGCAGTTCCCCCTGTATGAAAAGGCCAAATCTTGGGCCGGTAGGTTCATCGAGTGCTTTTCCTTGTTCGCGCTGACAAATGGGGTGCAGATAACGATTCAGAAGGCAACCATCTATCATTACCGCCTTCCACTATCCTCTTGTGCTCTGCATTCTCCAAAATGGTCGCATCCCTGGCTACTTACCCCCACGAAGTCCTACGTACCCGCCTCCAAATCCGGAGATCACACAGGACCCCTCCCTCTCCCTCCCCCGCCCCTTCCACTAAACCCTCCCATAAACCGATAGCTACGCCCTCATCACTGGGAAGAATCACAGGTCCCGAGCCTCCCTTACCCAGAATAGCAGAAGGGCCCAAACCACCCTGGCAGTTTTGGCATAATCCAAAGGAGGGCGGGGTGATAGACACGATGTTTACGATCAAGAAGCAAGATGGGTGGAGAGGGTTCTACAGGGGGTTGTCTATCAATTTGGTTCGGACGGTACCGTCAAGCGCCGTGACTATGCTCACGTGAGTTGAATCGTCTAGGGACAAGTGGATCAGGTGCTAATTTGGGCCACGCAGGTACGAACTCATCATGCGTAGATTGTCATCACCCACATCATAAATGTGCATTTGTATTTGAAACCAAGATACCAGGAATCGGAATAGTCTTCCCGGGTCGCTTTTGTATGAAGAAAAGATTCTAGAAGCGGGTACGATCATGACGATGACACTGATACTGACGTGCATGCTAGAGAGTCTTACAAGGCGCGGAAACGTCCATGATGACTTGATACTTTACAACGATTTAACTCTGATATGCCTTCAGGATACCTTCGGCTACGGCCACAAAAGCCATCGCTCCAGGATCAGGCGGCATATCTCCTTCCACCTCGCCGACATAGGTTGCCCTGCCCAATTTGGCCTGCAAGTCCACCGTGCTCTCTCCGCCTTTTCTACAAGCCTCTACAGCCGACTTCAAATCTCCGCCCTTCGCCAATGTCTCGCCAAAGGGGATGAGAGCGTCCATGACGGTCCTGTGCCCCACTCTAGCGGCAGTGCGTTCAAAAAGCGTTTCCAGAGCTTTGGAAGTAATGTCCCCAAAGAAGGCCGGGGTGATTTCGGGAGTTGAGCTGGCGGCAGCATCAATGAGAGCGGTGGTCAAGCCAGCAAGGAAGATGGAAAAGATGGCACCGAGGGTACCGCCCATGGATCCATCGATGACCTCGGTCAAGACTCGGAAAAACTTGATCAATTCGCCGTCGGAGCCAAGACCATTCTCGAGGGCTTGGAGAGTGGCTTTGGCACCGAGGGCACAAGTCTCGCCACAATCGCCATCGCCGACGATGGTATCCCATTTGGTCAACTTGGGCTCGAGGGCGAGGACATCGTCTCCTGCAAATTTCATGGCCTTCTGGATAAACTCCTTGTTGCCTGGTGAAAGGTTAGTTTGATACCGACTTGTCTAATGACACACTCACCAAACAATTCTGGACCACCGATGTTCTCCTCCTTCTTTTCCTCTTCCACGTCTATAAACTTGTCCTCCCTCTTCCGATTCTTCAAATGCTCGGGCAAAGGGTATATCTGGCTAGTTGCCGGCCACGCGACAGAGTTGTGAGGGGCGTCAAGGAACTCGAGGAGCTTGGGGACAGAGACAAAGTTGTTTTCGGCGGCAACGTTTGAGAGATTGAGGAGGGAGAGGGAGATACCGGGCATGTTCATTGAGCCCATGAAGGGGCCGTTCAAAATACGGACGGGAATGATGTTGCGGGTTTCTAAGATCTGTCAGCTTGGTGGCCTGTGGCTGTGTGAAAAACGTACCGAGCTGAATAAGCACCTCGTCCACGACTGATCCCATTTCCAATGTGCTCATACCGCCCATGTTGTTCACCAGAAGGACAAGTTCGTCCCCATCCTGGAACTCCACAAACGATCGCTCGGGGTCGTCTTGCTTAAGCAAGAGGTCCAAAAGCTGGTTGATGAGCACATCAGGAGGAGGCTGGGCAATGTTGAATACACCCTATGCGTTCGTCAGCGTCCATCCCTGGCCCAAAGAAACTACACACAGTCTCGTTGTGCAAACCTAACCCAATCTCGACACGCCCTTCGGGTATATGCCAATCTCCAGATCTTCCGGGCACGTGGCAGTGGTCGAGAGCCATACTAATAGAAGCAGTGTTGGTAGACACAGATCGGCCCAGTGTCACCTGGTCTTGGAAAGGGAGGTCGACTTCAGAAGCAGCACCGAGTATCTTGCAAACTGTAAATCCGTCTTAGCTCTGGCTCCGGGGCGTGGAGTTAAAACTAACCAAGAGTGATACCAGCCAGACACCTTCTTCCGACATACTTTCCTCTTGTCTTTGGAACGGAAACGTCGTCTCCGACGACCACCAATTCGACGTTGGTGAGCCCAGCTGATTGAGCCATGAGCCTGGCGAGACCGAAATGGAGGTTGTCGCCAGTGTCTTTACGTTGGATTAGCCGCATTCTCGCCGTGGCTGTAACGCACAGTTGGTGATGATGAGGATCGTTCCCTTGTCGCTGTTCACCCTCTTGATTGCCTCTGTGACCTGTCTAGCGCTGGGGCTTGCGAAAACGTCGCCCGCCACACTCGCAGTCAACAAGCCCTGGCCAACAAAGCCGACTGTGCCAGGCTCGTGTCCTGAGCCGCCTCCGCAGATGAGGGACACTTTTGAGGGGTCATGGTCTGCTCTGTAGACGACCTTGAGGGAGGGGATGAGGGAGAGGTGGGGGTGGGAGGCGACGAGACCCCTGAGGGATCTGAAGACGAGAGTCTTGTGGTCGGGGAAGATGTGTCTGTCTGTCATTGCGGATGGGGTGCATGGGGCATAGGATAGACTCTGGGGGTATTTGTACGGACGGGTGTGGCATGGCGGGTCATCTGGTAATAGCGTTCGGTGAGCATCCATCTCGACAGAAGCAACAACGAGATCATCGGCCCGGTCCCTGCTTTTGCCGCCCAGGCACGCACCAAACTGAGCGGTGGAATGGCGGAACCCAACAGAAAGTCTTGGGATCCTGGGCTTTTTGGCGCTGTGGCTGCAGGTGATGCATCGCATGGGGTATGCTGCGAAGGCGGGCCAACAGCCATATTTCCGGATTGAGAGCCCAGAATCGTCCCGGCAGAGACGCAGCACTGGGTCACGGGTGGTGCGCTGTACTTTCTCGGTCCGTCCTCGGTGATCCCTCGAGCGCGCTGGATATCACCGGGTCAAGACAGAACTGGGATTATCCATGTGGCCGTTCTGGCGGATACTTGAGTCATGCAGCTATAAGCAAGTATCTCTTGTGCATCCACATCTATTCTTCGTACATTCCTTGCGTCACTCAACGTGCGTCGCGCACCCGTTTCTCCTGAGCCAACTGACCCTTCTACAGTTATCAACCATGTCCCAGCCACCATACACCATCGTGCTCGCCTGTGACGAGGCCGGTCACGACTACAAAACCGCCCTCAAATCCTTGCTCGAGTCCGACAAGCGTGTCAAGGGCGTTATTGACGTCGGGGTCAACAAGACTGAAGACGGCAAACCGGAGAAGACGGCGTACCCCCATGTGGCGGTGGATGCGGCGAGAAAGATTGTGAAGGGGGAGGCTGACAGGGGTCTGCTAATTTGCGGGACAGGTGAGTCTAGCAGGCGCGATGGGTAGCGGGGAGCTGACACGTGTGGATAGGCATGGGCGTAGCCATCTCTGCCAACAAAGTTCCCGGCATCCGCGCATCCACCGCTCACGACTCGTTCTCGGTCGAGCGCCTCATCAAATCAAATAACGCCCAGATTCTTTGTCTAGGACAAAGGGTCATTGGCGTTGAGCTAGCCAAGAAGCTTGTGCAAGAGTGGTTGGGGCATGTCTTTGACCCAGAGTCGGCGAGTAATGAGAAGGTGCAGATCATCCATGATTACGATGGGTACGAATACGAGGCCGTGCCCGGCGGCTGCAGCTAGGGGTCGAAGATATTATATTGTGTTCGCATGGGAACTATGGAATGAACTTGTACACTGATACAGACAGACGGCGACAATACAATCGAAATAAGACGCTCATACAAGTCTCATACAGGTTGATTAGAGGAGCGTGTCTTTCTGGCCAAGCTGGCCCATTTTATCCGTTCCCAAAAGCCGTTCCAGGTCCACATTGTCTGCGGGTGTCGAGGACATGGTTTCCACTGTATATGCAGACATGAAATCCGACAACCATAATGGTGCTATTCTATCGTCAGCTTTCGATCATGCCATGCACAAGACGACAACTCACTCAGTCCGAAAGAGTTGGCACTGGCAGACCGCTCTGTACGGGCTATAGAGTCTCTCAACGAAGTCTCTGTCGGTGGCCCAACGCTTTGTGGATGCTGGGGATCCGTGGTGAAGCGTTTGAGAAGCCCTTTGTCGGGGAGAGAGATGAATGTGCGTCGTGCCATCTTGGAGTTTGGTCTCGGAAAGCCGGATCCTGCTCCAGATCAGTATCATTCCACCGCCAAGAGGAGAGAGGACGCGCTCTTCTCCAGCAAAGTAGCCACGTAATGCGCACCAGCCCAGTACTCTTCCAGCCTATACACCGCATGCAGGATAGTGCTAAAGTTTTGTTTGGCCCTGGATAGCATGAGAATGTCGGTCGGATTAGGGGCAGCAGCGGAGCCCGGGTGAAGTGAGCCATCGCGGGAAGGATCCATAGGCTTGCCGGGCTCGGCGGTAGCGTTGAGCGCACGCATCTCATGGATGAAAGCCATCCCGGCTACAAACAGAGGCTGAGTGAGATAGGGCGAGGAGATCTGCCACTTGTCAGACGACCCTCTTGGTATCAAGTAGCAACTCACATAGCTTGCCGAATCCACCAGATCGGCAAACACCATGCACTCCACGATCTGCCTCGAGCTAGCCAGACTCAGCTGCGCATTCCTCGACAGACTCTTGTTTAGTGGCGTCTCCACCCCACTCGGGCTCTTCAACAGCTCTGGATGATAGATCAGAGCCAGTACCGCATTGGCCCACAGATGGAGAGCTAGAAAGGTCCCAGAATGACCCCGGGCGTGTTGGTGTTTAAAGTTGTCGGCGCTCCATTTCAGCGAAGTGGGGAGGTTGGCGTAGAACGTGATTAGACGGACTTGGAGGTCTTGGATGAGTTCTGGTAGGGGCTCGGCAGAGGAGACGAGAGTGAGGGCACGGCCCCGACGGCCGTTGAGGACATTAGAGATACGGCCAACAATGACCATCAGCTGTATCAGCTGTACATACGGTACGGGCTCGACAGGTTCGTGCGCCGAGTCGGGAAAGTTTCGAGAGGGGTCGGGGAAGAAATCTTCATCCACCGGCAAGGGGATCTCGATTATGTCTTCTGGTATACTCGCAGGCCTACCAGTGGCGAATGCCACAATGCGGTCGGTCACGAATGTCGACCAGAAGAGCAATTTGATCCTCGCCCGGTGAGCCACCGACTCGTACAGCTCAGAAACCTCGTGCGCCCCGAGATCTATAGCCATACGCATGGCCATACCCGAATACTGCCACAGCCCGCTTTCTGAATTTTGCCCATAGTTGGACCACGCGAGATAGAGCAGACCTGTAAAGACGTCGTGCGTCGGCAGATGTAGTAGCGGCGTGACGAGCTCTTGCGCTTTCGCAATGAATGGCGCAGCCGCTGATGTCGGATCTTGAGCTGAGGGGTCAAACCTCGCCGCCAAGCTGCATATACAGCATGCCAGAAACTGACTCATAGTCCCCGTCTCGAATCGCTCTATCATGCGCTGATAGCTGCAGTTGGGAAAATGTTGGCTCATGTACTTGAAGTAGAGAGCAAAGTAGGGCCGCCATACGTGTTCGTGTGGCATGCCGGTAGAGTCAAACAGATCGGTTGGGGGAGCAAGAGGAGATACATCCGTGGGCGAGTCGACGATGGGCTGGGGGACAGCAGCGAGAGGGGAAGGAGCACCAAAAAATGACCGACGCTGCAGTTTGAGACTGATGCGATTGATACCTGGATGAATGGCCGTGGATCCGGACTACAATCATTATCAGCGCTGACCCCCCGTACCTGCTTGATGACTTGCAAAACGGTAATAAAATAGTTCCAGGTTCCCGTCTCCTTCTGGATTGCCATCTATATATGCAGTCTGCGCTTCTAGCGCATTGGCGAGTCTTGCATCCTTATTTGGAGACCCTTCATCGAGTATCCCGTCAAACGCGCTCCCACCCAGGGGCCCGCTTAGTGAGATGTCACCAGTACTCGCTGGCATTGTCGTCAGCTCGGATGACGGGGGCGATACACATAAATTTGGTTGTATCGGGGGCAAGGGAGGATGAAGAGGTCGGGATCCAGAGGATGGTGCGGCCATGCGTGGTATTGGAAGAGCTTGGCCTCTCAAATGGGACATGTTTGGTGAAGCCGTCTGCACACCTGGCGCTGTCAGGTCTTGTGGCCACAAATATTGATTCGAAGCGTTGAGGCTGGTCCAGTAGTAGTCGGGAGGCCCTGCTACCATCGACGACAGCGACTGCTCTGAGAAGCCTTGCCACTTATGACTGTAAGCTCAATCATCAAGATAAGAGTATACTAGGTCTTACATCCTTCGTCCCGATATCTTTTTCGCCCTCTCTCCTCTTTGCCTCTTCCATCTCCTTCTTCGTCCTCTTCTTTGCTCTCCCTTCTGGCCACTCACAGCCGCCGCCGACTTTCAGACACGCCTCACATGTGGGCTTTGTACCGCTACATCGGATCCTCTTGGTGCGGCAGTAGAAGCAGGCGAGCTGTACGCGATTTGTCGGTTCCGTAGTGGACGGGCGACGGCGCTTAGCGGGTGGGTCTTGGGGAGAAGATGAAGTGGCCGTCGGGTCACCGAGACCATCGGACTGTTGGTGAGACGCATGCTCCTGGTCCATGGTGCACGGCGGGGACAGAGATGGTGGGGATATAGTATAGGGGGTAATAAGAAATGAAAATGAAAGAGGAAATGGGCGGGGGATGTACTGCTAAAGTTCGGGATGCTCTGCCGAATGACGGGCGAGTGACCTATTCGGGTCCGTCCAGCGCAGCGGTCGACGTCGTACGTCTCGTGCCGCGCATGCATATGTTACATAAAGAGTGGCATTGGCCAGCTGGCAACTTGCCCCAGCCATTACACCCATCAGCTTTCGTGCGCTGTATGTGCCATGAAGTATCATCGCTGGACGAGTATACAGGGCGGGGCGAGCTCGGTCACTTCTCGGCGCCAGACTCGACCGTCTTTAGGCGCCGTCTACTCAGCTCGCAGCGGTATTGTGCATGTAATGTCCACCTCCGGCATGGTAAGAAGACCTGTCAAGGTCAATGGTTGCGCAGATGTCTCTCAAACAATCGTCTTGGCACAGGTGGTTCGACCAGCCAAATCCAAAGTGCATACGGCCTCGCACGACCCTTTTCATACGATTTGATTTACACCTATAAACCCCCCCTAGCATCGGCAAAACGCAGCCATGCTCATTTCATGATCTACGACTCAGAAAGAAAGAAAAGTCAAAGAAGAAGGGAGAGTTGCGGGAAGAGTGTGGATTCATAGATACACCGGATTACAATATACAATATTTTGGGGGATTAACGGCTGCGATGCGTTAGGGACGGTATGAATGGACAGAATGGAACAACGTACTCCTCAGCCCACTCGTTCTCCTTTCGGATTTGCTCCTCCTCCTCGGGAGTAAAGCTGTGCTTTAGTCAGCGGATAATACAATTTTACGTGCGGAAGCGACGTACTCGTTGGTAATGTTGAACAACTTTCGAATCTCCTCGGGGGTCTTGCCCTTGATCATGTTGGCAACAGTCTTGCAACCAACGTCACTGTTGCCGGGTGTGTCAGTGGAAAGCATACTTCGGCCGAGGACGATACATACAGAAGAGGCTTGATGTCGAGGTAGTTGGCGGCAAGGATAATCTCAAAGAGCATCTCCTGGTCAACTTGGCTGATGCACGTTAGCACCAATCCACATGGCAGTGGGCAGCGCAACCTACATCCATCGGGCATCCCACTCGCCAATCTCGCTGGTCTTTCTCCTAGAGTCGTCGGCGTCGTTGGCGTCGGCAGCGGGAAGAGGGTCGTTCTTGTGGTGGTCACAGTACTCGAGGACCTTGGTGAGCACAGAAGAAGAAACGTTGGGAAGAGGGATGGGCATGCCCTCCTGGTCTCCAAGGTCTACGAGACACTCATCAGCACTTGATCACCGGGAAAGGAGGCTGACGAGGGATATCAGACGGAATCATGCGGATACGAAAAACGGGGCTCGCTGAATAAAGAGAGTTTTTCTGCGCGTGATAGTCGAGAGGAGAAGGCAAAGGGGGGGCGTGGGAGGCGGACAAGAAGCTTCTTGGCCACCAATCGCGCCATAAGGGCGTTGGCGGGATGCCAATACTTCCTGCCCCGGCCGGCTGTCCAGTCCACGCGAGATGCCCCGAGGCACTGCTGATATCGCTAGAAAAGAGGAAGCGGAAGCGGAATGGCAAGCTTACCCTCCATCATGGACTTGATCATGGCGGATCGCTCGGCGACGATCTTCTCGACAGTGAACTGCTCGTCGTCGGAGGTGGTGAGGATGACCTTTTTGGAAGCGGGGTCGGCCATTGTGAGTGTGAGTGTGGGGGTGGTGGTGGGATAGATGAGAAGAGAGAGTGGGAAAGAAAGAGAGGATGGGAGTGACAGAGTGAGTGGAAATGCGCGGAAACCAGGCAGCGGCTATCGCCGACTTCTAAGCGTGCGCATTGGTTCCTTGGGGCCACGTGATGCATCTCCCGCCTATGGACGCGAGTATGGCCCGGGTATGCATGCGGCATAGATGTATAGATGTATAGGATGTATAGATGCTCCTGCCTGATGCGGAGGCTGGGATGCATGCAGGGTTCGACGAAGCTGAGACGCGATGAAACGACGAACAAAAGGAATCTCTCGCCCCGCAACCCCTGAGGTTCCTGTCCACCTCCACCGTCTTTATCTTTTCCTGCTCAGCTTCATATCTCCCCCAAACATACAACTCCCGTCTACAGCTCTCGTTTACGACTCCCGTCTCCAACTCCAACTCCATCTCCCCCTGCCGACGCACGTCGTCATACACCCACTCTGCCGGCAGCCCATGTTGCCGACTCTCTCTATCTCTTTCGCATCGTGACCCACCATCCCCAATGTCACACAACGGCAGCCAGCAGCCACCCTACAACAATTCGGCACCCGTCTGGGACTACCGCTATCCTTCAGAGCAACCGCCCTCGACTTCGACAGAGAGCTGGATCCCGGCCTGGATCTCAAACGACCCTTCCGCCCAGCCGACGTCAAAACCGATGTACGCTGGGGGGCCGAGAGATCCGCTGGATTATGGATCTGGTCAGGCCTTGCAGCCGGGAGAGAGCTCTACTAGGGGCACGCTTCAGTACCAGGGGCAAGGACAGATGGGCACATCGCAGATGCCGCCGCAAATATCTCAAATGCAAGGGGCCAGTACAAATCATGGGTATACCCATTCGCCTGTATTAGCCGTCAAGACATCGCCCCAGTTTGATGAGACGCATCAGCCGCCGACTTCTGCGGTATCTGCTGCAGCCGAAGACAAGCCTGATGGAGATGTCCCTGCAGCCAAAAAGAGTAGGAAGCGAAAGAAAAAGCCGGAAGAGGAAGAGTCTGCAAAGAAGAACAAATTGGAACAAGAAGAGAAGGCAGACAAGAAGAAGGAAGAGGCTGCTAGGAAGGAAGCTGCAAGGCAAAAGACTGGGAGGGCATGTGATGCTTGTGTAAGTACCTTTCTCGGCCTCGAGGAATTCACTGACTTGCTCGTAGCGGTCAAAAAAGACAAGATGCGACATTCTTCCCGATCCATCAGCAATGGGACAGCCCATCTGCAAGAATTGCAGTCGTAACGAACTGGAATGTACATTCTTCCTCCCCATCACGGAAACGCGATTCAAGAAGAAGGCCATTCAGCCTACAGCAGGTGAGCGGCATCCAGTGCTGTAGATGGCGATGGCTGACGATACCAGAGTCCATCCCTGACCAAGCCGTATCCCCTACGGTCACCAATACAATACGGCACGTCTCGTCGGGCCATAGTCCCAACTATGAAATCGTCCACGAGCCGAGAAATCGCGAAGTCGCCAGTCGGGTTGAAGGTGAGTTCTTTTAGGTTCTGTCCGCCATCTCGCTGACCTGTGTCAGGCCCCACTTCGATATCGTTCTTGATCCACACCAGTGTCCCACCTATACAATCCGAAGCGTACGACCTCCGCCACCACAACTCTTGGGAGGTTTTAGAAGACGGCAACGGCTTCATCCGCGTCAATGCCCCTCCTACCGCTACCGGCTACGCCGACGCCGATCCGCAAGATCCTTCCAAAGCCCACAACAGGCTGAACAAGCCAGTACTATCCGCACAGACCATGTCGCTTTTGGTCAATGCCTACTTTAACGAGGTCGCCCCTCTACTTCCAATCATCTCGAGAGCCGAATTTGCGGCAAAATCGAATCCCCCGCCCTTGCTGCTGTATTCCATCTGCGGAATGGGCGCGACGAGGAGGCAGTTTCCCAAAGAGATATATACTGGCGTGAGGGGAGTGATCAATGGTATACTGCGGTCAAACGATATACTCAGCGACGCGAGGCTGGAGAATGTGCAGGCATTGCTGCTGCTCTCACAAGTACACGACGTACACGCCCAGCCTTCGGCCCCTACTGCTAGTGCTTCGTCCATCAGGACCAACGTCGCCATCAGAATGGTGAGTCTGGTCTCTTCATCTTGGTGTTCAAGCTGACAGTGCCCCAGGCGCAAGAACTCGGTCTCCATCGAGAACTCTCTCATGGCACCGAAAATACCCAAGACCTCGAACTCGTCGAGCTCCGCCGCCGCGTCTGGGCTGCCTGTGTCATCATGGACCGATGGAACGGAGTCGCGCTCGGCGCGCCTCTCACCATAGATCTCGCCGACTGCGATGTGCTCCTTCCCATGGCTTACACCATCGATGCGGACCAAGATGTCTCGGCTTGGCAGGTCAATGAAGAGTATGTGGGGCTGGCGCAGCACTTAAAGCTGTCGATTTTGCTGGGAAGGGTTTTGAAGACCATCTATAGCCCAACGGGGCTGAAACATGCGACGGACGACAAGCTGCAAAAGTTGACCAAGGATATCAACGATTGGATCATCAACCTGCCCGACGCCTTGAAGTTTACCGGGCCCGATAGCTCGCGCATCGCTGGTGAGTCCATCGGCATCCTGATGAGATACATCTAACACCTGTTAGGCCTTCTTCACATGTCTTTTGCCACTGTGCAGTTCCTCTTCTGGCGCGTCTTTATGCGCATCGAGTATCATTGTCCACCTCAAATTTCCTTCGGCCTGGACGTCCAACAATGGTCCAAGATCATCGAATGGTCCCGCGAGGCTCTCGAATGGCTCGACAAGCATGACGACGCGCTGGATACGGTGTTTACGTACTCGTATGCGGCGACAAATTGCGCACTGATCCAGTACCATACGTGGGCGAGGAGAGGAGATCAAGCGGCGTTGGGAACTCTGAGGTTGGTCAAGGAGACGGCTACGAGATGGGAGGCGGTTGTGCAGCCAGGTATGTTTCATCAATACAAAGAGGACAGGGCTGACTGTTGACAAGATCAAATGAGTCTACGCCGCAAAAACTGCGAGACCCTCGCGCTTCTTTACGAAGCCGCTCTCAAGACCAACCCGTCCGGCAAAGATTCTTTGGCCATCTTGAACCCCAACAGTGTAGGCAACCCGACCGCGGGGGTCTCTCTACGAACTGAACCCGCCAAAGTCGTCTTTGTCAAAGATTCATCCCGTCCTGGCGGTGGCTTTTACGTGGCGCGAGACGAGCAGGAGAAAAAGGCGAGTGGGCTGACAGAGAATATCATGTTGGAGAGCGAGTACAAGGAAGAGAGGCTGGGTGATGTGATTACGACGGAGAGTGTGCGGAGCTTGCACTCTCGCGGTGGAGGGTCGGGGCAGGACAAGCCGGTAGAGTCGTTTACGGGGCAGTCGGTGCATTCCAATGGCTCGGTGCAGGGCAGCACGCCTATGAGCATGCCAGTCATGCAGCCGCCACAGGAAATGATGCCCCCGCAAGCGCATCAGCAGCCTGTCGACGACATGGGCAAGATGCTCGGCATGCACCATGCCCCGTTCCAGGATATGCAGAATGTAAATCCCAACCTTGGGTTCGGGGAGCATGGGCAAGTGGATTTCGGCTACCAAGTAAGTTCCATAACCCTTTTACGGGATGTTTTTGCTGACCAAGCCTCAGCAGATTGCCAATCCCGCCTCAGCTGCCAGGACAAGGAACGACAATACGCTGGAGGCCAACATACTCGATTCTCTCCCTGTCAGTACGTTTGACTGGGATAGCTGGCAGTCATACTTTGATCGCTACCTCCCTCCCGGGGTCGCTCCTCCTCCAGGGCCTGTCGCCCAGATGCCACAGCCCCCTTTGAACGGCGGGATGAACGGCGGGCAGTACCAGTCCATGTGAAACCGATAGCGAAACGATCTGTCCATCCTGTCACCGCGATCGTCCTGTTGTCTTCCGCGTTGATTCTTGACGCTGTACCATGCCAGGCAAACGTTCGGGTTTTATACACTCTAGCATTCATAATTTCATCCATACACACGTTGTAAACTAGGTTTAGTCGAGCATGTACCGATTGTGGCCAGATAATATCAGCATTGATGGATAGAGTAAGACTACGTATTCGTGACTGTCGTGTGGTATATACATAGACATTCGGATTATAAGAGTCAGTGCGAATTATAATAACAGGAGATTAGACCATCATGGCTGTCGCATCGGACGGCGCACCCGCGCTTCCCCACTCCTTCCTCCATCCTCCCTCACTAGCCACCGGCCTCTGCACTCCAGTCTCTTGCGCAGAGTACTGGAATCGAGAGGTGAAAGGTACCTCGTCGACGGCTTTGCGGTGGAAGAAGAGCGATGTGCCGCGGGGGAGCATGATGTGGTTAAACCTAAAGTCCCAAAGAGCGCCAAAAGTCTTGCGGTAGGCAACGATGGCGCAAAGTGTACCGACCACGGCGCCGCCAACGCAGTCCCACTGCGACAAACGTCAGCTGCATCTCTTGCAGGAAAGAGGAGACGTACCCAGTTGTGAAATTCGTCGATAGTGAGCGAGGCAGCGATCAGACTGGCACCAAGGAGAGGTGCGATAGTGAGGATCATCTTCCAGTAGGCGGGTCGGTGGTCAGACATGACCTTCAGCTGGGCGTTAAAGTAGAAGAAGAGGTAGACGAAGCCAGCAAAGGCAGCGGTAGAGTGACCAGACATCCAAGACTCGAGCGAGTCGTTGATGGTGTCTTGGTTGCTGCAAACATTATGAGCATGTTCCCCATTCGAGATTCAATAAACTCACCCCCTGCAGATAGATCGGTCGTACATGACGCTCTGGAATCCAATGCCACTCTGGGTGAGAGCGTCCACATCCGGGTCGCATACTGCCAAAAAGTGCGGTCTCAGGCCGCCGATCAGCCACTTGTGGAACACTTGAAAGACGGCGGCGGTGATCAGACTCTCCAGCAAGCCCATTGTCGTCCCAAGAAGGGCATCAATGGAGCGCAGACGGATTTGGAAGAGGACGAAAAAGACAAAGGGAACGAAGAAGGCAAGGAGGGCAGCGGCATAGATTGGGATGATGTTGTGGCGCAGAGGGTAGGCGAATTCCGGGTAGGCGATGCTCCCGTCAAGGTTCTGTAGAATGTCAGCTGCTGGATACACCAGTGCAAGGCGGGACGCACAAAGACGGGGAAGCTTCTTGTCGGCGCGGGGTCTGCTTCGTAGACTCCCAGCCCTACAGCGCCCATGGCGGCCATAGTAATGAGGTCGAGGGCATGCAGTCGCACCCATCGCAGGAAGCTAAAGTCCTGTCCGTACGCCTTGCCTCGTGTTCCCGGGACACCGCCTGCCTCAGCGGCGGACAGGTTGGCGCCGGTGGGGGCTGGGTGACGAGGGGCTTTCTCGTGGACCTGGGCGGGCACTGCGGGGGCAGACATGGCGGACAGCGGATACGGAGGAGAAAAGAATTGTATTGCCCCATAAGTACATCGCTCAACATGCGAGACTCTAGGCACGATCGACAGTGACGTCAGCGATGACAGGATGGTTTGTTTTTAGCCCCAGATTCCAGCAAACGATGCATCATCATCCGTAGTTGTTGTTCTCTACACGAGCCCCGCATCCACCGCCTCCTTGAACCGCTGCACCACCGGCACCATGCCCCCCTCGTCCACCACAAAGCCCAGGCTCAGGGGGTACGCGTTGTCGAATCGCGCAGGCCAGGAACCAACAATCCGCCGGTTGATCGGGTCGTCCTGGGTGTGGTCAGCCAGGGCAGGTGACAGGGAGAGAAGGGACCTACTTGGAATGTGACGAGATCGAGCGCCTGCTTGCCGGCAACCTGAGCGAGCGCTTCCAGCTCTTCGCGTACCGTCACCGTGAAACCAGGGAGATACGCCCTACGCTCTATCAGCTCTGTACAAGAAGACATGTAATGACTCACACTCTGGTATGGGGCAAGAACTTTTCAGCAGGAATGTGCTTGGCAATCACAAAGTTCTTGATAGTTGTCTCGGGGCTCGCAACCCACGCCGCCAGTTCGAGCTCCTTGCTCTCCAGCGAATCTCCCACAGGGCAGATCGCTTTGACACCATGTAGCGGCTCCCTGATGATCCCAGAGATGAACGCACTCGTCGCAGCCGAAGGCGGGCCAGGCCTGACCACGATAGTCGGCAGTCTCAAAATTCGCCCGTCTACAAATCCACGGCGTGTGTATTCGTTGACCAGCAGCTCGGACGAGAGCTTGCCCATGCCGTACGCGCCCTCGGGCGTGGCGATCGTGTTGATGTCAACGACAGCAGGAAGGGGACCGCCGTAGACGGCAAGGGAGGAGGTAAAGATGAATTTGATAGGCTGGCCGCACGAAGGCTTGTGGTGACGGGCAGAGTCGAGCATCAGTCGGATAGAGTCAATGTTGACCTACAGCTTGTCAGTATCTCGCACCAGCTCTCCAACGCTGTACCAACCTTGAGACCCAGCTCGAAGTTGTCCTCTGACCCTCTGCTCATAATTCCATGGAAGCAATAGACAGTGTCTGGTACCCCAAATTCTGTCCGGAACAAAGCGTCCACGCCCTCCTTGGTAGTGAGGTCGGCTGTGATGGAGAGGGCGTTCTTGGGGGAGTTGGGGAGCTTGGGCTTGACAATATCGGCGAGGATGAGGTGCATATTAGGAGTGCGAGGGTCGGACTGGAGTGCGTTTGCGAGCTGGGTAGAGGTCACCCTTGGTTCTAGCATCGGACAAGAACACTCACGATACCACCGAGCCAGCCACCGGCTCCAGTAATGAGCACAACATTCTTCTTGGGAACACCGTTTCCGTTGATAGCAGTCATCTTGAGTCTATGTGTATATAGTGGATATGTGCTGGTGCAAATGCATGGGACGAGTCTGTTATATAAGTGTGCGGGAGTCAGAAGGACAGATGGGACGCAGCCGAGAAGCCGAACACAGGAGGAATCATAGGCCCGGGCCGGAACGATATCTCGTTTCCACCACAGGGCTTGCGGCATTGTCCCCTGGTGATGTGCTTATCGGGCTGGACCAGAGTGAATGGGAAGATGGAAGCATGCATAGCTCAGAGCGGACCAGTGGAGGAATGCGCGCATGGTCGGATTTCGGATACCCAGCCGGCATCGGTCCGACTTGTGGCGGACCAAACATCTCATCACTGTATCTGCATGCTTGTCCACGCCTTGATGTTGCCAGGCGCATGCACTATATGTCTACATTGTCTCTGCATCATGTCATAATCTATTGTTCAGCTGCAGGCGTCTCGGGCCTGGACCTGTTGACGCTCAACCAAGCCTTCACTGCTCCATTCTTCGCAGCCACACCTCCATCATCCTCCACAGTCTTGACGTCCACATACTCTCCCATCGCCTTCTGACTGGCTTCCTTGAACCCATCAAACGCCGCGATCGCACCTCCACTCTCGATACTCTCCCGCGCCAGCTGTACACCTTCTTTGTACGAAGCGGCCTTGCCAGAGACATGCAGAAGAGCAGCAGCGTTGAGGAGGATGTAGTCGTAGATGGCTTGGTAGGACGGCGATTCGGGTCCGGCGGGAGAGGCGAGGTGGGCAGGTGCGGGGGAGGAGGCGAGGATGGATCTAAAGGTGAGAGCGTTTAGGTCTGGGGTGGCGCCACGGACAGATGACAGGAGGTGGGTAGGGAGACCAAAGTCCTCGGTAGGGTGAATTGAGCCCTTGGTGATCTTGCCATTCTCCAACCACCAAGTCTATGCACCAAATCAGTCATCTGTCTGCCACTGGTGGAAGAGCACGCACCCAAGTCTCCCCTGCAGGACTGATTTCATCCAATCCCTCCTTTCCACAAACCACCAAAGCTCTCTGCACATTCAGCAGCCTCAATACCTCTGCAAACGTATCTCCCAATTCTTGCTTGGCCACACCCAACACCATCCTGTCCGGCTTGCTCGGGTTGATCAAAGGGCCGAGGATGTTGAAGATGGTACGGAAGTTGAGACTGCGCCTGATGGGAGCAATATGAGCGAGGGCTGGGTGGTAATGCGGGGCAAAGAGGAAGAGGAAGGGGGAGTGGTCGAGGAAAGTGTCGACTTTTGAAACTGGGAAGGCCAGGCGGCAGTCGAGGGATATGAGCAGGTCGGCAGAGCCGGATGAGGAGGTGGCAGCTTTGGATCCATGCTTTGGAGTGTCAGCACTTGTGGACTGGAGGGTATAACAGACGTTTACTCACCTTGGCGACACGGACACCGGCACCGGCCACGACCACGGCAGCCGTTGTAGACACATTATAGGTATCCCATCCGTCACCTCCCGTACCAACGATATCGACCGTCCCCTTGTACCCGTCGCCCTCCTTATCAGAGTCTCTGTAATCCCACATACCAGGCGCCGGCTCTTGCCCGTGAGAGTCAGAATAGAGGTTGTCTACCGAGACGGCATGTTCGCGGAGAACCGAAGCGCAGGCAGCAACGATTTCGGGAGAAGAGTCGAGACCCGAGAGCGTCAAGGCTGTCAGGTAAGCACCAGCCTGTTACAGCACAGCTGTCAGTATAGTAATGTTTAACTCTGCGAAAAGACTTGCCTGGGCGTCCGAAGCACCCTGGACACAAAGATGCTGGAAGCACTCGGCGCAATCCTCAGGGGTGAACTGGTTGGGGGACTGAACGAGTTTCTTCAGGAGGACCTTGAACGTCTCTGGTGTTCGTTCTGATGGGGCGTTTGAGGGCATGCTGGGGTGTTCGTGGAGATAATTCAAAGTGCAAGAGACGTTTTCTAAAAGATCGATTCAAGCCCTCGGGAGAGCGAATTTTGCTCCCGTTCAATGTTGACCCGTGTTACATATGACGCTCTCAATTGTTGCTGTTAGCCAAGAGTGGGTCTCTCTCGACATCTGCAATGCCACCCCAAAAGAGAGAGTCGGACGGTCCTGTACCTTCGGCGAAGAAAGGTGGATCGTGGAAACCTGTAAGGCGTAAGGACGATCGTACTGACGCGTGATAGCCCATCCCTTCTTCAGTGGAGGTGCTCGAAAGCAGACTCTGGGCTCATTCCTCCCCTCCGAACCCTCCCTTATCCACTTCACCCATTTGGATCCATTCTCGGTCGTCCAACATGGCTCCTCGTCCACCCAATCTGGGCCGAAGAAGGCCGGAGTGATGTTCTACGACCTCGACGGAACGCTCATCAAACCGAAGAGCGGAGCCAAGTTTCCAAAAGACAGGGAGGACTGGCAATGGTGGCACCCATCAGCTCCAGAGAGATTAAAGAAGGAGTACGAAGAGGGAAAGCATTTGGTGGTGATTTCAAATCAGGGAGACAAGAGCCCGAAACGGAGAGGTGAATGGCGGGAGAAGCTGTCGCTGATTGCGGCCAAGGTATGAACCACACGAAATCAGACCTGATATGGACTCACACTGTTACAGATGCCCAAAGGCATACCATTCCGTGTCTTGGCTGCCTTGGACAAGGACGTGTACCGCAAACCAAACATTGGCATGTTTCAAATTGCCTCTGAACTTTACCGGCGCGAGGGACTTGAGATCGATATGGACAACTCTCTTTTCATCGGCGATGCTGCAGGGCGTCCTTCAACTGGTGGAAAGCCAAAGGATCACAACGATACAGACTACAAGTTTGCACTGAATGTTGGCCTCAAGTTTGTGACGCCAGAAGTGAGTCACTCAACATCATCAAGCTCGATACTCATCATTCCACAGGAGCACTTTCTTGGTCACCCTCGTCCCAGATTCCCAGAGCCTGCCATAGGTTTCAGACCATCTTCGCTCGGCAACCTCGAATCACGTACGCTTCACCCACCACCTTACTATCAATGACTGACGCTGACTATGTAGGAAAGTGCCTTACATCGTCCCTTCGCACACTCCGATCACTCGCGAGAAGATAGAGGTCGTTCTTTTTGTTGGTTACCCTGCTTCGGGCAAATCATCATTCTACAGAAAACATTTCGAGCCAAAGGGGTATGCGCATGTGAATCAAGATACTCTGAGGACGAAGGACAAGTGCTTGTCGGTGGCGGAGCAGGAACTGAGCAATGGCAAATCTGTGGTTGTGGGCAAGTACAGGATCACTGTCCACGAGCGCCGTACTTACACCACCCGTAGATAACACCAATCGAGATTGTGCCACCAGGGCTCACTGGACAGCTCTTGCCGCCAAGATGCAGGTTCCCATCAGGTATGTCCACAGCAGCGGCCCTGATTTCAGGAGCTCACCAAAGCATCACAGAGTGTTCCATTTTCTCTGCCCTCCCGAGCTAGCCAAGCACAACAACCTCTACCGAGCCTACTATGGCCCCTCCAATGAACCAACCCGTACGGCCCTTCCTCCTGTCGCATTCGGGAGCTTTGCGACAAACTTCGAGGAACCAACCAAACAAGAAGGCTTCGTGGAGGTGCGGACAGTGAATCTTCATTTCGAGGGGACGGAGGAGCAGAGGAAGTTTTGGGATATGTATATCGAGTAGCACACGGGCTGACGCGAGGTGACGATCGGGGAACGAGTTGTATCTTCGCACGGATTTCATGCATTCAGCATCTTAGGATGTATCATTCAGACTACATCAAGTCAATATACACATCTAATTCAGCGGCGACATCACCCTGACATCGCTAGATGCATGACCCTCAACAGATGGTTCTGCTCATCGGTTGATAACCGGAACCAATTTTCCGGCAAGTGGCTATGGCGGTGATCGCCGTTCTCCTCACTTCTTGCGCTTAACGCTGCTGAGATGTTGTTTTGACCCTGTACAACCTGCATCTCCCCGTAATATTCCATCTTCAGGCAGAGCCGCGTGGAAAGAGCTTTCACAGCAATGCCCGCCAAAAACGATATTAACGTGAGTAACCACTCCATTCAGAGACGCGCATCAGTAGCTCATGATCTTGTTCAAAGAAAATCGGAGTGGAGAGCTCTGATTTCCCTATATTGTGAGCTGTCTGTCCCACTGTACGCAAAACTGGAGCTAATAACTATGCGATAGATGTGAAACATGTTAGTCCACCGTCCGGTGCTATGAGGCGATTCGCAGAGCAGGAGCTGACAAACCCCAGGTCTTGGTCCGAATCCCTACGTTCGGATGGTAAGTCCATTCCCCCTCGACCCGCGTACCAATCTTATCGAGAGACTACAGAGCAAGCAAGAATTTGGTCACGAATGTAAAGTCTGCAATCGCCCCTTCACTGTATTCCGCTGGAACCCCGGAGAGGGCAGGATGAAGAAGACGGAGATTTGCACCACTTGTGCCAAAATCAAGGGGTGTTGCCAGACGTGTCTGCTGGATTTGTGAGCTATCGCCACAATGTTGGAAGGATGTGCTAATGAGTGTAGGGAGTATGGGTTGCCGACTCAGGTCAGGGATGCGGCTTTGGGTAGAAAGGCGCAGGCTCCTTCGTCCGATATCAACAAGCGTACGCTACTCTTTTCATACATCGGTAGCCGCCACTGACCTTGCCTCGTCTCTAGAATACTATATCCAAAATCTTGAAGCTCAGATAGCAGACTCTGCAGATGGAATGGCCTACGACTCTGAGAAAGCCAACCAACACGGCAAAGAAATGCTCAAGAACCTCGCCCGAACCGACCCTTACTATAAGCGGAACAGACCGCATATCTGCAGCTTCTTCGTCAAGGGAGAGTGTAAAAGAGGAGATGAGTGTCCATTCAGACATGAGATGCCGAAAGAGAATGAGGGGACCGGGAATAAGCAGCAGAGCATAGTGGACAGGTATTACGGAAGGAATGATCCGCAGGCAAAGAAGATTCTGAGTCAGGCGGCGGAGACTAAGGGGTTGAAGGCGCCCGAGGACAAGTCTATTGTGAGCTTCCCTGAGCTTGTACTGAAAGGTAATGTGCTGACGGGGTCTCAGACCACTCTCCTATTCCTTGGTCTCCCCGAGTGCAATGACTCTCATGTGAGAGCTTCTTTGCTGGGTGCTTGTCCATTCGTCAAAATTTCGGATCTGAGATCCGTGACCATCGTTCAAGCTAGCCGTACGTCCGCCAGTCATGCCCCTGACCCCAGCTGACGATCAATTCAGATTGCGCGTTCGTCAACTTTAACCAACGACCAACAGCCGAACGAGTCGCCGAAGCTCTGTCGGCACAGGGAGGAGTTGAAGTGGAAGGCAAGAAGGCCAAGGTCGTCTGGGGCAGGGCGCGCCCGCAGAAGAAGGCAGTTGCATGATAGGCGATCTACTGTGGCGAGCTTGAGGCATAGAAACAAGACTAGGTGCATACAGGGGGTATGGTGTATGAACAATGTACAATGGGGTCTAGAAGATCAAGCAGGAGGAGCGGCACCGAGAGCTTTCCAATCAATGCCTCCCCCAGCACCATAGCGCTCTTCAAGCCATTCGTTTGCAAGGTTGAAGTGATTATTGCCAAAGTATCCCCGGCTAGCCGAAAGGGGACTGGGATGAGCCGACTTGAGGATCAAATGTTTTTTCTGCGAGCTCATCAATACAACCTTGTCTGAATCAACGTGGACTGCTTACAGAGTCGACCCCTGCACACATCTTTGCAGCATGCGCTCCCCACGCCATGAACACGACTCCATTCGCACCACTCCCTTCACCGGACGTCGGTGCCAAGCGGTCCGTTACGACCTTTAGAACTGCCGCTGTGAATTGATCCCAACCTGCTTTAGAATGTGATCCGGCCTGATATTGTAATGAGCCTAATTGTAAGGGTAGTGGGCGATAAGAGAAGGGACATACGGTGTGCGCTCTGACGGTGAGAGAGGTATTGAGGAGCAGAACACCATGTTTAGCCCATTCTGTGAGATCACTGATCCCGTATCAGCGGAGCCATCAAGGGTTGGCCAGGCTTCTCCGACGCTCACCCATGAGTCGGTGATACCCATCCGGGGATCTCGTTGGTCATCTCCTTGTAGATATTGCGTAATGATGGAGGGATCTTCACTCCCTGGCGAACGGAGAAAGCCAGGCCGTGGGCTTGCCCGTCGTCGTGGTATGGGTCTTGACCTGTTCGATCGGCGTAAGCAGGCGGCAATAGCCTTGTTTAATCAATCACATGAACACACCAATGATCACCACTCGGACATCTTTGAGTGGGCAAAGTGTGGACCACGAGTAGATATCTTGCCCTGCGTCAAACAGGTGATCAGTAAGTGTTACGAGTAGAGTCATCGCGAGACATGCCTGGTGGAAAGACCTTCTTGGTACGCTGCTCGGTCGTCACAAACTCTTTCAACTGTCATACTCGTCAGCATCTGCCCCGCTGTCTTCCTTCCATAGATTACACACTTTGAGAAAGTATGGTTTGGTAAACTCTTGTTGCAATGCCAGGAACCAGTCTTCACCCATCGACTTGGTCTCCAGCTCCAGGAGCGGCAGGGATGTTCCTCTCACAGCCTCTCGGAAGTCGGCGATAGAATCAAATTTCCCAGAAACAGCAGTCTTGCTCGGGATAGTGCTCGTGGCAGATGCCGTGACTTTCGCTACTTTGGTGATCGATCCTGCTAATGACGGTCAGTGATGGCGACCCATAAGACTGGACTGGCAACACATCGGGACCCACCTGCGGCGGCTGTCTCATCAGGCCTTGTACGTTTCTTGGACTCTTTGGCGATCACTTGTCCGGCCTCGCTGCTCTCATTAACGGGCATGTTCTCGGTGCCCTGTCTGGCGGCGGGGGGGCTTGTAGACTTGAGGGCTACTCTGGCGGTAGCTGCTGCGTGGGGCTTGCTGAAGTATGCGCGGATGGATGGCTGTGCGGGCATGGCGCTCTCGAACCAAGACACTCAGGCGGCGTGAAGATTAATGAGCGCGACGCCGAGTAAAAGATCAGCCAGAGATTAGCCAGAACCCGCGCGGGTATTTCCCGCTATCATTCCGCATCTACATCTACCTCCCATTCCTATCTCCAATTCTCATCTGCATCTACACGACCACTCACCATGGCCCCCTCTCCCACAGAGAATGCTCCCAAGAACCTCGAAGAGCTCAAGCAGCTCCTCAAAGACGACACCAAGGTCAAAGTGGCCGGTGAGTACGCTGCTGGACACGGCTCTGCCTTATCGGCTGCGGCACAAGATGCTAACAGATTGCAAAAGGCGTCGACGTCGAGGGAGTGCTGAGAGGCAAGATCATGAGCAAGTCCAAGCTGCTCTCCTCTGTCAAGTCGGAGGGCTTCAACTTCTGCAGCGTCATCTTTGGATGGGATAGTAGGTCATCTGATGTGGCAGATGGATATCCCTTGCTAATCTATCTGCCCTATCAGTACATGACCAGACCTATGAAAAGGAGCTTCTCGTAGCCAACTGGGATAACGGTTACCGTGATTTGCTTGCCGTCATCGACCTGTCCACCTTCAGGCGGTTGCCTTGGGAGAAAAACGTCCCCTTCTTCCTGTGTCGGTTCGTCATCCCCGAGACTGGAAAGATCTTGCCTGTGGACCCCAGAAGCTTAATTCTGGATGTCACGGACAAGGCTCAGGAGAAGGGGTACAAGTGCATGAGCGGTGCCGAGTTTGAAGTGAGTCGATATATGTCTTGTCATCTGCCTAGCTTACAGGTATACAGTATTTTCAATTCGCCGAAACCGCTCAAACGCTTGCCGATAAGAACTTTAGAGACCTCAAACCTCTGACCCCGGGTAGTGAGTGTATCCCCCGTGCAGCCGAAGAATATAGCTCACATACATCCAGTGCACGGCTATTCTGTCCTGAGACCTTCCCTCAATATGGACTACTTTCACGATCTCTACGACTCTGCCACCGACTTTGATATCGAGGTCGAAGGACACCGTACGCCCTCCTTATCGGAATTGGAGTGCACCATGCTGACCACATTCGCCAGATACCGAAACAGGTCCCGGTGTGTTTGAGACCGCATTGGGGTACACCGATGCGGCTCGTATGGCCGACAATGCTTGTCTGTTCAAGCTTGTGGCCAAGAGCTTGGGGATGAAATACAACATATCACCGACTTTCATGGCTAAGCCATGGGGAGACGTGAGTCAATTATCATGTATATCGGGAAAAGACCTGTGGCTGACTCTTTGCTTCTAGCTTCCCGGATGTTCTGGGTACGATCCCCTTTTCATAATGTTTTTTGTAACGTGCTAATCCACTGCAGTCACACCCACGTCTCTCTCCAAGACAAGGACGGCAAGAACATTTTTGCGGTGACTGATGAGGAGGCTGCAAATGGCGGTCGAGCCAATGCGGCGTTTGATGATGTCAAGTACATCTCTCAGGAGGCTGAGTGGTTCTTGGCTGGTTTGCTCGAGGGTATGCCCGATGGTGAGTGCTTGGTCGACCAGCTTGACTTGTCCGCTTACCAGTATCAAAGTTGTTCCCATGTTCTGCCCCACCATCAACTCTTACAAGCGGTTACAAGGTGGCCAGGCCATGTGGGCTCCCGATACTGCCTCGTACGGTTACGACTCTCGGGCTGCGTCTGTCAGGCTTATAACAGCCCCCGGTGTCAAGGGCTACGCCACCCGGTTCGAGGTCCGGGTGCCCGGTGCTGACGTGAGTGTGGACACTTTCATCCCCTGTACCCATGGCTGACGATGCGTAGATGAATCCATACTATACAATGGCCACCATCTTTGCCCTCGGTCTCCGAGGTATCGAGAAGAAGATCCCCCTTCCTTACGGCCCCATTGGATCCCCTGGAGTCACTCGGGAGACTGTCAAGCACCTCCCGACTTCCCTGGAAAGCGCTACCAAGGCCTTCATGGCCAAGGACAGTATAGCAAGAGAGGTGCTGGGTGACTTCTTTGTGGACCACTATGGCGGTACCAGGGAGCACGAGCTCGATCTTCACAGGAAGGCGGTCACGGATTGGGAAGGTGAGTCATGAGAAGCCCGCTTGCCCTATCAGAAGCTGACGTGTCGCAGTCGCCCGATACTTTGAGTTGGTGTAAGAATTGTCTGTTGTTTGCTTGTCTATCTGCTGTCTGCTGTTGAATGCTGTCTTGCTGTTTGAATGCTGTCTTGCTCCGTGCAATTTGCGCGTATAGAATCTTGTAGCTCAACTGTTTCTCTCGTGTGGAAGGTGGGATGGATGTTTGACTCCTGGATCTTACAGAATTATACTACACGATGCAGATGAACCTGATTTGAATAGTGTTATTGGAATGACTTCATGTCATAGAGGATCGGCGAGGTCCGAACCAAAGACCGCGGTAGCCATAGTAGTCGGACCGGCGACCGGGGGCATTCACTGCTTCTACTTGATGCATCTCTGGGGCCGTATGCTCTCCCTCAGATCATTGCAGGACCCCTTCCAACCCTACACCCACCCACATTCGTGCAGGGGCAAGGACAGCGGCAGCAGAAATCGTGTTACGTACTCAGGCTGTTAAACCCCGCGTCGGGGTCCCCGGATCGCTCGGCCCACTGACGACACCGCAAGTGACTGCCCGACAACAAAATTATTTCATCAGTTTTGCATGACTTTCTCCATCCTTTTGCATCCTCACACAGCTCCTTTTCATCCCCACCCACCCCAAATCGTATACCCACAATGGCTGCCTTGTTCGGACGATACTCTGCATTCTTGGCCAGGAGGCCTCTCGTTGGCAACATGGCTTCTTCGGCGGTGAGTACCTGTGGGGTGGTCAGGGCGTCTCTGCCAGAGCTTCAGAAGCTGGGGGACGTGGCGACCAAGCTGCTGACACTGACTAATCCACAGGTTCTCTTCGCTACTGGTGACGTTATCGCCCAGCAATTGATTGAGAAGAAGGGAAAGGACCATGACCTCGCTCGTACTGGGTGAGTTGAAATCCACACGGCACGTCGTCCAACTGCTAAAGTATCGCCTCTTGTGCAGTCGGATCGTGGTGTGGGGTGGTCTGTGCTTTGCTCCCGCGGTCCACGTGTGGTTCAATACACTCGCAAGGTTGCCAATCCAGTCAAAGGTTGCTGGTACCGCGGCGCGTGTGGCTTTGGATCAGTTCGCGTTTGCGCCTTTCGCCTTGACCAGTGCGTTCCCGTTGGGATGTGTACGCCGAGTACCTTGCTGACTGGATTCGATCAGGTTTTTTCACTGCCATGACCTTGATGGAAGGCAAGAACCTTGAGGCTGCCAAGCTCAAGTGGAACGAGGTACGCGTCCACCCTCGCAAGAGACCCTAGTCAGGTACTCATGCTCTTCTGTAGTCTTTCGTGGATACCTTGAAGGCGAACTGGATGCTCTTTATCCCCTTCCAGGCTATCAACATGGTGCGTACATCCGGTGACTCGCAGATGGATCATTGCTGACTTGTCTCCTTCTCCTTTGTTTGACAGGGTGTACGTCCTGACCTCTTTACTGATTCTTCACCCGGTGTATGAAGCTTACATGTCACCCCCTTGCAGCTCATTCCCCTCCAATACCGACTCCTGGCTGTCAACGCTGTCAACATTCCATGGAACACCTTCCTTTCAATCCAAAACGCGAAGGGCAAGAGCGAGGAAGAGAAGGTGGAGACTCTCAAGCAGGAATAAAAGCAGTCACAACGGAAGCTTGGGGATGCTTGGGGATGCCAATGAGTGTAGATACTAGAAAGGATCACGTGACATGAAGGAAAGGTCAGCACGATGTATGTGTATGAGTATCGGCGACCGAACGTCTGAAAAATATACAGGCAGGGCCGGTACAGGGCAGTCCAGCCAATGGTTTTCCAGCGACCTGGGGATACGTCTCGTTGACGGCTGGACGCTACTTCTGGATGTTGTTGTGGAATCTTGTGGATGGATAGATGCATGAATTAAGCTGCGGTGTTTGGTTCCGAGCCGCGGCGCTCGGTAGTTTATTCCATTTCCCGCAAGTTGGAGCGAGGTCAGTCTTGTACATCTCTCCATCCCAATGTCCGGCCCCCGCATCCCCCTCATCCCAGAGCTCCTCGACCTCGTCCTCGCCCACATCACAGACCCTACAGACCTCTACCACCTCCTCCTCACATCCCCCGCCATCTTCGCCCTAGCTGCCCCCCGCCTCTACAGGTCCATCCCCGTCTCCCACCGCTGCAACCCCTTCTTTGCCACCCCGTCCTCCTCCCCTTCCGCCTCTTCATATACCAAAGCGCGCCTGCTGGAGCTCGTGCAGGAAGTCCGGCTCCAAACGCACCATGAACAAGCTGGTGAGCCTGCTTGGTTCGACAATTGGGTCGGAGATCCGCTGCCCAATCTGGTCACTGTAAATCTTGTTGATCACCAGGGCTCCTCGCCTTGCTTGGCCTCCTTGCCCATCAGCAGCTCCTCTAGCCAGTTATACGCCAACGCCACTCGTCTTTACATGCCTCTAGACGACGGCCTGGATGGCATACCTTACGCCCATCTGCTAAAGGCACTCCACAACCTACGCACACTATGCTGCCTCACCAATAACAGAGTCGATCCGTCCAATATGTTTAGAGCGTTCGCCGCCGACAAGACGATGATAAATCTCTCTGAACATTTTCCTCATCTGACAGACGTCGAAATCTATGTCTGGGACATGTCTTCAAATGCGAAACTGCGTGATTCGCACTTGTTGATCCCATACCAGGAGCATGGAGCGATAGGATTGAGGGGTTTGATGATGGTGATAGAGGCGTATGGCTCCGATCTTTTCTACGACAAAGTTGGCTGGGAAAATCTGGCAGAAGGGCTCCTCCTGGTGTCCTTTATATTCTCCCTCAAGCGCATACGATTCTACGGTCTGGAAGAGGGATTGGGCAGACTGGACGACAGTCAAACCTGGGCCAGGGGTTTCGCAGGCAGTAAGGGTTTCGACCATCCAACGGGAGATGAGATGAAGGCCTCTACAAGGAAGGGTATCGATAATGGGAGGGACATGGAAGCCGATGAGCTGCAGCTATCAACGGCTTTCAACGCCCTGTCTATCACTCAGCACACGGCGCAAGATTTCTATGATACTTGCTGGGATGGCAGGCAAGGACATCACACAATACTCTACAACGAGTTGACTCATCCTTCACTGGCACGACAGGGGCTGCTAGCGACGCTCTTGAAGATGGTGGGAGCGAAGGGGGGCAGCTTTCTGGGTTTGACGGACGCCGAGCTCGTATGGATCATCGAGCATTATCAGGAAGGATTTGAATGTCGCGAAGATGATCGATGGGGCTTGTTGGTAAGTGTCCCTCGTTTTGCAAAGCAAAGGTCAGAATCTTATCGAGTGTCCTAGACTCCCGCGTCTTCCCGCGGCTCCAGCCCCTCCCCTTTGCCTCAACACCCTGCTGGGCACTTTGCAAGCCTGATTGGAAATTGAAGACGGGAGATGTCGTGGAATGTCTGGCTACTGGCTATTTGTGTTACTCGAGGATCGCTGATAGGTGTGTGCGTTTTCTCATAAACCTGTAAGGGGCTACTAGACACAAACTGATCCTTCTTCCGTAGCATAACAATCTCGATGCGTCGCTTGTGTGAATGTGGATAATTGTATCTATACGCGTCAGTCTCATGGACGCGGAAAGGAGCTCAATGTACCGTATAGCAGCTTTTGGACCCCCCGAGATCTGGTTGGCCGGAGAGAAGTAAGGAATGTAATGTTGACGATGAGCAGTACGATTACTCTACAATTAGGGCGATTAGGCCAATGAAGGTCTCTCTTTCCTGATCACTGTCGCGCTGTTCACGATCGTCTAATTATACTGGCGTACATTCGTGGGATCATATCGCAAGTTTCGTCTTCTTCTCGATCGGACGTTCCCTTTATACGATACAAGCAACACGGGGAACGGTCTGGCTCTTCAAAGGACATCGACACTGGGCGGAACGATGGGCAGAACGATGCCAAATCGGTACCAATTGGACCACAAATAGCACAACATGGCAAGCCCAAACACCGCTCATGGGCCTCAACTCCGCTTATGGGCCTCAACTCTATTCATGAGCTTCAACTCCGCACATTTCGTTCCCACGCTCGAACACATGCAAAGAACCTTCGTTCATTCACAACTTCAGACATATAAGCACCGCTATCCCAACATCCCTGTCTTCCCTGTTTTCTTCTCATCAGCGCCCCTATTCCATCGCTCATCGTAAGGCAGCACTTCGATCATGGGCCACTTCGAATCAAGCCCTCAACCGCCAGCATTCAGCGGAGACTTTGGATTCGACGATGAGGAGTGGCTTCAAGCTGATGACGCGAACCCGGCCTCCTCCTACTTGCCGCCACTGCAAGGGGACATGTTCACGAGCGCCCCCTATGAGGGTTTCTCGGCTCCTCAAGGACTACACTTGACGGTACCGGATGAGAGCCTCTTCAACGATCGCGGCGCTTCTTCAAACCCCCCAAGCAGCGTCGGCGATGGCTCACACTTTAGCCATTCGGGGGCGGGGAGCCCCGGGCAAGAGGAGATGTTCGCAAGCAGGGCGGCCGACGAGGGCCCATCCGAGATAGTGGTTGGTAGTGCCAGCTCCCCGGCTCAGAAAAGCACAAGGAGAGGCTCGGAGACCAAGCTCACCAATTTGGCTAGTCGTAAACGAGTTCAAAGTGAGTAGTGGCCTTCACGATCACCTGATCGTGTTTGGCACGACCCTCATTCAACCCTGCAGACGGCTAATGTGGCATATGCTCTACCTAGATCGAGAAGCACAGACCAAGTATAGAGAGAAGAAAGCAAAGCAATTCCAAGAACTGACGGCGGAGAATGAATCACTCAAATCCGAGCTCGAACGACTTCGATCCCAACTCACTCGACGTACCTGGGAGCGGGATATGGCCTGGTCCAGAAATCGATCTCTGGTACAGACTCTGTCTAACATGGGCTGTGTACAGCAAATCGCTGGCGGTGATGGTTTCGTCAGTCAGCCAACAGATGGCATGGAATACAACGAGGATGAATATGCCGAGGGAGGGGAGATCTTTGTACAGACAAGTTGATGGATCATGTCATTGCGCTGGTGATGATTGTTCTTCAAGTCGGGATACCTAGATGATGACAGAAGCTGTAGATGTATTTGAGAGTGAACCTGCCCTGTTGCCGTTGCCCAGGCTCGTTGCTGCCACACACGCAGGAGTGGTACTAGATATACTTTATACGTCAATAGAGAGTTCAATTTCTGGTCCTGTCCAGTTTATGTGGCGGTGGTGAAACATGTCAGTTGTGCTGCTGGTCATGGTTTTTTTTTGGTTGGCGCTGTCAAAAGGACATAGCCGATCCAATCATCGCATGGTCTCGGCCCTTGACGCTTAACGTCATTCCCTTGCATGAACTATAGATAACAGCTACATATACAAAGGTCTCACAACCTTCCGGAACCCGTCTCTCGTCAAAGAGTAGCCATGAGCTCCTTCACCCACTCGTTCTCTCCGAAACGCTCTTTGAACTCTTCCGCTGTCGCTCGAAGCTGTGAGACCATCTCCTCTTCGCTCGGCTGCATGCCCCCATCGCTGTCCTCATCAGCAGATACTCGAGACTTCCAGGTGGCGAGAAATTCCTTGATGAGATCGGTGCCTTCATCAATGGTCTCTTTGGAGTATTTGGCGGACGGCGCAGAGACGTCGTCTGGCTCTGTGACAGTTGTAAGACACGGATAATGCAACAAAGGAAGTCAAACATACCGCCAAAGTCTTCAAGCTCTTCCGCCTTTCTCTTTGCCAGCTACAACCAAAGTCAGTCTATATAGTCTTCACGATATAGAATCCACGCACCTTGACGACGCTATCCGGAAAGTTGGCCAGCTCCGCCACATGTATTCCAAAACTTTGGTCACTGATCCCGTCCGAGACTTTATAGAGCAAGGTGATATCTCTACCCTTACCGCCGGTCTCACCCTCACTCCTCTCTTTGACATGCGCCTCAACATGCAAATTCTTAACATGGGCGTTCTTCTCCGCAAGAGTGGTAAGTTCGTGGAAGTGGGTAGCGAAGAGACAGAAACAATGGATCTTTTCTGCAATGTATTCCGAGATGGCCCAGGCGAGACCAAAGCCGTCGTAGGTGGAAGTTCCTCGACCGAGCTCATCGATGATGATAAGAGAGTCTTTGGTAGCAGACTGCAGGAGTGTCAGTCCATTCCACAGCAGAGCCAAGACAGGCTCACCCGTAAAATCGTTGCAGTCTCCAGCATCTCCGCCATGAATGTACTGACTCCCTTCAGCTGACTATCTCCCGCACCGACCCTTGCCAGAATACAATCAAACACTGGCAATTCCGCCTCCTCTGCGGGTACAAAGCACCCCACCTGTGCCATCAGTGCAATCACCCCGATCTGCCTGATATACGTTGATTTACCGCCCATATTCGGACCAGTAATGATGGCGAATTCGGATGAGCCTTTGAGCATATGGTGATCATTAGGAATGAAAGTGACGTCGTCTTGTGCTTCGAGGCAGGGGTGGCGAGCAGCGGTGAGCACGACATTGCCGGAGCCTTTGGGATGGAGGGTAGGCTTGACATAGGGGATGGGGGCATTGGCGGAGACATGGGCCATACTGGTGATGACATCGACGGCAGCCATTAGGTTGTCCAAAACTTCCAGCACCGGTGTGTATGTGGCTACAGTACCGTCAGGTCACACTCAATAAGACTGGAAAAAATACGCTCACCAGCAATCGCAACAACCTCCTTCACCAGATGCCTCTGCTGCTTTTCGTACAATTCTTGCAGTCTAAAGTATTCTTCACTAAGTCCTCGAAGGGTCTTTGTGGTGAAGATGGTCCCCGATTTCTGTGTGGACAAATCGATATATTCCTTCTTGTTTCTGATCAAGCCGGCTTCCTGCAGCCATTGTCAGTCGATATCTGACCGGGGAGAGCCACGGAACTTACAGCCTTGGTAATCCTGAAAGAGTATTTATACACGTGGTGATTCTCCAGATGGAGCTTCTTCTCAATGTCAATTCCCAAATCATCGCCAACCTTCCTATGTTCCTCGTCCAGCTGATCCCTCACACCCAAGAGCTCTTCGCGATACCGTTGAAGATCTTCATCGATGGTGGGAAGGATGACAAAGTTGTGGGAGGAGAGTTGCTCGAGGTCGATAGTGTCTTCAACCATTGCAGAGTAATTGTCAAGTTTCCCGATGTGTTCCTGTGCAACAGTAAGGACGAGCAAAGGAGAAAAGTGAAAGAGGACGTACACGAAGAGGCTTGAGCCATATCTCTTCAAGCAGCTCCTTGCCCCTAGGGTTGAGAAGCTCGATCTCTTCCAAACTCTCCACCAGCCCTGGTAGCTGTCAAAACGTCAGCGATGCCCCGGTCAATGGAAAATTGTGTCACTCACCAATTGCACGGCCTGGTACACTCTGACGACATCCTCCAGCCCCGCCACTCTTCTGTGAAACTTCTTGGAGATCCTGTGAAAGTCCGGCATAGACTTGAGATACTTATCCTGCACCGTCCTCCTGGTGTTTGCATCATCCACAAAGACTTCCACCATCACTTGCCGCTGCGTGATTTCATGAAGGTTCACCAACGGCTGCTTCAACCATCTTCCCAACAATCTCATACCCTGACTAGTCTTGCACCTATTCAGCAAGCCGTAGACGCTCATGTTCTTATTGCCCCCCAGTTCTTGGGGGTTGGGCATGAGGCTGAGGGCTTTGAGGGCGGAAGCGTCGAGCTTCATGTACTGAGAGAGGTCGTGGCGGTGGAGGCGGAACTGGCCGTGGAGAGCGACGTCAGAGAGAAGGGAGAGGTAGTTGATGAGAGCCGAGAGAGCAGACATGGCAGCCTTGAGTTCAAACTCAGCTACAGAGGAGATGAGTCTTGGACTTTCTCAACCAGCTCGTGGGACGTACGAAGGGTGGAACCAGCATGTACCTCATCGAGCATGCGGTTGAGGTCTTGCTCGACACTCTTTGCCTGGAATTCTGACGATTTTCTGTCCGTCACTATGACCCCACACCATTCGACTAGCATCCTCAACTTGGCGATTTCCGGCCTCTTGTCGTCGTCTTGCAATATACACTCCTTTACCCCCAGCTGGATCAGTAGCGACTATTCCACTTGTCAATTCTCAGAATACCTTGCCGACTTGCTTTGAAACTCACTTCGGTATTCGAAAAGTTCTCATCATCTGCGAATTCCGCCACTCCAATGATCTTTTCCTGCACGTCGACAAATCCAACGCCGACCAACACGCCGCCGTCTTTGGAGTTGACCACCTTGATCGCCATGGATACAGCATTCGCTTCAAGGTCTTTGTCGGAGAAGAGCAGATCTTCAACTTGGGAGAGATTTCCAGGCGACGCGGACTTGGAAATGGTCCATTTGGAATTGTCCTTCTTGCCTCCAGCAGCCGCGACATCGGGTGCGTAGATCTCGACACGCATCTGCTTGGCCGTCAAAGCCTCCCTCAAGAAAGCGCGAGTCAGAGCCGATGATATCGTGACCGATGCCAGCCCTCTGGCAGTGCTGCCTCCGGTGGAAGAAGAGGTAGGCTTTGATTTAGAGCCCGAGCCGAGATACTTGAGGACGTTGGTAGTCCGGAAGACCTCGTTGGCTATGAGGACAGCATCGGAGCCGTGCGCAGAGAAATATTCCTGTAGGATCATTGTCAGACGCCTGACTCTCATGTGTTTTATGCTATCAGATTCAGAGATAGACATACCCCACGATCGAATAGTCTGACCATCCCATCCACTTTCTACGCGTCGATATTAGCAAATCCTTAGTTTCACCGTGACGTGCCTCAGATGAAGGCTTACAGGAGGCATACGGTCCACAAACTTTACAAATTTGTCTTCAGAGTCCTTGTCTGCGATCAAACATGTCAATACCACACTTGTGAGGAGTCAAGAGATGTGAAAGATGACTTGCCCATTTCGAACTGAGGCTTTTGCCCCGAAGTGGATTCGTTGCCGTACATAGGCTGCCTTCTGTTAGCAGTGTTCATACACCCCAGCAGACGTCTCTCACCATTCTGACGAGATTTCCTTTTGATTGCTGTTTGGCTTAGGGCTACGTTGAGAGGAGGGAGGTCAGTAACGCGTCAACTTTGTCCTTGTCATGTGCGCGTAGGTGGAGGCCCCAGCTTTACGTAAATTTCACGCGTCGTGAGTCGTGAGCAGATTGCACTTGGGATACTGAGCTGTACGCTGGCTGTACGCGAGGCTGGACGTCATGCTTCTGTAACGGAGGAATATATCCGAGTCTGATCAGATAGGGACATCATGGGGTTTCCTGGGTGATTTGAAGGTCAATCAACCAACGACGCCAACTGCCACGTTGGACCAAGTTGGATAATATGCAATACATGCTTCCCCTAAGCCTCTCCAGCAACCCGCCCCATAACACTCTGCGCAAGCGTCATATCCAATGCGCCCCTCAACTTCATCAGCTCCCCCTGGAACTTCAACTCTCTCTCGACACGCGCTTGGATCTTTGAAAGCATCTCGTCCAACACCGGCGACCGTCCCAGAAGCGGTGTGTAGATATCTATGCAGGGTGTCAGTATACGCATTAGTGATGAGGGAGGATACATACCGATGATGACGCCTGCGACCTCTGCCGCCAACTCGCCAAACCTCGGGTCTGTGATGTTACGCGCCAAAAAGTTGAGCAAGGGCTCGAGGGTGACATCGTCCCGTCCAGCGAGGGATATCCGGAGAGCGTCGCGCTGGATGAGCTCGGAGATGAGGGCGAATGTCGTTGTGGGTTTGGAATTCTGTGGCGTACGGTTAGTGTTGTCTCGGATAAGTAGGATGGGGTACCCACTTTGTTGAGAGCGGCATCGAGAGCAGCACCGTACTTGAAGTTTTTCAAGTGCTTGTCAAAGTCTCTCAGCCTCTTCTGCCTCTTACTTTCCACCCTAAACTCATCCGCCGGACCGACCACCGGGCCCATATCCTTCCCCTTCTTCTTGATGTGCCCCAATCCAAAGATCCCCTCCATATCCGCGAAATACTCGTACGCTCCATTCTTGATCGCTGTGTTCTG